CATGGCTCAGGCTCAGTTGTGAAACGGCCAAACTCTCATCTACGGCGCACCCGGAAGATGTCCAACTACTCGCGCCAACACCATTAAAGCATGCACCATGATGAAGAGGTGGCGTGTTTATTTTATCTTCTTCCAATCATTGAATGTGAGAAAGACTCACGCTAGCTCAGGATGGTAATTCAGCTTTGTCTGCATTCCATTCGAAGGTCCAAGAACCCAATGGTCCGGAGCGGACCCATCTGCATTCCAATCCACGGTTATGGCTCACCATGTTCTGAAAGCACTTGGCGGATGGGCTTGAGCCAGGCGGCACAGTTCGATCTGGGCCTGATATTCTGGGGTTATGAGCCTGTAGGCCTCCAGCTAATATCGAAGAGCAAGCCTGCCTGTGGCAAATCTGAGAAGCAAGCACATAGACTTTATAAATCACGTCGTTCCGAGACTGAATATAAAACTCAACCACTGGCGATATCCGATAGTTCTTGCTCTGTCTCGACAAAGTGCTGTGATACATACAAATCACATTGCCTCGTGAGACTTGGCTGGTACATCGTTGTCCTTTGATACTCTAGGACGAGCTATATCGACAAACCGCCAATATGACAGAATGGTACCCGCCGCCTGATTCGCAGGGCTACATGCTCAAGAACCTTAATATCTCACTTATCATTGCTTCTTCTATCATCTTGATCGCCAGACTGAACACTCGGGCATTCATACTCAAGTCTCTGGGTGTAGACGACTTAATAGCAACCATCTCATGGGTATGTCAACGCTTTGCCATATCATACGTCGATTGTGTTTAACTAGGTTTCGATGTCCCTTAGATTTTACTTGTTACATATTCATTAATGATAATTCGAGGTATGTGAGGCCCCCTAACTTACTCAATTCCTCATGTCTTACATGGAAATAGCCGTGGGCAATGGGGCTGGGACTCACATAGATCAAGTCCCTCCTGAGCAGCTTGCCAAGTTCTTCAAAGTAAGTCAATTCATATCTCCAATCCATGTGAAGGTTTTACGGAAAGTCTAATCTGGCTCTCGCAGTCTTTGCCTACGATACAACTATTATTTTTCGCAGAAATCGCGATGGTACGCTTCTCTGTGATTGCCTTTTACTCGAGATTGCATAATGACAGTTCGTTTTACCCAACGTTTATGCCATTGTTATAGGGATAACACTAATTAAAAAACTCATAGGATGGTACCGCTGCGGTTTGTTTGTCTTGGGCTTCATCAATTTCGCCATGACAATGATTGTCGTCTTCTTATTTCTCACGGAGTGCAAGCATATTCCGTACGTATTTTCTTTTTATCATCAAATCGGGCGATATCTGACAAAATTTTATCTCAGTGATCTTTGGGATAGCAGGGCAGAGAATAGGGAGTGCATGGACAAAGCAGACGAGAGGAAGATATTTTGGGCCCACGGCATCACTGGTGTGGCGATCGACCTTGGCCTGCTTGCTCTACCTATCTCGCTCATCTTCCGAGTCATGAAACTTTCTGGCCAGAGAATGCAAGTGCTTCTTGTGTTTTGCGTGGGCATTGTGGCTCTTGTTGCTGGGGTTATGCGCGTGGCATATAGCATAATGATCGACTTTACCGTTGACACGTATGTATTCCCTCCCCGACTATGACTTTCCGCGAAGGATTCCTACTAGAGGCCTATTTATCTGACTTTACTTGATTACAGAACCTACAAGATTTTCATCATTGTGGTATGGGTTGATCTAGAAGGACACCTTGGTCTCTGGACGGCGTGTTTCCCCGCCCTCCAACCCCTTTTCCGTTTGATCAACGAAAAGAGTGGTGCTAGATTCAAGTTCCCGAGAGAAAAAGGGAGGAGGCTCAGTGCTCAACTGAAGTGGGGAGGGAGGAAGTTGAGCACCCAACTGAATTGGGGAGGCTATTTCAACAAAGTTCCATGTGTGGACAAGCTTGGCACCTCTGTCAACTCTGACAGTTCGATTGCGGACAGTGTATGAGTCACTGTAAAGAAAATGACAAGGCTGGATCTTGAAAAGTTTGCATCTGATATTTAAAATGGAGTATTTAAAAAGCATAACGAACCGAAATGGAGTAATAAAATATTGACGTATTTTTTGGGCTGTTGAATTTGTAAATTGAAGATTAAATTGAAGCAGGTTACATTAGAAGCCTTCGAAGTTGTAAATCACCTTGAAGTATATTCAAGTAGTGTGAAGGATATCACTGAGTATCATGTCTTCCAAATCTGATTTGACAAGCAGGTATATTGAGGATCATTGTCTTTGCCAAAAGCCTCCTGTCTCAAAAAAGTGATATATTTTCGCCCATATATCTAGTGTGAGTTATGAACTTATCATCTTCCAAGATGTTCACGATAACACGCTAGCTGATTTTGAAGCGTCCCTAAAGAATCTAGATGTATGAGGCTTCGACTAGGTATCCAATGGCAAAGTGGAAATGTCGTTGAACTGTTGGCCACATGATGGTATTTGGGGCCTAGTTGGGTTAGTATCACTTTCCCACGGGACGCTGCTTCTCCCAACTTACATCATTAGGTGTATGGATATATGGACTGGTGTTTGGATCAAAGTCTTCAAAAAGCAAGGCCGAAGCTTGAGAGAAGTACCGTCAGACACTGGATTACATACTGTATCTGATATTCTTCTTGGGTGGGGACCATGACTTACGGAATCCATTGGCAGTTGCAGAGGCATGATCAGAGCATCCATATCCGCACGAGAAGGCATTCGGCTCAAGAGGCTCGCCGGTCTGGTATTGGGTCGCGAGGATTCTCACAAAAGCATTGAGGCCCGGGTCTGTGTAATCCTCGACAATGGCGGCGGTCCCACTCGCAGAGTAGCCAGCCATATCTTGGTTCACAAAGGACAGCACAGTCTTGTTCTGGTTCTTGTACGCCTTGTAAACATCGGCAGAACCCAACAGACCGCCTTCTTCGCCGCCATACCAATGAAACTCGAGCGTGTTTTCTGGTGCGAAACCAGCTTGGGCGAGCACGCGAAGGGACTCGAGAACTACAACGCTGCCGGACGCATTGTCATCAGCACCAGGAGACACTGTGGTGGCATTACCAGAGGTGGAGTCATAATGGGCCCCAAGGATCACTAGAACACAGTCAGCATGAGCCGATATACATAAATCACGGACGGGATATTCCTACCAAGCTCATCGCTTTTTCCTGGAAGGCGGGCAATGATAGACGGTTGGTCAAACGAGTGCTCAAACTTCTCCACGGTGATGGCTGTGTTGGCAGAGGCGATCTCGGTAACCTTCGCAAACAACCAGTCAGAAGCTTCCTTCCCGGTCGGAGACTGGTAATGTCGGGTTCGGTATCTGGAGAATTTAGTCGAGGCACGTTGTGGTCCTGGTCATTGGGAGATACCCACGATGCAAGATGCTCAAGCCACTCCTTCGGACCGTCGGTGCTCGAGCTATCAATCAGGGCATTCGCCTCCTCAATGTGTGCCAATGCGGATGGGTATTCGACTGCTGAAATCCCGGCCGAGTTCGCTGGCCCGGTCGACAGGGCCGTAAGGACTTCGGCGTCTTTGATGTCCGTAATATCGATGAATCCAAGGCCTTTTAAAGTGAAGAGTTCAAATTTGGCCTCCTCGCTGACCCACTGGCCAGGATCATCCTCTGAGGTTTTCACTAGACGCAATCCTGCCTCGGCTTCCGTGGATGAGCTGGAAGCCGGAGCGGCAGATGCCAATGGTGCTAGTGCCGTAAGGGCAAGTAGATATATTTTAAGAGCCATGTTGGGACTGCGCGTACCTAGAAAGTAATAGATGCAAATTGTTGAGATGGGGGCACGAGTCCAAAACCTCCTCGATCATGGGCAGGACCCTGTTCTATAGCCAGACCATACGAATGTCGGCGACCCCGCTCGACTGTTATTATGTTTCACTCGTTCAAACCCCTTGTATGGACGAGAATCAACTTCCTAAACAAGTCTCGAACCCATCCCGAGCATGCGGTTTTGTTTCATTAAGCTCAAAGATAAGGAAATAAAGCTTGCCGATCAGACCTTGTTTTGGGCCAAGTCAAGAGGCAGCCTTCTGAATGGGCAGGTATTTGGTCATCATGTCGGAGTAAATCAGTAGGTTTTGGGTATGCTTGATGATCTTCCCCGCGGATGTGTTGCAATGCTCGGGAATGCTACGTAGCGGTGCGGCACTATAATGGGGCATTTGGTAAGGTTAGGAAGGTGAACAACGGATAATTGGAGTGTTATGACGCTACGTGACTTGATAATGATGAAAATCATTCCCTAAAATAGAGATAGGGGTGACCCTTATTGTGTGCGAATGTCGCCATGTCGGATCTAAAGATCAAAAACCGGCCCCTTTTACTACGAGAATTCATGCGTGAGTACTCCATGATCATCCCTTAGCTCCGTCTCCCATATCTAGACTCAACAAATGGCATTTCGGAGAATTGGCTAGTGTGATTAATAGAAACGCGGGTCTGAATCTCTCCGATTGTACGCGGTCCGAACGATCCCTGTTCATTAAATCCAACACTCCACCTTCTGCTGAGCTCGCACTCGGACCAGTATCGCGTCGAGGAGTCAGGGGGCAACTTTTCCAAAGCCGTGCCGAGGTCGAAGTTTCGCGATGCCTGCATCTGATATGTAGATGCCGCGCACTGGCCTCATAATGGCTGTTCGGTTCGTCGATTGTTGGCGAAATCCGCCCCAAGAATTTGGGAGCCCATGAAAGGTCCGGGATTCGCACTCGCACTCGTGAAATGCCATCCGTCAGTAACTGCGCATGAATACTTGCATATTTGACGCTATGTAGAAGAGATAAATACAAGTAGAGGTGTGAACTTTATAGAATTCTTTGTTGATATCTTGAGAATCTATATCATCGTATTTAATAACATGGTTGAGCCAAGCTAAATCTAGCCCCTAAAACACAAAATCGAGTTCTCAAATAACCTCCAAAAACCACCTTCTCAGACCGTTACATTTGGCCGAATAAGGAAATGGCCGCATCCGACTTTAAGATCATCATAGCCGGCGGGGGGCCAGTCGGTCTGACAGCCGCTATCGCCTTGGCCAAGGCCGGTATTGACTTTATTCTTCTCGAGAGACGTTCCCAGGTCATCATAGATGCCGGATCGAATTTGGTTATGCTTCCAAATGGAATGAGAGCTCTCTACCAACTTGGCCTTGGTGACTCTCTGGACAAGGTCAGCTCGGCACTCTCAAATGTCGACGTCTTCAATCACCAGGGCAGGTACACTGGTGACCTCCAGTGGCTGAATCTGCTCGAGCAAAAGTAAGAACAGAAAGATGCAGTCTGGATTTTATTACTTACTAATACTTTTGTCACGGCAGCTTCGGGGCTTTCCCTAGAGTTCTCAGCCGTGAGGACCTCACCAGAATTCTCTACGAGGCCATTCCTGAGGATGCTCGGTCCAATATCCACGTCAATAAGAAGGTCTCAAACATCACTGTCGAAGGAGGAAACACCATTGTCCATTGCGCCGACGGTACATCTTACTCAGGCTCCGCCGTAATTGGAGCAGATGGCGCACACAGCGTCGTTCGAGCAAACATGCGTACCCTTGCACTTGCTGCCGGAGCTTCAGAGGTGAACAAGGAGCAACCGTATCTCACCACCTTCAGATGCTTGTGGTTCAGAGTTCCATCGTCAACCGTCAACCTGAAGCCGGGAACCACTCTTGAAACGCATGGATCAGGTGCCGCGACCCAACTGTTCGCCGGTGAGGATTCGGCTGTTATTGGGCTGTACGAGGCGCTTGATCAACCGACCCAAGTGAGATTCCGCTTCACTGAGGCAGACGAAGCCGCCGTCGTCGAACGTTGGGGCAATCTCGCACTAAATGCCGGAGGTTCGTTGACCTTGAGAATGGCCTATGATCGGCGAATCCAGTCTGGGCTCGTGAGTCTGGAAGAGGGTGTTGCCGAACACTGGAGCTGGGACGGGCGTATCGTCCTTGTTGGAGATGCGGCGCACAAATACACACCCAGCACAGGCGCAGGCTGCAACACAGGTGTTCTAGACATTGTGACACTGGCCAACGAGCTTCACAATGTGGTATCTAATGCAGAGGGGGGCGCACCCAGTAGTCAAGCACTGGCTTCTGCTTTCAATGCGTACCAAGAATCCCGCTATGCCGGCGTAGTGGAGGGATGTCAGCGTGCGGGTATGGTCACTTCCATGACCACCTGGAGGACGTGGAAGCTCTGGTTCCTAGACCAGTACGTATTTTCCTGGCACTTTGTGCAACGATATCTAGCCAAGTTTGTGGCAGTAAAGTATGCATCGATGGAAGTGTTCAGCTACATCAAGGCCACTGAGAGGATGGTGGGGAGGCAACCATGGGTAAACAGTTTCCCGGCTTCTACCAAGGCCAATTGAGGAAAGGTTTAGGTACTGCTGTGTCATAATTATTAAGATCGTTTGCCCCATTAGGACATAGATCGCGTTTGAATTACAACTTTACTTGAAGATTGGTTTATGATAGGAGGAAATGATACGATCAATGGGGCACACATATGGATATCTCTATCCATGCACTTCCTGCGTTACATTCTCAACATCAGAATAGGGCGACGAGACGTACAATATTAGGGTAAGCTAAATTCAAGCACCCTCTTGATCAACTCAGGGTACTATTGTGTAATTACCCGAGGCCGCAGAACAGATGTAAACTCACGAATCTCGGTGAATTTTCACATGCTATTTTAGACGCTTAGATAAGCGACTTGTCTCGTATTACCATCCAGTGGTCAGCCGTCCAGTCGAATTACCCGTCTCACACACCCAGGAGAATCATGTCTCGAGATCTGATTGGAAACACGTCCATGATCAGCTGGACTGAGACGGGGAATACAAACAAAATATAGTGCCACGCTGGACTCAGGGATCTGGTTCTTGGCGAATGAGAAGGCAACTTATGTATCAATGACAATCTGTTAATAATTAGAAGCGTCCCCGATCACGTTTTACACTATCTCGCTGTCAGCTACATAACAGGAGAGTGATCATCCCCTTGAGATAGTTTGAGTGAGAAAACCTCATCGTATTTGGCATCACAAACCTTCTCACTTGTAAGTAGTAGCATCATTTGAACGGGTTTTAATTAGCAACCCAAAGTCATAAGAACGAGATCGAAACTGTGTCTTGCTTGTTCGTCACTTGCCAAATCGAGGAAAGCTCCCTAAGAGAAATTAATCACAACTCGAAGATATGGAGAAGTTTGATTGTGTTGTCGTGGGTGCCGGTAAGTGTCACTGAAGGAAGCTTTTCTGCTATCCTGACTCAAACTCAATGCCGTCAATTTTCGACGTATTTCATCTCTCTGATTATACCCTGATCTAGGCTTGTATGGTCTTGCCGCAGCGAAACAGTTTCGAGCCTTGAACCAAGAGAGTTCTCTGGCCATCTTTGAAAGCGAGTCAAGTATTGGTGGCACCTGGGCCCAGCACCGCATATACCCCGGTCTCAAGAGCAACAATCTGTTTGGGACGTACGAATACCCTGATTTCCCCATGACTGCAGAGAAGTTTGGCGTGAAAGAAAATGAGCATCTGCCGGGAAGCAAGATACACGCCTATCTTCAAGCATACGCCAAGCACTTCGGTATCGGTGATCTGATTCGCTTCAATTCGAAAGTCACCGTCGCGGAACACATCGATGAGGATGAAGGCGGATGGCAGTTGACTATCAGAAATGTGAGAACCAATCAAGAAGTCAACGTATTGACTCGCGGCCTTATTGTGGCAACTGGTATCACTTCTGAAGCTTTCCGTCCTCATTTTGATGGACAGGAAACATTCAGAGGAAAGGTGTTTCATGGAAAAGATTTCCCCCAACATAAAGCCACACTTGAGGAAGGGCAGACTGTGACCGTATTTGGAGCTACGAAGTTCGCCTGGGATGCTGTATATGCTTATGCAACTGCTGGAGTGAATGTGCATTGGGTTGTTCGTTGTGAGTATTCACAGGCCGAACCTATTCGTGTCTTTTATAATCATGCCTAACATCCTATCTTAGCATCCGGACATGGTCCCTGCTGGATGACACCTCCATATGTCACGCCCTTCAAGAAGTGGATCGAAGAGATCGCCAGTGCGTATAGTATTCAATTGGTGCTTACATTGGGGTCTCAGCTAATGAAGATAGATACCCGTTTTCTAACGTGGTTCAGCCCCTGCGTTTGGGGACACGCAGACGGTTATCCGAGGATCCGTAATTTCCTTCACGGCACCGGCCCAGGCCGACTGCTTGTCGAATTCTTCTGGAAATTCATGGAGAACGATGTTCTGTCACTCAACAACTATGACTCGCACCCTGATACGGCAAAATTGAAGCCTTGGACCAGGGCGTTCTTTACTGGTCCCAGCTTCAGTATTGACAACTACGATACGAGTATTTGGGATGTGATCAAGAGCGACTTAGTCAAAGTCTATGTTGGAGAACTTGATCATTTGAGTGACGACAAAGTTCATCTGGCTGATGGCACAGAATTAAAATGCGATGCCCTTCTTGCTCATACAGGATGGAAGCATGTACCCTGTATAAAGTTTCTCCCTGAGGGCATTGAGACCGAGCTAGGACTGCCTCATGTAATCCCGCAGCTTTCAGCCGATGTGGATTTACGCGCTCGAGAATCGCTACTACAAGTAGCAGATGAGGAGATCCTGTCCCGATTCCCAAGGCTTAGAAAGCAGCCTGTATGGAACGCGAACTACATTCCTATGACGGAGCAGAGAGGGATCAAGAGTAACGATGAGATCACGCCTTATAAGCCGCTGAGCTCTTATATGTTGCATCGCTTCATGGTGCCTCCCTCTGAGCGGCTGCTGAAGACTAGAGACATCGCATTTGCCGGAATTATCGGAAACTTCAGCAATCCAATCACAGCTCACCTACAAGGCTTGTGGATTAATGCCTACCTCAAAGGGCAGATTGACAATGATCCGTCGGCTGCGGTGGGAAATAGCGAGGCTATGGCGAAGCTGCATTATGAGACAGTGTTGCACAACAGGTTTGGTAAATGGCGTTATCCAACGGATTGGGGCACCAACAAGACTCCAGGGTTCATCTTTGATGCCGTTCCGTATTTCGATCTGCTGCAACAGGATCTTGGCCTCTCATCACATCGGAAAAGGGGATTCTGGACCGAGATGTGGAGTCCCTACGGCCCAAGGGATTACATGTCTGTCAACGAAGAGTGGGAGAAGAAGCATAAAGAATAGTACGGTGATGAACAGTGAGAATGAAAATTCCACATGGGGCAGATATCCAGTGTTGATTGTTCCACGCCAAGCTCTATTGATGGATCAGTTATTGCAACCTCCGGAGGAAGGCAGTCTCTCTTGGCGTTGGAATTAACGAAAGCGTTAATTTGATATTGCAGTTTCATATTCCATGCCATAACGAGGGAGAATCTTAGTTTTGTTTATTGATTTTACTCTTTGTTTAAGCTAAGATTGAGTTCGTTCAGATTGGATAGCATAATCAACTTTCACCATACTTCAGAAGCATCGATGTGCAACATAATGAGCTTGAATTTTTTCGAGTGCGTCAGCCATGACGCGGCACTTTGAGATCAAGCGAAGTGGCCGGCTATGCTATGTAAAAATATCAATAAACTCGTGCTGCGGGTAATTGAGAGTCGGGTTGCTGGTTCCCGAGCGAGCGTACATCTATGGCCCGCTGCCACTAATACCATTTTGCCACCTATCAGCCCATCTCGTCCACGTGGGAAAACTTCGCAGCGAATTTCGCAAGTGTTTCCTTTCTATCTCAGCCGACAGAGCGGAGCAGTGGGAACAATGGATCCCACCGAACAACGGCCAAGGACACTAGATACCTTTAGTTGACTCGCTTGTACCGTTGTCAAAGAACAGGAGGGGCAGCTCATACATGGAATCCTTCCAATCGAACGAATTGTCGTTCCCGCCTGCTGGATCTGCTCTAACCCACCCCTGCTGTTTGCCATAAGACGGACAAGGGTTTAACGGTGGAGGCAGGGCACAAAGCGGGGGAAGGAATCAGTGATAACGGTTTGGTGGTGCTTTCTGAGCCATGAATGCAGGTGAGGAAATTGCTTATCTTACGCCACCTAGAAGGAATTATTAACGTGGCAGTGTTTCAGTTGGATGGATAATAATTTCGCAAGTGGCAAGTACTGCCAGCGTCCTTATACGCCAGAATGTGTGTGTTTAATGTTTTTCTATCCTAGCATCAGTTAATGAAGACAGAATTATCACCTAGACACAAGGTCTTGGGGGGGAGGTGATCGGTTGTATGGCGAGATCCGCCATGGCCCACCGGATGGAACGTGTACGGGCTACCATTCCGTCTCAGCCAGTCGGCTACGTGACCGACGACTTTGGAAAAAGCCTGCCGATTTCCATACAACCTCGAGCAGGCATCACAGCAGATTATGGTGTGACTTGTGCCGAGTGGGCATGGGACGATCAAACCGAGGCAACGTCGGAAACCGGACCGTCATCCAAGAACCTCGAGATACCTGGGTAGTTTGTCTTCATCGACGCTTTATTCTATTGAAATTGCAGACACTCTAGATCGTTGGCCTTTTAGCTCCCTGTAAGATAGCTGCGCGGCGACGTGTGGCCTAAGCGAAGAAACAGCATGTAATTTGCCCATATGCGTTCTCTAGGGTCATCCTAGAACTTGCAGCATTCTGAAATGTAAGCAAGTTGCCCGTGAGATGACAAGGATAATCACAAAACGCATCAATTTTTGCCCATAAACGGTATGATCCTCTGTTAGGCTGAGTCATTTCTTTCTCCTCTGGGCTGATATCCCTTGGCAGGCAGAACCATTGGCGAATATTGCGGTTATTGGATCAACTGACGGATTAATTAACCCTCATGCACGTCCAAAAGAACCTTCCAAAATTTGGTATAGAAGTTCTTGGAAAACCGGAGCCAGGCAGTCTTGGCATATCCTCTTGGTCAATACCAAGGCGCCTTCTTAGATAGCCATCGAGTATATATGTAGATACGGGTTGACACAGCCGTTTTCATTCGGGCCAGCTCACTGCCGCCTCTCCACCTCCAACTTTACCTTCTTCAACCGTCAAGATCTTGCACAGAAGACGATAAATACCGACATAATGTTCGCCAAGAAGCTCGCTGTTGTGATTGTTTCCCTCGCCGCCACGGTAGCTGTGGCCGCAGTGCCGCCTTACTTCCAGTGTGGAGGCAAGAACTGGGAAGGAGAGACTGAGTGTCAGACAGGTGCGTGAATATTCCTGAAAATACAATCATTATCGTGGTTATTGATGAGAAACTGACAATTGATGCTACAATATAGGATGGAAATGCGTCGAGCAAAACGAGTGGTACTTTCAGTGTGTCCAGGACGACGGCGACTACTGTTAGAAGAAGTCAATGATTGAGAAAGATGAATAAGAGAATCGATTTGTATCTCTTTCTGTTGGAATTCCCTTCTGGGGGAAACGGTATACTGGAATGAAGAATACGCGTGTGACGTTCTAACGCGACATAATACTACAATGCTGGGGATGGCAAGACCGCAGTAATTACTTGTGAACTTAATAGATTTTGTTTTGCTAGGCAGCAAGCCATCTTCTTATCATTTCGCCACCATTCATTCTGGTTCACTGATCACATAAACTCGTGAGAGTAGGCCTCAGAAATGCCACGTATTACCTTATCCCATATTCCGTCATACGCTACATCAGCCAGGTTTTCAAAATTCGTATCCGTGGATCTTGAAAGCTAACTAATTGGCCCTAAGCCTGCTTTGATTGTTTTCCTTCATTGACGGCAAAAGAGGCGGCAGTCTTCGATAGTGATACGGACGAATATGGAACTACTACGGGATAATGATTTTGTGCTCAAGACACGAGCTTTGATACAACATTCCGCCAAATCTATCCGCACAAGACTCACTACTAATCAGTCACTCTCTCAGCACACACCTTCTGGCAAGTCGAAATTGTCGACACGTGGGTCAGCAGTGACCGCACCGGCGCCCAACCCCCTCTTTGCGAAGCCTTTCCAAATCTCACATCTATTCGCTCCGCCGGTCAGTGCAACGTCTGCATCAATGATCGCGTCTCGCGCCTGAACCATAGTTGGGTTACAGGGCTGGCTGAAAATGGTGATCTTGGTTAGAATATTCTGTACATGAGAACGAGAATTCCAGGGATGGGATCTCACATTGCGAAAGCATCGATCAGAAGCTTCAGCATCAGAAACTTGCCATCAGTCGGGACACCATTGACTAGATCTGGCCGCGGATTGTCGTTTTTGCCGTGCTTGTTGATGAGGTTCCATAGCGATTCGTATAGCATCGTAGCCCAAACCGTTCCAACTTCGTGTACCTTCGTGAGACCGTTGGCCGACGCATATGTGAATTCGTTTACGTCCATATTGGTAGAGTACATCCTCAATCGCGCTGTTGGGGGGTCTGTCTGATTAAGTGACCAAGCTGCAAATCCATAAGTGGCTGTATCAGAAGTATCACTTGGCTTGATAGTAAGTGCTGCAGCGAAGAGATCACTCCATCCTTCCGCCATGCCGTCAGCTTCCCAGGCATTAAGGCAACCTGTGGTGCTCGCTCCACCAGTGAGGCGATCCGACACTTTGAGCAGTCCAGATCAGCTTTACGCTCAAGTCTTAAAAATCATTTAATGAGTACTTACTCCCATGAGTGTATTCATGAATAATAAATCCGTTATCAAACGCGCTATCTCTTTCTGGATCGGTGTGGTCGAAGAGGTACATCGTGAGAATTCCTCGACCACCATCTGCCGATTGCTGGAAGTTTCCGTTGTTCTTCCCTCCAGCTATATAATTTAGCATGTTTCAAGATTTGCAAAGCATGGAAGAAACATTGCAAATTACTTACCTGTTTGCAAGTTGACCTGGACTGGATCATTTCCCCTTCCGCCTTGACCATTGTTATCCTTCTGGTAGTTTCCAGCGGCTGGTGTGAAGCCCAACAGATAATACAGGTCATGGAGCATGTTTGTGGTATAAAATGCCTGCGTGGCTGCGGCCTCATAAAAGTCGTCTGGAGTTCCGGCATCAGGCACATAAGGGAAAATAAAGGATTCATTTGGACTCCGAGCCTCTTTGAAGTTCCCCGGTATTACTGGTACGGCTCCGGCCATAATATTGTTGCCTTCTGTGTCGTACATGCCACTAACAATATTCTTAGGATCGTGCCAGCCAAAAGGCGAGGCCGTTGAGTCTTGCGGGTTGTCAAGTGTTGTGCGCTCGCCCTCGCGGGGATCATTGAGACCAAAGGGGCTGAAGCCGTCAGTGATTGTAATTCCTTGGTGAGGGAAACAATTACTTACTAGACTTCATATGACCAGTAATCCACATGGTCAAGAACAGCAACTACTTCTGAAGCGCCAGTACCGATTTCCACATAGGATGAAAAGGATGTATCCTTCACAATTGTCTGAATCTTCCATGCGAGCACCAATTTACCGTCTGGCTTGACTAAATACACCTGCTTAGCGGCGGGGTCCGTTTCAGCACCTTCCACATTCTTGATGAGATAGCTTTCTTGCTCGTCAGAAACTGATTCGGTAACTGCATTATTTGGGACCTGAATTGGCAACTCCAGGGTCTTGCGAACGGCCTCCAGGGCCCCAACGGGATCTAGGGTCAGTCGGAGACTCTTCGGAGACTCTTTTGGAAGGTCTGCTGCAAAGAAAGAGTTTCCATATGAAAAGATGTTTCCTCCTTTGTCGATCTGGTGAGGATGTTAGTATCGACCCATCCTTGAGGGGGTGAATCAGGAACAAGCTTGCCGCATACATTGACATTGAAGATGGCGTTATCGATGTCTACATCGTGGACGGTTTGCTGAAGGAACACGTGACTGAGGCCATTTGTTCCCAGATATCTGTCATCCTTAACTCGAAATGTCGCATTAGGGGCGATGCTCTTCACCAGGTCGACCGCCGTTTCAACAGAGTCACCCCTTTTGAGCAGCTTGATACTTGCATCGTCTGCTAAATCAGATGACTTGGTATACATCGCTAAAGCTTTCACTCGCAAAGGATCAAGATTCACTGCTCCCACTGAAGCAACGACACCGATCGTAGTCAAAAGACAGTGAAAGCGCATCTTATGAAGAAGAAAAAGATGTTGTCAGAGATCGCTAGCCCAGGAACGTCTAATCGGTTAGCACAACAACATAACGATCTATTTAAGCACAAACATGTTACTACGCGGTCAGCGAGACCCTTGTATGAAACCAGCATTTAAAAGCCCCAGTCATCACGGTCAGCGTTGTATTTCGAAAATTTGGCTCTGGCTAATCAGGCAGGTGATTTGTCACAGGGTCATCAAGCGGCTTTTATATCAAGGGCTATTAACCGCTTGCCTCATTTTGACAGCCCATTTTAGATGTGACGCATGTTGACAGGCAATCCCAGGGGCATCTCAACTCCACCAGCAGAAATTGACCAACTGTAACTGTCTGGGTGCTCAAATAGATAATTAGCACTTATATTTATCCCCGCCTTTGGCGCTTCCTATTAGAACCCAACTTCGGGCTTGGGTTATTACAAATGCAGAATGGAAAATCTTACGAGCAGCTCTAAAGCTAAACAAAGATTGAAGGTCGCCCAGGATCCATATATTGCTTTCACCAGGATTCCGTTCCGACTCCGCGAAAGCCTTCTGCTCGCGCCATCGATTGGCAGATCGTCAATCTTCAAGAGCCACATTTGTTGATGGGGAGCTATGAGGATATAACACCAGAGGAGATTTATTTGCGACGAGTTCATGTGTGCCTCCCAGCGGTTCACGGATAATTGATTCCCTTCACACAATTCTGATGTGATGATATGAGCGATTAGGCTCATTCAAATCTTCTGTCGTGGCAAAAATGAAGATCTAGAATGATCTTCCATATTCATGAAGAAGTGATTGCACACATCGTCAGCAATAGGTATGATAGGATCCCCGAACCAGCCACATTCTGAATGCGGTTTCATCATGGCAGCTTTCACAAGAGGCGTATCGAATCTTTGTCGATCACTCTTGAGGAATATCTTAAGAGATTGCATGGAAAAGTGTGCCGAAATCCAAGGCATTGCTTCATCAAGCCTTCGATACGTGAGGAGCTCGGTCTGTATTGTGGCCCAAACAAGACCCAGCTTAGGCTCTTCGCAATGGCTGCCGTAAAGCCTGCATTTCCCGCAAATATTCGCTTCATCTCCTTCATCAGATTCCACCTCGGCAGATTCTACTTCGGCAGATTCCACTTCGGCAGATTCCACTTCGGCAGATTCCGCTTTGGCAGCGAGTTGAAGAATCAGGGTCATGCATTCCCACCCGACTTGACATTCACTGCTCCACTGCCTGACAATGCCCTCGGGGACTGTCTGTATAAACTCAAAGGCATCCATAGCTTTATGGTAACATCGTCCGGGCTCCGCACTCCCGTACAAATCTTCCACAGACACGACAAACTTTTCCAGCACGCGTGCGTTCTTCCCCATCTTCAATAGGCAAGTGAGTACCGCGATAGCTCCAAATAATGTTTCTCCAGGCATACCGTTGCGTGCTAAACTAGCTGCGACAATAATGAGCGTATGGAAGGGGCCCAACGTAAGATCCAAGCCACAATTGCTGCAATAGCGAGCAAATAACCCGCCCGACTCGACGCCCCATTGTACTGCCCAGCCACTGAGTACGTGGCAAACCGCCTGCACTGAAGTATGGCAAAACGGGTGCTTCCACTGGGTCGGGATTCGGGCTTTGCCATCCTCAAAGAGTCGTCGAATTATTGGTGAATCGGTATCCCAGCGGCCACATATGTCTTTCTCTTCTCCCGGGAATCTAGTCATCTTCATCTCTCGGAATCCAAAGCTGACCTCCTGAGGATGGAGATCAGTATGCGAACTAAGGATGGATATCATTAGAGAATCGAAGATGGTATGCCCGAAGTTGTCAACACGGCAATTCCGTGTGGACACCGTTGCCAGGAGGTCTTCAAACACACCACAGCATGACTTGGCACCATCCAAAAATGCAATTGCAAGGTGAAACGGATAAATACTTCCAATATCTCTTCGGGCTGCCCTATTGGTCTGGCGACAAAGAGATTCAAGTAAATCTCTATTACCTGCGATGATAGCAAGCTTCCAGGCATCAATATCCAAGCAACGAGGATCCTGTGAGACGGAGGAAGCAATCATATTCATCGAAATTGGTAAATCTTCGACAGTAGTGTGTGAAAATGCGTGATTTTCAAGTGATTTCTGCATCGAATTGGCAAACGACAGGCTTGACAGTTGTTCGTTAGGCCACTCTGCCCAAGACTCGGGATTTCGGATGTCAAACAGTTCGTCTTCGTTTGACACTTCCTGGATAGGTTCATATTCATGCTGCTCCGCATGAATTGCCCATTTACAAAGGTTGGTGGGTGATTTAATTCCCGTTCCAGTCATAATACTGACTGGCGGGTAGGCTGAGTTACTTATGCTCTGAGCAGGCTGGCTCATCTCAATGCCTATTAGACCACTGATCATCTCAGGGGACCAGATCAGAGGTCCTTTTCCCCAATATTTGGCTGTCACGAAGGAATGAATATAAAAGTCGTGGAAGATGTTGTGAACAACCCTTCAATAAATCAGTAAAAGGTACTCTTCGGATGTGGGAATGTGTTTCGACTCACATGCGGTTATCCCGTCCCAAGGAAGTAAGGAGCGCGTCGAATTGACCTTGAAGCAACATAGTTGATCGATACTGGGCTCTCTCCCTTTCTACCAGCTGCATCGCGGGGGACGCCGGGACTATTTCCATACCAGGACTTATCGCAGCTGGGCTTTCAATGCTTATGTAATTTGGTGTTCCCACACTTGTGCCGAAAGGAGACGGCTGATCAGGTTGTTGTTCAAATGTATTGGTCCATGCTGCATAGGGCAAACTCCACGATAATAATCTGTCATAGGCAAGAGTGAGTTAAGAGTTCTCCCGCATAAGAAAGCTACACTTACACTCCTGGTGCAACCTTGCAGTTATTGTAGCCTTGTATTTCGCTTTTGAGATACCTTACAAGTTGTTTCTTGTCGATATGCTTATCGGAATTTCCTTGCTGAAGGGTAACGTTGGAAGTGCTCTGTCCAGGTCGTTGCCTTTTGCCAAGTACTGATACGATGTCGCGTTTCTCTGTCCCATGGGTGCGCTTTCGTATGCCCCATTCTGTGAACCAGCGCTTGTACTGGGACTCTCTAAAATAAACTCAAGAGTGAGCATGACAATATCAAACAGAGCCTGATTTCCAAGCTTAGAAACGAAGGCACTCACGCAGCATGGAAGTTGTAGTGGTGCTTCATGAAGGCTGCAACCTTGGAGTATGTCATAGCCTTTCCAGATGCATCGCGGCAGTCGATGTACAATGGGACTATCACGGGTTTGAGGTGCGTCCACCTGTCATTGTTGGGATAATTGAGGAACTTGGCCTCTTCTGATGGGGGAATCAGGTCTTCCGCCTTCATGATGACCTAGCAATGATAGAAGATGCACAGTAAAACACTGAAAAGTATGAGACGGGGTGTGGGATGGAATGTGAGATGGAAAAGTTCGAAGCCTTTGGGGTGGGAGATGGCTTAAATTCCCACCACCACCCAACGTGAATTCTGATCGGGCTGCCTCACAAGGCAATGGGACGTAAGCAGAATGCCATTATTACGCCGACTGAGAAATGCAGCTCTGCATGGATTGGCGCCACAAGTTTCAGCAAAACGCCAGCGACCAACCAACGATGACGGCCACCCTCCATCAGCGAAGCTGCATGGTGACTTGGCAAAGGAACGAGGCGTTTCCTGCAGTTGAGTTTTTTCACCGCGTCACATCTGCGAAATTAATACAAGCTCTCAATCGGTTGCGTTCGTCACGCGCAGCTGTTTAGGCTGGGTTAATGTGGTGCAAAATGTTCGAGCACCACAGATAGGCAGCATAAAACGTAACGTGTTGAGCCAATTGCGCCAACATTGAATCTCGACAGAATACCAAAATAAAACACCCAATAATAAATTGATTATCAAGGCAAAATTAACACTTATATCTAATATCGTAGTTAGTATTAACGAACAAAGACTGCTAGATCTATGCACACCTAGTTTCAGTCATGTAAGGGCGATCCTTTTCCAAAAATCCAAACGCAACAACCACCAGGCTTGATACGATGCAAGAAATAGGGTTGCATCATCTGTCGGTAAGCAATCGCCCTCTGCACCCCCTGGAAGCCCAACTCTCAAGCTTTCGCTGTGCAGATGCAAAGCAGGTACCCAGAAAACAAATGTCCACCGCCCAATCGGGACTACAGAATCTGTCGTCTAATTAAAAAAGGCGTCTGCCAAGACGCGACAAATGTCTATTGGCCAATCATGGAGCAGATTCGGTAAGACGCCTGCTCATCACGCGCATCATCAGTGTTATAGAGCATCTGTCCACAATAATACTCTTATATCCAATCCATTACTTCTGACTTTCACAACATGACATTTTCCGGTGGCCATGCATCAGTAGCCGTCGCTGGTCACACAACCAGATATTGAAGCTGCATAACCCCATGCATGCAGCATTGCCCCCTGATTCAGCTGAGCCACCCACCACCGACCCCTCAAACAAAAGGCCACCAGCAAATCAGAGGCTAACTATCGATATCTTCACTCCCAAATCAACTAATGAGCCCTTAATTTTGATCAGAAAATATCAGTAGCTCAGGCAGCAACCCCGTCTTTTTCTGACAATGTACTCGATATCTGTTGCCTAGGCCGATCACCGTGCAGAAATCCTAAACCAGTGCTAATATTGCCCTGTGACACGCATTCCTACCACGAGTTCACTGCGCCGAATGCACAATGCTCTCAGTCTAAGATGCAGAATTCTCCTATTCCCATGCTTCCCTGGCCCTACAAAAGGTGGCCGTTGGGCCCAAAAGCCTTCTCATCTACCTTCTTTCCCAACTCCAAAGCACCATCCACGCATACATCGTTGACCTACCTTCAATATATTCACAGTTATACGACTCTTTCATTTCAATTGCCATTGAAAAACTGGACATCATGTCTACCAGGTACGTGTAAAGCTATCCTAGTATTTGCCTACAAGTTACGCTACAAACAACAACCCTTACAACTACGCCCCCAACCCCACAGGGCCAGGAGATATCATCGGGCCTCTTTCTATGAAATCATTCATTCTGTCCTACTTCTGTCTTTCTTTATTTTCAGCTCTCACTCATCCGTCTCCTTTACGCCGTCTCACCCGGCAAGCTGTACTAGCTAGAGCATCCGTCGTTAAGTCTTGCTCTGATCTATCCAATGTTCCATTTGAATGACCGGTCCTTTGAGTTGTGTACTAATAGCCAGAGGAACAGTGCTTGGAGCGTTACTCCAGCTTATGAATCGTCTGAGCATCGGGATGCCGAGACAACCAATGACCCTGCCACGCCAGAGGGCTCTTCGTCTTCCTCAGTGGTTGGCCCAAGCGACCAAGATTTTGCCTTTATGGGATCTCAATTTGATCCGAAGCAGTAAGTGACCATTTGATCCAAATACTACATCTGGCCACGAATCTGGCTAATCTGGGAACAGACATGCTTCCACCACGCCTGCGGCTGGTTCGAAACATTCAACTTAGACAGAGTCTTGTGTGTCATTCCGGCACATCACGAGAGGGCTATTGCCTTGTGGAATTCTGCCCGTCAATATGGAAACAATAATTTCAGGAGGACTTGGGTAGTTGGGGCATGGGCTATCATCCAAATTACCTCGCCTAAAGGTAGTCCAACTGATAGCTTCGAGAAATACTTCTCCAACTTTGAAATTGTCATGTAATCCCAATGCATACATTCATTCACAAGTAGCTTCCTTCATGTGCTTCTCAGACAGACTACCATGGCACATCCGCCAAAGACAGAATAGCTATTTTTCGATATGCTTTCTTAAATATATAAGAGATGAACAGCGATAGCAAGGCTTTAGAGCGCCCGTAGACTTGTAATCTCATTAAATCCATCGAGTTAATGAGAATTTAATGATTATATTCATATCAACCGCCTGAAATGACCTGGAATGAGGCGAAATCTTGTCCCACTGATCGTACGCCTTTATACAATCAGTCACAGCATCTCAATACCCCGTTTCGTGGCAATAGATATGCAATTATTATGACGTGAGTATAAAGCTCCTAAACTCTGTAGACGAGATGGAGATAGCAAATTTTCTTCAAATTTTCAATCCAGGAACTTTCAATTTTGATATAAGAGCTATAAGAGCACATGTTAAAAGAGTTGTTCGTACCCAAGGATACATAGCTTATTTGTATAAGTTGCGGGTAATTTTAGGTCCGTGTAGCTTTAAAGAAGATCCAGCCAGAGCCAGATTACCTGGTTCCATTTCTCTTTTCCATTTTTCTCCTTTGTTACTATATACCTTCACAGAACGCTAGCCCCGTCATTTCTCCTGCTGTGTCTCCCGCAGAGCCACCAGAGATTCTACTTTTCTTCCTCTCCTCTTTTCTAATAGCTCTGCCTTCCCACAGAAGAAAGACGCAATAGGACAGGTTGATCAACTCAGCAGTTCATCGTCCAGATCATTATCCGCTATTGATATTAGCGACCCGCTATAAAACTTGAGAAGTTGCCTCTAACTTCAGATATACCTGGTAGTCCTGCCCTAGCCCAGTCATTAGAATCCCTTTTGAGGATATCCGTCTTCTGGTAAGACAAACCAGTTTTTTTTCCTTGATATTAACCGTAAGAAGACCGTACTCTTTCTACAATCCCGTCAGGTTGGTATGATAACAGATTTGGTGTGCATGCGCTCTTAAATATCTCAGGCTGTGTTACGGCGAAGTAAGTGTGTATTTGCTATGTCTATCGGTTAGGTGTGGGCACTTTACCAACCAGAGTGGATTAATGAGTTAACAAGAAAGAGATATAAGCTTACCTATACCAAGGAGAATGATATTTTAGATTACCCTACTTAGCTCTAGAGTACCAAAAAGCGTGCCAAATTACATCCAGTATCCTCAGTAAAGCACAGATCGTCCTGCATTATGTACTTTCCGTGTATTGTAAGCATGGGGATGCAAAAGCGGCAAGCAATTTCCATTAAGTCCACAGTAGCTATAGAGGCAGATAACAGATATCTTTCCGAGAGAAGCTCATAAATGTACTGAAGATCCTTGACGACAGCCTACGTCCGGGGTATTTATTATCTTGGCGCTCCTTTCGCCACCCCAGCCCTACAATTACGCGGCGCATTTCAGGGAATTGCCCCGTTATTGTATTGGACGTCGTGGGCTGGTAAGCTGCCCAGGTAATACAGTTAGGAACTTGAGAAGAGAATGCGAGCAAAGTGTGGACAAAGTACTAAAAATAACAGGTACAGCGCGGATTCCATGCGAGAAAGCAGATCCGAGGCAGAAGCAGCCAGTTGGAGAGCGCAAAGGCAAGCATCGCGTTTCAGCGACCCATTTTGGGGCGCCTCACTCATGCAGTCATGGTATCCTTTCAGGCTGATACGTTGCCAATCAAGCATAAATGACTAGGGTTTCGGCAAAGCAACAAGGGGGAGCGACGTATCATTCACCGATTTAATAAAGAAGCCCTTCCTCTCAAACAAATTCCTTCGTTACCCCATCTCCACGAAATCCATCGCCCTGCGCCGTTACCAAGGGCTTCCTCCACGTTTTAGTCATAGGAGCTTCGAATTACGCTTGGCCGCGAAAAGAAATGCATAACCGGCTAGACGATGCGAGTGAATACTCACGTCGCTTCCCACCCCAAAACGCCGAGACCGATATCGCTCTCGGGGAGGCATCATGGTACGATGACGCTCGACAGTCGAAGCTACCACCCGCGCCCAAGGGCAAGGCTTCCGATTCACAGTATGATGTTTTAGAGCAGTGTCGCGAGGTGAGAGACGATGAGGAACCGGAGGCTCCGCTGGTGAGATATAGACCGGGGATCGATACTTTCATAGCCGACTTTTTCGCCTTGACTGTGCCCATCGCATTCTTGATTTTCGTGATCATTCTAGTATCCAAGAGTGGCCATAAAGCCGATGTCGCGAGTATCCAGCAGTGGAAGGATGCAGCTTACGTTGTGAGTACCAATTTACAGAGATATCATGTCGACATCCAAATTGACTGGGGATTCGCTAGCTATCGACATTATTTCCACTCTTGTTTGCCGCCATTGTCGGTCGCCTCATGACCCAAGCCGCCCGATGCAAGCTCGAAAATGGCAGTACGATCGAAACCCTGGAACAGCTGATGGGAAGCAGAACCGTCGGGGGCGTCTTCGTCACACAGTTCCAGCTGAGGGCTCTCAACATCCTTGGTTTGTCGCTCCTGCTGCTGTGGTGCATTTCACCCTTGGGCGCGCAGTCAATACTTCGCCTGGTGGAAGTAGGAAATGCCGCGGAAACAGCGTCACGACCCATGATGTACTTCGACACGCTGGGCTCAAGTCCATCAGACAACGAACTCCCTCCGTTCCGAGAGCACGAGGCATCGGTACAGAACGCGACGTTTGACAGGATCAATGCTCTATACAACAGTGTGATTCTCGCCCCTCTCACGATCAAGAACAACACCATGGACATGTGGGGGAATGTCAAGATCCCATTTCTAAGCTCATTGGAGAAGTCTAGCGACGACGAATGGCAGAGCAATGAGCCTGGGACTGAAATACTGTACTCTTCTTTGGTTGGTCTGCCAGTGCTCAACATTTCCTCCGGAAATACAACCTTTGAAACAGAGTCGACGTATATCGAACTCGACTGTGCCGCCATGGAGAATCTGAGGACATCGGGTTCTATCGAACGAAAACCATACAACTCTACATGGCTTGGAAGGCTCGCAAGCTCGTCGGCAGACCCCTCTCCCAACGGGACATTCCAAGGCTTCCGTCTTGGGGGGAATGGTTCCATCTACAACGAGGCCGCCTGGACCTTTGCCATTGATCGGTTCATCAACCACGATTGGCTATATACAACAGAAACCAGAGGAATGTCCACCAATTATCAGACAAACGCGAGTCTACAGAGATTGAGAATGTTTGAGAATGAGACGGGCGTCGAAGCCGGGCCTACGACCCTCATGCTCGAGGCCTACATCTCATCTGCTCTCACACAGCCATTGACGTACTTGGGAACATCCTGCGACGTGAAGCAGAAGTATGTCACCTCACAAATCACCTGTTCAAAGCTGGAGCAGGTCGACCAGCAAAATTGCAGCGTCACTGCCCAGCGTCCTTCCCGCACCTACAAGATGCCAGAATCCTTGAACATACTCAACTTTCCCGAGGCTATGTACATAGTGTCCAAATTCTGGCCGGTATCTTCGGGGCAGAATGTAGCTAGGATTGGTGTCTACGATATCACACTACAATACCTGGCGGACCCGACGCTGAATACCACCGCGTACAACATGTCCAGCGTTGACGCAAAGACGTTGAGCTATCGCCTAAGCCAGGTGTTGAACACTTTCATTCAAATCGCCTCCATGGACGTCAACGCACTCCGGCTCGGCGACTCGGGATCCACGTACCTGGAGAAGAATCAGACGGCCAGCGCGGAGGTAGACAGCCCAGTGAACGTCTTCTTCATCCCCAAACTGTGGGCGGCTTTCTGCATCGCGTCGGGTCTCATCCTACTCATCACTGGCGTCGCGAGCGTCTTCTTCGTGCATTGGGCGGTCGGGCCAGAGGTGCTGGGGTACGCCACGACCGCGCTGCGCAACAATCCGCTGGTGAGCGTGCCGGAGAGCGCGATGAAGATGGATGGGATAGAGCTCGCCGTGCAGCTGCGGCAGAGACGCGTGCGCTTCGGGTTTGCGGGCACCGGGAGCACGGGCGGGAGTGTGGTTGGCGTGAGCGACGAGAACCTCACGGACAGATTTAGAGACATGATGAAGCGATGAGACTTTTGTAGAATGATCATATGACGCAACGACCTCAATTCAAGCGTTCTCCTTGGCCTGTCACTCGGCAGGCGCGTGAACTATTGACGCGTACCCTCCTAGAGTCTGCCTGTTCCAGACAAACATTGGCCAAAACCTGACCGCAAACTGACCTCATACCACTCCACACGTTTTCTCCTCAGTCTAGCTCTTCGCCTCAGCTTTCCCTGCTATCGAAGCCACCGCATCTGCCACCGACTATTTAAACTTTGACCCAGGATGTTAATTTCCCTGACGAGCCGCTCTACCCAGACACCCAAGAACACGCGTCTTCTTCACCATGACGGCAAGCCGCCAAAAGCAATGAAAATGAGCTCGTTGGTTCGCGTCACCTGGAGGCAGTGTAATACCAGGGACACTGTGGGCGGAATCATGTGCAAGCACAGAGGAAGCCGCCCGAAGACCAAAAATAGGAATAATCACGATTGATCTCCTTAGAGATCTTTCAGAGATTAAACTGAAAAGAACAGATACTACACTTGATCTAAGCCAAAAGGCAAAGAGAGCTAAAGAAGAAAGAAGAAAACAGGCAAAAGCTGGGCGAGGTCAGCGAAGCTTTATAGGTCGTGGGCAGGCGGTGAGAGCGAGTGATTGGCAGAATTCTGTAGGCAGCAACGAGAATTAAATTTGAGCCAATCAAGGCGCGCTTCACCACAAACAAAAAATGCGCGTCCATTTGACAAATTCTGATTGGCTCATCTCCAGGCAGCACAGCGTCCTACCCTAGACTTAAGATTTCAACACAACAGAGACACTTTTTCCACCCTCATCGTGTTATGGCTCGTTGATGTGCTCGTAGACTGCTATTGGCCATCATTCTATGTAATTTATTATTATAAACTATGTTTATCTTGTTTTGAGCAAGTGGAAAAAAGTGTAGGGGACTAGGCGCGCCCTTCGTAGGAAACCCAGTTGGATAGCTTCTTGTTGCTCCAAATAATGAACACCAGACGCCTAGAAGGTGTCGCAGGCTTTATTCACCCGGTTTAATTGGAACCTTAATATGGTATCCCCTTCATAGATTAATTCTCACTACTTCAGTCTCAGCTGCCATTGGATGTTGTCACTAGAATGAGGTCCAGCAGTGGTTATTATTGTGCTGGAATTGGTGGTGCTGGAGTCACGCTGCTGTTGGCTCATTAGGCGCCAGACTGGGATCACGTTCCCTGCAGGTGTGATGTCAATTGCCAGGCCTCAATAAACTCTGATCGTCCACCGGCGAGATGGAGAGCGACATAATATATTGCCTCAGGTCGTCACTTTTTTCTCATCTGGGCTAACTTGTCGTCGCGATGGCCAAATCTTACGACCACCAGCCGTTGGAAAGTCACTCCTCGATTCGTGTTCTGTCTGTCGCGCCTGCGCGTCTTCCCGATGCTCAGATCGAGTGCCATGTCCGTCACATCGATCTCAAGAAAACCCGAAGACGGCCATCGTACGAGGCACTCTCCTATGTCTGGGGGTCTCCAACAGGGACGATACCGATATTCTGTGATGGCGATGAGCTCCTGGTCACTCCAAACTGCCATGATGCTTTGACACGGCTTCGCCTTCCCCGGCGGAGTCGCACGCTTTGGATCGACGCGATCTGTATTGACCAACGTGAGACTCCTCGAAGCACTCGCGAGAGGATTGAGCAGGTCAAAATGATGGGCGAGATCTACGAAAGTGCAAAACGCGTGCTGGTCTGGCTGGGGCCGTGTGAAGTTCTGGGGTCTAGCACCAAACTGTTCAGTCTGATGAAGGAGTCGGGGAATATCTACAATTGGCAGCGGAAGTCAAAATTGACCTCCCTCGCATTGAAACCTGTTGCGACTCGATTGGAGGGGAAATTTGATGGTATGATTCTCATTTCTGATTTGCAACCAAGCTAACCTCTAGTAGGTGCCAGCGAGAGTCTCGAAGATATCGTCAATCGCTAACACAACTCCTCGAATCACCCTGGTTTACGAGGGCTTGGACCGTCCAAGAGGTCGCATTTTCCAAGCGATGCACAATCTTCTACGGACCACTGGAAATTTCTTGGCGAGCTTTGGCCGACGTCAGCTCCTACTTTTGCAAAGAGATACGAACAAATCATACTGGAAAACTCATGCAAGGCCGTCAGCTAACGAGGTTACTCGTCAAAGCCTACCCGAAAGAAGTGGATGGGCAACTTGATAGCTTTTCCAAAAAATTGACGCTGTCGCTTCACCAAAAAATGCAATCTCAAGACCGCAACTTGTTTGGTCTGATCAGCATGCTATCCACGACTGTGGCCCAGGATCGAATCTATGGCTTATATGCCGTCTTTCGCAGAATGGGCATAAACATACCCGAACCTAACTACTCAAAGAGCGTGGAGGAAATATTCGAGGAAACGGCGATGGCAATCATTTCCGGACGAGAAAATCTCATGATTCTGCTGAGCTGTGTGCGCCCTGAAGGATACACTTTGTTGCCTTCATGGGTCCCTGAATGGACCAAGCCATACCAACTACCATTCGAGTATCCTGATCTGTCTGGGGTTGCGTTTTTCAGATACTCCAAGCCAATCTCGGCCTCTTCGACAAGTAAGACAAGCTTGGCAAACGCTCAAGCTCAGGGAAAGCTGGGCTTGCGCGGTTCGATAATTTGCCGCGTTAAATCTCGTTTCGCTTCTTCTGTAGTTGGTAGTTTGGATGACCATATTGCCAATAATGGCGGATTGGAGATACTCAGAGTGCACCAACAGTACTGCCGAGCTGTTCAAGCCACTTCCCAGTATTCCGACACCGATGGTAGAATTGAAGCAGCTGGACGAACCCTTCTCCGAGCGCATCTATTCAAAGGAGATGAGCTCAAGGCACCACTTGATCCTTCCTTTCGCTACTGGTATGATTTGATGCTCTATCCAGATTGTACCATATACAAGCCGAGCCAAGTGAAGGCGCTTGCAAAGGAGAGTTCCACTGATGCGTCAGAGGTCATAAGAGATTACCTGTTGCATTGTGCCTCTTCTGAAGAGAAGAGTCTTGAGGGACAAGTATGGGAAATGCATGCTCATATTCTTGGGATAGCCAATTACGGATTGCTCATTTTTGACTCTGGCCACCTGGGCCTTGCTTTCCATAACTGCAGGGAACAAGATGTCGTCGCACTCCTGGCTGGTTCATACCTCCCCGTTATCTTAAGAGAGAGCGGAGATGGTGGCTATCGCTTCGTCGCTCCCGCCTATGTGCATGGGATGATGGGTGGAGAAGGGTGGCCAGAAGATGAATCCTCGCTAATAGATATTACATTAATATAAAATGCTGAGATATCACCACCTTAAGCAATTGCTATAAGTTGCTATAAGTTTGAGATTGCTTATTTCTTGACTTATCGGGCATAACCCTTTCCTCACACACCCAAGTTAATTTGTTCAACATTAGCATTTTTGTACCAATCTGAGTGTTCAGTGTAGTTTTTGTTTCTGGGTAGCTGAAAACTGACTAACATTTACTTCAGTCCAGAGCTCCCTTGAATCGTAAGAGAACACAGCTAGAATTTTCTCCTGGACTCGTCTGACGCTTTCAGCACCACTTGAATTACTCCCAAGAATTCTTCTATGAGTAGCCGCCTGGGTCTTGAGGCTGTATTTTTCAATGCTCTCCTCATCATCTCATGTAGCAAAATGACCCCAATGCTCTCTCGCCATAAGTGGCATCTCGGAGATGCTGATTCGACTCAGCCGACCCCTGGCAAAATCAGGCAGGAACCAGACTTCAGGCCGAGTTTCCCATCAAAGCAGTGCCTCGTAGAGAAATGCGGTATTCTTGGGCAAGATAATTGGCGCCAACAAGGGGGAAATAGTAAAAATGGCCTTGATCTTGTGGTTAAAAATCACCTGAATAGGCTAGACGAACACCTGACGCCTTATTTCAGTAAGTACCGCGGCGCACTGACCTGAGAACAGGCTTAAAGGCTGACAGAAGACCCAAATGTAGAGTCCAAGGGGCCTAATAAGCTTGGCCTTTACGGGGGTGAGGCGGGTTCGCTAAGCCCCAGATTATGGTAAAGGACCAAGATAGATACGCGAGCGATGCAACGCCACAACTCTCCACCACGAGGCTCGCGGAGGTCTATTCTCGGTACACGTCTGGAGGGAGGCATGGCCTCATACCAAGTATAAAACTATCAAGTGCAGCTGTGTAATGGAAACCTTCCTTTATCAGCATCACCAGCATCAAGCATCTGTCCTCAACTTCAACAACATTCTTTCCTGTTAATCAATTACTATCAACCGAACCATTCAGCATATTCTTTGACCCATTCTTTCAGTCAGCACACATTAATTATTCGACCATTGTATTTTACTATCAACATGTCTTTCTCCAAGATCATCGCTTTGGCCTCTCTCCTGTCCGTCATGGGCCCAGTCTCAGCAGCACCCACCGACATCATCAAGCCAGGCCCCGATGGAAGTCGAATTGGTCCCTTCCAAATCTACAACCTTTACCCTCTGGAACCTGAGCGTTCCGAGGCGCCTATCCAGGCAATTCATGTCGAGACATACCGGGGACAGTCCATCCGAGAACAAGTTGTCGTCTTCAAAGGCATCCCGCCTGAGGCCCGGCTGTGCCAACTGAAATGGGCCCAGGCCCCGACCCCCAACCAGGTGTTCATCGCGAAATATGGCTCAAACACCGAGCCGGGAATCTCAACCCGCCAGCTCTCAGGCTTCCCTGCCGAGGGTGTTGCGCCATCGTACGCCTCCGTCCAGCCTTTTGACACCAAGGCGCCAGAGACTTCTCCAACCATCAATTTTGAGAACTGGGATACTCCGGGCTCTTCTGGCACCCGCGAGGGCGGTGACATGGTTTGCGCCGAGACTATTTATCTTAAGCTGGCGTTTAAGAACACCACTGCTGATATGCATGCTTATATGGCCCAGGATTACGGCAACGGCCTTCGCATGTACTACAAGTGATTAAGTGTCTTATACGGCTTAGTCAAATGAAGAAGAAGGAGTCTTTGCTGTAACCATCATGCGAGACTTCCTAGAGATGGAGCGGTTGCTTAATTGATTTCTGCCCGCTTTGGCCTACATTCTTTTCTCTTTACTTTCCTTATTTCTTTGTTTCTTTGTTGAAGCACATTCATGCATTTTGATTTTGTTTTACATACTAGAGGCATTGGTTAGTTGTCACTTTTAGGTTTACATTATAGATAGATTTCATATGATTGTTTATATCCAGTTGAGTTCAGTATAATGTGAGGACTCGTGCATGAGATGATCTCAGATAAAATTTAACGATTGGCATTGCAGAATTTGCCTATTTAGTCGAATCGTTAAGGATTATCTACTACTTGTAGGTATAGACCTGTTTTAAGAAATTCAAAACGAACCAAAACTGCTTGACTTCTTGAGTTTTCCATTAAGCCCTCCAATACCAGAGCCTCAGACTTTCTTTACATGAGTAGCTATAGAATTATCTATCTTCACCTTTCTCTTTATCTTCTGTGGGAGAGATTCGACGACTGCTGAATAAATTTATTATTAAGAATAGTTCTAGTGATTAAAAAGAAATATTTAGAAAAGAAAAGAAGACTTCCCGAGTTCTAGAATGCAGGTAGACGCCCTCAAGTTGCATCATAGAACCTTGACGACATATGTGCCTCAAAAAATCAACCAAGTATGCTTAGGACCTCGTTGAGGATGTTGCCCACATCACCGAGAAGGTTTTGCAGCTCGTTATCGCCCTCAGGGTTAAATGTATCAGTTTCCGGGTTCTCGATGCCAGCTGGATCCTCGCAGAGTAGGCCCTGGCTGATAATCTTGATTGTACAGCACTTGGGGTACGATCCGGTTTTGGCGCAGGTGGCTTGGAACTCTTCGCCGCTCAGTGTAGGATAAGGCGCAGCTATATGAGCAACTTGTCAGTCATCTCGAGGAAGACTAATCTGAATATTAAAGGGGGAAAGGCTATCAAACTTACGGGTGTGGCAGTCGAAATTGATGACATTCTCCAGCCCAGCATTGCAGCACAGGGCGTGGTTCTTAAGGTCATTCGGGCAGGGGTCGTACGACTGCCCAAAGGCTCCGACAGCGAGAGTCGCAATAACAAAGAAAGATCTCATCTTGCCGAACGATTGTTAGAAATGTTATGCTTAAGGAGTGATGTGAATTGCAGTGGAGTTGAATGAATATCTTGTGATGAGTGATGAGTGCCGGATTATGGCAGGGTTATGGGTTGCTTTTATAGACGCCCTCTTACCACAATCTCGACCAGTGATGCTTAAATTTGTATGCAGTACTGTTATTCTGACCTAAACGGTAAGTGTAGCTGCTCCATTTCTCTTTCGTCTGGAGGAATGACGGAAACGTAGAAAAGTTGGTTGAGTGGAACGCTCAGAAGCAAGAATTCGGATATTACGACTGATTCCATACCTCACAGTCCATTTCGGCTCTTCTTTTAATCTGTGTCTCAGATGAGAGCCCAGTTCCTTGGAACAATCATTTATGAAGTCCATATAGCACAATGGCCAACGTCAGAGACAGATCTCCAGTTGGATGAGAGGCGAACCATGCAGTTGGTCCCTTGACATGTCATGCACTCTCCATCTTAAACATAAATCTGAGACATTGAGGCCGGTAAGAGCGTTTGTGCCGCGACTTACCCAGGCAGACCAAGTTCTTGGAATGTACTCCAGCACTCATTAATTTACCAATGTACTGGCATGCCAGAGTAATGGATCGAGAAATGTCCTTGCTATTTTAATGATATATGTTGTTCTGGAGCTTGGTAGGACTTGCTATAGCTATGTTTCTGTTCGCTGATATGATCAAATTGATGCATAGTTCCAGGGCACTTAATCAAGCTCCCGCATTGAGTTCTTGCGAAGTTTTCACCCTGGTTGTGCGAAGGACACATTACTGAGAGCCGAAATACCGGGGGCATGGTAATGTCTTAATTGGATCTGAACACAAATATTTGTTGTCGGATGCTGGAGAAGAAGTCGGGTTGACTAGCGGGAGTAATGGCGGAGAGGAATGAAAATCACTTCTATCCGCGGAACTGTCTCAGTCATCGCGAAGAAACGGTAAATCCCGAATTATGACTCGAGTGTTCACTGATGTCCGTCTCTGAAATACCTCTCTGTGCTGGAAGGTGAGTGCCGAGATACGCCTTTTTACCAAGGACGGTATTCTCGCCCTTGACATCATTTCACTGTGGCGTTATGTCTATCAGGAGCTTTGGTATGGAGAATTCTCTTTTGTGCCCCCTTCGCTGTATCAGTTTTTTGTCGTCTCGGAATACTAGATCAGTGTTAAGAATATCTTGTTGGTCAGGATCGACATGTTGACATGTACTGAGAATACCGCAGATACAACTGGGCCTGCGTTCGCCAGGATGGAAATAACAGCCTGATTGGATGATGATCGAGCGAAAAGAGTCCGCTGGATCAATAGACCGCGACCACAACGAAATTGTATCAATTGTATCGTGGACCAGGGCAGACACGGCATAGGCTCAACATCTGAACTGTGAGCGACGCCCCGCGGCGCGAACGACAGCCTCGAGAGTTTACTGCTCTTGCCGGCAATTTAGTAACTGTTAGTAGGACATGATGGCTGTTGGCGCTCTAGGTTATACTACCCAGGTATACGGTGAAAGAAGAAGATACTGTAGATGACAGCATCGGCTATGATTATTTCTGACCCTCCTTGCACATACTTAAACCACGACACTGTTAAGAATGACTATCAGGGCCTATCGTGGAGTCAAATTCAACATTGTTGACAGCACGTGAATAATGGAACACCTCAACTTTCAAGGACCTTTTACATTATACAAAAGTGTACTGACTTACCTATAAAGGCAGGTCGCATAAAAACTGGCGCTATTGCGCGATAGCTCATGCGGCAAAAGTACCCATGATTAATTATTTATAAGAGCTGCTTCCGTCATTAAAGAGTTTCTGGTGAACTCAGTCGATGCAACTCCGCTAACGCCAGTCACATTGAACCACACAAGATGGCCCCAGCCAGTATTGTTTTGTATGATATCCCTACCAAGGACCCCCAACGCTGCTGGTCCTTCAACCTCTGGAAGACACGGTTGCTTCTTAACTTCAAGGGTCTTGACTATAAAACGCAATGGGTAAATTTGCCTGCTGTCTGAGATGAGCCTAATGGATGTACTGATTGGCGTGACATAGGTCGAATATTCTGACATCCGCCCATTGTTAGAGAAGCAGTGAGTTTATTCTTCTGGTCCCTTCTTATGAATACCTAAATGTAGAGAAATCTTTGATCCATCTGCGAACTTTGAATAGTATAGTTAGGGTCGTTGGGTAGCAGCTAATGACCGTTGTTGTATAGTCTCCCAGGGGAGGAGGAGTACACCCTCCCCAGCGTTCATCTTCTTCAAGATGATACATACATAATGGACTCGCTTAAAATTGCTCGCCATATTGAGTCTATTCATCCTGAACCTCCACTTTACCTTGACTCTCCCCTCATTGGCCAGCTGTGGCAGCACCTACGAGGAGTACTTATTGCCATCCAACCTATCCATATTCACCTCATAGCGACACGTTTGCTCTCAGAGAAGAGTACCCCGTATTTCTTTGAGACCCGGAAAAAGGACATCGGAAAGTCTACAGCTGAATGGTACCATCAACATGAAGGAACTGCATGGGAAAAATCCACACCACACTTCTCCGCGATCACCGCCCTCCTGAAAGAGACGGATGGCCCATTCTTCATGGGCGGGGTTGTATCGTATGTTGACTTTATATGGGCGGCCGTGCTTCTATTCTTTCAGACGCTTGGAGACGACGTGTTCACCAATGTGCTGAAGGCAAGCGGGGATGACGGTGAAAGTTTCACGGTGCTGCTGGAAGCGGTCCAGCCTTGGTCTGCAAGGAACGACTTTTAGAAACATCAGATATCAAAGTGCGCTTTCACAGATAATTAGGCCGGTCTCCAATAAGCCTGGAACATTCTAAATTGTAGTTCATTGCACTCTGAGATCTTAGCGCATATTGGATTGACAACTGTGTGCATGACACAATTAAATTTTTGAAGGATTTGGCAATATTAGGCAGCAAGAGATCTCCGCCGTACCGCACAGGGCTCACAAAAATGCTCTAGTCTGCACATGCTTCTTCTGGTTTTAATGACTGTAGTCCGAGGTATTGTTTCTAATTAGGGAACTAGTTAAAATGGATCTCTTGGATAAGAGAAGATAGCTAATATTATCTTATAAGAAGAGCTGAATTTCCTTGGTAAGCTCAAAGAAAAACCCAAATTATCTATTCTCAATATAATTAACTTGTCTATGGCTTCACAGGGGACAGGTGGGCCTGTGCGAGATTGGTGAAGAAGGACGCTCCGAGGACTTTTGTAGGCGTGGCAGGGTCAGTTGCGTTGCAAATGGAAGCAAAGTTGCCATTCGCTTCAAGCTTCTCGGCGAGGTGCTTGGCATACGTGGAGACTTTGCAAGACTTGCCAGGTCCATCTTGACAAGAGGGCACCGGATAGACGGCGTCATTGATCCTAATACGAACATATGTCTCGTTTGCAGCGCTGTTGCGTTGATGTAGCTGGGCGGTATGCGCCGACGACCTTGGTCTGCAAGAGGCGGTTGGAGTTGGTGTGGTGGAATTGGGCGAGGAAGATTGGCCGCGGCAGTTCAAGCGCTCAAATGCAATCGTGCCTCTCATTGGAGAGATGTAAGAGCTTCTCCAAAGACGGTCCTCCGGAATATGATCAAGAGGCAGTGATTTCTGCTCATCAAACACGCCTGTCGCCACAGCCAACTCATTCAGCTGTCCATCATTGAGGAAGCTCATCAGAAGCTTGGGCACCGCGAACGCTTTGCCATCAAATCCTGTGCCCTTTGCATCTGGACCGGAGGTGAATCGTTGGATGAGGGTATCCAGAAAGGGGACCATCATTTTAGACGCAACGTCCGCAGCGGGTCCCACACCATAGTAATATCGTAGGTCTTGCTGGTACTCGTATTGCGAGAGCTCTTCTTGTGTGAACGTATCGCAGAATGGTGATAGTCTTCCTGTGATTTGCGACTCAAAGCCACAGACATAAGGAAAGTCGGCCCAGGTCGAATCGTCCAGCTCGAGAGTACCGTCAATATACTGAGAGAGGCGAGCTTTGAATGCAGGTAGCCAATGCCCGCGCCAAGTGGTCTGCTGCGCGTCGCTGCTGTCCACGAAAGAAGGGCACATATCGGACGGCGCCAGAGTGTCTCCAAGGTGAGCAGGCATGTTCTTTCCCGTTACGGAAACCACTGTTCCGAGTGATGAGTTGGTCCCAAGGTACCCGTGCAAGAAAAGCTGTGCTGTTTGGAGAACGCGGGTGTAGTTGTTGGCCCAGACATAGAAGGGTTCACCTTCCTGGTAGAGATCTGGATATCTAAGAACAATCAGTAAATTCGGGTCTTCTATAGGTGGTAGAATCCATTTTATTTTCACCTCATCCTCAGAGTATACCCCATGTCGAAAAGCTCCTTATATCCAGTTTTGCTGACCTGTGCAATCTGGATACTCGGATTCGTCAGAGGGGTCTCCCATTTATGGAAGAACGACAACGGCCCAGTAGCCGTGTAATTGCTCTCCTTGAACTAGTCGTTCAAATTGATTAGATCAAGACCGTTAGCAGCATAGTTCCGGTAGGTTGTACGCACTTGCTTTGCCATCTTTACCCAGCCAGAGTAAGCACCACTATCCGGATAGCGAGAACCATGTCGTGATACGTACGCCGCTTGGTCCACGTAACAGTTGTCTGGAACATCACTCGAGATGCCAAACACATTGGGACCTTTCTCTTCGATTAGCCTCTCAAGCAGCCGCCTTGCAATAAACCTGAACCTACCTGCACTCCAAGGCCCATTGGCACCCAGGTGACCAAGAGGGTTCTTCGCCAATGCAGCGTCTGGGAGGAGCACCGCCTGGATAGGATCAAGCAGAGTTCCTGAACCAGCGGCAATCGCGATGGTCACCAACGGAACAACGCCCAATACTGTGGTTTTCAAAGACATGACGAATGATTGTTCCGAGGAAGTTGAATGGGTGTTGGACATTCACTGTGTTCTTTGTGACGCACCGATTATTCATATATCATTACTTGGACAGAAGTCGCTGAAAAGTGTCATTTCGCTAACCCACATCGTTTGCGCGTCCACCGTCCAAAACGTGCCTGTCGAAGCGGTGCTGTAACCCCCCGTGCCGCATTTGGTAGGTGAAGAACAGGTTTTCAGCGTCCATCACCAACACGTGAGCTCATGACGGCCACTGATTTGAGGTTGCATCCAATGTTAGGTTCGTTGACAGCGTCGGCCCCACAGCGCAAAATGGGAAATAATCTCCTGGTTGACATTCCACTAGAGATGGCCAACTCTGGGCCTCTTGTTGTGTCTTTGGCCCAGTATTGTGGATTGACAATGATATCATCTTGATAGGATGTAGGAACTCGATGTCGGCGGCTTCAAATCATCATCTAATGACCAAGGGCGGTACTGTTGTCTCACTTCATCGAACTAGACGTCTAAATCTTCTATTAATTCTACTTGACTGGAGAGAACTCGTTGTTTTAACGGTGCCGATCAATGTACTCAATCTGGCCGGGGTTTATTAGGCCTGAACATTGCCTTTCTTGTCCTCGACCCATCGTTTTCTTAAAATATGTGCAGCCATCTTTGGACGCCTGTCTCTAGTAAAGACTCCCTTTTTGTTTCCATCCACTCGGAAAATGAAGCTAGATGGCGTTTGGAAGTCGGCGAAATTCCAGACCTGCTCCCCAATAACACTCTCGACTCTGTCAAAGACGCGATGGCTCATCTCCAGAACTCGAGCTTGATACTCCTCGCTCCAAGGCACGTCGCCAACAGTGTGCAAGCCAGCAAGAGTATCTGCGCCGTACTCGGAAATTAGAATCGGCTTTTTGTATTTGTCTTCCCATTCACGGAGCTCCTCTTCCAATCCTTGCTCCGCTGCTTCCAAGTCCCCGGTGTGCAGATACCACCCGTAGTACCGATTCAGGAATATCATGTCGAATAGATCCGTGATCAAATCCTTTTCAGCGCTGGCCTGTTTCTCGTTGGCAAATCCCACTGGCCGTGTGGGGTCCAATTCCCGAGTGAGCTTCACTAACGGCTCAAAGTATTCTCTTGCTCCAGGCTCGGCGGATGCGGGCTCGTTCGCAATGCACCAAGAAACCACGGACGGATGGTTCTTGTCACGAGCTACCAGCTCTCTGATAGCCTGGGTATGTACTTCTCTGGTCTTCTCCGAGGCAGTCTCGGGAGAAAATGTTGGCAAGGCCTTCCATCCAGCTAGACCCGCGACAAGTGTCAGGTTGAGCCCTACAGCCGCCGTTTCGTTGATGACAACAATGCCATGTCGATCTGCGTACTCAAGCACTTCTTCCGCATAGGGATAATGGGAACATCTGAAAGAGTTTGCGCCCATCCACTTCATGAGCTCAAAGTCGTGGATCATGTAGGCAGGGTCGAAACCTTTGGCTCGGATTGGGGTATCTTCGTGCTTCCCAAACCCTGTGAAATAGAACGGTTTCCCATTAATCAGGAACTTGTTGCCGGAGACTTCCACGGACCTCACTCCGAACGGAAGATCATATGTATCGAGAACGTCCCCGTCAGCCTTGGCGGTGATATTGACCCGGAGCTTGTACAAATATGCTGAACCAGGCTGCCACAGATGTACGGAATTGATGGTGACACTTCCCTCTGCCTGAGATCCTTGGTGCACAACATGGGCATCCTCGTCAATTATTTGAACGAGGAATTCTGCTTCCTTGAGGTCTGAGTTGGATTCAACTTTGAAGTTTACTGTTCCGGATTTTCCTCCATCCGCAAGTTGGGTTGTAACCGTCAAGTCTTTGATGAAGACTTCGGGAACAGAGTACAGCCACACTGAACGGGCTAATCCTGCGTAGTTGAAGAAATCATGTTGGTAGTGCTGCTTCCGTCGACCATTCTTGAGAACCTCGATCCTGCCAGGTGGTATTGTCTGCCAGCTCAACTCGTTGTTTACAGCGACGGTCAAGCGGCATGAGTGACCAGGCTTGACGAGCTGGCTAATATCGACCTCGAATGGTGTGTAGCCTCCATTGTGCTCAGCAACAAACTGGTCGTCGATGTATATACGCCCCTGATGAGTAGCTGCGTCAAGCCGGATAAAATATCGTCGCTTTGTCCAGGAAGCAGGCACAGTTATTTCCCTCTGATAGTATGCCCAGCCGACATGATCCCGGATCTTTGAGTCAACGAAGATATCATTGTAGCTGGCTGGGACAGGCACTTGCAGCGCTGAGGAAATGTTCCTTTTCCATACTTGCTCGCTTTCAATACCATTGGCAGACTTTTCCAGTTCAAAGTTCCATATCCCATCCAAGGAGACGAGTTCGCGTATAGCGTTGGCCTGTGGTTTGAGCATCTTTGTGTGAGGGAAATCCCGGAATCTGGTCGAGCAATCCGACTAGACAACGGAAGAATAACCAACGAATTATATTACATTATTCAATACAAATGTCATCGTCATGAGCCATTTGATCAACTTGCCTCCAGCGTCCAGGGTCGCCACACGAGGTGGGTACACGGAAACCGGCGTCGGTGTCGGAAGTCTAGCCCGCAATGTCGCCTTACTGGTGTGAGTGTACGTATCCAAAGTCAAGGACCACTTCATTCTAATCATTATCTACCTAGTAAAGTAATACCGGAAATTCTGAAACCCCTGCCCCGGTCATTGAATACGTGCCCACCAACCATGTGACTTTGTCGACAAGGCTCTTTCCGGCTGGCCTTGGGTATCCCCAAAGCAGAGATACCTACGGAAAGGAACAATTCCTTCGCCATTCAAATCGGTGTCACTACTAGCAACTTCAAATCAAGGCATGATTCGTTTTGTGGGATGTTCTATAGTTTCATTCGTGATTTTTATTTTGTGCTCGAGCTCGTATCCGTAGAATGGTCTAGAGCATCATTGCTAGCCTTCTTACTCGAGAGGTGAGGCACTAGGCAAGTGGTAGGATCTGCTTCTATGATTCATGGGGTAAAGTGAAATGTTAGAATCATATAGGAAGATTCTGGGCTTCCATATCAAGCCTGTGTTATACTGAAAGCAAATGAACCCATCATATCACATGATTCTTCCGAACAGCGGACCCAAGTCATCATTCAACCTAGAACAAGATAGCTACTTGAGCGCTGACCAAGCCGATCGTACAATTTGGGTACCCAAGAGAATCTCGAACCTAAAAAGGAAATATATTCTCCCCGGTAGTTGCTCCTCCTTCCGTCTTGCAACCTACTGGTTGACTATCGATGTTAGAAAGCTGAAGGGATGTGTCATGCTGTTGGTTTGATTGCGTCTCGATCTGCCCGCCACGAGTCATTAAGGGATCGCGGCATCAAACTCCACCTACGTATACCGTAGATTAGCAAGAGAATCTCCATTGAATAACCGAGATGTGGACTGACCTATCTGCAAATATTGGCAAACTCTGTTCAGCATTGGCTTGAATGGCTTCCTCCGACTGGTTCGGGCTGGGGGCCAGTCGGCCGGTACCTTTCCCGACTCCGGCCACGCTAGATGGAGACAGCTTAGCCGTTTTCCACCCATGAATTGCCTCGTAAGATCTCCCACACATGGCGAGCATGTGGAGAGGAAACCCGGTAATGAGCACGTCCAGAACATGTTGGACAACCCAGTAACTCCCCCAGCTCTCTCCACGCCGAACTTGAGCCGTCTCCACGTCCCCAAGTTGTGGGACAGACTTGCGGGGAGGAGAAACGAGCCGAGTCACACGCGCCTTGAAGCTGAGAAAAAAGCCGGGATTGTGTGAACTGCAGAAGGAACTCGACAGCCGCGATCGATCCCCACTCCCTCTCCTCCCATGACATTCAGTATATAAGACTCCCCCTTGCTCGTCATCCTAGCATCATATCCTCTTCAGCAAGTTCCAAGCGGCTCTTTACTCATAGAAAACTCTTCTCTACTGTTCAACGACATGACCAATCCACGCCCTGGCTCTCGCGACGTAGAGTCACCTTCTCTGGGCCCGAAGGTGGCTAAAGAGGATGTGACGCAGGTTGAGACTCTGGACGAAAAGGCCACTGAGCACTCACCTGTCATCTCCGACTTCGCAACTTGGGATCGAGCAAGATGCATGAAAACCTTCTGGCGACTCTACTTGACAGGAGTTTGTGTATCTCTTTGCGGAATGTGAGTATCTCCTAAGCTGAACTGGATGCATAATGGCAGCTTCGTTAACATCAACCGCTCGCTTAGGTACGCGGGTTATGCAAACTCTGTCATCGGTAGCATTGTGGCCAACAAAGGCTTCATCGAACAATTCGCAACAGCCAAAGATCCCGTGACTGGGCAGAAAGCTCTCGAGCCTAACCACATCTCGCTCTGGGCTGCTGGATATTTCATTACAACTATCGCAATTCAAGTAGTTGCCCCGAATACCGCTGACCGGTTTGGTCGTAAATTCAACATGTGGGCCGTCACGTTCTTCCTCACAACTGTATGTTTGTGCCCGTAGTTGATTTTCACAGCCGCTTTTTCTATTGTGTTAACTGACCACTCGAATTGCTTTGCAGTCGATCATCATTCAAGTCTTCGCTCCAAACTGGTGGGTGTTGTTGATTGCACGCCTGGTCGCCGGATGCGCTGGTGGCATGATGGGAACTTCAGTCATGGTGTACCTGTCCGAGGTCGCAATGCCCCAATTCCGTGGCGCTCTGCTCGGCAGTTTCTCGCTCGCTTTCGCCCTTGGTCAAGTGTTTCTGGCCATCGCCCTGAAGATTCTCGAGGTCACCTCGCCTTTGGCTTTCCGCAACGCCTTCTACTCCGAATTCGTCTTCACAGGTCTGTGGCTTATTCCCATGCTGTATCTTCCCGAATCCCCAGGTAAGTGTCACCCAGTTCGACTGCTAAGATAGATCTATGTTCTAACAAATTGTTAGCATGGTACGCGGCCAAAGGAAGGCACGAAGAAGGTAAAAAGGCCCTTCGAAAGCTCGTCGGAAATGTCGAAGGGTACAGGCTCGACAACGAGTATGCCGTCATCCAGCAAGAGGTAGAGGAGTCACAGGCTCGGGCCAAGGCTCTCGGTACTTCCGACTGGAAAGCTGTTGTCTGCAACAGAAACAATCTCAAACGCGCAGTCATTTCCAGCTTGCCCTTTACTTTCCAGAACATCGTTGGTGTCCCGTTGATGTTTGGCTATACCACATACTTCTTCCAGCTGGCAGGTGTCTCCGACCCTTTTCTGGGCAACATGGTTAAGCAGATGGTTCTCGTCGTGGGCATCATTATAGGATTCTACACCATTGACAAGGTCGGCCGAAGGACGCTTGTTATCGGCGGCGGCGCTATGATGGCCGTTCTCAGCGCAATCGTTGGTGGACTTGGGTTTATTAAACAGAACTCAGCGTCTGGTGCGGCCCTCGTTGCGCTTTGCTCAATCTGGGCCTTCGTGTACGCAAACTCACTTGCGCCAATTGGTATGAACTTTCTACTTCGTGACCCGTCGAGCTATGCTTCTGAACAGTGGTGATCTAATCTACATACAGGTTGGATCAGTCTCGTCGAAATCTCAAGCCCCCAGCTCCGGGCTAAGACAACATCCCTTGCTGTTACAATTCAATATCTCACTGGAATCGTCTTTGTAAGTGCAGTTTCGTTCAGACTCCTACCCGAGCCTTGGCTGACCATTTCTCGCCTCTAGAATTACTGCGTACCACTGATGTTGTCCAATCAATATGCTGGCTGGGGCCAGAAGACTGGCTTGTTTTTCGCCGGTCTTACTGTGATCTATCTGATTCCCGTTATATTCTGGTTCCCAGAGACCAAGGGCCGTACTTACGCCGAGTTGGATGAGCTATTTGAGAGGCGTGTTCCTGCCTGGAGATTCGCCTCGACAAAGACTGCTCACCAGGCAGAAGTTGAAGCTAAAGCCCAAGAGGAGAAGTAAGTGTCGACGTCTATACGGGAGGATATTTGGATAGTTCAAGGAACTATGTACCATATCTTCTCGCCGGATTGGCTCGAGACAAGCCCCGCAAACAGCTGGCAAAGAAGATAGCACTCCAAGATTGAGGACTTAGAGTTCTAGCATAATGTTCAAAACAATCAACACATTAATCAATAAGTATCAAGAGATGGCAAAATATAAATTTCCTTCAACAAGCTGTGTATATTTATAATGGAGAAAAGAAGATAGATGGAGGAAGTCTTCAGATAGTGCAACATGCCCATTATGAGTCTAAACTTCTGATGAGCGGAAGAAGAATTTAGTACCCGATTTCCCACAATATCGATATGATTGGCCAGCTAACATGTCCTGACAAGGAAATCCTATTGGTTCCTGATGCCCTCAGGGCAATTGAAATCAAAGCTTTGGCTCGTAATCCTTAGATTTGTGAGAGGCCTCTCTGCCCTCCTTGGCAAGCTGCCAATACTTTTCATATAAATCTACATGGATGTGCGGAGGGACAAATCCGGGGGACCAAGTCCCCCCAAAACCCACTGACCCCGTGGGGAAGTTTCATCACGTATCATTAGTACCCTGGCTCTAGGCGTCCTGATGACAGAAAATTCTAGTCACAGGGATGATGGCGTCGGCTCGAGGAGTCTTGGATATGACTGGAGTCAAGCGCTAATCGGCTACTATCGTAAGTTGGAGATTTCGGAGGCTATAAACTGGGGTGGGAACTGTCAGAGACAATATTTGTTAAGCCCTTACGAAGTACATGAATGTAGGTCGCCATGCGGGGAAAGGCACAGATAGGCTAAAGACTGACTTTGGGTAGCACTGTTCTATGGAGGGCTTTTGATCATGTTGGACACGTAATTAGGTTAATTTTGCGGATTTGTGGCAATGGCTCCGCCTTTGCTTCGGCTATCTCAATAATAGAACAGATTCTCCTGCTCTCGGTGAGAATTAGAACTAGAGCGTCAGAACTTGACCTTCATCAAGCTAGAAACTCTCATGTAACAACCTGTCTGTGTAGAACGAAGGAGCCCATTTCAACTCTATCCTGTGTGAGTTTTTTATTTAGTTGAGTAGGGGTGTTATGTAAAGATAGAACTGGTTAAGAAGCTTGAGAGGATTGTAACGAAACTTCTCCCTACGACTATACACTTGAAATCATGTGTTTCCTCATGATGAATTCTACTCTTGGGCTTTTGTAGTTGATGGATTGAATTAGGTATGTCAAGTCCTAAATGCTTGCGCCTAACTCTTAGTAGATGGACTCCTGTACTGGGCTTTGACTCCCCCAAAAGTCGGACCACTTGAACATCTTCGCCTTCTTGCGGAATTGGCCAATTCCATGTTCACCCTCAGAGCCAGGAACCATCATATTTTCAAAAGTCTTCTGAATCAGGCGCGCTTGAGTCTCACTCTCAGGATGATCCCAGGCAACCCTTGTTAACTCCTTGTTAATGGCGGCAGAGCGAGGCGCGCATTTCTCCAGCTGGTCCAGATAGCTGTCGACTAGAGATGGAAGAGGTGTCTCCTTGCTGCTGATTCGGTGAATGGTGCCTACCCGGTGCAACTCTTCAGGGGCGAACTCTCTTCCAGACATCATGCCTTCCCTTGCCATAGATGGCCCCCATTCCCTCACAAGGTACTTGGATATAACAGCTGGGCTCACGCCTATCTTGACTTCGCTCAACGTCCAACGAGCTCGTGGTGACACGAGGCGAACATCGCATGCAAAAGTTAGCCCAACGCCACCACCGTAACAAGGCCCATCCACGACAGCGATTGTGGTCTGAGGGACATGATCAAGAGCATCGTACAGAGCTACCACTTTCGAGTAGTAGCTTGACTCGCCAGAGTTGGCTGTCTCTGTCTTGCCGCTCAAATCCATGCCTGTGCAGAAATATCTACCTTCTGACTCAAGGATTACATGGTAAATCGATGGCTCCAGGTGAAGGTTCTTGAATAGCGTAGTCAGCCCTTCTAGCATGGAATCTGTCAGGGCATTACCGTTCTTCGAGGAGGTCAGGGTGACCTTCATAATAGACCCAGAACGAGAAACGCGGTACTCTCCAGTATCTTCAACCACCTGCCAAGATCTCTCTGAATTTAAAGGTTCGGTTGGTGTCGATTTTGATTTTTGAACGGATGGTTTCTTAGAAGATATGGCCATACCAGCCCTACTTCCGTAAGAGATGCCGATCTCATTGGATATCCACTGGCCAATGCTGCAGAGTTTTTCAAGATCTACACCAGTGCTAATACCGGAGTTCTCAAGTGTGTAAATGACATCTTCAGTGGCTACATTGCCTCGGGCGCCTGGCGCATAGGGACAGCCACCCAGGCCGGCAACGCTGCTATCGAACTTCCTGATGCCTAAATCGTAGGCATGGACGATGTTGGCAACGCCCTGGCCATATGTATCGTGAAAATGTCCAGCAAGTTTGTTCGCCGGAATCTCTGTCAATAGTGTCTCAAGCAGATCTTGAACCTTCTTTGGAGTACCAACACCCAGCGTATCTCCGAGCCCGACCTCATAGCATCCCATATCTAACAGTCTGCGCACTACTGGCAACACAGCTTCGGGCGGCGTGGGGCCAGAGAATGAATCTGAAAAGATACAAGATACAGCACTTGAGTGGAAACGTTATTAACAATTGATCCCAAGTATTCATAGGGCAATTAAGGGAGAGGCCATCTTAAACATTAACCCGCGAACTCGCATTCCAAGTTGGAGAGCCTCTTTTGTAACCGCTTCACAGTGATGAAGAGCTTGGTCGAGGGTACAGTTCTGATTGGCCCTGCTGAAAGCTTCAGTTATAGATGCGAAAACAACAATCTCCTTTGCGCCTGCCGCATGGGCGTTCTGTAACCCTTTGTGGTTCGGAGCCAGCACGGGGTAGTTGAGCTGACGAGATTGGTATTCGTGGTCGGGATTCTCCAGATTTGTTTCATCACCAAAGAACCATCTGCAAGCTGAGGAACCCATTTTGGCGATACAAAAGATGTGGCCTCGATATTCACCAACCCCGTATCGGCAAGCCGGCGGATCAGCTCGATTTTGGTGGCGGTAGGGATGGTAGTTTTGATGTTTTGGAGTCCGTCCCGCGGGCCTACCTCGACGATTTCAACATCCCTACTGCTGTTCAAACTAGAGTAAAGCCTGGCAGGAAGACGTGAAGACGAGACAGCACTGAGACGGCAGCCTCTCAGCGCTGGGGTCCTAAAAGAACTGACAGGCGAGAGCAGGCGGGAACGGATAGCAATGATGGCCATGATTAATGGCTGATATTCGGATTAGTGGCGATAGATAGTATGACGATGGGCCAGTGAACGTCTGATTCGCCATCAAACTTAACAATAACTCCTCTTTCGCACTGACCATATGAAGTTTTTGGATTACCTAATTCTCAAGATTTGCACGAGTACTCTGCTCGGCAGAGGCTGCTCCGCTGGTCGGATAGTAGCGGTCCATGCAGAACAACGCTATCGTAGGCGTCTTGAGCCGAGATGGGGAGAAGATAACCGAGGCGACTAACCAGCCAACCAAAACGAGCAGCACAATGAGACATCTAAAAACCACGCTCACATGTGACATGTGCTAGATAATTCTAGTTTGACCGCATGGTACATTGATTACAGGTGAAGTTGATGTGGGAGATGTAGCCAACTCCAGGTCGCTGTTCGAAACCGGAGCATAGACAGATGGCTACAGTCCGCTGACAATACTATCAATTCCCTGGCTTTCTCGTCATCTTATTGTCAGTTGGCAAATATTGTTTGTTCCTGATGGCATTGGTCTGTTTATACATATAATGCTCGGGGATAGGGCTAATAGAAACCGCATAGTGTAGACTAAGAGCTGTCATTTCTGTCGTACTCAACTAGAATCTACAGGGAAAACCACCGATACGGCTATCACAGACGCAACTGCTGACTGAATGCAACCCAGGCTGGTGGATGATAGGTTGCAGGTTCCCGAGGCTATGTGTCTCAATAGCCGCCAACAACACAGCCTGTGAGTGACACAACTTTAATCTGCGCTGTATGGGCTGTTTGTGTAGAAAATGTACTAGCAAATTTACAGTACATTCAAGGTACACAAAGATGAAATCCTCACCATGCCAATCACCTCCAAAGTAAAGAGTCACACTACTTGCTAGAGAATCATCGTGTCTTGTTTGTAGGATACAAGAAGCCCATCTTTCCTTGGAGGTTCGGCCCAGGCTTTTTAATTTTATCCACGTATGTATATCCTGAGTTCTTTGCCATTCCAAAATGTCCAAAACCATCCTTCCACTAGCTTCATTGCCACGGGCGTCTCTGACAACATGGTCAACTCGCGCGACCACTGCCTCGTCTAAGGCTTGGAACTATGCGCTCAACAACCAACACCCGAGGCGTATCCACGCCCGCGCAAATGAGTACCTCCCCACCAACCTACCAGAGTGGAATAGTTCTCAGCGCGCCGTGCGGGAGGCTATTGCGAAGATTTGCTCTCAGTACACCGACGAGTACTGGATGGAGAAGGATACAGAGCACAAATTTCCCTGGGAGCTCTACAATGATCTAGCAAAAAACTGCTGGCTTGGTATCTGTCTCCCCGAGGAGTATGGAGGCTCTGGGTTGGGTATCTCCGAGGCGGCTGTTATGTTGCAGACTATCTCGGAATCAGGAGCGTGTATGAATGGAGCTTCCTCTGTACACATGAACATCTTTGGCCTGGAGCCTGTGGCAAAATTTGGGACAAAGGAGCAAAAAGAGCGCTGGCTGGTACCTCTCATCCAAGGAAAGGAGCGGGCATGCTTTGGGGTTACAGAACCTAACACTGGCCTCGATACCCTCAAGTTGCAGTCTATAGCTACCAGAAACGGTGATCACTACCGTGTTAAAGGATCAAAGGTCTTCATCTCCACGGCTCAGGTGGCAGATAAGATCCTCCTTCTCGTTCGAACTGCACCCTTCGACGCCAAGAAGCCCAGTCATGGTCTCTCACTCTTCTATACCGATCTAGACCGCTTCCAGGTTCAGATTACTGAAATCCCCAAGATGGGTCGCTCAGCTGTCGATACCAATACCCTCTTCTTTGAAGACTGGAAGGTGCCAGCTGAGGATCTAGTCGGCCAAGAAGGGGAGGGATTTAAGATGATTATGCACGGGATGAACGCAGAGCGGATTCTCGTTGGAGCAGAGGCTCTAGGCATCGGCTACGCAGCACTACGCCGCACTACTAACTATGTAAATGGTCGAGTTGTTTTTGGCAACCCGATTGGCAAATATCAGGCTATACAGCATCCTCTAGCGGAATGTTGGATGAATCTAGAGAGTGCGCGGCTTATGATTTACCTCGCTGGTCGGATGTACGATGATGGCTATATAGATGGAGAGTATGCAAATGCAGGCAAATTCCTAGCCTCAGAAAGTGCTTTCAAGGCCGCTGAGAGAGCGATAATGTCTCATGGGGGTATGGGCTACGCCAAGGAGTATCATGTTGAGCGCTACCTGCGCGAGGCTACTTTATCCCGGATTGCGCCTGTCAGTGGAGAGATGATTAAAAACTACATTGGACAGAAGGTACTGGGACTCCCCAAGAGTTATTAGGTTTAGAAGGTTTAGAGAATTCCAACAGGCTGTTGGGCTGTATCGAAACTCTGGAACAGTTGGCTGTTAGCTACCACAGACAGTCATACCTATGGAAATGGCCCCGGACAATATACAATGGACTATTTAGGCGTCAAAATCAATAAAATAATACCTTTGGTGTCAGCAGCCTTGCTACTAATATCGTCGCTCATTAATGAAGCTATATTCAAGCACTTGGTGTAACTGATCCTCCTCTAAGCAGGTGTGGGTTTCCTCAAAATTCGTCCTCTAGGGTAATAACCTGCACCACAGTTCCCGGAGCATGAACAGTACTGCCGAAGCTGGTTAAGGGGACCAGAGGAAGGGGTGCTAATGCAGTGGGAGCGTAGTGGTCCAAATTACCATTTGAGATTTAGTGCTAGAGACGGCTGCTTCTTGTGTGTTGTGCAGGGTCCGATCCGGAGCAACTTGGGGAATGCCCGAGGTAAAATGATAATTGGGGCTTCCGGGATTGATACACCGTACACCAATTCCTGTTACTAAGGAAAGGTGGATAGATATGCTGCAGATACTGGATACATTTATCATGAGCATAGATACATGCTGGAACTGCTCTTACAAGTTCATCTTGGAAGCCGAGAACACCCATTAGAACGAATAGATTCAAGTGTCATAGCGAACATCATGTGGCATCGTCTCAGAAGATGTTCTGGCCCGAAAATGGGGCACGCGGAGCCAACTTTATTCAGGAATAAACAATCGTTGATCCAACGTGGATATTCCCTTCGAAAATATTCCCAACCGACAGTACCATCGAATATGGGGGACGTGGAAAGCCAGGGCGCACTCACCGGCCTAAAGATTTTAGATCTTTCACGAGTTTTGGCGGCAAGGCTTGTTTTCTAGTCCTTACTATGAGTAAAAAGAAAGATTTGCTGACAGTTTTCTTTCCGCTTGGTGCGACAGGCCCCATTTTGCTCACAGATCCTAGCAGATTACGGTGCCGATGTCATCAAGGTTGAGACGGTTGATAAAGGAGTATGCGCCGACCAGCTATATAGATCATCACTGTGATAATGGTGCCTGTTGGACGTAGGCTAACATGGGAGACCAACTATATTTAGGATGACACAAGGCATTGGCAGATGACAGGAGAAGCAGCGACATGGAAGACGTCCGCCGGTCCTATCTCCAACTACTTCTCTGCCGTCAATCGAAACAAAAGATCCATCACGTTGAATCTGAAACAGGAGAAAGGTAAGGAAATCTTGAAGAAGCTGGCCTTAAGCGCCGATGTGGTGTAGGTCTCCCCGATCCGCGTCGTGTCGAGCTGGTAAGACCGGACGAGAAGATTTCGCTGACGAGATGACCATTTCTGCGCAACAGCATTGAAAACTTCAAACCCGGAACAATGGAGAATCTAGGACTTGGATACGAAACACTAAGAGAAGAAAACCCGAAGCTCATCTATGCTAGCCTCTCAGGTGAGTGAACAATGCGTGGACTTTACCTAATTTCAACTCTTGGAGAGCAGAACATTGACGATCAGCTCGCCTATAAGGATACGGAAGATCTGGACCATACGCCAAGCGCGGAGGATATGATCCGATCGCAGCAGCAGAAGCCGGCCTCCTTCACATTACTGGAGAACGGAATGGCCCTCCTGTGCGAGTCGGTCTTGGAATGGTAGACATGTCCACTGGCCTCTACCTCCACGGTGCTATCCTCGCCGCTGTAATTGCTCGTCAGCGGGACGGGCTGGGTCAGCGTGTAGACACATCACTGTTCGGAACCCAAGTCAGCATGCTAATCAATGTTGGGCTATCCTGGCTGAACATGGGCATTGAAGCTCAGCGCTGGGGTTGCCAACACCCGAGCATTGCCCCGTATGATGCGTTTGAAACTAAAGACGCCTACCTCGTCTGTGGCGCTACCAACGACGTCCAGTTTTCTGCTCTCTGTGGCCTTCTTGGGCTTGGGGAGCTAGCCAAGGAAGAGCGATTTGCAACCAACCCGAAGCGCGTAGAGAACCGGGACATACTGGGTCCCATGTTCAACGACGTTTTCCGGACGAAGACGACGGCCGAGTGGGTTCCCATCTTCGAAGCCACAGGTCTGCCTTTTGGGCCTATCAACAACATGGAACGCACCTTTGCCCACCCACAGACTGAGGCACTTGGCATGGTCAATCATGTGAAGTTGGATGCAGCTGAATCAGGGCAGCTTTGTCTAATTGGACCGGCAGTTAAGTTTAGTAGGACGGAGACGTCATTCAGGCGTGCGCCTCCAACACTCGGGCAACACACATCGGAGGTGCTGAAGGAGCTTGAAATGGATAGCTCGGACATGACGCTGCTGAAGGAGCAAAAGGTGGTGTAGATATGACACATGGCATATAGATGTGTTGGGGGGGTAATTCCATAAGAATGAAACCACATTCTAATACCATACTAGCCGCGACTGGAAACTCATGATATCTCCGAGCACCTGTTATTGTACGATCGCTTACTGCCCTAAGTTAGTGAATAAGCTATATATACACATAGGATCTTAATCAATAAGTGGTGGCTCTACGAAGTATTCGCATTAGATGTGAGATTGTTTTGCTTGCTAGGGTCTTTTTTCACTCTCACGTCTCCGGACTCAGTGACTCAACCTTCATTGGAGGCTATCAGTACGGTGCATCTTCAGATGACTTCTAAAAGGGTGTTTTAGACTTAGCTTGCTCGCATTCTTTCCTGTCCACTTCTTTATCTTAAAATAGTTTCAAATAATCTATTCAACCGTTCTATAACGCCTTGATGGTGGGCTACAATATATTCACGAATTCCCTCTGAGCCACAGTCGGTTGTTTCTACCCAGTCCACGATCTGGTTATGAAATCCGAAACAGTAAACATAATCAAAACTGTGGAAAGAGTCATTGTCAGCGCTTGGTCACTGTTCATCCACTAACGGGTACAACTGCTGCTTACGCCTGGGGAGCAACGCGAAAGAAGTACGGGACAAATCCGCGCCCAAACGCGCTCAATCCCTCCGTCTTAGCCACCTTGATAATGCAGTCCAAGAAGCCTTTGTAAGCTACGCCATAGCCCGTCCGCCTTGCTTGCTATTGCATCCTGGTCTTGACGAAGTCAAACCGAAGGCTCAATACCGTCGCTGAGAATCCCGCGATAGCTGAAGCTACGAGGGACTGCATGTACGGTGAGAGGTTGGTGTGTACGGCCAACTGGTGCTTGGACTCTGAGAAGAAGGTTAGCTGCCCAAAGTTCGTGGAGCATGCGCGGATAACAGTCGGAGATGTGCCGCTCCAGAGTCCCTTGATCCCTTCGGTCCGGATGATCCTCCTAAGAGCATCAAAAACTGAGCGGTAGTTTGCCCGCTCTGTTGGTGGCTTCGCGCCATCACTTTGCATCCGAATAAGGGCGACCTCTGTAGGATTGCCAATCATTGAGCCCAGCCCGCCGGCGAGGACTCCCGCGGCCCCTCTCTCCACGAATGTGATGTCTCTGTTCTGCTGCCTCGCCCTTCTTTTGAAGGCATCCTCAAATGTGTAGAATAGGCCTAGTCGTGCGGTTCCGTAGACAATTTGACGGAGATAGCCCGCCGAAATTCCTTGGTATAAGTCCAAGACCTTGCCCTTGGAAACGATTCCCCTGACAGTTTCGAATGCACCAAGCTGTGAGTTAGTCCGAGCCCCTTGGCCAGTAAGTTGGAGGCGGACCTTGACCACGTCGATGGGGTGGATGCATGTAGTCGCAACGAGTCCTGAGACTCCACCAACAACGAATGGCTTCCATTTAGGTACGGGACGCTCAAAGCTGCTATCATTCTGTGTGCGGCCCATGTCATACTCTTGACTAGGACAAGCTGTGGAAAGATACTTCCTGTTTCGGGCCTGGTCGAACAACACAGTGGTAATATTATTCTTACTTATATACAAAATACTCAATGGACCTATATAGTAAATTTCTTTGCTGAACTACAGATGGGTGCTTTTATTTCATTTCTCGTCCAGAAAGACGAGAGTTCCGAGCATGAAGTCCCTTGCATTGCTAGGAGTCTTACTTTCTGTGAGTCGGTCCGTAAGGGCTCCTCTACGGTTGTCACTCCTCGGCTATGGTCCGTATGCGTTGGAGCTTTGATAGCCGAGGTGACTTGCCGGACAGGGTTTCCACACAGGGTTTCCACGTTCGACGTAGCGCTGGTGCAGGGCCAAGCATCACGGAGTCCTCTCATACCCAGACCCCAATGCCCTTCGCAAATGGAACTGTTGTTCTAGTCCACCGTGAGTTAGACAGAAGCTTGGTCAACTCCATGAGCTTAGTTGCGTTACAACTTGTACGCCAGACACACTTCTCCGACTGTGAGTTGTGCGTGTCTCCGCGTGCCGAAAGGGGCGGAACACTCACACGCATCTTCGGACTTGTTAATGTGTTATGCACCAGTGGGTAGCCTAAATCAGAAAATGCTTCGTCTCCCAGACGAGGGACAAGTCTAAGTGTTAACGCGGGGCCCCGCGTCTTGTGTGAGCGGGTGTTTCTAGCAGTGACGGCCCAGACTCTAACCCCAGATCCTCGACTCTTTGGTATCAAATGCTTACTATCGTAACCACTCGCGGGGCAGCATTCATAATAAAAGCCCACATTGTTGCTTGGTCACCTTGTAGTCCGTTCTCTGAGGAGCTAAGACAGGACTTCACAAGGGCCATCTGCTGAGGGCAACGAGGCTGCTCAGGACTGGCTTGTCTTTTGCAGCTTGCTTCCCGCTTCAACCATGGTACCTGAAAGGTTGAGCATGGAGCCTGAGGGCCTACCAGAGGCCGGGGCCGGCGGGAATGCTGTCAACAGCAGCAACAATAACAACACCGCTACCACCACCACCACCGCCAACTCCAACGAAGGCATGGGGGCAGGCGCGAGTGCGGACCAGAAGCGCAACGGCGATGAGCTTCAGTCAGACTCTGCCGTGAAGCGACGGGCATCTAGAGCGTGCCTCTCGTGTCGTACCCGTAAGGTTCGCTGCGACGTGACCAACCGCGGTGTGCCCTGCACAAACTGTCGTCTAGACACAGTGAAATGCGCTCTCACTGAGTCCTGGCGAGGCCGCGTGCGCAAGGCAACCGCAACTTCACATGTGACAGAAGCGAGATCAATGTCATCAAGATCAGAGCATCCGGATCCGGATCAGAATTCACATCCACCTGCACAGTCGCAAGTGCACGCTCATACCAATCTCTACGCGCAAAGGAATGGTTCCTACCCCGATTCTGCTGCCGAGGACTTTCCAGTATCCTTGACATTTGAAGGTAAACATATCCTAGACCTCAGACATCTATTGTATATCCTGTTTCCAATAACTGACATGTGCCCTCGTCACCCATCTCAGGCTTGCGGGACGTTTCAGATCGCGAAGAAGACACACTTAACCGCCCAGACAATGACAATGTTGAGGCATCCCTCGCCAGCTCAGCCTTTGGGGCCCTTGGCACATCATCGTCCGCGGGCCCGTCGCCAGTCGACGGGAACCAAGGGCAAACCCTGCCTCCGTATATTCGACCGTTGCCGCCGCGGCTGAAGGCTGCTGATCTTTACTACCTCATGGCCAAAGATGCTCTAAGCATACCAGACGAAGAGCTTCAGCGGCAGCTCCTACGGCAGTACATAGAGCATGTCCACCCTTTCATGCCTATCTTAGACCTTGCAGACTTCTTGCTACCGATCGCCTGTCGCGACGGGTCCTCGGGCTCTCCAGTCAGCTTGCTTCTATTCCAAGCGGTGATGTTTGCTGGTGTGGCATACATAGATTTTGAATATTGCACCTCAAGAGGCTTCGACCACCGTAAATCGATGCGCAAGCACTTCTTGGACAAGGTCCGGGTTCTTTACGATCTAGACACGGAACCTGACCGTACGGCGCGATTGCAGGCTCTGCTCCTCATGACATACTGGTACCAGAGGGCCGAGGATGAGAAGGACACATGGCACTGGACAGGTATCGCACTATCACAAATCTACATGATGGGAATCCACCGCGACCCCAACCAGCTGGATGTGCCCCTCAAAGCCATCAGGCGAAGGAAAAGGATATGGTGGGCGTGCTACGTGCGTGACCGTCTCATCGCACTGGGGATCCGGCGGCCCGCTCGAATACGAGCAAGTGATTTCGACGTTCCGAAATTGACGTTGGAGGATTGCGAGTCAGAGTCCCTGGATGCGACTGTTCTCTCCTTTCTGGGCCACCTCCCGGTGGTAGACGCTACGACCCAGAGGGATCTTATGCGCTGTTTCATTGACCTCACGAGGCTGTGTGACCATATCGGCGACATTCTCTGCACCCAGTATACAACTGTGGGAACTAATACCTATAAATTCAAGACAGAGGATAGAATGACCATGATGGTTGTGCCCCAGAGATCAACTCAGCAGATGGAAGATATGACGAAGTGTGTTGCGAAGCTGAATACGTGGAGGCAGAACATGCACTCATCCAGTCGATATCGGCCTAGCCGACCACATAGTGACCATTTTCATGAGCCGACTGAGCTAGAGACTCATCCTGTAGTGCATCTGCATCAAGCTATGATATACATGATTTATCTCACCGCCACTGCAATCCTCCACCGGCCACGGGCACAACACGAACAGTCTCGTGAGGACGGCATCAGCGATGGAAACGTCATGAATATATCCACGGCCAGTCCGCGTCTCGGCCCAGGTACAGCCAGCCGATCTAGCACTGATAAAAGCACAAGCACATTGACCAGCTGCTCCGCCGACAAGATAGCCGACGCTGCTGCTGGAATCACAGAGATAGCCTACGACTTACACTACGGCCGGCATGGCAACCAGCTGCGTTTTGCATCCACCTCGGCGATTCCCGCGCTCTTATCCGCCATTCTGATCCATCTGAATGAGATCAGCTCGTCAAAGAAAGACCCCGTGAGAAGATACGTGGCTATTGGTCGTTTCTACCAATGCTGGCAAGCGCTGCAGTATCTCCGAGACATGTACGCTTCGGCAGACCACGTTGTGTGGTTTCTGGAGGCCGTGATAGAGAAGGCCAACGTCGAAATCCCCATGCTGAATCTCGCAAGGTCATCATATGCTTCGACATCCGACTCCAGGCGGGTGCTTGCGGGCAAAACTACTGCCCATCCAGCGTCGCATCGACGGACCAACGCTCCCAGCCAGACCGATACAAGCATCTCCGGGCTCAGCGAACAAGTCGGACGCAACGCCACGATCACACCGGTTACGCTAGACAATATGCCGACTGGCGGTTCACACTCTAATGGTGTCCATGATATGCGTGGGGACTGCTTCCCGAGAAGGCCGCTGGCATTCCAGGTTCCCTTCTCTCAAACACACGCCAGTATGCACGTAGCTGACCACCCGGTGGTGAGTGACCCGCGTGACGCGTGGACTATCTTAGACGACGAGGATAACCTCCTGCAAGCCCTGGTGCATTTTGATGCGGATCCGAATTTCTTCCCAGCCAGCGGATTTTGAGGAATATGCGTCCACGTAGGCATCCCTGATGTCGCCGGCCTAGCCGAGCTTTTCATCATCCACCTTGAAACGGTGTGTCTGTCGGCTCGTGCGTTGGTACAGAATTGGAACTCACACAACTGCAGTATAGACGAGTTCCCACCGGTACCGGAAGACGGTTGGCGGTTATTACACTCAATCAGTTGCCATCACCACGAAGCAGGCGAGAGAGGAGGCAGTCGCTTTCCCACGGCTCTGGAGACCACGATCAGGGACAGAATGCGGGGTACGATTTCCCCAGCGCAAGAATTCGAGTGGCCTGTTTAGTTGGCTGTGGCTGGTGTCACGGGTTTACTGAATAGTGGCTTTTAGGCTATATAAAGTATAAAGTAAATGTAATTTCAAGCTGTATAAAGAAGTATGAAGAAGTCCTTTTATAATATAATAGTCGTACTTCTTTGTCACTCAAAATAGAGTAAAAGAGATACAGTAAGAGGTGGTTTAACTAAAGAATACCGCAATCGTTACGAATTAAATAGCATGGGCCTAACGTTTCGGGGAGTAAATTTCTATATATGTCTCTGTGGTCCTGTCTGGTCGTTGCAAGAAAGGCTAATTTACAGCTCGCGGGAAAAAGTTAGAACTCGTGAAACTACCAAGAAAGAGAGTCATAAAACGAAAACAGGGAAAGGATAGAAAGGCTCATTGCTCTAAACTAGGTTAATCCAATATCAATCTGATCTTCGCCATGTAAACTTCGCCTTGTGCAAATTTATTTGTCCAACTGCAGGATGAAGTGGTCCTTCTATGATCAGTTTCTAGGCCAGCCCTAGTCGAAGAAGTTGCGTCCCAAACTCAATCAAGTAGTAATCTGCATAAACCAATCCATGGTCTGCTATCTGCGCATATCCTAGAGCATTATTAGACACTGTGGCATTTTTCAAGACTGCCTCAAAAGTGCTATCCTCCAATTCATCGACACCGTTGATATCTCCATTCTCCATGGTGACCAATTTTGCTCGCTCTGGAGCCAGAGAGCATGAAATTGTTTCCTCGATAATGGTTAAAGCTGCTTTCAGATATCTCTTTCCCATATCATATTTGCCAAGGCCAGCAAGTGCTTGAGAGAGAAGTAGCATGCCATTGGCCGCGGCGGTACCTGCTGAGGTATCTCTTAGGGGTATACCGTCTGTCACAACTGGGGCATCAAAGTCCCACATCGGCACGTAGCGGCCTGATGTTGTCCCATCTGCCGTGTAGATTTCAACGCAGCTGGGAGCCATTTCTAGGCGAAGCAGAAAGTATTCAGCAAGACCACAGGCCACGTGAAGGAAGGTTTCGTCTTTCGTCCACGTGTACGTTTGCGCGTACCCCAGTATCGCCCAAGCCTGACCACGAGACCACGTCGAGTTTGCGTCAAAGCCCTGCGCAGTGCGTTTCTCTTTTATGCATCCAGTCTCTGGGCAAAAGTTCACAACATGTCCAGTGCTATATAGCATACCAGAGAATCCCGGGCGGCACATTGTCGGCTCCTCTCGCAGGTGAGTACGGATGAGAGTATGCGCATGGTGCTTGGCCGCATCGCTCAGATGAGAAGATCTACTGTGAGCTGCGGCGTAGAAGAGAAGGTCAAGGTTGCATAAGGAATCGATGATGACGATGAAGTTTTCGTCCATGCCGCGAATGTGAGGGGCGTTTGTCCACACCAACTCATCCCAGCAGCGAATCGCACCGACCGTCGAGTTGTAACGAGTATACAAGCTATTGGCAGCCGTGATTATAGTACTCAAAGCTTTTTCATCGTGAAAAAGTTCCCATCTAGGCTTCATGTGGGTCATCATGATGAACCCAAGATCGTGCGTATTTGTGAGCCGAGATTCACCATGGATCGGATCAGACCAGGTTTTCGCCAAATTTCCAAGAGTCTGGCGCAAAGATTTTAATTCAACATCTTTAAGTTGAAGCCGAGTCGGATGTTTGATTGCTCTCTCTAGAAGGGAATAGATAGAACCCGGGAAGAATCCACAGGTCCAGAAGTCAATTCCCTTGGAAACGTATTGACCGACATCTTGCCCAGTCTGGGGGACAATGTGTGGATATTGTGAAGGCGGGTTCTAGAGTTCGATAATCAGACTCATGTTCAGATATTTCAAGCTATGACTTACGTTGTGTAACAAATGTTTTTGGGCTGTTCGTATTATTTTCGCTATGACGTTCTCCGAGAAAAGTTCATCCAGTGAATCTTTCTGCGCCGCTCTCACTGGATCACTCTGTAGCCGTATCTTCCCAACTGAGGCCGTACCATTGGTGTAGACATTTGTGATTGCGTGATGGCCACTCATTGTCAAAGACCGAGGGGGGATGCTGTTGTCGCTAACACCACAGGATTTTCTCCTTCTATTTCAAAAATTGCGATACAAGATCAGAGTATCCTTCAGCTGTGAGGAATGTATCAGAATTATCACATGGATTGAAAAGCTTCTCTGAAGTCCACCAGACTCAGGGGTAGACTCCTTTCTTTTCATGAGCGTGACACAAGCCTTAACCGGAATGCGGAGCCCCGCGCCACCCCGAACATCTCATGCGTCATATTTTTCGGGTTTCGTCCTGACTCTCGGCCGGTGACATCCGACAGAACTTTGGAACACCATTCCATACTCCGGATGCCTTGAGTGCTTGGCAGCATCTGCTGATCGTGAGAAATCATCCTTAGGCATTCAACATTGACACCAGACTGTCATTCCACCATGCCACCTCTCGCGGGCTTTTCAGACAACCCATTCCGCACTCGGGGCGACGTCCTCGTGGCTGTCAAGGCCCTCCTACGACCTTTGCTTCCTTATTTCTCTCCAGGATGCGCCCGGATTTGTATCCCCATAGCCACTGGCACACATTTCGACGAAACTGCGGCCCAGCTCGAAGGCTACGCCCGGCCACTATGGGTCGTTGCGGCTCTGCTTCTGAGTGGTGACGAGCCTGACTGGGACCTGATACAGCCATGGATCAAGGGCATAGAAATCGGGACCAACCCAGAGCACCCCGAGTTTTGGGGGCACATCCGGGATTACGACCAGAAGATGGTTGAATGTGAGATGATATCTTTTTTACTACTAGCCGCACCAAAAGAGCGGTTGTGGGGAAGGCTAGACCCCAAGATTCACCGCAATATAATAGCTTGGCTGTCAGATATTCAAGTCAGAGCCATGCCAGCTGCAAACTGGCTTTGGTTTCGCGTCTTTGTCAACTTGGCTCTTCTGAAAACATGTGGGGTAGACACGCCTACAGTACGAGAGTCCCTTCAAAGTGATCTCGAGATGCTTGACACGTTTTATGTTGCGGATGGGTGGTCCGGAGATGGTCTCTGGAGATCAGCAGAGTTGGATGAAAAGGAATGGGAGATATATAAACAAACTGGGCGAGCGAATGCGCTTCCTAATAGTAGAAATATGTGCTACTACTCGGGGAGCTTCGCCATCCAATTCAGCCAGCTCCTATATATCCGCTTTGCCGGAGATTTGGACCCCGAAAGAACCGAAAGATACCGCCAACAAGCACGAGATTTTGGTGCTGGATTCTGGAGGTATTTCGACTCGCAGGGTGCAGCGATACCATTCGGTCGTTCTTTAACGTACCGCTTTGCCTGTGGTGGTTTCTTCGCAGCACTCGCTCTGGCTGGAGTTGACCAGATGCCCGCACCGCTTCAAACATTGGGCGATGTCAAGGGGTTTCTCCTACGCCATCTCAGATGGTGGGCGAGACACTCGGATAATATCTTTTATCCAGATGGAACGCTAAATATCGGCTGGGTTTATCCGTAAGTCACTTAGGGATACTCCGGCAATCTATAAATCGCTGACGTCTGATGAATAGGAACTGGTATCTAGCTGAAGACTACAACTCGCCTCAATCCGTCTATTGGGCTCTGAAATCTCTTATAATCGTCGCTTTAGATGCCGATCATCCATTCTGGGTCCAGCCTGAAACGCCATATCCTGATGGCGGTGGAGTGAGTCTGGTTTCTGCACCACAACAAATACTATGTAACCATCCCCGAGGGAGTCACCATTTTCTTCTATCCTTCTCTCAGTTTATCGGTATTCCTTTCAAAGCTTCAAGGGCCAAATACTCCAAATTCGCCTACTCATCGGCATTTGGGTTCTCTGTCCCCAATGGGCCTGTTTCGCTAAGACAATCACCACCTGACAATATGCTTGCTTTTAGCAGAGATGGTGGCGACACTTGGGCCGTGAAATACAAGGCAGAGCAAGCTAAGTTTGGTAGAATCATGGTTTGTGATGAGGAAGTACCCATAGGAACTGTATCGTGGTACCCCTGGACTGATCGTAGCGTTGTTGTGACGACTACTATGATCCCGCCAACGTCGAGATGGCCAGACTGGCACATCCGCGTTCACAAAATTAAGGCGACCAATTCAACCTCACGAGTGTTCCTGTCCGAGGGAGGGTTTGCAATTAATAGTCGCCAGAAGGGCAATCATCTACTGCTGCCTGAAGTGACGGTAGATGAGCAAACTGACGCAGTCGATGAAGGCATCATTCGTACCGATAATTCGGTTCTGGTCTTGAATAATGGCGATGCAGTCGGGATTTCCATCGATGAACCAACAAGAACCTCCCTCAGCTTCTCAATGTCGGCCTTCGATCCGGAACCAAATACTAATCTAATGGTATCAAGAAGCCTAATACCGTTGGTTGAATATGACATTGAAGACGGCTTTAAAGAAAAAGAAGAGATTATTCTTGTTGCCAAAGTCTTTGCGATTTCAGCGAAGGCCAGCTCTATGAGAAAACCTTCGTATCCAATGGAACGATGGCTAGACGCACCTCGCGTCACCTTTGCGGAAACAAGGCAGTCAACTAACAGTGATAATAATATTTATGTCGATATTTCTTAATCCAGACATTCATTGATGGACATTTAGCACGAATGTACAATTATGTCTTCGCCACCAATATTTGGTGACGGAAAGTCTTCAACAAGCATACTTCATACCTATGTATGTTTACCATCCCTGTGGTTGCGATGAATCATTCCATTGCTCGCCATTCTGAGCCAAGGCCATGTCATCAAAACTTATGACACGATCCATATTGGAGAAGCCTTGTCCCAGGAGAAGCTCCGAAATGGCGTTTAAGTCGTCGTTCGACTCATCTAGCTCGCGCCCTGTTGTAGCTGCCCATTGCTGGACGTCACTCTCCATGGTGATAGGTCCTGGCAGACTGCTGCCTAGGACCCCAGTGTCTGCCTGAGAGTTGAATTGCCGAAATTCGGGAGCATTCCGTCCTGATGACATTCCACGACCAGAGCCGCCCTCTGTTCCAGCTGCCAACCTTGGTGTGACGCGTAGAAGCTCATCGACCCAAATTGCTTCCTCAGAATCACCGAGAAGATCAATCTTGAAATGCGGGTTTCGGATACATTTCTCGTGCAAGTCTCTCAGTCGGAGTGCAAACTGCAAGAACAATGTTATGGGATCATCATCACCAGACCAGCGGCGGGACATTTCTTCCAGATTGAGCACCATGGACCAGAATTCGCGGGGGAGCTCTGTACGAGTATACCTCCAGTGCACTAATTCGCAGAGCAGTTAGCTATTTTCTACCCTCCTTCCCGGCCTTACTTAATGCTAACTCCAAGAATGTCACTTACCTAACAAAATCCTAGCACTAATGAACGCACAGAATCCGAGTTGAGGAGTGACAAGAACCTCCTTGGTAGTTTGTTCCAGAAACTGGTTGCAGATATTAGCTGTCTCAACAGCGGCACTTAGGCACGTTTCTGCACTGCAAGAACTTGGTAGCTTTATTCCGGCCAGCTCTGGGCCAGGGTATGCAATCTTCTGATGGAGAAGTATCATGGAAACATTATGTGTGGCATTTGCTGCGGTCATATTGGGATCCATGATGCCGGGCATTGCTTCTCTAGAGGCTCCGGAGTCTTTCCACTGATTGGGAAGGAACATTTTCCAGCTATTTTGGGTTTATTAGAGGTGTGATATGGAATACTCTTCCGAGAATGGGCAACTACTTACTGAACCAGTCTCAAGTCAAGCTCCTTGAATCGGGTCAGCCAGCTAAGGACTTCTTGCTTATCTCCAAAGTCAACTTCCTGTTGGAGGAAGTACGTGTTTACTCGGCTCAGGGACTCAATGGACTCGATATAATATGCAAATGCCCCAATATTGGAAATGTCCAGTGGTGCATCCGGCTTTGCCCGTTGACGTATCGGGACGGGGGACTCCACGGCTCCGCTATCCGTATTTGAGGCTTTGGACGGGCTGGCATAGTGGGTTGGTAAGAACGTAATGGAGTTGCCCAGAGATGCAGCTGATCGCGACCAGATGCCGAAGTAGGGGGTCAAACAAGGCGTTTCGTTGTACCATTTACCACCACAAACCGGGAGTCTCCTACTCACGTCTGTTGCGGTTAGACTGTTGTTCCATCCTGTTGTTACCGAACAGAATCTAAAGGAAGATGATCAGCATTTGTGTCAAAGAAACAGTGAAAGTGAATGTACCTGTCGAGAATAAAGATATTCCAGAATACTCTTCTTCTTTCCTCTTCTTCAACCCAATTCTCGGGGTCTGGTAGCGTCGGCAAGGAAGTAAGAAACGAGTTCCTTTGTTTAGTATCCTCAGACTCAACGCTCAACTGCAAATATTGAACGCTTCTGGTCATTGAACCTATGATCGGCCAAGCCCTTGCTGATTCTCCACTTCCTATCTATAGAGTTGGGTCAGCCTACTCGAGCAGTTCGAAAGATGTGTGGGAGAGTGTCTAACGTGTATAAAAGCAACAATGGCAAATGCCTGTAGATTTTCCACTGACAAGCCACTCATTGCGGCCCTTAAGACGTAATCACGAGATCTTTTTATGGTCGCCTTCACTGTTTCTCTTGAAAGGCCGTGAACATCCGGAGAGAGATGCCTTAGTGTAGCCACAATCATGGCATGCAAGACAACTGCATTACGTTGGCGGCCGTCATGTGATTGCACTTCCCGCTGGAACTTTGGCGCGTGTATGAGAGGTATCCATGGCTGAATACGGAGGAAGTAGAAGTCCATGATAGCGTCGAGGAGAGCATTACTTGGGAGACTATCGACTGTTTCGTCATCAACATCGCATGCTTGCAAGGGCTCTTCCTGTATGCCAAGCCTCCTCCGCTTTCTTTGCTGAGGCTGAGGCTCAGCATTTGCAAGATGTGAGTTAGTTTGTAAATTGTCTTGGGACCAAACGATGTTGGAGTTTAGCTTCTGGATTTCCGATGCCAATGAGGTAAGGATACCCAGGACTGGTGCTGCAGTTATACTACTGTTGTTGGTGCCTCCCGACGGCGGACCTTGTCCTGCGGCGTTCGGAAGTGATGACGGGCGTTCATCGTCACCTTCCTCGTGCTCTCTATTGAATAAGTAATTCTCAATTACCTCTAGTATCTACACATTAGCACGAAATGTACGGACTTCTGGGACCGGTGAAGGATGAGGCATCTCAGTCCTCTTAGCACATACGCAGCCTCTGAGATAGAGCATCTACGGCCCCCGTCTTGAGCCCCGGCTTGTTCCTCCGGGCTTCGTACAAGCAGACAGTATCTAGATACGGCTGTAAGCGCATTCATCTATTTGTGTTTCAGCGGGATACAGGGCGAAGCGTACTGTATTTTTCGCAATTGGAACACAGAGGACGCTGCCGAGAGCACTTGAGCTTCCGTTTTCGACAGCCCTCGCACGACGGGAGATCGGTCTCACCGCCTGGCTCGGTAGAAGGCTCGGCCATTGTCCTGCGGGAATCAATCCCTCCGTTGGATCTGAGTTTGTCCGCCATCTCACGAGGATCCGCGTCTCGGATGACGCAGAAATGACCGGCCGAACTTTGAGCCGAGTGGGTCAGTTGTCACAAGGCTCAAAGCTACCTACCTACATACCCTATAGCTCTGCGGACTTGATCGCCTACCGTAAACAATGCACTCTTCCGCTAGGTTTTATAATATTATCTATTATGTAGTGTGCTATTTGTCTATAATTAGATATCTTACATATCTATAGAATATTTCTTTAGTTTATTGATGACATATGCAGTAATTACCTCGCATGCCCTGTAGAATGGAGACAACACGGAACTTCATCTCTGCAACAGCTTCAATGTTAACATTAGCATTTATTCTACGACCTCGTTGCGATGTTTAAGAATGTTTTCGAGAAATATCCTGTATGTCTTCTTGTGTCTGTTTTGAGTGGGCTCCTATTTCTTCTCCCAAAACTGTTAAATTGTAATATTTTGTCAATTTTTTTTTTTACCATATGCATGGGGTGTATCCCAAGATCAGGTTATACGTGACTTGTTGCACACTTTTCTTTTTCTTAAGCAATTTGCGGTTTAAATTGTATATGTTATTCTAATTTTACGTGAATTTTTTTTTTTTTTTTTTTTTTTTAAAAACGAAATCTCTGCTAGTTCTTCACGAGTTGCCTACCTGGTAGTCATATTAATTGCCGTGACGCATAGCACATTTCTAGACAAGCCGTAGCTGCAGTCTTGACCAACCTGTCAACTGGGTGTAGGCGGAAGAGGGAGTCGACATAATCTACACCAGCACTCAGCCTTCACAGCCGACTTGGGTACATGCAATCAGCTGGGGAGCCTTGCAGTCTGCCTAAAAGGAGGGGTGCAACAATGTGACGTATGATTTCTCCCTTGATCCTAACCTCGAGGCATACATTTTTATTCGCGTTACTTTTGACACATGCCAATAATCTTAACCTGATACCGCGCATATCACGATCGAATGCCTTGGAAATTGATTCACTTGAGTTATTCAAAGGAAAATGCCTTCTCCTGGATCTCGATTTACTTACGAAGCCCTCGCCTTGGGCGAATTCCGGCTCCTCTCAATCAGGCCTGGCCACGCGCCGTGCGAGTATAATTGCTCGCTGAGACACGAAAATATATCCAACCCTCCTCCATACAAGGCATTATCATACGCCTGGGGTGACCCTACTGCGAATCATGGGATCAAAGTTAACGATGGAGTTTTCCTCATTAACTCAAATCTCAAAACTGCTTTGAAGCACTTGGATTTTGAGGACCAAGAAGCCATTTGGATCGATGCGATCTGCATTAATCAGAATGATGACCAGGAGAAAAGTAGTCAGATCGCAGCAATGTCGCATATATACCGCGGTGCGAGTGAAGTCATAGCTTGGATAGGAGAATCGTCGTGGGAGAGCCGAAGAGCCTTTGCATTTCTCAGCGCTTGGCTTGACTCCGTTGTGGAACTCCAGATTCATCAGGGGCCCGTAGATGAAGGGGACTTATATGATTTGAACCAGAGAAAGGACTTGATCGTCTCGGAATTTCCATCGCTCAAAGGAGATGTAGTTCACCAAATTTTGAAGATTATACAAGATGATATGTCCATGTCTCTTGGTTGTGTAAGTTGCCTGTTATTGAAGATAGTCAAGGTTCAAGACCGCTGATGATTAAATCAAGCTTAATTCCCCTCACATCTCGTCGATTGAGATCGATATTCATGTCCTTAGCCAACCTGCAGAGAACAGAATTCTGGATTTGATCCGTGAATATGTGATTTCTAGAGATGACGCGGAAACGTCTGAGGATGAAGAAGCACCTCACAAAGTCAAACTATCGAATCCCCGTGGCCCTTTAGCAAAATTTCTAGGTTCTATCGATGGTAACTTTCACGCTTTACGGAATATGTTCTCTGAGAGGGCGTGGTGGGAAAGACTCTGGGTGATCCAAGAAGCTGTTGTCTCAAGAGAGTTATCTCTCCAGTGTGGACAAGAAAAGATACCTTGGGTGTGTCTCGATCAGACCTTTCTTCTTGTCTTGAGATACTTTCAACAGCCAATCGCCAGAACCTTGACGTCTATATTTCATCGGATGTGGGAAATTTCCCTCCTCCGTACACTAATATCAGACTGGTTCCAGGAAGGAGCTGTCCATTATGGGCTAGATTTCGCGTTGGAGAGCTTTGAACGATTCAAGAGTACCGATCCACGGGACAAAATATTTGGCCTTCTGAATATTGTATCTTCGACTGGCCCCATTATTCAACCAGACTATGGGAAAAAAACGTCACAGGTGTTTACTGAAGCGGCCCTGTATTTGATATTGCAGACTCGGCGATTAAATGTTTTGTGCGGTACCCAGCGGGCAGATTAAATCCACAATGGCAAGAGGATGATCCATTACCAAGCTGGGTTCCGAACTTCTCTTTGACAAGCGGCTACGAGCCGATATTACAATTTATAATGCTAGCGGGGAACCATATCTTGTTGATGCAGTTTCATATGATGATCTTTCACGGTCCTTAGCTCTCACGGGCTTTGTTTGGGAAGTGATTGATCACACAACAACAAGGCTACGAGCCGAAGACCCAAATTGGGAAGCGACATTGTTACAGTGGGAACTTGAGAGCTTGGAGGCAAGGAAATATCCCACAGGAGAGAATATTGTGGACGTATATTGGCGGACTCTTTTAAAGGACTCATCGCTGTTGGACCCCGATAACGAGCACACACACCAATTTTGGACTCGAGTCAAGCACTGGGCATCATATAGTAGAGGTCCCATTCGAAAGCGACTTGAACCGGGTGAGATGTGTGATAAGATTTGCATGCTTAGGACTTGTTTTTGGGTGTGGTCTAACCGTACGCTACTGCAGGAAGGAGTATTGGAACTATGGCGCAGTCCAGGAATTTCAGATCAAAGGTATTTGAACGGAAGTGCATCATATATTTTGGAGGGAAATGAGTTTAGGCATGTTCGACGGCTGACGACGGATGGTTCGTCTCTTGGCAAGGAGGAGTTCGACACAACGATGTCAATGAGCGTCGTGAGTGAGATCCGCCCAATGCGTAGCATCATATACTCTCTAGAGTAGTTCTTTGGATTGACAAATTTTCTTCACAGGCTGCGGCGGAAGGCATCAATGCCCGCTCGGAGAGTGACAATAGCAAGGCGTTGATGCAGGAGAGGGGAGAATCCGACCAGGAGACTGTGGCGAGTGAAGACTACGGCAACTCGCCCGAAAACTGCATTCCGTTCACGAGGGATGAGTTTTTAGGGGAAGATGGTCCGTTTGGGATAAACTATCGTGATAGTTTACGACACAGCACGCTCGGGTATATGTTCTTTACGACTAAGACAGGCTACATGGGACTTGTACAAGGAAATGCATCACCCGGAGATCTGGTGGCCATCGTACAAGGTTCAGATATACCGCTCATACTCCGCCGACAGGTATCCGGCCCCGGAACGGATGGAAATGAGACAATTTTCCATACATTGGTCGGGGCCTCGTACGTACATGGAATTATGGATGGGCAAGCGAGAGCTGCTGCTGAGCTGTGCGGTTTGGAAAAGGACAAGATATACATTAAATAAACAAACACACACACGCTGAAGATATTTACTTTAAGTATGATGGAATTTAAGAATTATGTGTATTAAAGATTGCTCTTAATAACTCTTCAGTCAATCTTGATTATCGGACCTTTCTTGATCATTCTCGAAAGCTCTTTCATAACCTTGTATAAGCCGAGATCGATCATCTGGCGTTCGAGAACATCAGATACTACAGGTAGTGAATTGTCATCATAGAGCCCAGGATTAGTTCTATTTGAGTTATTCACTGCTGACAAATGGAACAAAACCATCATCCGATCCAACCGGTTTGCCTTCCTCCCAGTGTGGGACCCAATAGCTACGAAAGATGATACACCATAGTCCCACTCTTAGCGTGATATTAAAGTTGATCTTTCTCTCCTGACGATGTGGTCAACCGTTGTGCCAGCTATGAAGAGCGATACGGTATCACTTTGACTGACCATCGGACCTCCCTTTTGTGAAACAATCACCTGCCTCTTCAAGTCATGGATTATAACTGGCTCGATGAGCTCGCCAATCAGCGTTGCCCTATTGGAGACTACACCTTGGTTGTTGGGCTCATATCGCTGTAGAATCAACTTCACTGCCCCAACAAGTGCCAAAGACAGTCCAATCGGGCAGCTTTCGCTTGGCTCCGCGAACCGGCCTCGGGGGTCCCATGCTCTAGAGGCTCACCGTGCTCCGCTTTCTGTAGCGATGGCCCATTGACGGGTTTTAGACGGGGCAGGGCAGAGGAAATGGGCGTGCCGCTTTTCCATTTTTTCGTTCTCCGACCGGTGACCGACCGAATTTGTGCCTTTGCTAACGCGGGATTCTGCCGCTTTATACGTCGCATTGCGGTCATCGGCGTCAAAAACTGATAGATGGAGTCAGGAATATGACCGAGCCCACCTTTTCATGTCGTGATCGTCACTCGCTAAAAATAAGACAAATCACGTAGTATATAGGGTGGCCGGGAATCCTCTCCTGTGGGCAATGACTGATGAATGATCCTTATTTGACCCTTAAAACACAAATCAAAGTGACACCATGGGTCGGCAAGCTGCCCTTACTAAGGCAGAGCTAACGCTCCATGATCAAGTTGAGCATCTGCCCAGACAAAAACTCATCGCAGTATTTGGGCTTCTCGCGTTGACGGTTTTGATCAACTTCATCGATCAAAATGGCATCTCCGTGGCCCTCCCCACCATTGCCGCAGAGCTGGACGCCCGCGACACCATTTCGTGGGCTGGTACGGCCTCATTGCTTGCTAACACCACCTTCCAGATGCTCTGGGGCAGACTCTCCGACATCTTTGGGCGGAAAACCGTGTACATTTCTGCGATCGCCCTCCTTTCCATCGCCGATCTTCTCTGCGGCCTGAGCCGAAACGCCACAAGTTTCTACATCTTTCGAGGTCTGGCAGGTGTTGGTGGCGGGGGCATCACCAACCTCGCCATGATTGTCGTCTCCGATGTTGTCACCTTGGAAAACAGAGGTAAATACCAGGGAATAATCGGTAGCATGGTTGGCCTGGGCAGCATCATCGGTCCTTTCCTGGCCGCGGCCTTCGCGGAAAGGGCGACTTGGAGAGGCTACTTTTGGCTGTTGTCTCCTTGCGCTGCCTTGGCGGCCGTGTTGACATACTTCTATCTCCCTACGAAGCCGCGGACAGCATCGTGGCAAGACAGTGTTAAGAAGGTAGACTGGTGGGGATCATTTGCGATCTTCGTTGGCATCGTCTTTTTGCTGATCCCTATATCCGGAGGTAACTTCAATATATTCCCTTCAAGGAGGTAAAGAACTCAATGAATGAAGTGCTAACCACAATAGGGGGTGCGTACTTCGAGTGGAAGTCCTCCATGGTGATATGCTTGCTCGTTCTTGGGGGTATCTCGCTCATCCTCTTTGTCGTAATTGAGTGGAGAGTGGCGAAGCTCCCGATGATGCCAGGTAGTTATTCCCCCAATGTCAAAATGCACAGGTCTAATATGTCGCAGTTGATATCTACAAGAATCCTGCGGTTTCAGCCATGCTCGTGCAGAACTTCCTGATGGGGGCAAGCTATCAGGCTGTGATATACTTCGTGCCACTGTACCTCCAGAACGCTCATCAATTCTCCATCATCCAGTCTGCACTTATATGGATCCCTCTGGTCGGACTCCAGTCTGGAATTTCTATTTTGTCGGGTCTATACATCTCCAAGTTCAAGCGTTACGGAGAATGTCTCTGGTTTGGCTTTGGAATCTGGACCCTTGGCTCCGGCCTTTGTCTTTTGCTGACGAGGGAATCCCCCATTGGAATCATCATCATCCCTCTTATAATCATCGGCATCGGCGTAGGGTGCATCTTCCAGCCTATTCTTGTCGCTTTACAAGCTCACTCTCCCAAGGCGCGACGTGCCGTCATCATCTCGAATAGGAATTTCTGCAGATGCGCGGGCGGCGCATGTGGTCTCGCCGTTTCTGCCGCGGTCATGCAGGCCAGCTTGAGGGCGTCCCTCCCAGTCGAGTACGCAAGCCTGGCCGGATCGACATTTACGCTTCCAGAATTCGATGGAAATATCCCAGCCGCCGTGCTTGATTCCTACATGGCGGCCAGCCACTCTGTTTTCATTCTTCAGGTTCCCTTGATTGGACTCTGCTTCCTGGGGAATTTCTTCATCCGGGACAGAGGTTTGGAGCTTCCAGACGAGAAGAGCGCCGTACAAGAACAAGAGGCTGGGCAGGTCGGAGGGGAACAGGGAATCAGGATGGAATTAGCGGAGAGCGATACAAATGCTGAAGCTGGAGTAAAGGGAACTTCACGGTCGAAATAGATGCTCCCTTTGCTCTAGACCTAACGCTACGTTGCACTTCTATATCGTGCGACTGGTCATCACCAATCAAAAAGAAGGCAAGAGACTTAGAGACGTGTGTTTTACGGTTTGACGGCGAGTTTTGGGGCCATTATTGGCGATTAGATCAAACGTAATTAATACTCAGCCAAGGTAATGCGCCATCGGGCGTACAACCAACCTCTCATCACGTGAAACATGTAGAACATCACAGGCGAATTGGAGAGCCCATTGGGAGAACACGCCAGGTATCATGATTATCATCTCACCGACACCAGCTAACCGGGGCACTGTCACTCAATTCACATGGTTTCCTTGTGTTTGCTCTCAGAACAGCGACTAAACAGAAAAGGAAAGGCCTCCAGAAGGAGATCCTGGACTGTTCTCGGCTTAGTAACAGCAGAAATGAATCCATGCCACCAATAGCCTGCGCCTGGGCTAGGGGCTATTTGCCACTGGCGTTGGTCGATGGAACGCTGTAAGGTGATTGAATACGGGAGGAGACCAAGGCTCCAGAGAGTGGCCCAGATCTCCTCAGTTAGATGATGGAGGGCGGCCAATGCACAATGATGTATCTCAGTCGATCCCTAGGCCAATGAAGGAGCCGCAACAACGCGTCAATCCAGGGTCATAATCGAGGCAGCCACCTACAGCACGGGCATCCTCCCTTGTCTTGAGATACGTAGGCGAACTAGCCGCCGTATTTCTTTGATCCCCCCAAATTATGTGGGACCGTAGCCTGAAACATCAAGGGGATCGACATGGGGTTGTTTGTGCCTCGCTTGGTGATAAGGGGTCCAACCGCCGCCTTCTCCATCCCCTCTTCCGCGCTGCTCCTTTGAAGCATCGCACGGCATTGTGTCCGTAGAGCACGTCCTGGGCGGGATCATTGACGTCCATCCTCTAGAAACCGCATCGAACATTCACCATGCCTATCCGCGTCAAGTCCAAGGTGCCGCCGGGGGCCCAAGAGCGTGAATTCTCGCCTGGCCCGGTGGTCCGCATGGATTGGGAGCTCCCAAATGTTGGCCAAGACGATGCTTTCCAGACTGTCGTCGAGAACTTGTCCAAGTAGGCGTGCCCGGCGAGTGACCCCCTTTACTCGAGCATTTGAGCTGACGTGCCAAAAGCTTCTTCTCCGACGCGATCGATTTGCCCAGCTCTTTCGAGCAGCTTCGCACAGCGGAGTCTTTGAAAATCCTCGTGGAGCACTTAAGTAGGACATGTACCAACCCGGCCATTGTAAACGCATTGCTGTAAGTGAATTGTAAAGAGAGCAAGGGAACGATGGCCATGTCCTGAGAAGCCAATTCGGCCCATTTGTCTCTTTATTTTCCCGTTGGCTTAAACTCATTTTCATCTAGGGCTCTTCGCTGGCATTATTCATGCGACACTGAGCATAGCGGGCTTAGCGAGGCGCGGTCCAACGCCTGTGAGATCGTCGCCTGGCGGTTCCTCACGCGTCTTTCGGAGCGAGACGCTGTCGACTACTGTCTCCACGAGATCCCCGGAAATGAAGCCCTCGAGGCCAATCCTGGTTCATCACTTGGCCTGTTCGAGGACGATCCCAGCGAACAGTCGCCTCTTCTCCCTCATCGCCGCCCATTTAGTGCCGGCACCTCTGGACTGGGCCTATCTACGCGGCGATTTGAGCTTCAGCGTGCTGTGCCGAAAATCACATTCTCGAGCAACGAGTCAGTTGAGAGTGGAGGCAGCCGCTCTGGTGTCGTAGATTCTGCCAAGACCTTCAAGAGCTTGAATGCCCTCGAAATTGCTGGCATTGCCGGTGCTAAGCGCTTTCTGAGCCAGAATATTGTGCAGAAGATCATCACAAGCATCTGGGACGGTGAGATTGTCTTTTGGGATACTATTTCCGGCAACTCGGTCATGAAGCCAAGGTATTATAACCCCAGGACAGCCGACCCGTACTCTCGACTCCGCGTGCCCAAGTATCTAAAGACTTGGGAAATCCTCTTCTTCATCGCCTTTCTATGCCTGTACTACTCGGTTGTTCTGAAGAGAGAGATGGACTCGATCCCATTTGTGGAGGTTGTATTCTACATCTGGCTTGCCTCCTTCCTCCTTGACGAGATTCAGCAATGGGCAGACGCTGGTTTATTTTACCTGTCTGACCTGTGGAACATCTTTGATATTGGAATGATTACCCTCGGAATTGTCTTTGCGATCCTAAGTATGACACATTTGCCCCTTCACCTTTACCAAGCATGCTGACTATTCCCACAGGAGTTGTTGGGATTTCCACCGGTAAGTCGAATATAAGCGAGCTGGCATTTGACATATTGTCCCTGGAAGCACTTCTTGTGATGCCTCGTATTTTCTCCTTCCTAAGCTTGAACCCTTACTGGGGTACTCTGATTCCCTGCATCAGAGCCATGGCCAAGGATTTCGTCAAGTTTATCATTCTGGTTATTATTGTGTACATGGGATTCCTCACGACATTCTCGCTCATTGGACGAGACTCATTCACGCTGCCGCACATCACTTGGTCTCTGGCCAAGATCTTCTACGGAAACACAGGTATTGCTTTCGAGATTATGGACGACGTGGACCCAACCTTTGGCCCGCCTCTGATGATTCTCTTCATCACGCTTAGCTCCATCCTCCTTACGGGCTCCTTGACTGGTATGCTGTCGAATAGCTTTTCCCGCGTCATGACCCACGCGAGAGAGGAGTACCTCTACATCTATAGCGTCTATGTCCTTGAGGCGTCCACCAGTTCCCGCCTCACACACTTCTACCCGCCTCTCAACCTCATCTCGCTGGTCTTCTTCCACCCATGGCACGTTGTGTTTTCTGGGGACGATAAATTCCGCCACAGCCGAGTTGTCGCTCTCAAGATTACTCACTTCCCCTTCGTCGCTGTCATATACGCTTATGAATGGTTTTGGCGCAGGGCCTGTGACAGCAAGGACCATGAGGAGTGGGCTAGGTACTCTGGCGGCCGATCTAGGAGCGACTCCGAAGCACCTGGTACGCGCCCTACTATCGGTCAGCCTCGCACGTCGGGTTCGCCGTACCGCGTAGCTTCTGGAACGTATAGGAGCCTCAACAGATATCTGGACACACGGTCTAGGTCGAGGAGTATCGGGAGCAACGACCGGATCAAGGAGGAAGACGATGGACCCAGCAATGCAGAGCTCATGAAGCAAATCCAGAAACTGACAGAGATGGTGGTCGAGCTTCAGAAGAAGCAGAGTCAGAGTGCCGAGGAGGCCAAATCTCACCACCACCTTGACTGAAAATGAGGCAGTCATATATAAATGAGCATGTGCGTGACGATAGCGACATGGTTGCACGATTATGAAATTGTTCTACTTGAGAGATTGAAATTAGATACTACTAGGTGTAGGTGCAGTTGAGTTGTGAATGACTGGCTACGACGAGGGAATTGAGAATGTTTTGCAGGCCAAGAAGATTCAAAATAAGTAGGGATTTTCAATACTTTGAAGATTTGTGATGAGAGGAGTTCTGAGTATAGCGTATAGCTTGAGATCAATCTAATACTTCCTCTGTTCCATTGTGCCTACGGTTTATCTTACCTACCGGTTGTTTATCCAACTCTCTCCCATACTTGCAGGTTCTTGAGCGCTGCCATGGTTAATGTATGGCTATGGACCCTCCGCCATTGCTAATCTGGCGAGGCTAGTGTCTCATTATCTCACGTAATTGTGAAGACTGCAAAGTCTTGAAAGCCTTTCTGGAAATCTCTATAAGTAAATATTACACCTTCCGAGGTTATGATTTCTGCCGCCAGCACTTGACAGTGCAAGTTGATGAAGCGCGGAGAGGGGTTCTGCAAAAGGCGGGTTCGCAGTTCGCCTGCGGACGTCGATAAAACACGAAGGCTGTGGAAAACTTCTATCAGATTGGACGAAATCTATTTGATTGTGGTAAGCGTGCTAGTCGACGATCCCGAAAGCTCAATGAAAACAGTATGAAGGGCCAGAAAGTTGAGTCTATGAATATTACTATTTCGGAAATATAATCTAAGGAAACAACAAAAAAAAACAATAGTATTGATAGAAACCCTGCTCGGTACTGTTATCTAACTTGTCGCCGTAGTGAGTTCGTCGACCCCCGCCAACTGAAGTAGGATATCTTCCAATGCCCACCTACAAATGGCGCTCAGAGCCGGCTCGGATAGCGGCCTGTCGTACCCATTCTGACTCAGAAACTTGGAAACTATCTTCTTACCATTATATCCCCAGTAATCCCGCGCAATTGATAGCTTAACCTCGTGTTCGCCACTGAGATAGTGAGAGCGGGCAGGGCGTTCGGTGTCAGGGAAGGCAGTCTCCCAGATACGAAGCCAACGCTTTCTCTCACCGAGTATAATCTTATCACGTTTCCATAACTTGGTTCTCTGGAAGCTATTCACGCCCTCAACATGAACCCAATTCCGGATCTCGCACGTTTGGGTAAGAAAATGCCGGTCTCTATCCATTGCTCGAGAAAATGTCTGACGGCAGCGTGGGCAATATGGCGGCTCCGCATGGAACCGATTTACATGCTTGATTACATCCTCAATGGACTGCATATCATGCTCTACCAGACATTTTCTATGTCTCGTAGGATCCGAGATGTAGAACGGGCAGGCCAAGTGGTAATATCCATCTGCCTTCCTAACCAGGATAGTATTTGGATCCTTTGGATCTTCCATTTGCTCATAGAACATTTGGGACCTGGAATCTGATGAGCTGTACCGGCTCCGGGGGGGTAGCCTGTCGTCTGGAGGCGCTACATATCGTGTCTGCTGCATGCGCTCCCTGATCTGGGGTAAAGTCGCTTGTATCAAATCAGTGCGGATGCATTGGTAATCTAAACGTATGTCGTGGTCGAAATGTTCATGGGTTGTGTCTTCGTCTTCGGTATCAGACTGTGAGCCAGAGCCGCTGCTTGAGCTGTCGTAATCACGGCCTGAATCGGTTTCGTGATTACGGAGCGCCTCTTCGACGAATTCGTCCCACGAATATGCTCTCGCCGGATGACAGTGTCTTGGCTGGGACCAGTGATAGTTTTGATTCTTGGTCACACCACTAGGTTTGACTGAAGATTGAGTTTGTGTTGTTCGATATGATAATCTTCTGTTTGGTGTTGAATTTGGAGTCCGGAGATTCGAATTGGAGGCAACAAGCCTCGGATGTTCTTGGCCCTGTCTTCCAGATGCCTTCCTGACCTTGTTGACAGACATTGCTCAAGATTTTCTAAAAATTTGTGCAACAATTGCACGATATCTTGTCTTTGCGCCAAAATATCAAGAATGTATATCGGTAGGTCACCGAAATTTTGCTCTGCGTAGTGGAGGAAGTGTCGTATCGCCAGAAGCTCGTTTGTTCTGGCCGCGACTTCGTGAAGAAAACATTCAAAGACAATGGGATAAATCAACATAAACTAGATTGTTGTGATGGGATCTATGAGCGCGCTTGGGATACAAACGTAGCAGCGACTTGTTTGGCGTCTAGCGGTAGGTTAATATAAACTTGTAGTCGGATCTTTTGGAATCCATGTGGCTGAATATTGCGATCACTCGTATGTTTCCAGTATAGGATTAGGTCTCACCAAGGCGTCAGTCGCCTTGCATCTGACGACCCCAGCTGCAGCTCTTGAACGCTAGTTGCAACCTACTTCCATTGGGATTCGGGGTGTGTATCGAGATATCCCAACTATGTAGATCCTACACCTAATGCTGCTATTTTATTCTCGTGGCTCGATAAAAGCCCCTGGAAGCGCGATCCCTGGATCGTGAATCACCCGAGCCATGCATTCGTATTGGCCTAAAGACTTCCTGAGACTGCATATTTGACTCCTGAAATTTCGGGCCCTACTGAATTGAGTTTGTCCGCCCTGGGATCGGCCTGGTGATAGGTTGAAACGATCGTACGCATTTGTGCAGATGTTGCCCATTTCACGCGCGTCAGATCCTCCACACAAATGTGCTGCGGCAATGCGGTAAGAGGATCAGCCGCACCGCAAAGATAAGAGAACACGACGTAGATTGATTATTTAGGGAATTCTTACAGATGGGCAGCGGAAGGCTGTTCCGGTGGTCCAATCCTTGGTCACATTCGGTCCTTTTCCAGATTCGCACGGGTGTGCTCTTTGGTTCGCTGACCATTATGACCCGTTCATCCCTCACAGTAGTGTCGTGGCTGCGGCACATCCCCAGATATGATGACAACTTTGGGGTCGAAGGGCTGTGAAGCTCCGATAGCCATGAACCCAATTGCTTATATGTCACCCCTGGATTCGCTTCAAACTTGGGGGATCGACCTGGACTCAAAGTGCATAATTACTGCATGGTGTCTGCCACAGTAAGCCTCAAATATTTCAACCAGTCTTCAAGCGTAAAACAAAAGTGTGAATTAGCAAGAGCAAAAAAGAAATGAGGGGGTTGGCCAGCCCATATCTTTATGCAGGACTGAAGATGCCTGGTACTACTCGAACGCTAGCTAACATATACAACTTCACAATTTCAGCCTACCTCCCATCAGTGGAGGTTGAAGCAAACAGGTCACCGAAAGAGATATTTGATGGGATTTTGCGGCCAACGCAGAGTTCACAGTCCGCCTTATCACAGACAACTACTCCCACCCGTCATCAGCTTCTTCTGATCCATACCATCCTCCATGCTTCTCGGTCATGTGTTCGTAGATATCATACGGAACTTCCTCTCCGCAAAAGAAACACCATTCGGTGTCACAAATGGTGCAGCTTATGTGGTCGCACCCTCCATCTTTTTCGGTCTGTACGCCGCAGCCCGGACACTCCTTCACGCGGATTCCTGGCTTCTTTCCAGGTTCGCGACCCATACACTCGTCACAACACCATTCGCTCACAGGAGGCGGCGCACCGGCACCACACGCTCGCTCCATGTATCGGCTCGCCTCGCTGCAGTACCAGCACCACGCGTAGATCCAACCGTTGTCCTCCACTGCAGTCTTGAGATTCCCCAGAGTGCGGAGATTCTTGGGAAGGACCTTGGGGGAGGGCTGTCGTCGACAGAATGGACAACTCAGTGCCGCAAGATTCAGGATCTGGCCGTGCGAGTTTGAACCGTACCAGCCATCAAAACAGGACTTGCAAATCTGCTGGCCACAGCCGCGACGGCCACAGGCACTTAGTAGATCAGACTTTCTCATGTTGCTGAAACACAAACTGCAAGTTCCTGACTCAACCTGTCGCGACTCCACCCACGATCGCAGTGATTCAATAATCACGCTGGCATTTCGGACCAGCTTTCCCTGAATCGTGAGTCTCGGGATCTCCATGCTACCGTCCCCATTTGTCCGACGAGGGAGGACTTCAACCTTGTCCGCGAATCCTTCGGTGCCTGCATTTGAGATTGCGTAGAAGAGTGATCTGTTATTGAACGGCTGCGCAATCTTCTTGTCGTCATTGCGTAGGAGCCAATCAAAGCCATTGTGCTCCTGGTTAGCAAGCTGCTCTGGCGTCGTCTCGACCTCAATGATGGTTGCAATCCGCTCCGTCTGGCATGCCATGCACTTGAACTCGGCTTCATTGAATTGCTTGGGGCGGTATTGTACCGGCCATATGACCCGGCTCAAGCAATTCTTGCATTCAACGCAAGGCGCAGTTGTGCAGACGTCTCTTTCCGGGTGATTCTTAGGCATGAGCCCGTCCATTCGACAGTACCAGCACTTGGGACGAACATTGAGCTTCCCTGCATTGTAAACGACGTACTGTGCTCGGCAATATTTCATCGAGCACTCCACCCAAGTGGCCGTAGTCTTTTGGTTGTCCTGTGCAGAGACTTGAGTATTGATATAAGTCTTGCGCTCCTCTTCAGTTTTATAATCGGATGCGCAGAGACCGCATAGACCACTCAGGTTCATCATTGTAACGGAGCGAGGGAACTTGCAGCCTGGGCATTGCACGACTGGACCAAGGGAAACCTTTGACTTGCTAGGCTGCCATCCAACTTTGGCAGTCAGACTTGTTTTCAAATTCATTTCCAGCATCTTGTAATCGACAAGAGCCTGAAACAGACGCCGGTCCTCCTCTTTGAGAATGCTTTCGCTCGAGTGGGTGGATTCGTTTCGGCTGCGGTATGACTTGTCCGCCTCGAGAAGCAATCTCAAACAGCTTGCATTCCATGTCTCAGGAATATCCAAGTTGTTCCACTTGGGGTATGCCAGAAGCTCGGCATCGGCCGCTTCCTCGAGGGGCTTGATACCCATTCGCAAGCTCAACGCAGCTAACAACGCGGCTGGCCGTGCTGATAGCTTCGTACCTGGAAGCACAGTGTGCAGCAAGACCTTCCAGAACTGCCGCTTATATTTCTGGTTTACCAGCACCAAAGGAATTCTTGGAACTTCTGACTCTGGTGCAGCCTTGATGTGCTCTGACATGTCTTCTTCACGCAGAACATAGGTAAGGCGCGCCATCACCTTGCCGAGCCGGCCGAGGATCCGACCATCACAGGACCGGCCAATTTCCATCAGTTCATCGCGGGTGAACTTCAATGAAGCCTGGACCCTGTTCCCGTCAGAGTCTATTTCCGTGAAAGATACGGCTGGATCAAGGAAGACGCAAGGGAAGCGCTGCTTCTCTGGAACCGACTCAATCAGCGCCGTGATTTCTCCCACATAGTCATAGGACGATTCCAGCCAGGCTTTCATCTTAGCCTTCAGATCCGGGAAAACGATATTGTTGACTCGTGTGCCAAACATCTCGATGAGTTTGTCTCGGTCTTCCCCATCGCGGTCATTGCAAACGGTCCGCCATAACGTCCCAAAGACCGGGTTGACAGTCATCGATATCACGTTTGATTCAATGATATCAGCCAACTGCTTCGAAACGGTGGCGCGGTAAACCTTGTCCGCAGAATAGCGCTTGGAGAAATCCATGGGAGGGCTGTCCTTTCCATTCTCCTGCCGCCGTGGGATCTTGTCCTTCATGTTTTCTAGGGTGAGCGGTGTGGCAATCAAATTGCTCTTCACATAATTGCAATACTCCTTATTGTCAATCTTGACGAAGTATGATCTACTCAGCTCATCCGCCTCCGAGGCGACGTCGTTGATTGTACTGACGTCCTTGTAGTTCACCACAGAGCCTATCTTGGTGGAACTGGCTGCCTCGGCGCCGTTCTTCTCGGCGCCCATCCAGGTGAGAAGCACGTTGATTGTCAGCGAGGAGATGGTCTCAGGCGTGGACACATCTGGAATCTCCACGCATGTACCTCCAGTGAAATGGTTCAGGAACAAGTGTGCTGACAGAGTATCGGCAAGAGTGGATTGAATGACGCTGATGAAAGTGGCCTTTTTGGGACCATCGCGAAAGTGCTTGGATACCGACACCCAGTCGAGGAACTCGGGCCCAGTGCCATAGGCGTCGGTCTTCAGACGCTCTATTTCAGACGCGCGGTATTTCCCACCCTTGAATAAAATGTCAGTTCCAAGATCCAGAGTGCATTATTTGATACGCATGGCTGTACATACCGTCGCTGGAGTGTGAGGAGGAGCGTCCGCATATAGCAGAACCAGCGTCTTTGCGTCTTCCCGCATCACCGAATAGGCGTGCGCAAGGCCCGTCTTCACAGCCTCAGGCCAATCGCCGCCATGCTCCGGGCGCAGCTTTGTCGTGAAGTCAAGCAAATCACTCTGCTTCAAAGGGTATCCTTGGCCGAGCCATCTAGTCACCAAGACTGTTAGAACCTAGATGCAGGGAGTGTAGCGAGGAAGTTCTTACCCGGACCACTCAGTCAGCTCGCCTTTGTAGTAATCGCGGTACGCCAGGACGCCTATTCTCTCGAAACAGCCAGTGAGGGCCGAGATGCGAATTATTTCTGGCAGTGATTTGTTTAGGGAGTGGAGGTAGCCGCCCATGGAGGCAGTTGCATCGGTCAGGATCAACAAGTCATGCTTCTCTCTCATGATGGCGCAGCTGGTCGTGGGCAACGCGCCACGCTCGGGTTCTGAATCTGAATCGTGGGTAAACAGAAGAAGTTGACGAAAGAAGTCGAAAAACAAAACAGAGGAAGGGTGGCGGTATTTGTGCTTTTGCTTTTGGAGTTGGAGTTGGGGAAGTCACGGGCCAGAGAAACTCTGAGTCATGCCGAAACTCTGAACCAACAGAAGAAACATGGCCTGACAGAAGCCTGCCTGACCTCTTTCCACTGCAAAATCAAAACCGCTGAATCCAATTCCTCAGCGAATCACCCCAGCCAATGGGCTAAAGAGCGGCTGAAGAGCGTATCCCTACGAGGCTTAGTTCATTGGTGCTGCGCCCATTGGCGATGATCATTTAGTTGCGGGCGGTGTTTTCAATTACGGAAGCATTCCCATAGCCAAATTCCGCCACGAATGTTGCCTGGCCGAGCTTGAAAATAGTCCTCGGCTGCTAGCTGAGCTTCACGGTTGGCAAGTCTAGAGCTTTACCGCTCAGATGTTCTGTCAGTTTACTATTTCTTGCGCGTCTCTTGGTTCTGGATGGGGATGACTCAACGTCGTAGCGGCACAGCTTACCTTATTCATCAATTCCTACCTAGTGTTAGCTATCCCATGCTTAGTGGTCACAGCTCACTTGCAGTGCAGGAACGCTGGCAGGCGTTGAGTCACACTCAGATCCTCTACCATTAGGCTCTTTCAGAGTTCTTCGTTGTCTGCTCAACGGCCAATCTTTAACCAAGTTCATCGTTCTTTCTGTCGTTTTGTTTTTAGACTTCGGTATTCCTCGCCATTCAGAGTGCAGGCAGGAAAGTTTGTTCAATAGTCGCCATTAGGGTGGAAATATGCCGTCCATTTTCTATCCAGAATGTCATACTTAGGCCTACTCCTGAACTTGTCCAATTGCAAAATATTAGACTACTTTAGCATAGTTTACCAAGCGCCAGGACCCCTTGGGGATTCATCTCGCCTTGGAAAGCAAAGAGGATGACTAGGGCTGTACGGCTACCCTTCTAAACATGCATCTCCACAAAGAGAAGCTTCAGTCGTCCATATAACTGCTTGTGGAGCCGACAAAGTGAGGAATATCAGAGCTTCTCCCCATGACAACATCGATCTCGTCAGCACGTCCCAGCTTGCGTGTTTCCGGTACGTAGTTGGCACTCTTTGGGAAGTCAAGAACGAGATCTGTCCACATATGCCTAAGATTACGTTCGAAGGTTTGAGATGCGACAGAATGACGGATAACTCGGTATGTCGTGGGCTACGAAGGAGCACTGGGGCTGATAGCTATAGGTGCCAGCGGCAAGCAGATCCGCGAAACCGAAACAGATGGTAGGTGGGGGAGAGTGTCGTCTTAAGCGGACTCAACAACCCGTCAAACCGTCGATCAATACCAGGTTTCCGAAGATGGCATGACTCTTCTAAGAGTTCCCTAATCTCATTGTACGTGCATAGCGTGTTGCTTTTGTGGTGTCTGGTGGATGGAGACCGTCGGGTTATCTCGGATATGATTATTCTGTAGACGGGGGAGTGCTTTAATACACGACTACATTGTACATAATATGGTTTTGGAAATCTTGAATGTAGTATATCAGTGTTGAAGCATTATTCACTATGCTTTGATGATGCTGCGACTGCATTGTACACGAGTAAATCTTCGGCATCTGAAAAGCCCCGAGCCACCGGCTAGTAAAATGGCATGTCGCGTAATCTGCAAGTGCGCTATCAATGCAACTATGACAGCCTTGACAACTGCGTATCAAAGGTGGGCCGAGACTGTTTTTGCTGATCATTACACGATTCTGTATTGGTGAAACCCAGGATGCTACCTTGTGGATGCTACCCATCTGATTTAATTTAGACGCCGAGACCGAAACCGAGAACGAAGATATACGTAGGCTAAAAGGACCAATGTAATCTAGGAGCATCGGAAGTTATAAAATCAACTCCATCTGCCGTGGGATCTGGCCTTTATTTTCCGAAAGTGCCATATCTACAAGAGTAGACCCGGAGTAAAGAGATAGCGTCTTTTCCACATCCATATTCCGCAGCCAGCACGCCCAACATATGCTGGAGCAGCTGATACGATATTAATACTTTTGAACCTCGCCATTTCCGCTGTCACAAACGAGGGATTTCAGCATGTTGTTACCAATCGGGATAGGTAGTGCCGTAGGCCTCCTCTTCGCGGCTGTTGGTCTCTCCAAATCTCCGAGAATTTATCACCTCGCTTACACATCTACTAGATTTTTGCCTATATTGCGGCCTATCTTGCCTACAACGCATGGTTCAATCCTCTTCGCAAGTACCCTGGCCCGCTCTTCATGCGCACAACAAGACTGGGATACCTCTACAAAGCGTTCAAGGGCACACTGCCGTTCGATATGCTGGATCTGCACAAAAAGTACGGCCCTGTTGTACGCATCGCTCCTAATGAACTTGCCTTTGCCGATCCTGCCGCCTGGAACGATATCCAGGGCCATAGAACAAAGGGCCAGTTGGAGTTTGAGAAGGCGCAGCTCTTCTATCGTCCCATCGACACCATGGAGATCGATATTATTAGCGCTGATCGTACAGAGCATGGGTTCCTCCGACGTACGCTTTCGCATGGTTTCAGTGACAAGAGTCTTCGCGAACAACAGCCCCTAATACAGGGATATATTGACAAGTTGATCGAGAGGCTGCATGAGAATAGTAACGGCGGGTCAACTACGATCGATATCATGGCTTGGTACAACTTTACGACATTTGATATTATTGGAGATCTCGCTTTTGGAGAGCCATTTGGATGCCTTGACTCATCTGATTATCATCCCTGGGTTCGGATCATTTTTCAGATGGCCCGGGCCGGAGTGGTGCTGCAGGCATTGGGGTACTACCCATCTCTCAAGAACTTTCTTCTCAGCCTAGTTCCCGACTCAGTTCGCGAGCAGAATCAACAACACGAAGAGCTTACGAACGAGAAGCTCCGGCGACGAATGAATCTTGGGGCTGAGCGCCCGGATCTTATCGAGGGCCTCCTGAGGAAGAAAGATGAATGGGTAAGTGCCTCAAACGACATTGAATCCCCGGGATCGGGAGCTAAGACATGTTCTAGGGTTTGACCATGAGCCGTCTCTCATCTAATGCAGGCAAGTTGATCATCGGCGGCAGTGAAACGACCGCAACACTGCTATCTGGAGTTACGTATTACTTGGCAATGAACCCTGCCGCTTTAGAAAAGGTGACAAATGAGGTTCGATCCACATTCAAAACGGAAGACGAGATCGATTTTAACAGCGTCAACAACTTGACGTATATGCTCGCATGCCTGAATGAAGCTTTAAGGATGTATCCACCCGTTCCTGTTGGGCTTCCGAGAGTCGCACCAAAGGGTGGTGCCAATGTGTGCGGCCATTATGTACCAGAGGGCGTAAGATTATCCCGACTACTTCTTGTGTGAGGTCATTTTTTTACTAACATTATACCAAGACCGTCGTTGGAATTCACCAATGGGCCCTGTACCATAACGATAAATTCTTCAAGGATCCTTTCAACTTCCACCCTGAGCGATTCCTCGGGGACAGTGCGTTCGAGAGCGACGTTCGAGAGGCGTTTCAGCCCTTTCATGTTGGACCACGAAACTGTATTGGGAAAAAGTGAGTATAAAACAATCTCTTTTCGCGAATTCTTTTGATTCGTATAATTAAACTGAATTTCTTAGTCTGGCATACGTAGAAATGCGAACAATCCTTGCAAGAGTGTTGTTTAATTTCGATATGCGACCTACGGACGCTACTAGCGGATGGGAAAAGCAAAGGGTATTCAATTTGTGGGAGAAACCGCCCCTACCTGTTTATTTAACATCCGTCAAACGCAGCTAGATTTTGAAATCTGGACCGATATAAGAGGCGTAGCCAATTGCTGTTTTCACCCTATGCTTTCCTTAGACTACGACCAATAGCACGTTCACTGAACTGAAACAAAGGGGGATACTTGAAGATATTGTGGAGTTTGCTGTTGTTTGAATTAATGTCAAGCTAGATTATACGTTTCAGAAGGGTGTATTTTCATCAAGCAGACTCATAAGTTGTTGATTCCCTTGAAACCAGTCGTCCAAGTTATCAAAATTAGAAATGCTCTCTTCAAAACCCTTTGCATGCTCCATGACCATCTCGACGCTATTATCCACCAAGCTCGCCTGCGCAGCTTGCAAAGGATCCTCGTTGAGTGAGGGAAGGATTTCAGATGAATAAAGGGCATTGGTTCTCATATAGAGCTGCGCAGCCTGGCAAAGCAGATCGTACAACTGATGAGGATGGGTTATAGATTCCGATCCAACTGAATCTGGACAGAGAGAATCTGTGAAGCGTTTCAGGCGAGCCAAATCAGCCACGTCGTGAAATTGGATCACTCGCGTGAATAGGATGGTGAATGGAACAAAAGGTGTGTTTACAATTGCCCTATTATCCAACTGTCAGCTCATTTACGGAAATGCCTGTTAGCATCCAACTTACCAGTTTATATACTTTCTATGCATGGAACAACCGATTCCACGTTTCTTTATGCCCATCATGCATTTGTGGTGAATATCGAAAACCTCGCGAGCAGCAGTGACGTAGTTGTTTACTGAGCCCTCTAAAGGCTGCAGAGGAAGAGGTACGGCACGCAGAATGAGCGTCAATAACGAAGTCAAGCAAACCAAGTCACATTGCAGATGATAGTCCCGCAATGGGTCCAACGATACACTACGTTCATCACTTGCCTGCACGGCCTATTAGTAGACGTCGCAACGGAAGATTGGAAGACAGCATACGTTCAATTCGGTATATGTTTCCGCGATCAAACTTCGCAGCTGCTCGGCAAGCTGCTCGGCGTGGTGAATCCGTGTAGTACTATTCGCAACGGATATGGCCGCTGGGCTATACAGTTGCTCATACACGTTACCTTGAATCCTCGCCACTCGAACGGGTCTTGGTAAATCTTGCTCGAAGGGTATTGTTATCTCAGTATCAGAAATATTCGGCGCCCGACCAAAGCGAAGAGATAGCCCTTTGTCAAGCCGATAAACCGACCAGAACAGCCGTTCCTGGGAAGCTCGAAGAGAATTTATTGTCCCTCGAGACCGTCCCGGTGGGCTTCGATGGTAACCAAGAGTTTGACACTGAGTTGATGCAACGGATATGAAGCTCCAAGCTAGCGAAGCCTTGGAGTTTTCAACAGCATTGAATGCCTGAAGCTGGTCAGCACTGCATAGCGTCGGTCTAAAGACGTATCATACATACCCCAAGCATCAGCGCAGCTATGACTTCCATGGATGACGGCAAAAGAAGCGGGAGCCTCTGGAAAGCCTTGAACATGTTCCTTTCACAAAGCTTGCCGTATTCCATGTAGTCTTCCCGTCCAGACCCCGCCGCATGCTCGCAGAAGATGAAGTACATGTACCCATTAGACAGAATAAAATCTATCTCGTTGAAATCGTCGATTGCAAAATAGACCTTTCGGCATATATCGGCGAATCGCTCAAGAGGAAGTACATGCGACATCCGAGATACAGTTGCGTTGGTGTGATGGGCTGTTTATATCATCAGAAATATGCATCATGGTGGAATGAGGGAACCAACCTTGAGCCCAACGTAGTATGTCCACTGAAGCCGCCAAGGGGGGCATCTCAGAGTTACTTTCCGGTGCTGGAGCCATGGCTTTGGGAATGACCAAATGTTTAGGGTTTTCAAGACTCGTAAGAAGAGTCTTCATGGACGATACCACTTTGCCACCCTCAGTGCCAACATATGCAGGCTCTATATGTTCAACAAATGTTTTGATAAATTCAATGATGTGTGCAGAGTGATCCCAGTGGGTGTTGCTCCCAGGTGCGCAAAGAGACACCCCCCGGGATCCATGCTTGACCGTCTCAAGTCGATTATCAACTGATACCACACTCCTGTCGGTTCCATTTTCCGTGGCTGGTGGTGGCCTGTTTGTGGTCTGAAGGAAAGCTTGGATGGCATCGACGCCCTTTGCAATGTCGTTGATTTTCTTTTCACTAGAAGATCTTTAATTATGTCAACGCCACTTTCAATGAACCGGAATGACGCACTACTCTGCTGATATTAACACTCTCTGTCTCGGAGCTTTCGTATTGGATGCCACGAGACTGTAAGTACAATTTAATCTGGCCGAAACGCAGCTTGAACAGGGTGATGTTCTCTCGCAGGCGATCTAAAGTGATGCTATCAGTCAACTCGCTGCGTTCATAGAATGAAGTGAGACGAGGCAGCATACCTTTCGAGTCCGGCACTGATCACACTAGTGGAAGAGCGTTAACGCGAGTTGATCACACAATCCCGGAGCAGGCTGGCTTACAGAACGGCGGGGAATCGCCAGCCGGGGCTGCGACGTTCCATTGACATCCTCGCCCAAATCCATTCTTTCTTGATTGTTTGGGAGGTTCGTGATGTAAGCCGGTCAGGAAAACAGTGAGACGGAGACATCGGGCATCCGCGGGTTTCCGAATGAGGAGAGACTCACCTTTTAAGCAAGCTGACCAAAACAGTGGGGATTGAGATGACAAATGTAAAGTATGTTGCGACTGAGCTTGCTTTGATTGGCCACAACAAGATCCAACTCTGTCCGCGGTTTTGCGCGGGATTCCGGCCAGCCAAAGTGTCAAGAAACCATGGCCTTAAGTTAGTAATTTGAAGTGCTGGGAAGAAGGCGTGCTGTCAGATGGAACGAAAAATGACGGGCTATAAGATCTCGATACATCTATTTCTCTCAATGATTTTAACTTTAATACATTCCGATACAGTATCGAGACTATCCAGCTATTACATCACTCGCAATTTTTTCATATCACAACATGGCTCACGTAAAGAATGTTCTTGTCACCGGTGGCGCCGGTTTCATGTAGGTCTATGATTCATCCAGTCGTTCTTCGTTGAGAGCTAACTTGAATACAGCGGAGGCTCCGTAGTAGCCACTCTTATTGCCCGGACCACCGCTCCAGTGAAGGATCTAAACGTTAGCACCGTCATTCGCTCGGAGGACCAGGCCAAAGCACTGTCGAAGCTAGGCATCAATGTCATCCAAGCCGATCTTTTCGATGAAAAGGCCATTCTAGATGCAGTGCTTAACAATGAGAGTGGGTTGCCCGGCTAACTAACTTTTCAATCCACTGATTTACAATTGTAGTTGATCTTATCGTCCATGCGGCCAGCTCGTTTGTTTTGCCTCTTGGCCTTAACCTTGTGAGAGCCCTTGGCCAGCGAGGCAAAACAACCGGCAGGAAGACGTACTTTATCAACGTGAGTAAATCTAGTCTCAGTATTTGTTCACGTTCGCTGATTTTTTAGTCATCAATTACTACTCCCTTCTCCGAGGATGGGGGTTGGCCTGAGGGAGAGGTCAAGGATACTGACAATTTGTACGAGACGGAGAAGCAGATCGACGATGGCCATCCAGTCCGTATCGTAAGTATACCATCTCACCAGCTCCTCGTTTCTTATACGCAAGCAACTAAAAATTCAGTAGACCGACATTGGCCTCGTAGAAGAATCTAAGGCACAAGGTGTTGAATTTTTCAATGTGGCTGTTCCTGTTGTCTGTGAGTCAAGTTCCATATCAGCCATGGGAACTTATTGAGATATCGGAGACGCTAATATTGAACAGATGGAAGAGGCAGCGGAGAGTGGAAAAAGCTATCTACGAACATCCCTGCATTCGTTCGAAAGAGCGTCGAGAAGAAGATCGTCTACAAGTTTGAGAAAGATGGAGTATGTCCAGACATTGTTTCCCATCTACTGAAGAGACTCCCAGTCTTGTGATGTCAAGAGGCAGCCAGTTTTATCTCATAATCAGTGATAAATTGTATAGAGTAGGATACTAACAGTGTTACAGAACCCCCCCGCGATCCATGTTGCCGACTTGGCCGATCTGTACGTCGTGCTTGTAGAGAAGATTCTTCAAGGACAATCGATCCCCAATGGGAAGAACGGCTATTATTTCGGGTTTGCTCACAGACTCCCTTGGTGGAAGACCATGGAGCGCATTGCTGCTGGACTTCATGCCCGAGGCCTGGTAGCAGAGCCCAAGGCGCAAGTCTGGCCAAGTTGGGAGGAGGCTGCCGCGCAACTCAAATGGCCGGTCCAGCATATTCACGCCATGGGCGCAGCTACGTACGTGTTATCTCCTCTCCAAAAATAAATTATAGCTAACCAAAAGCACAGCGGGCAACAAGTTGCCGTCAACCCATACTTGCTGGGATGGCAGCCCAAATGGAACCAGAAGAGCTTCTTGGATAGCATCGATGATGAGATTCAAGCCGCATTGGACGATAAGCCGCTGAAAAGTACTCTCTTTGACACTATCTTGTGAGTGGAGGGGACTCAGGACTGTTAAGCGCGATCACAACGTGGTGAAAAGATGTGGTTATTACCAAATAATAACCAAGTTGTTTTGGTGAAGGAGTTCGCTTATTGATAATATCTTCGAAGTCATTCGATGTTATTGAACTTTTATAGCCTGTTTCACGCACCAATTTGGAGTGATGATTTTATTAATCTACAATCATCGTTTTGTAACAGAAAGAACTTAGTTGAGCGAATGTTCCATGAACGACAGGCGTCAGTAAATCTCCACTATTTAGATGCATTTGGGTTAGTATAGACTTGACTTATTTTGCTACATTCATAGTGACTCAGCTTACTTCGCCTCTTCTCAACTGGGCTCAAAGGCTGTCTGTAGGGTAGGCTGATAATATATTCATCACAAATGCGGCCCAAGAGGCTCACCCCTGTCACTCGACTTTAGGCTCCTGTAAGAACAAGGGAGCCAAGCCGCAAATAAATAATCGCTGGTATCCCCTCCCCTTCTCCGAATATTACTGCGAAATTTGCGACTCACAACTCGCACCGCTGCCTGGGGATCGGCTTCTGAAGTGATGAAACCTTGAGTATCTATTCCGTTCTACTTGAGCGCGATATGTCTGATCCGGGCATTTCTGTGGCCAGCCTACATGAACTGGTGCGGGGGTCTCAATTACCGACGACTTTCGAGAATGGGCTCATCATCCACGCCCGCTCAGCACGTCGCCGAGCTGCCCAGGAAAAATGGATCATCAAAAAGAGGCTCGGTAGTGGAGGCCAGGCCTACGTCGATCTCCAAGAGAGGATAACTGATGGATCCGGCCCCCGCCAGCTGCGTGCCGTTAAAAATCTCAAAATACCTGACGGTCGTCGAGAGGGGAGCCGGGAGCTCTACCGACGTGAGCTAGAAGCCATCGCGAAGTTCTCCCAAGCGAAGGTTTGCCCAAGGAACTTGCTTCCACGACTTAGTGATGTTTGGTTGCTAACGCAATCATCATATCATAGTACTCGTATCACTTCGTTACCTCATTTGGTTGGTTTCTTAGTTCACAAGTCTGCCTTCCTCTTTCCAATATAGTAACACCATGGCTAAAATTTTCTTTTTAACGTAGTTCATCCATATCGCTATGGAGTATTGTGAATTAGGGGACCTTGATAAATACCTTTGTAACCCTAGCAACTGTCCGGATCGCCGATTACCGGAGTTAGAGGTGCATGAAATCTCATCCCAGATCCTTGAGGCTTTAGATATTATGCACCGGGAGTCATTCTGCCACAGGGATCTGAAGCCTGCCGTGAGTTTTTCTTTTTCACATTTTCCCAAGCCGATACATGGTGGAAATCTGACCTATCCTCCTCAGAATATTCTCATCATGAGCACAAGTCCTTCTTGGTGGGTGAAGCTAGCGGATTTTGGTTTGACGAAAAGGAACGAGGCCACCATGCCCGAAACCACAGCGATACGTGGAACTCCAAACTATATGCCACCAGAGCTTCTTGGATATAACGGGAACGCAATGAAGGCAGATCAATACGCTGTAGATATGTGGTGTCTGGGTCAATGCGTCTTCAGACTCTTTACAGGAACACCCATATTTGCAAGCCCCAACCATCTCTTCCAGTACTCCTACGGCTATGAGAGCTTCCCGGAGTTGCCGTTGCAAAGACACGATGCAAGCGAGAGTTTGATTGATTACATCAAACAACTTCTTGCAGTTGATCCCGCCAAACGTTTATCCTCAGCGAACGCATTGAACCATGCTTGGGTCACATCGGGGTACTCAAATGACGAACCCCACCATACAACATGCTCTCAAGACTATGTTACGCAGGAGAATACAGAAGCTTCCGCAGCCTGGCCAGATGAATCATCAGATGCTGTGGAGCCTCAAGAGAGCAAACAATATGGTGCTCCACATTCGCCTGAGCCTAGCGTGGAAGAGCCATCAGCTGTATGGCCTGAAGATGAGCCTGCAGAAACTGCCTTCAGAGTTGAAATTACTGAACCGGACCAAGAGATCCCCCGCACTTTGGTGGAAGGAGATTTGACCCCTACTTGGGAGGCAGGCGAGACAGTCCGGACCAACCTCAGCACCGACGGGCGTGGTCAAGAAGCCGATACAATTATAACCGATGATCCAACACCTAATAAGGTCCAGATCGCAGAAAATCACAAGATTGCTGGGAATGGGTTCTACGGAGGAAAGAACTTTGATAAGGCTGTTGAGTATAGCAAAGGTAAGGAAAATAGTCTTTCAAAATTATCAGCGAAGGTGTGCTTATGATAGCTGACTTCTTTGCTTCGCAGCTATTGAACTGTTCCCCTCCTCGCCGACGTATCTAGGCAACCGGGCTGCTGCCTTAATGTCGAATGGGAAATATCAAGAGGCTTTAATTGATTGCTTCAAAGCTCTACAGGTCGCCCCTGATAGTAGAAAGCTACTCGTGCGTCTGGTTCGCATTTATACGTCACTTGGTGAGGCTGATCAAGCTGTTCACTGGTTAACACTCATAAGCAACCCTGACCCTACAGAGGAAGAGGCCATGGCAGCAAAGGCGATGCATCGTGATCATAAGCTTGCGATGGACTTAATCGGACAGATTGAAACGACTTCCATTGAGAGTATGCAGCTAGTAATCAGCGCATTGGACAGTGCCAGGAAGCATCAATCACCCTCAGCTTCCCTGCCTTGGGATTGGCAGGTTACCCTGGCTCTAGCTCATCTTAACTTGTATGGCCTTGAGTTGGATACAGAGAAACGAGCTGCTTCATTAGGAAAAGCCGAAAGCGCAATCGACTCAATACGTGCCTCCGACAAGTACTACCATAGTGAAGCAGTGTTCTTGTATGGGCGTCTGTTATATTGCCAAGGACAAGAAGAGAATGCCATCCGAACGCTCGAGAGGGCAACTCGAGCCTCTTCTTACTGTTTATCTGAGGAGAAGTGCGTCCCCTGCAGAGATGGAATTAGATGGCTTGGTGTCGTGCGGGAAATCTTTCAACTGAAAGAACAAGGGAATAATGCATTCAAAGCACACGACTGGATCACAGCCAAGGATTTCTACAATAGGGCGTTGGTGGTCGATCCAACTAACAGATTCACCAATGCGAAGCTCTACCAGAATAGAGCTCGGTGTTACATCAAGTTGGGTTTCTACGATAAAGCCATCGACGACTGTACGAAGGCACTTGATCTCGATGCTACCTATGTCAAAGCTCAAGCAACGAAGGCAACCGCTACTGGGCTGTCTGGATATTTAGGTGGAGCGTTGGAAGAATGGAAGTTGGTGCGGAAATTGAGTCCTGGGGACTCTCAGGCCATCAACAATATCCGAAGCCTTGAATCAGAGCTAGCTGATCCCCAGAGAGCCGTCCTCGACGAAAGGAAGGCAAAATACGGAGGTAATGTGAACCCAATTTGACTATTGCTGATAAGGTGTCTAACTCGAAATAGCGGACCACCCCTTGACTGTCCAGGCCATGGAAGCCCTTGTCGACTCGCTGTGCAACCAGGAATTACATCAAGAGGCTGTGGTGGTCCAAAAAGAGATCTTGGAGATTGAAGTGAAGAGGGCGGGCACTAAGAAAGATGAGATTGTCCTCCGTCTCATGGGCAATATTTGCTGCAACCTGTCTCTTGCGGAAAAGTACCAACAGGCGCTGCCAATATGTCGAGAGGTGTTTGAGTTGAGAAAAGAACACTCGGGCCTTGAAAACGCTGCTACTATCGCAAGCATGCATGATCTAGGCTCTGTCATGGTATCGCTTAAACAGTATGCGGATGCAGAGCCCTTGTTGATAAAAGCCTTATCTTTATCCGAGATGGCAATTGAGGACACTGATGAAATCACGATCGGATGCAAGCAGCATCTTGGCATGATATATATTGAAGAATCTAGGCACGAAGAAGCCGTCTTCCATCTACGAGACGTACTAGAATGGAAAAAGAGATATGACGGAGAGGAAGATCTGGGAACAGTACGGGTAATGCATGACATGGGGTACGTCCTCAATCAGCTAGGAAGGGCTTCGGAGGCAGAGCCCCTCCTTCGAGATGCTGTTCGATTGAGAACTAAAGAACTGGGCACGAACCATGAACGTACGCAAGACAGCGTTAAGGCTCTGTCTTCAGCATTGGCTAAACTTTGGCTATCAGAATAGATGATACAGACCTTTCGCTCTGTTTCATACTAGCTCGGTAGAATCTGATCTCATCATGAGAGGTGAAAGAATTGTTGGTGTTTTAATTGGATGAAGTAGAATACGAAGCACGGTTACAGCGGCGTGGTTTGCGTAGATTCATCAGTTGGTCTGGTAGCCATGAGCGTTTGGCGATGATGGTTGCATGCAGATCATAGCTCTCATATGTGTTCGTGTTGACGGCTTATTTGCCTGATAAGAATATGTAAGACTAATCAACATAGCAGATCCTAACATCAGCTATGGAGGAATTGCCTTGGGGGAATACAAACCAAGAGCTGGATGTACAGCTAAACATCGTTTGAATCACACAAGGATCCCGATGTTACCCAACCCGGTACGCAGAGATAGGCGAATAGACGAATTTTATTCGTCCATGCCACAAATATTGAATTCTGCATGCCCACCGTTGCGCTCGCCATCAGCTGGGGGGAGATAGCCAATTAGCTTGTCAGGCGATTTCAGCTACTTTCTTGGCTGCAACTCTACCACGACATGTCAGCGATGCTTATTCACCTTTACTGTCTCTGTAAGGAAGGTGTGATGGTAGCTGAAGGGCAAGGTGGTCTGAGACGAACTCGCTTCGGGATCACGAAATAGATAAATAGCTTAGGCAGCAGATGAAAAGTAGACTGAATGGATTTATCCACTTACGGACGGCCATCGAATTACCCAGATCCTTTTTAAAGAGAAATAATCTAAGAAAAAGAAGTTCTATCAATCTATCAGTAGTCATTATGCGTGCTCGTCCTAGCTTCATACTGGCGGCAATCTCGCTCGCTTTGGCAGCGCCTTCTCCTCCGCCCCAAGCGAGAGACATAGATCCCCGTGTTGTCGACAAATACATTGTCAAGCTTAAAGAATCATCAGAGATTGCTGCGCTCGACAGCATACTGGACTCTTTCTCAATTGAGACTGATCATTTATATAGCAACGTCTTCAACGGCTTTGCTGCTACCCTCGATGACGATCAAGTAGCAAAACTACATGATCATCCCCAGGTAAATGTCATATTTGGAGGAGGAAACTCTTTCGATGCTGACTCTGATTTAGGTTGAGTATATAGAAAAAGACTCCATTCTATCCATCGAGTCAGATGGCATTGTCTCCATTGATGATCTTATAACTGTGCCCACCACAAATTGGAATCTCGCTCGCATCTCACACCGAGCTCGGGGAGCAACTACCTACGTGTTCGATGATTCAGCTGGGGAAGGGACCTGTGTCTATATCTTAGACACGGGTATTCAGATAACCCATACGGTACGTTTGACTTTCTCGCGGTTTATTCACTAACTGACGACGGCGATGAAGCAATTCGGCGGCCGAGCCTCTATGGTAGCCAACTTCGTCGGCGGTAGCAGCACTGATGGGAATGGCCATGGAACCGCGATTGCGGGTGTGGTTGGAGGCCTGACCTACGGCGTCAGCAGAAACACCGCCCTTCTCGGAATCAAGGTGCTCGACGACAGCGGCTCTGGTACTACGAGCGGCATAATCTCTGGTATAGACTGGATCGCTTCAGATGTATTCACACGGAATTGTCCCAAGGGTTTCGCGGTAAATATCGCCTTTGGAGGATCCTTCTCCACAGCTCTCAACACTGCCGTCGCTACGCTCATCTCTGGGGGCACCTTCGTTTCTGTTTTTGCTGGGGGCAATGCCGCCAATGCTGCCAACTACTCCCCAGCATCTGTACTGACGGCTTGCACTGTTGGAGGCTCTACCAGCACCGACACAGCCGCATCTTGGAGCAATTACGGCTCATTGCTTGATATCTGGGCCCCTGGTCAGAGTGTTGTCACTACAGGCCTAGGCGGAACCACTGTACATCTCCCTCTAATTTTGTTTCAGATAAATGTGGTTTGCGACACTAACATCTTGATCATAGACAACGGTTTCTGGATCCATTGCCTCTGCCCACATTGCAGGCTTGGGGGCCTATATCGCAAGCCTCGAAGGGATAACCGGAGCTGGGATCTGCGAACGACTGAAAGAGCTTGCTACTCCTAATCTGCTCGGTAACGTGCCTGCCTCAACCGTCAACTTGATTGCATATAATGGCAGTGGTGCTTGAGTGCATCATTCGATTTGGGGAAGGAAGATGTGGTACTGTATGAACTCGTTGTGTTGAGAGGTCGGATCTGGTATCGCTGTTTTGAACTTTGTACCCGTACTCTCTCTCACCTATGATACTGTATGAAAACACAGTATAAGTCGGCAATCCACTTGCTTAAAGTTAGTTAAAATCATCCTGCGGTGAGGGATTTTAGGCACCTTCTCTAGGGCAACGTAGAATGTTGCAACCCCCTTTGCTAGACATGAATCCGTTCTCTGAATTGAAATCTAAACCATCCTCGAATCAAGACACTGTGTCCTAGCTTGCTCTCCTTCAACCTTCTCCAAAAGTGTCACTCGCTTACCCCTGTCCAGGCAGCGATTGTGCCAACAAACCGGACGCGCAAATACCGGCGGCAACCTGAATTTCAGCTAATTATAAATTATACCCGGCGCTAGTGATCCAGAGTCTTATCTTCTCGTATTTATCAGCAGCAGTGCTTGAGCCACGAAAAACTACGCCCTTGGATTGACACCACAATAGAGCATTGTTTGCCTTTGCCAGCTCGGCAGTTTCAGTCTCCCTAGTACTTATACTACAGCTATACTTTAGCCTATCTTCCCTTATCAAACTGGGCTAGAGCTAGACATGGCCGTGAGCAACGTTCCCGTCCTCCCCCATCCCGGCCAAGTTGGCGACCAAAGGTCCATTCCTCCGCCACCGGCCGAGGACTTCAATGCCTCATTCGGAGGAGTCCTGCCGCCTGCCCAGACCTTTCAGTCATACCTGGGCGTGACAACCTACTATGTGATTGAGCCCTGCCACCCGAGCCCGTCAACCACGGCAACCCCCCGCAACGTGGTGCTCATCCACGGCGTCGGAACTCCCGCCATCGGGCTCCTCCCCCTGGCCAAGCTCCTCGCCGCCGATTCCACGCCCACCACTGTCCTCATCTATGACAACTGGGGACACGGGTTGTCCTCTACCCCTGTGGCCGCCCACGTACCTGGCCTGTTTCACACCCAGATCCTCGGCCTCCTCGCCCATCTTGGCTGGTCACGGGCTCATTTTCTCGGATTCTCCCTCGGAGGCATCATAGCCGCTTCCTTTGCGCAGTATCACACCACTGTCGTGCAGTCCCTGGTCCTCATCGCACCCGCTGGTCTTTTGAAGAAATCTGGCCTGACGTCGTGGGAGAGGTTTCTGAGATGGGGTGGCTGGGGCTGGGGCTGGGGAGATCTTAGCGCAAACTCGGTTTGGGATTACCTGGGACCTGGACCGGTCGAGGAAGGCTGGGAGAAGAAGTTCAAGGAGAAGGGCTTGGAAGCTATTCCGAGGGAGGCTGTCCAGATCTGGGAGAAGGAGAAGCATGCTGGACATGTTGCGAGCCTGGTCAGCTGCTATAGGTATACGGGGGTTTATGATGCCCATGACACGTATAGGAGCCTTGCGGAGGGCAAGCTTGAGACCCTGGTTCTTCTTGGAGAGAAGGATGGCTTCTTCGAGAAGGATTATATGCAGAAGGAATTCAAATCAGTTGGGTGGAAGGGAGATATCCATGTTGTTGATGGGGTTGGGCATAGCGTTGCTGGAGAGAAGCCGAAAGAGGTTCGGGAGATGATGGTGGATTTCTGGGACAATCTCGAAGATGCATAAATGGGTATCCGTTTCTTTTCTTAATTATTGCTCATCTAGCTACCTTGATCTCAACCGCAATGCTGGGCCTGATACCGTCTCCACGACGACCGTTCTTGGAGGTCGGTTGCGCTGCTTCATGCGACTACTCATGCTATAGACGATGGCTCCCACATACCCCGCGAAAACGATTACCGCAATAGTGACGTATGCGATGAACCAAGCACTGCCCACCTGCCCTGTCATCTGTAACCCGAAACCGCCGTTGACGATGCCGACTATCATTAGGCCACGCCCGTGCCAGGAGTGGATGCGGCCCAACAGCCCTGTTCTATTGTGCTTTTTGTAATCGAGATGGTGAAGATATCCCAAGACAGGCTGGAAACTAAGGAGTACGACACAAATGGTCCCCATCTGCGTGTGAGTCTGCTTTCCAAACTATGTGAAGAGAAGACGCCTTGTTAGATCAAAGATGACTGGCAACAGCCCAAGAATTTGGAACACTTACCATCCCGGCATATGAAGCATATGTTACGCCAAGACCAAAGCCAACCCACATGATGAGGTACGCAATACACTGCTCCACGGCATGATAGAACCAGTTCCCAAAGAGCGGCATGATAATAGCCCCTGCCGGATATAAAACGAGAAATAGCGCCGACATGATGATTCCATGAGCGAGGACGATGGTATCATAGTTGACAGGCGCCACGTATGGCGCAATCCCGTTGTCGGATCCGTCGTCGCTGGCCGAGAAGACATTCGTCTCTGAACTTATTGCCGCTGCCGAGTGGCTGATGGTGAACCTTCGGTTCCCGTCATGCTTGTGAATTACCGTGTCCTTCTTGTCCGAGAGCTCCAATGGCCCTACGGAGTCCCACGCGCACATCCACACGTCTTTCCCTTCCATGTTGAAATCGGCGTACTTCACCTCCGCCACCATCCTGCCATCTGCTACACCCGAGCCATTCAACACCTGGACTTTGGTCGTCGGGGTATACACGGGTGGTGTATGATGTTCTCCAGTTCGCATGCTGACCGTTACGCTGTCGTTGGTCCCCTTATATACGACAAACATCATTGCGTCCAGCATGGACTTGCCCACACCGATGCCGACCCATGCGTAGGTAGATGGCGCATCGATCTTGAAGTAGATGTTGCCCGTTCTCGCTTTGATCGTCGAATTGGGGAATCCCCAATGAAGCCTGATGTCGTCATTGGCTCCAGTCGTATACGAAGCGAGGGCGTTTGCTGCTGAGGCATCTACAATTGCATCATGGCGTGTTAGCGACGTGCCAAGACATGGTTTGATCGATGATGGTACGTACAGAGACTGGCAGCGATGCCAATGATGGCCGCGGGCCTCATGGCTTCTGTCCAAAAGAGGGGCGCTCGTTTGGTGCCAGGCAGCGGCTTCTAGATGTCGATATTGTGGCGATAGCTTCGCCAATGCGACCTCAATGGCAAGCACGACGAAGAGCAAAAACGCCAATTGATGAATTGAATATGGAGAAACACCAAGTTCAGGCAAAGTAGGCCTATACTGACCCTCACCTTATTGAATCATCTGAAATTCTCCTAGACCAGGGCCCCTTGCCCCCGTGCCTTGTACACTTCAGCTGTCATCCGACCGCGAGGGATTCTTGAAACGTCCAATGCCGAGAGTAGAAAGGACGGAGCCTTGTGGGAAATATCTCCACTCACGGTGGAAGGATGGGGATTCATGGTTGCATGGTAGGATCCGATTCCTTCCCACCACCCTGTCAGAAAGCACCAACCATGATTAGTTGGTTGGCTGATGCCAGATATATGTACCTTTTGCTTGCTGCATTCTGTCTCATATTACCACTACCTACCGTAAGCAGCCACTGAGACTTTCCTTTCTAGCGGAACTGACTAAGTTGGTAGTCCCAAGCGTGAAAACCGGCACGCAGCATACGCGCCCGGTGAGAAAAGAGACGGGCTGAGGTCAGCGGTGGGACAGGGAACAGAACATTACCGAGTAGCCAGAGCTGCGTTCCTTCAGGAATCAGCAAGGATGTGCCGCTGGCGCGTAACTGACAATTTCTTGCCCATTGGGCCTCACAGGGCAGTTTTTCCCTATATTACCTAGACTATGACCCCCATCGTCCACGTAATTCAATCAATCCAATTGGATGGACCCTGTTAAACATGTTGCTACTCTCCAGCGATACGTCACGCTGTTGAATGTGAAGCCCAGTGCGTCTCTCGTCGCGCCATGCCTAAATAGAGTAGGCTGGAGCGTTTCAGCGCATTGATGTAGGCGAATTACCCCATGTAGAAAGAAGCTGAGATATCCTGTCGATTCGTCACCACTCTGCTTCATGGATGGAATCGACGCGTGGGCAAGCTTTGCGCGGCAACGGTTACATTGCTAGCCTCTAATCAAATTTCCGAGCTTTGAAACAAGCTGCCATCTATATCGTAGTCTCGAGCAACATCGTGTCAACTGAGATTGAATACTTTTTGCTTATAAGGTACTGGGGGGCTCAACACAGCGAAGCGCCTTGCTTGGCATTGTAGGTCGCTCGCGGTTCCTGCCGATCCCGGGACGTCACAGGACAAGAGAATTCGGAGGCTAGAGGAGATCTTATCATGACAGGCTTCCCCTGTGTTTTGCCTCTCAGCTCGCTGATTTTTCCCACTTCAGGTGTGTCATTCGAGAACGGTATCCACCACTTTGATCTCTTTGCCCCAATTTGATCTGAAACACCACTCACTTCGGCAATATGTCGTCGAATGAGACTAATCCGTGAATTTGAAATATTCTTATTTGTTTTCCAAACCAGGTTTCCTGAGTATGGTTGGTATCAACAGGTATGTACACACGCGAGGTTGAACTATCGAGGTGCGAGAGCTCGCGCTCAGTCTTCTCACAAGTAATTAGACACGATTTCTCTGGCGGCTAATAGTAGCTTAATCAATTGGTAAAGTTCACAATTTATATATTTTCAATATCTCTAGGAAATTGCTTCAACTTTGAATTCTGCTAATATCATGTCAAACTACTCGCAAAAGAGTATTATGCCCTCTTGCTTTCACCGTTTTGGGCAGGTAGTGATACTATTGGGTTACTATCCGATTTTTTGAGGCTAGCCTCGAATTTATAGATACAGTCAAGATCAGGGAATTCGATACTACATGACCTCCAAGCATAGGTATCAGATCTCCTCCCTGAAACGAGAGGCTTCATATAAACACTCGACCATAGCTCCACGGCGCTTAAGAAAGGCAAACTTATCTATTGGCTAGAGAATCATAGTTCAATTTTCCTCTACTAACACCATTATTATTCCTTTTAACACATGTTAATCCGTGATACTAGGTCACAGGGTGTGGTCTTTGCGAACGAGGCCAGGTGCTGTTCGGCCAAATCCAACAAGGGATCCATGCCTAGTTATTTTCTTTCCACACCCAAGCCCCATCCTAGGCCCAACATCCTTGGCAGTGGCTCCTCTTGCTTGATGGGACCTTCCCTCGAGCTCTCTTCAATGGCCCAAGTACGAATTCCCTTCCGTATTGAGGCCGGGAATTGACGACGGCTTTTCTCATTTCGCCTGAGGTTTGAGTTTCCGCCAACCTATAATCTGAGCATATTAAGAGCCACAACAAGAAAAACTTCCGACGTCAGCGGGAATGGCGCCTAGTAACACCAACAACACGCCTCTATCTGAAACAGTTTCTCAGTGCTTTCTCTGAAAATATAGATGACAATATGCGAGATATGAACGAAGTCGCCGCTTCGATAGAAAAGTTCAGTCCTCAAGCATCAACCAGGGAATAGTCAGTATTTCAGCTCGTCGAGTTTTTCCCCATGTTATGAAGAGCTCTCTAGAGGGAAGAGTCTCTGTGGCGAATATGGCGGAAAAGATCCAGACCGGGTTACTTGAGCGGCCTTGGAGGGCTCTCCGAGGCCCGAGTCCTTCATCGCCCATTTTTCCGGTTTATCCATTTGCTAGTCATCGGCCGGGACATCTTTGAACACCATCGCCAGGTCTGGGATGAAGCTGTTTGAAACGGTGATCGCACTTGCTATACCCCCTGTTTCCTTTATGCAACACTCTCCATGGCCTCTTTAATCAGCCTAGACCTAGGTGTTAAGAAATACTTCACTCCCTCTGGAGGTATCGCTGGCGAGAAATTTGCCCAAGTCCCGTAGACCCTCTTCGAACTCGAATTGGAGCATGCTACTATTACTACTGTTCAAACAGCTCTTATCCTGGGATCTTGATATGGAGCCATGATGGACAACTCTCTAGGCTAGACCTATGGAGATTCGTCATGACATGTCCTAAGCACAAGTGGCTGTGCTGACAGTGTTTCCCTGTGCAGGCATTGCATTTAAAATAGCAAGCAAGTTGGACTTCATCTCAACTGCACCAAAGCTGTTCGCATGGGTTGCATGTCTTCTGAGACGGCCAGGTCTCGCTCTATTGTATTTCGGCGGTGCTACATCGAGGATAAGTACGCCTCACTCCCGATTATAACCTACTTTACTTCCCGTCTTTTCCTATCGTAACTAATAGCCTGAACTTTCTAGCCTGTTTAACTCTTACTGTAGTAGGTCGACCTTTCTCATGAACTGGGACATTACCACTCCCTTGCCATCAGAATCAAGCGAATATATTGAGCTAGAAGGAACGATTAATAAGGCATCGCTACTTCGAATTACTTCATATTTATCCTTGATATGCTCCCGAACTGGTCAGTCTCTATAGACAACGGCGGAAAAGTACGGCACCTCAGCTACATTCTCTCGGCGCCAAAGATCACCAAGATCTGTGGCAATGGTACCAGGAATTGCCACCCCGGATTTGTGATAACTGACCACAACAAAGGAAATGTTGTTACCTCTGAAGTCTTTATCCTCCAGTGAGGGACTCTCTTCTAACCTCCTTTCAAAATGATGTTTTCACTTCGCTCAGGAAATGAATTGACTAGTGCGGCATCAGTGCCTTAACTTTTAGCATGAACTTATAATAAAAATGATCTAAAAGAACAGCACTCAACTTCTAAGAGATTCTATTTAAAGAAACCCGCGCTATGCAATTAGTCGTATGTTCAAATTTTGTTGTAAGAGCGCAAATAGAGATAATATAAAGTATGCTTGTATCATCTAATGACAAATGCTATTCAGTTGAGGTTCGGTGGTGTAGGGTAGGTTATGATTCTGCTTACCCTATAGCCACGCCACACAACTAGGATAAGGCCTAGCCATAAGTAGATTTTCTCAGTTGTAGCCTGGAGACACGCTCTTCTTCCTTAATTAAGTCTATCCACTTTAAATCTTGCTATCTCTCAATTCCTCTATTAAGATATTCATCTATCGCTTCATAAGGTGCGAACCATGTGTGCAGACAGTCTAATTCAGCCCCCAATGTAAGATTACATGAGCCAACCACATAACAAAAACATCGGGTGAGGTACGTACTTGCTATTTTTAGGAGCATGACACCTGGCCTGTAATTAAAGCCCTGTGCTGCCTTTCCCCGTCCCTTCTCCCTCATCCTTGCCTAAAGCTAAAGTGTGAAACCCTCTCCCCACTTTGTCTATAGAGCACGTTGAAAGAGCCAACGAGTAGTCACACTCTGCTCAGAGGCAGTTGCTTTATCATGCGCTACTGGGGCAGGCCACCTCAGGCGATTGCGATTCTCAGGACCCCTCAATCCAAGGCACCGTGCCGGCTTCATCACCGAGCTAGGACTGTAACACCGTTCCGAGAACCAGCTTCCGTGAGCTCTCCAGGTGAGATCACTTTCTGGTCCCGAAATATTGATTAAGCGGCACGGGACTAACCGGGTGCCAACATGACATAGTCTGGAATTTCCCCTCGTTACGTCGCGGAATGGCAGATGAAAGGCCAAGCCAGCCGAGCCCCTCTGTCCCTTTTCATGAGGCACCTGCCGGCCGCCCTCACCCTAATGGCATCGACGTATTTGCAAGTGCTACATACTCGCTTGCCCGTGATGGTCGTGATTCGCGAGACGCTGACCTCAAAATGAACGACCGCGACATGTTGCTCAATATCGAGCTTGACAAAGACCACACCTGCGTGCTACACCTGCAAAATTTGCGTGAGAATACGCTTGCCGAGGCAAAGATTGCTGCCGATAAGTTCCTTGACCAACACAAGCCGCTCGGCGGCCCCCAGAGTACGGTGTACCATAGATTTGATAAAATTTACAAGGAGATGGAATATCATATTCCTCCTGTGTTAGCCGACGTTGAAGACTTTCAAGAAACAATGTCCGAGGTTGGCGATTCAGAATCGATATACCCCAAGCTATACATGGGGGAGGAGAAAGACCAGGGCTTTGACCCGGTTGCCGAGCTCATCTATGCTTCGAACGACTTCCTCCATCGAGTCAAGGAAATCCAGTCAAAGTCGAAACCCTTCAGGAATGAAACTTGCCCTACGAGAACTGCATCGATAACAACAAGACAGGATGACGACTCAGCTCATAAACATCTTGCAGATTATATACAGGAGCAGGCCCTGGAGCGTGGCTTCTTCTTTGATTGCGACGACACAGGTAGTCAATAGCGGTGGTTTTAGTAGGCCAACATACAATTTGTGTTTTAATGGAGACGAGGGCTAGCTGCACGGATTAGGTGGGAGACTGGTGCCGGCCGTGGTACCTCGATGGCCACGAATGAAATCAGGCCCAGGTCTTTAGGTATGAATAGGTAGCTCAGGAGGTCAACAAGACTATGTTGGATAGAAAAGTGATCATGGCTTAGTACATCTCCAAGATATTCCTATTTGTATGTGTGCCTTTTGACGAGGCAGATGTATCTTCCCCTTGACTTTCGCTGGATTTTCTCGTCCATTTACAATACTGATAAGTCCGCTCATAAACGACTATCATAGCACTTGATAGTAGATTATCTTGCCCTTGTAGTGGGCTATATTAAATTTTCATTGAAACTGTTGTAGGATTACTATCGTTCAATTTTGAAGGTAAATAAGCTACCAGTCAGAAGCTATTACTGACTTAGCCTCTCAACAAAGCGCTATTAGTCGATTTCTGAATCATCACCAGCAGGTCCGGAATCACCAACAGGTCCGGGAAACGCCCTGAAGTTGGTCATTTTTTTCATCTCGTCAGTGTAGTGCTTGTGAGCTGTGCCATCAACGCCAGCCGCGTGGTTTGGAAAAACATGCAGCTGCTTGCCTCTGTAGCCTCAATTAGTCCAAATCGCTTCAGATCGCCAATAAAACATTTATTTTAGGAGACTTACACTTCCTGGTGCGTTTTTTCGATGGACCAGGGCTCATCGACGGGGCCTGGTAACTCCAAGTCCTTATGTTGCTTTTCGAGCTGCTCCTTAGTCTTGGGCCAAACCTCGTGTATCTCAGAGTATCCTGCGAACGCCATTTAGTAAATATCAAGTCGACAATACAGACGGAAGAAAAAGGTAAATGCAGATTCAGGCTACTTACGCCGGCCATCTTTGCGTAGAGGATTTGAAAAAACAGCCTGCTCCTGTACTTTGCCTGGGCGGGGTATGAATTCCTGTTTCTTTTTATCCATTTCTGGAATCCTTGGGGGTTCAGGCTTGCCCTCCTTCTTTGCCTTTTCAACAGCATCTTTCCAAGCGTTTCTCTTCGCGCGATCCCCCGGGTCTTGCCCTCCGCTGAACGCGATTGAAGGCGGAGGACCATGGGTCATATACTTTTTATTTCTTTCAGGATCGCCATCGCCAAACTTCACGTGAATGCTTTTCGTGCCTTCCGGCAGGGGCGGGCCAAGGGGAGGCCAAACAGCCTGGTACATGGTATGTTGTCCATCATTGAGGGTGTGTTTGACCTGATTCGGACGATCCTCTTTCAAAGCTTCCCCACTGATGATGTTAGACTCCTCATGATTCTTCGTGGGGCCCGATTCAGCAACGTTATGCCACTGGATCGAACTACCTTGCTTCACCCACGTAGGGACAATGGGGGTGATTGTCTTGTCCTTTGTCTTGTCCTTTTTCTTGGCATCTAGGGGACTCGTTGTCGAAAAGCCGGGTCTCGCGAAGGGGGCCCTCACAAGGCTGGGCCTCCCAAGCCCAATTGTCCCAATGCTAGGTCTCGCAATTCTCCCAAGGACGCCTCTCCCAAGGCTGCCCCCCACCAGGCCTGCTTGGGGAAGTCTACAAAGAAGACTCCGACACCCCAACTCAGGACCAGCCTTAGGGGAGTTAGTCACCCCTCCACTGGCTTAAGGGTTTGATTTGGCGAGGGTGCACGAATCACCTCGGCACCCAAATACTGAACCAGCCTTGGGGGAGCCAGCCTTCGCTTGGGCAGGATTGTTTACCTTCGGATCATTGCCCGTGGCAGCACTCTTACTCTTGAGGCCGGTTCTGGCCTTGGCACCTTGTCTCTTCGCCCCATGTTTGCCCTTGGAGGTAGACTTCTGCTTAGGAGTCTTGCCCTTAACAGCCCCTTTAGTTTTAGGTGTAGCCCTTCCCTTAGATGTCTTGATCTTGGAAGCACCTTTTAGCTTGCGACTGGCTGTTCCGCTGGGTGCACCCTTTCCTCTGGAAGTTTTTCTCTTAGAAGCCCTGCTCTTAGAACTCTCGCTCTTGGAAGCCTCACTGTTAGAAACACCCTTTCCCTTACGGCTGGCTGTTGCCTTGGGCACGCCCTTCTCTTTAGGAGCCTTGCTCGTGGAAGCACCTTTTTGCTTGCGGCCAGTAGGTCCCTGAGATGCACCCTTTCCTTTGGAAGTCTTGCTCTTGGAAACACCCTTTACCTTGCGACCGGCTGCTCCCTTCAATGCACCCTTTCCTTTGGGACCGGATTTCCCTTTTGAGGCACTTTTGCCCTTTCCAGTCCTCCCCTTAGCATCAACCTTTCCAGGTACTGATTTCCAGTTGGAACCAACCTTACCTCTAGGTCTAGATATACCCTTGGGAATGGTCTTTCCTTTGCGACTTGCCTTAGCCTTAGGGCCAGATTTACCCTTGGCAGCACTGTTTCTCTCGGAGGCCTTGCTCTTCGTTGGAATATTGTCCTTGCGGCCGGCATCACCCTTAGCGGTAGCCTTGCTCTTTGGACCAGCTTTCGCCGTATCAGGAGACTTTCTGCCGGAGCGGCTCTTTCCTTTGCCACTGGCTTTGTGCTGGGCAACCGCCTTTCCCTTTGTACTACCCTTCCCCTTGGGGCGAGCCTTGGGCTTAGGAACAGCTTTACCCTTGCTAGAAGCCTTTACCATAGAAGAACCCTGGCTCTTAGGAGGTTTAGCAGCACCTTTCCCTTTCGGTGTAGACTTTCCCTTCCTAGACTTCGTAGAAGCTGCTTTTAGAGTAGCCTTCTTACTTGATTTCTTAGGAGCCGTCTTTTTAAGAGTCGTCTTTTTAGGAGTTGTCTTCTTAGGAGTAGCTTTTTTCGCAGCCGTCTTTTTAGGCGCTATCTTTTTAGGAGCTGTTTTCTTAGGAATTGTCTTTTTAGGGGCCGTCTTCTTAGATAATGTCTTCTTGGGCGTAGTCTTCTTGGGCGCTGAAACCTTAGGCGTTGTCTTCTTGGGTGTAGCTTTTTTGGGTGTAGCTTTCTTGGGTGCAGTTGTCTTCTTTGGTATAGCTTTCTTAGGAGCTGCTTTTGGTGCTGCTTTTGGTGCTGCTTTTGGTGCTGTCTTTGGGGTCACCTTCTTGGGAGCTGCTTTTGGTGTGGCTTTTTTAGGAGTAGCTTTCTTAGGAGTTGCCTTGGGCGCGACCTTTCTTTTCGCAAGAGGTTTGTCGATAGGTGCGATGTCTCCTTTGCTCACGACCGGAGTCTGCTCCTTGGCCAAGTTATCGCCCATAGCCAAGCCCTATACCGCAGCATCATACTTAGCATAAATCCTCTTATCAACCATTCACTTTCCTTCTTACTTGCAGCGTCATGTCCTTTGCCCCAAACATGCTCATTGGCTGGGTGAGGATAGCTGGTTGCGTTAGAGGTTTAGCTCTAACTTCAGGCACGGTCTCAACCTTTCCGAACTTGTTAGAAAATGGCATGGTTCTTCCCTCATTACCATGCCCTGCGTTAGCCACCAGGGCTAGGCAGAGAATGGTGAAGAGAAATCTGTAGAGTTGCATCGTTGTAGTTATTAGCCGGCATCTAGGCGGGAGACAGAGATTGAGATTTGAGATCAGAAAAAAAGGGGTCCTGCAGAAATCCAAATATCTAGGCAAAAGCATCTCGAAGCACTTTTATGATCTTTCAATCTTCACAGCCCTTTGACCCCGTCTGCCAACCTCACGGTGAATATTATCCTCAGCCCTACTAAAAATAGTACCAGGATTATTCCAGTTTGGCCCACAACTTATTGGTTGTTGGGCTTACCCTCACCCGTTTTGGACAAATAGAGACCTTCTGAGCTGAGCTGCATGAAAATATAAAGGATTCTAAGGCTCATGACAGCAGATTCTATTTGTAAAGTGGTTTTATCTCTTTTTTTCCCCTCAGTTCGCTATTTCAATGCCCTTCAGCCGAGAACTTTTGCCAGCCCTACAGCTGATTCTTACCAATAAGCATAATGCGAGGGGCATATACACTAGCAGCAGACACCCAAATAATACTCAGACGCCAAGTACTTGAGAAGAAAATCCACAGAACCCCGCGACCAGTTAGATATTTTATCCGTAGCATCATTAGATTCATTGGAGACAAAATGCTCACAAACAGCTCTCAATATCAACGCTGATATAAGTCGGACCTTAAGTGGCTTGAATGTATTGATCCAGACTTTTGATGAGAGGTTGAATGCTTTATAGCCCTCTTAAAGTCTGGGAAGTTCTGTGAGCGGTTTATATCCAGACTATCATTTCGCACAAGATCTTATAGGTAACGTTTCGCTGAAGAGCTTTCTGACACTGAGTGTAGCCCCTCCACAAACTCTTGATTTTAAATGTGACAAGGCTTTGGGGTCTTCCAATTCTGCTATTCCTCACAGCCTCTCAAAGTAATTTTACGGGATGTTTTCTTATCTCAAAATCATACAAAAGAATTCTTTGAGATAACTTGTTGAAGATAGGAGGTTGGGCTAGACATGTATTAATAGCATACAATGCGTTGGTCAACAGCAGAAATAAAAATGCTGTGTCTGTTGTCAAATGCTGCGAAGATTATCTTTCAGTGCCTATACGTATAAGAGGGAGCCCTGTTTATGTTTTCTTTTGGGGAAGATTTTGGTGGGAACAGTTTCCTTAACATTTATAGTACCATTAATCTCTACCGACTACACTCGGTGTAGTCTAACGAGCCTAAATTTTGCGTATGTAGATTTTCATAGAGGTGAGACTCGAGTAGAAGATGAGAGTTGGACATCAACTCTAGGGTGGAATATAGTCAAAGACAAGAACTCATTCCATCACCTGGCCTCTCTAGATCATGGAAAATTGTACTTGGCACTCGATTGCTTGAAACCCAGTGTACCAGAAGGTCTTTCTTCTCGCATCAAGGCAGAATTTTTCACCAAATTCTACTATTGAATTCTCACTTTGATCATATTGACAATGACAGGCTCGTCTTTTAGAAGAAAGATAACGTATGATTCTACACTGAATGGCAATAGTGCTTGTGACGAGCGCGGGGCTTTGATGAAGTAGGATGCAGTGACGAATATACCGGCACTCATATTTGACTTGTGATAATAACCTCGACCCTATATTTTATTGTAACAAATTGAATACACACTCCAATCTCTGATTCATGTCCTGGCTGAGTTTACCTTGCTGTAATTGTATATTTAAATAGCATTGGGTGTATGACCAAGTCTAGCTATAAGGCCCTGTATCAAAGTATCAAAGGGAGAGCACAGTTGGTTGCTTTATATGGTAACAAACTTATTTTTTACTTTATTTCAAGTGGCTTGTTATTGAAAGAGCCCTAGGTTTTCTGGTTAGACAATCTCCATTCACCCATCGGGATATTATGAATATTGGTCTACACGCCTCTTCATTTCGGCCGTACTCTTCTTTCGAGTTAGCAATGATCGGATTAAAGCATGTGTAGGATTAAACTCGCGCAAATGACAGTCTGGGGTGACCGATGTGCTCAGAGCGAAATGACTAATTGGCCACACGGTCAGGGTTCCAAAGAGGTTCTCCCCGACCTAAGAAGCAATTCAATGCCCGGGATGTGCTGAATGAATATTAATATAAAAGCCTAGCCTAGGATCGATAGCTTTGGCCATACAGGGGGGCATTGGATAAGTTTGAGATGAACATGAATCTTTTCAACATGATTATCAGCCACGCGTCCCTGAGGCTTCAACTCTCCGTCCCCGCATCTCCTTGGGTATTGTGTACCATGTCTCTTGCACGATATTATGCTTGATAATCAAATTGAATCGGATGGCGGCAAGTGGTCGCCTACTCTACACTTCTTCACCCAAGTCAATAGGCAAAGGCTAGCTTCGGGGGACAGTAATTCTGAACTGATCTCGTTTCAGCTATAAACGTGCGTGGGTCAGTGCAAATCCCAGACGAAAGCCGATTGGGTAGTAGATCATTACCTGAACAGAGTATTGGCCCGGGTAATTCGAATCCAGGTAAGATTTCAATTGGCGCGAGCTGACGTTTGACGCTGACACGTACGCGTTCATCTTGCCATCGTCGCCATTCTTCCATTCGACAATGGAATCTGGGACAGACCAGGCATTAGAGAAACTCGATGAAGACATGGCGCGAAGAGTGTTTTCTCAAACTGGAGGGACTGTCGGGCGGAAGATGCGGACAAGGAACGATGCACAATTGTGTCGCAAATGAAGTGGGAAAGGCTGGCTTAAGAATGGTCCAGAATTGCCACTAGATTTGGCCACCCAAGCTTGAAAGGAGAAGTAATAGTAATACGAAATCATACAGCTGAGCAGGGAGTTGTACGATCGACCAGCCTCAAATTTTGATCCTTCAATGTCGAGTGGTATCCAGACGGTGAGTAAGGTCCCTTGGCTGTGCGTTGACACTGCAGTTAGGGTTTAGTAGGCCCTTGTCTCACTTCTGTGATATGACAGGGCAGGACTTCGAGGCAGGGTTTCGTACGTATCATGGAATAATTCGTACCACGTTTACTGCCCACGTCTTGAATTAGTCCACGACGAAGCTCTTATCTCCAATCCACTACCCTCGGCTTCAATGACATGAGATTTTTCTATGGCCATGTCATCAGTAGCCATCGAATGTCTGGTCGGATGTTGAAGCTGCATAGCCCATGCATGCAGTGCCCCCTGATTCAGCTGAGCCACCCTCCACCAACCACCTCAGCTCACATTTGTTGGAGGGTGGGTGGTTGGGGCATCGCTAAAGCCGTGAGGCGAAGTATCTCTCTAGAATGCAACTGCGCCATTTTTGGGGGTTCGAAGACCGGCCACATACTCCAGCCCAGATCATAGCCCGCGGCTCACGAATCTAGTTTTCCTGATCTTGCGAATCCATTCCAAACTTCCTGGAGCAAGTATCTGGATATCGTAGTGCGGACCATGGAATGAGAGAGGAAGCGATTGCAGAAAGTGAAATGTCGGGATTCCATAATTAGCACGTCCAAATGCTGGGTGTGTGCTCAGTTGTCCACACACACCGTTTCCTCGACACAATTCCCCTACTTTCACCGGAACCCCCACAGAGCCGGAGCTAGTATCTTGGTTGGCTAGTTATGCGCTGTTGTGTAAGGCGACCGGAAGGATGATGGACGCCTTGCAGCTCTCCGACGGTCGCAGCCCAATGTGATGTAGCAATCTGACAGTACCGGGAGCTGAGGTGAAGTGCGGGCAGCCACCAAGGGAATTGATTCAGGCGAACCGGCCAAGTATATTTAGCAAAGTGAGGCGCCGCCAGCAGTTTAAGTAGTTTTGCCGTATCGCTGCCTCCTCAACAAAAGTAGAGAGAAGTATTTCATGTAGCGACCGCCTGCGCATCAGACGGGCGAAATTCAGGCACTTTCAGCAACCCCAATCCAAACCCCCCTTTTCCATTTGCACTTCTTGAACCACCGCCACTTTCTGCTACACACAGACTTATTCCCATTTAGGATTCGTTCTCCGACGCTTACATAGTACAAGCACAACAGCTCCGCTCGGAGGCGAAGACGCGGTGTGGCCTTTCGTCCTACCGGTTCCGAGGCCTAAGTATCTTCCCGGAGGCGCACGGAATCATGGCACCAGGCGCTATCGGTGGCTCGTCGTCATCCAATGATCCTCATGTGAGGAAGCGGGCTTTTGGGCTTGACAATCCAGACCGGGTGGAGAGGATCCTGGACCATGGACAGAAGCTATGCCAATACGACAACACCAAGGCTCGGAAGATCAAATTTTTGGAAGATGTTCCCGACCTCGAGGATTTCTTATCGACTTTAGAGGAAGAGCTTGGTAATTCGATGAAAAAGTATTTCTTGGATAGCAACAGATACTACGTCCAGAGAAGTGACTTCGAGCGGATTCTCACACCAGAAAAGGTCCTCCAAGTAGTCAACAAATTGCCATGCTACAAATCGAAAACACGTGATGAAAGGCGTAAACTAGCCGAACAAATATGCTTCGGAAGCAAATCCAACCCACCGTGTATCAAGGTCTTCGGCGCACTGCTGATGAGCGATCAGATCCAGGACATTGAAATCCATAGGGCGGACGGGCTGTGTGATCACTGCCTTCCATTGATATTTAGCGAGGAGGGCTTTCGATTAAGCTGCGATCGGCATAACAAGGAACACGCAGGGTTCAACAAGAAGCGCTCCAAGTTCCGCAAAAGATTCAATGACGCTGCTCGTGCCCTCGTGGCTCCATATATCAAATGGGAGGATGGCAAACACTTTCACTACGTCATCCGTGACGGAAGCTGCTTGCCAATATATGATCACAAAAAGATCGACAAAAATGATGAAGGTGTACAAGCAGTCCTAGACGCAACAAACGGGGCGGCTAATGGAGGGTACGGAGGATTCAGTGAGGTATATCGGGTGAAGATATCGGAATGTCACTACAATCATAGTGATACCAAGGTATGGCCATACTTCTCATTCATCTTGAAGTATCTTTTCACTCTATTTTTAGCTAACGTCTCCCATCCGTAGGGACGTCACCACAGGGGTTACTTTGCTCTCAAGAAACTCACACCCCGTTATACTGAGCGTGAAAGCTTCAACCTAGAACTCTCGACACTAATCTATTCAGCCGACCAGAAAGGGAATAAGGACCATTTGATTAAACTCCTTGCCACATTTGAAGAGCACAATTCTGCACAAGGACATGACCGCCCCACTTACTATCTACTCTTCGACTGGGCAGAAGGAGATTTGGCGAGATATTGGAAGGCGAACGAGAGATTTGTTGGCGATCCTAATCATTGTGTCTGGATGTCGGACCAATTTTGCGGCCTTGCAGAGGGCCTGCAAATAATACACAACGACCGGGAGGAGAACGTGAAGTTCCTACCTGCAGATGTTTCGGACCCGAACGTATATGGCAGACATGGCGACATCAAGCCAGGTAATATCCTGTATTTCGAAACAGGCAAGTCGGAGGCCCCGGAGAAAAGCTTGGTGTTAGCAGACTTTGGCCTTGGAAGACTGCAGACCAAGTATTCAAGGTCAAAACAAGATCCAAGGTCTCTGGCAAGAACAGAAACTTACCGCTCTCCTGAGTTCGATCTTCCTCCTCCCAAAGGCTTCGTATCGCCAGCTTCTGACATCTTCAGCCTTGGGTGTGTCTTTCTTGAATATATCTCTTGGTATATTCTGGGGACTAAGGCTGTGCTGGAAGACTTTACCAACACGAGGATGGCGCATGATATCTACGGTTTCGATGTGGATATCTTCTTCAATGTCACTACAGAGCCCAATGGGGATCAAGATGCTGAGCTGAAGCCATCAGTCAAAGAATGGATCCAGAAGCTGAAAAACCATCGCTTCTGCAATGATTACATCAATCAAATGCTGGATATTATCCAGGAGCATATGTTGGACCCGAATCCAAAGACAAGATGGAGGTCTATGCAATTAGTGAAACAGCTACAGACCATCAAAATTACATGTCAGAGGGTGCCGAGCTTCTATACCAAGAATTCCAATTCTAGTAAGTCGTCACACGCCAACACCGCCCGGAATGATCCACGCAACAAGGAGAAGCCTGGTAGTCTGACAGCGTACTACCAGTCGAAGAGAGGATACCGTGGCTGAGTATGATAGGAGGGGCTGTGTTTGTTACTCTATCATACGTGTTGAAAAATGTGACGCGGAGCATATCACAGCGTATTAAGTCATTCATTGTTAAGCTGAGGTGTTTGAGTGCGAGGTGTTTTTCATGCGTGGGTAGCTGGGGCTGGACTTCAAAAGGAAACAAGTCATCTCGTTCAGATGCAGGAAACAACTAAAAGTTATTTGATTTGGAACAACTTAATGATCTTAACTAGCAAAGGGAACTTTCCCTCAATAATGAAAGCACACCTGGTTCTCGATCCATTCCATCTGTCCCTTTCACGTTTCAGTGTCAGCTGTAGTCGTGATGCTTGGGATCGCTCCGCATGTGAACATACCTCCTTTAATGGTGCAGGCAGACGTAAGATCCATCGACTAGACTTGGTCTGCTATTGGGTTAGCCTCTCCTGCAACACGCCCAATGAAGGCCACAGCAAAGTAGAAAAACCAGGATGCGTGATGGGTGGTATGTGGGTGGTATTACTTTTACCGAGTAGTTGCCTCTGCCGTATAATTCGTCAAGGAGATCCCTCAACTTGGCAGGATCGTTGTACTTCTGCCGCATGACTTCCTCGTACAACGGCCCTTGCCCCGAGGACGGTTGCTTGCTCGCCATCCTGTGCCGCTTGGTGGCTGTAACGAAGATCGATCTTCTGACCAAGCCCCTCTTCTTGCGTATCGTTTAAATATTTGGTCTTTCGTAGGCTGTGCCCGGAATTTTAGCAAAGTCATGAGAGACACAGGCTAGAAAATGGGCACCTTTTGCGGCTCTACCTTTTTGGGCGCAGATGAAGCGTTCACGAGGTCTGACTCGATTCGATGACAGTGTGCCACTTTTTCATCGCAGTGGTGAGACGATGGCCCGATCACAAGCACTGCAACCTAAAAACATGATGATGGTGGTGTATGGTGCTTTACTGGCGAATCATCTTCGTCCACGTCATCAGCAGCTGTGGTTGTGACCTCCCCGCATGCAGTTGGGCATGCAGGCAGCGGGCCTCGGACCCTACCGCCGTCATCCAGCTATGTTCTTCGCATCATTATGCTCTTGACTGCGGTTGTTTCCGCGCTAGAGAAACAGGGATTCTGAGACACGGTATACGCAAGGACGGCTTGAAGTCGGACAACCTCAAGTTGACGCCTTGTTATCGCTTCATGGTGAGTAGGGATACTCTCCAGAAGTCACCTAGGCACAACCAGCCGGCTTCCGTTACCGGAGAAAGTCACTCGAATTCGTCGCTGGCTAGTTTGATCAGCCAAGTAGCAATTTCTTCATGGGAGTGGGCCAGAGTCTCTGCTAAGAGGCGAATATTTATCATCAGTGTCAGCAACGCAGTGATGTAATGATACAGTGATACATGGCCCAATATTGTACATTCTCTCAAAGTGCGCATGTGATGATGAAGCAAGGGGAAGAAACATCCATTTTTGCAACTCAGGAGAATGTCTCTCAGTATGCACATTATCTCAGGGGGTAGTTGATAATCGCAACAAATATCGATAATAACATTGATGGCAGAGTGATGATACGCCTGTCACCGCTCGACAAAAAAATTGCCTTGGTGGCTACCAAGTCGTATTATACCAGGCTGACCAATATCTTACATGATACTCGCTTCGGTTTTGTCGGAACCGAGTAAGATGAGGCGAGATGCTGAGCCTAGTTTGTGGGAAGCGCTCTCAAATATGGTTGAGAATTGAAAACAACTGTGTTTTAGTCTCACTTGATTGACGATTAGATGTACATTGTATGGCGTAGTTGAGGTTCAGATCTGTTGCTTCCAATATCTGCACTGTGTTTTGGTCGACTACTTCCCCGTCCAACCTCCTCGAGTATTGCGAAACACATTACTCTTTCATCGGTTGAGTGAGATACAGTTTATGGTCCTAGGAGAAATGTGTCAGTGGCGCTAGCAAGAAGATGATCCCTTAAAACAGCTTGAAAATTTGAATCCTTGCTCCTTGAGACCTAATTCCCTTCGGACTCACGATTTGCGAAGTCCTTGCCAAAATCTCACCCAACATCCTCCCTCACTAGAGCCATATCTCATCTACAATTCACTATGTTCACACCATCTTGGTTTAACTTGCTCCATCATGAGAATTAAAGATTTATGAATTGTCTTAGCCAGTTGAGTCCAATTTCATATCTCACCATGCTAACTCTTCTCTACTTTTACAAGCTGCTGCTTCCAGTTCCGAGCAGAAACGCTCCTCTTCACAAAGTTTTTCTGTGTTCATGGGACCCTTAATCTTAGGGGTTGCAGGCCAGATTTCTTTCCCGCCCTGTTCCACCTCTCTCGTACGATGTGCCATGACCTCAGTTCTACAAGTGTTTTGGAAGTAGATAGGTCCCTAGAATCTGTTAGTTCTCTACTATCCAAGAATTCAAGGACCGCTCAAACGTGGAAAACAATGGAGTCGATCACTTACCCCTTCCTTGTCTGGGTGCAGCTCGCCATTCGTAAACACTCCGGCATTGAGGTTCCGTTGTGACCCATTACAGAGCTCCTTATCTTCGTCCAGCACTTGTTTGTAGAATGCCATGATCGCGTCAAACTGCTCATCGGTCGCACTATTGTGCCGGTAAACTTCATTCTGAATCTTTGTCTTGGTAGGGCCATGACATATCATTCTTTGAATATAGAAAAAGTTCTGACTAAACGGGGATTTGGGGGGTTAGCTTCTCAAACGCAAAGATGTAGCCTTGCCGTAGAGAGGGGATCACCGTGTACATACGTGACAGTGACTGATGTGGATGGAAAGAAGAAGGTGATTGACCGCCGGAACTCATCCTCGTCCTCTGCCGCGCTCTTGTTGATGATGGTATGCTCTAAACACCCCTTGTTTGGCTTGACTGTATATTTTGATAAGTCCGACACTCCAGCGATCAGTGGATGGCTAGTTGGACAGTGATAGCACTGGAAGGGATTAGTTTGTGTTTTCAACATAGCCAAGTCAAGGCGGGGATGAATATACCTCGTTGTAGTTCTCAACTACGTTCTTTAGGCGATTTGTCAGTTACATGCCTAGAAGATGGGATAGCAAAGGGTAGAATTCCGTCCTCACCTTCCAATTTGCATCAAGATCCATCTCCCAGGTATGATCATAGCTATAGCCCTCTGAGAAATTGAACTGAGTCATTCTGGGCTGTTCATCGACGCCCTTAAAATCATCCGCCCACTTCACATCTGGATCCCCATCTCCCGCCTGAAGATTGACCCAAACGAAGCCTACTTTATCAACGTGCACTCGGATGGGGAGTAAGCCATGCTGGGACTTGTCGAATCCCGGCACTGTTTCGAATCTAGGAGCCTTTGCCAAGCCCCCCTTGAATCCATAGGACCAGCCATGGTATTTGCAACTCAAGATGCTTGCCTTACCCGAGTCTTTCTGCACAATCGGGTACGCCCGATGGCGACAGACGTTGTGGAAGGCGTTGATGTTCCCGTCTCGGTCACGGACCAAGAAAAAGTTGAAGTCTGCATACGTGAACGAAACATAGTCTCCGGACTCATTAAAGCGCAGCACATGCGTGAGGAGAATCCACTTTCTAGAGAAAATGGCGCGGCGCTCAAGTTCATAGAGCTCTTTGGACCGATACCAAGAGGCTGGCAGCCCTCTGTCAGCTGCCGGCTTGGAACCTGAGGCGTCGGATGAAGTGAGTCCAAAGAAGCGAAACATATTGATGACAAGAGAAAAGAACAATAGATGGTAATACACTGAAGAAGTCGACTTGATTGACACGATAATCGCCAATGGTCTTTTGAACTGTGAAGCCACGAGTCATGAATCGTCTAGCGGCACCGCTTGATTCATGAACACATTTATCTTATCATCTGCTTCCTCTTATCACCCACTAATGCAGAGAAGTCATCCGGTTAGTTGCAATCTAGATTCCGATCTACGTCCGCATTACATCGGTTCGAGTTCGGCTTGCACTATCTAAGGTGGGGTTTCCAACTCACCAATCACGCATTGTGAGCTCGTAAGCGAGGTTCAACTAGCGAGAGTGGGGGAATGAGGAGGTTATATGTGGATTGGAGGTCAGGAATGGGGGATGATCCAGTCTCGGATTTGCACAAGCGAGCGGGGAGCGGGATTAGCCAACAATCAGAGTGCCACTCTTGGATTCTCGAGGTTGTATGATACCACACACAGCCTGTAGCCAAATGATAGAATAAGGATGGGGTGACGACAACAGTGGGATTCCCCAGGCTTGAAACCCGGGCTAACGACCATGGTCTGAGGTAGTGTGATCTGACCCTGCCAAGGTACTGCCGATCAGACCATCTTCCTTTATTGAAAGGGCGCTTGCATCTCAATAAGAGATATTCTAGAATCCAAGTTTATCGCCGGCATTTCATCAGATCTCTTCTAAACTACCGAGAAGCTGTGCACCATGCCTGTCGCCGTCACACCCCCTCCAGTTCTGGCTGCCCTTGAGGGCACAGCCTTGTTTTCGCCCCTTAAACTCGGCAAACTTGCACTGAAGCACCGTGTTGTTCAGGTACAATATTCTTTTTGATTAGTTGATTTGACAATGATTCGGAGTCTTGGCACCCAGCTAACAACAAAGGAACTAGGCTCCCAACACCCGTATGCGATGTGATCGCGAGAGCAGGGGTGTTCATGTTCCCGGTCCCCGGGTTGTTAAGTATTACAGCGATCGGGCAAGTGCCGGTGGTCTTCAGATTACAGAGGCCACGGACATCTGTCTCAATGCCAGTGGTTACCCTGGTGTTCCTGGAGTCTTTACCGACTCCCAGCTGCAGGGCTGGAAAAAGGTCACAGACGCTGTCCATGCCAAAGGAGGCTTCATCTTCGTTCAGCTATGGCACACTGGCCGGGCATCTTCACCGGGGATGCTTGGTGGACAAGCTCCCCTTTCCTCGGGAACCACCCCAATGAGCGGAAGCTATCTGGATGGCATGGAGACTAAGGACGGTCCTCCACGCGCCATGACTATCGATGAAATCCATGATATGACTGCTGAATGGGCTGCCGCCTCAAAGAGGGCTGTGGAACAGGCCGGATTCGATGGTGTTGAAATTCACTGTAGGTCACTCCAAGGCTTTTGTGCGAGGCATGTACTAATTGTTGTTTAGCTGCCAACGGGTACCTCCTCGAGCAGTTCCTGCACGACAATATCAACCAGCGGACAGATAGCTATGGAGGATCAGTTGAGAATAGGTGCCGGTTCACTATTGAAGTCGTTCAAGCTGTCAGCAAGGCCATCGGTCCTGAGAAAACTGGTATTCGCCTTTCGCCATACAACTATTTCCAAGACACCCGGGACAGTTGCCCAAATGATCATTGGTCGTATCTTTGCGAGAAAATTGCGGCTCTGCCATCTTCAGAGCGCCCTACATACGTTCATATGTGAGTTTTCTCCCTAGATATCAATACTCGTTGCCGTTTCTAATTAATTTATACTTGTAGGGTAGAGCCAAGATTTGACGAGGTCCTCAATGAGGAGCAGAAACTAGCATCACTTACTAAGGAGGCAAACGGAGAGAAAGCTGCCAGGGGTAACTCTCTCATCATCTTCAGTGACATTCTCAGACCTGCCGGAGTAAACTTTCTGGCCTGTGGCAACTTCAACCGCGACAATGCGAACCCTAAGTTGAAGAGCCAAGGTGCCGATCTTATTGTCTTCGGCAGGCATTTCATTGCCAACCCTGACTTGGTTGATCGGCTCCGAAATGGCTGGCCATTGACAAAGTATGACAGGGCCACATTCTACGGTGCTGAGCCACCTGAGAAGGGTTACAACGATTACCCTTTCTATGAGGAAACAGTCAAGGCGTCAGCATAGAGATTTTGAATGAAGAAAAGAATCAATCTATACTTTTCATGTAGTTACTTAGCACATAGAGTAGCTCCCGTTTCTCGCTAGATTATATAAATGAGATTTCCTTTTGTCAATCCATGAAATTAAACCTCCAACATTCCGATCCTTGTTCCATGAATGAAGTATGGATAGAAAATTAGGATTGCGTTCTCAAAAACAACGCTGCGCTTCTTAGTTAGGGCAGTGCAGACGCTCGTACATTGCTGTTCCTCCATAATAAGCAACAAGGTCAGTCACAGATTGTGAATTACAGCAAAAGAAAGAAGTTTCATAAAGCACAACGGCAATGATGTACAAAATTGAAGGTATATAGAGAAAAATATGTCGTTCTAATATGTTTAGATTACAAACTTGCTCGTGGGGCAATCCCACTTCCCTCACTTGTTCCTCTTGGAACGTCCCATTTATCCTCCACATCTTTACTCATGTCATAATTTAGCAGCCATCTCCCAACACCGTTGTACCTCCATGGGAAGGGATCTTCTCCAGTTTCGTCTGATTTTGGAAGAATGGGTGAATCTTCATTCAGCCACTTGTGGTCAAAATCGTCAAACTTCTTGAACCTTTCGTCCCGTTCAATCTGCTCTTGGCCATCGGGAAGGTGGTAAATCCACTGATTATACGTGCCACGTTGGACCACCTTCTCGGTTCGCTCTCGGCGACAGGCCTCATATATCCGAAGCGCTTTCTGCTTTGAGGCTGGTGATTTGTCTTTCAAGCGCCCCAAGCATAGCCCTAGGACACCGCCATCTTCCAAAGCCATTCCGGCGCCGCTGGCTAGGTATGGAAGGGTAGCATGGACGGCATCGCCGAGCATGGTAAACGCACCCGATGGGTCGGACCAGGTAGGATCAAGGCCCGGTCTGATACATAGGCGCCATTTCAACACCGAGTCGCACAAGGCCAGCATCTTGCCAATTCGAGGGTCCCAATCCTGAAAGTGGGCACGCATCTCTGGGATGTCTCCTTTGAGAGTGTTGCCAGCATCGGCCGGGATATCGTCTGGCACGAGGAGAACCATGTTGAACATTTTACCGCCTCTGAGGACGTAGTTCACAGCGTGCTTATCCGGACCGATCCAGTAATTGACCTGCGGGTTCTCGATGAATGGCCGGAGTTCCGGATCTTTCAGCATCTCACTCGTGGAGAGCAACAAACGGTATGCAAGATCTCCAGTCAGTTCTGGAGGATCAGCCCTGCCCAAAAATTGCTCCCTCAGCTTCGAGTTGATTCCATCAGCTCCAACCAAAAGATCTGTAACAAAGGTTCTCCCATCCTCCAGATGTACTGTAGTGGTGCTGCTTTCCTCGGAGATAGAGTAACTCGAAACATTGGCGCCAGTCACGATGTTGGCACCAAGCTCCACCGCACGATCGAGAAGACACTTATGAAGATTCGAACGGTGGAAATCCAGAAAGGGATACCCTCCTGTGGCAGCCGCGTAGCCGTGGTAATCCATTTCTCCCAGGTGGTTTCCTTTCCAGCCGATAAAATTGCACTTCCGTGGTCTCGTAGCACAGCTTTCCAGAGGCTCCTGAAGGCCCCAGGAAAACAAGACCTTGGCTGCATTCGGTAACACTTGGATGCCTGCACCGACTTCGCCGATTGATGATGCAACTTCCAGGACTGTCACGTCATGGCCCGCGAGGAGAATTCCGATGGCGGCACCTAATCCCCCCAAACCAGCACCAACAATTATGACCTATGATTCGAATTAGAACTGGGTAACTTAAGGGGCTACCGAATGATGGTTACTTACATTGAGCTTGCTATGTTCATTCCGTTGGATTTTCTCCTGGATGCGAGTCGCCATGATGCTCAGTCGTGAATTTGGACAATGTACTGACTTTGAGCAGGTGTCTGTTCGACGAAATGATTGGTTTGAAAATATGATGAAACGGCTCGATATTCGGATACAGAGCTCTTCAGCCAAGTACCCAACATCAAGTCAGCTGCTGTTTCCTTCCTGTCAGCCCAGCACTATCCATGGCGTTGTATTATGTGTCTGCCGCAGTTGGGGGCGTATGAGCGAAGTCCGGCCTCCGCTTGCTCCAGCTACGTTTCCCCATCTCCTACCCACACAGCCATAGGATTCCTCTAAAGATGGCGCGCACGGAGACAAGAGTTGGTCCACTCCTGTCCTCTCCGCAGATACGACAAGCGTGGATTCTAGCCTTGGGCTAGACCTGGTCCTTGGTCCACCAGCAGCGTCATCCACAACTTCAGCGATAAGGAGCTCTGGCCAAGAGTGGGGGTGGGGGAAACAGGGTCAAGGATGGGACCTCATCCGATTTGCGCTGATTGTTTCAAGCATGGGGATGCTTCTCCCATCATGGGCTACCCTACAGCTATCTGGTGATTCCTCAAAGATACCCATATTCCTGAACTTGGTTGAATTCAATTACTCGACCTGGTCCTTGGTGAAAAAAAATTGTTATTATTAATTTTTAAAATTTTAGGATATTTTTCTCTTGCTTGGATTTGGCACAATGGCTATCCCCTCAACAACGCCAACCGCTACGACTGAAATGGTCTTTTCGTCAAACGGCTCCAGCAATGGTGCCAAGTTAAGTAGCAGCACCAATGGAATTTTCGACGCATGTGTTGTAGGAGCAGGGCCTGCAGGGTTAATGCTAAGGTAATTGATAATCGTCCAAAGCTCACAAGTCATATGCTTACCATCTTCCCAAAGTGTCATTCTTGCCAGACTGGGTCTCAATATCAAGGTACTCGACGAGAGGCCAGATCAGACTACTGTGGGACGAGCGGATGGAATTCAGCCCAAAACCATTGAGACACTGCAGATGTTGCGTCTTGGAGATGAGCTACTGCAAACTGGAGTCAAGGTTTTCGATATCTGCATGTGGCGCGGCTCACCTGCTGGCCTACAGAGAATGGGTCGAGAGTGTCACTATCCTGCGTCAACTCTTGATGTTCTCCATCCTTTTATCCTACTTTGCCATCAAGGAATGGTTGAGGGAATGCTCATCGACGATCTGCGAGAGAGCGGAACAGAGGTCTCACGAAGCCACATTTTTGAGACATTTTCTCACGATTCGGCGAGTGGCCCGCTTAAGATTACCTGTGCCTCACCAAAAGACTCAAAGGATGGGATTCTCTCAGAATTTTTGGTGGGATGTGATGGCGCAAGGTCGCGTGTGCGCGAAGCAATTCCAGATACCTACTCTACTGGGACGCCTCACAACTCAGTCTGGGGTGTCCTGGATGGCGAACTGAAGACCGACTTCCCAGACATCTGGAGCAAGACTGTGGTCTTCTCCGAAGAGCACGGAAGCATATTGATGATTCCACGTGAGCGCAATATGACGAGATTCTACATTGAGATGAAGTCCTCTACCTCTTCAAAGGAGCTCGGCCAAGAATATGTCATGGAACAGGCTCAGCGTATCCTCAGTCCTTACACAGTTGAGTGGCTGTCGGTCGAATGGTTCGGAAAATACGGCGTCTCTCAAAGGGTAGCTGCCTCCTTTTCTGACCCTGAGAAGAGAGCATTTATCGCAGGAGATGCAAGCCATACCCACAGCCCGAAGGCTGCTCAGGGAATGAACACAAGTGTGCACGACTCATGGAACCTTGGTTGGAAGTTGAACCTGGTCTCTCGAGGTCTAGCAAACAAGGATCTGTTGCTAGGGAGCTACGAGGACGAACGTAAAAAGATTGCCCACGATCTTATCGACTTCGACTACGAACATGCCAATGAAATTGCTGGTGGTGATGCCAAACGCTTAGCAGAGAATTTCCGAACCAACATCAGATTCATCTCAGGTGTTGGTGTTGAGTATGGCCCGGGTGTTCTCAACTCCGGATCAGCGGTGGGAATCCTGAAGCCAGGATCCAACCTGCCTCCAGGCAAGGTGACCAGGTACATTGACGCAAACCCGATCGATATACAGCTGGACATCCCCATGCTGGGCCAATTTCGGGTCTATGTCGTTGTACCGGACCTCAATAATTCCGCCCAAGCTGCCTTCATTCGCAAATTCAACGCCACAGTGAGCGCTGGATCATCTTTAATTTCCAGGGCGTCCGTAGCAGCTCAAAGATCATACATCGAGAAACCGCGAGCCAAGAGGAATAAAGACGTTTATTTCAGACCAGAGAGATACACGACAGTAAGCCAACTTATTACGTTTTCTCTCATTAGTAAGTACAATCTCATCAATGGTTTTGCACGAAGAGTCACATCTGATTATGTCTCACAGCTGCTACCGAAAAGAGCTATTTTGAAATCGCAAACCTGCCTCGAATTTTCTCTCAAAGCCCCTGGACCATCTACCTGGACGATGTGCCAAATTTGGATACACAAGGCAAGCCTTGCATTCAGAAGTGGCTGGGAGATCTGGGTAACGAAAAGGTCTCCATTATTAATGTCCGTCCTGATGGATATGTTGGTTCGGTCGAGACTTTTGATCTTAACACAGACAACGCCGGAGATGCTGCCGCTGCCTGGCTGGAGTCTTACTACGGAGCATTTTTGCAGTTTTAAGGCAAAGTACAATAGAAATCTATTACCATGAACGTAGGAAAGCAAGAGTAGCGTGTGATTAATTGATCGTATCTCTAATATTTGCGTTTTCAGCAACAAACTTGTAATCGACTTCGTCCTTGTAATTGTACCTCAGCATAAATGTTCACAACGCTGCATATTTCAATTGTATGAAATGCTCTAACCATTCATCGCACACTGTAGAGATCACATCTCGCATAGGTATCCAGACCATAAGCCTTGGAGCCTTGTACGATCCCCAAAATTGATTAGTCGTGAGCTGATGGCAAGGCCAGACCCTGTTGGTTGCGTATAGTATGATTATCACTGAAACCAAGGGTTGTCGAGAGTGGGGTGGAATCATACCATGACTCGAGCGTGGATAACAAGATTCGCTCCCTTGCAGATAAGATAGAACGTATCTTCGTAATCAGTCCGCAATGGAGCTAAGTAAGCCAATCAGATAGATGCTTTTACAATCTGGGGTGACGTGGAGTGCGAGCTAGAATCTGCGGCTGATGCCTGTCGTCGACCTGGTTCCTGAATGCAAGGAAGTCCAATAACAGTAGGTAGATATGCGTGACCTTTCATGATAGAGCACTAAGAGCGAGACTGCATTTTGCTATATAGCTGTCTTTCCCCGGATTAGCTGCCAGTGCCGTTAAACCTTGCTTCACAACCCTGCCCAACTATCTATCGCTTTTCTGCAGACGCATCCATCATGTCTTCCACCGGAGAGAAGAAAGTAACCCAAGACGAGGGAATTCGGCGAGCTTCAACTACGGTCTCTGTTCAGTGTGGCGAAATCAAACCCAGCTCTGATGCCGTGACCCAAAGCTTCTATGCTTCCGCCGTCAGTGAGAGCTATGCGAGGAAGTCCGAGCTGATTGCTCATCACCTTAATGAAATAGGGACTGGAAAGTAAGCTTATCATAATGGCTTACTATCCCAGACAAAGATTTCATGACTTACATTCAATGCAGGTTTCAATGGATCTTGTTCATCGTCAATGGTTGTGGATGGATGGTAGGTTCTATACAGCAACCCTATCTTCTCAATGGTCTACAATACTAATCAACGATCCAGATCGACAATTTCTGGTCCCAAGGTATTTCGGCAGTTCGACCCGCGATCGCAAACGAATTTACAGACATCCAACGCCTTAGCTACAGCTCCATTGCTTACTATGTTGGCTTGATCGTGGGGGCTCTCTTCTGGGGAACAGCAGTTGACTTCATTGGACGGAAACCCGCATTCAATGCCACAATTATGATTGGGGCGATATTTGCTTGCGCTTCTGCTGGCTCACAGAACTTTGTGACGTTCTGTTCTCTGTGGGCTGTAATTGGTACCGCTGCCGGAGGTTAGCTCAGTCCACCATGAAGAGAAGAGGCTATATTGTGCTTGTAACTGACCATACTCCAGGAAATGTCCCCGTTGATAGCATTGTTTTTCTCGAATTTGTGCCACAAACCCACCAGTGGCTTCTAGTGACGCTCTCTGCCTGGTGGAACTTTGGCCAAGCAGTGGTCTCGCTGCTTTCGTGGGTGTTCCTGGCCAACTTTGCTTGCTCGGCCGATCAGGCACCTTGCCTCAGACAGAATAACATGGGCTGGTAAGCTACTACGAACCCTTCCCCGTCTTATACTGCTTCTGATAGTTAAAATCAGGCGATATTTGATGATCACGCTCGGAGGTATTGCGCTTGCACTTGGTCTGCTCCGTATCTTTGTCTTCAAGATCCCAGAGTCCCCCAAGTTTCTCCTATCTAAGGGCCACGACGCCCAAGCCGTTGAAGCCGTCAACTACATTGCCAGATACAATGGCAAGCCCGAGACCTTGACCCTCGACATGCTACAGGAGATTGACCGCCAGATCGCCGCTCAAAACGCTTCGACCAACCAAACCAACGTCTCTGATGATGCACAATCTACCGCAATTACTCCGGTTCAAACAAAGCTCTCTACAATGGATATCATGAAAGAGAGCTTCAAGGATTTCAACGCTAGCAACTACAAGGCTCTGTTCGCTGGAAAGAAAATGGCCCAACACTCCATCGTCACATTTCTCATCTGGCTCACGATCGGAGTTGCGTACCCGCTCTTCTTTGCTTTCATTACTTCTTACATTGAGGCCAACTCCCACTACACAAGCGACACGTCTTTCAACCGTACATACGTCATCTACATCATCGTGTCTGTTGTCGGTGTTGTTGGACCGGTCTCAGCTGGATTCGCTGTTGAGACTCGCTTCGGAAGACGATATATGATGGCCCTGAGTGCGGCTCTCACAGGCGTGTTTCTTTTCGCCTACACGACTGTCAAATCCGAGGCTGCTGATATCGGCTTCCAGTGTGCAACAGCCATTCTGGGCAACTTTGGTAGGTCCAAATCGCTGATATATTAGACTTAGATGGACATTATAGCTAACCAAAGATCGCAGAATATGCTGTCATGTTTGCATTTACGCCTGAAAGTTTCCCAGGCCCTGTGCGAGGAACCGGAACAGGAATCGCAGCAACCCTTCTCCGATTCGGTGGTCTTGTTGCGAGCTTTGTGTCCTCTTACGCTGGTTATACTGTTGTGCCTATCTACGCAAGTGCAGCGCTATGGATTCTTGTTGGCGTAATGTGCTTCGGTCTTCCGTATGAGACACATGGGAGAGCTTCTATGTAGATGGGAGGACACGCATGTCCTTTTGCTCCGCGTTCTTCAAGGGTGGTAGTTGTCGGTCATGATAGGCACATTCTGACATGTACGATGGACCAGTGTTTCTATATCGATTACTTCAATAGGATACATTTAATCAGCCCTGTAAACACGAATTGTGCTTGAGTTTGCAGACACTCCAAATGTAGGAATAAGCTTGAGCTCCCAATGTGACATCAGATACGTATCGGAAGCTAGCCTTCTAGACCGGAAGGAATTCTGTAGCCCAGAAACTGGATGCCCATCGTACGAGACAGACTGGCAGCTGGCTAGGACCCCATGCCCATACCGTTCAAGAATGGGGGTATGTAAGTTGGGGATAGCCTTGTCGTTATTTGACATGGGTGCAAGGAGTGCGGGCGCTAGAATCCCACCCTCCCACTCTTGATCTCCCCTTTCTGACACCCAAGCCTGGTTGTTTAAGCTATGCAGATCATCAAGCTATTAGCTGGAGCAACTTTGCACGTAACCATGTAAACCGTAGTGCTCGCCTGTAGCTTGGTTAGGAATAAGTGGCCACGCTTACCACGGTCTTGTGACGCAGGACTAGCCTACAGCAGTTGTTACGAGACTGTGCACATTGAGTCTTTTACAAGTCATATCTTTCTGTCAGGTCTTCTCTAAGCAATTCTGTAAGCAGAAGTCCTCATAGAAAAAGATGGGCATCTGATAGCATAAGTGGTGGATTGTGGACGTAAATTGGGATTTTTATGCTGATAGAACCATAAATGATAGGTCAAGGTGCTTAATTGATATAATGTAACGTCTATTTACTCTCATGGCTCCATTCCAAGGGTTCATCGTACTGGTTGACGAGTCTTTGAGGCACCAATCCTTTTAATACCGTAACACCAGCATGCACAATACCCCATCTGACCTTCGTTAAAATTTCGGCCATTGTCCATACCAACCCATTTGCTTGTCGTTTTGCAGCCGGTAGATTGGTGAATTCACTGGCTTGGGCCATGCTAGCTACCAAACTCTCCATTTCAGACTGGGGGTTCCATATCATTTCGTCATCCTCGTCAATCTCATCCAGTCCCATGGATGAGCCACTGGGTCGATTATTGGGACGAGCGTGATGGTATGCCCAGCAAGTCAAAGTGACTAGGTATAAGCACCAGGGAACATGAAACAGACTCATAGCCTTCGATGTTGTAAGTGTCCTCGTATGCAGATGAAGCATATTAGCGGCGTGTTTTGCTGCAATACTCGCTGGATTCATCACCACTCTGTTGTTACCTGCTGGAGAATCCTGAGAGTCCGTCGAGTACTGGGGCGTTGGGGGGTTGCTTCCCTGAGCCCGCTCCAATGTGTCATTGCTGGACGAAGCGGCCCAGCGCTTGACAATCTGCACAGAGCGGAGGAAGTCTCTTTGCTGCACGGGACGCCCTAGAATATGGCGAGCACCGGCATATATCTGAACATCCAAGAAATCCATATTCAGCAGAACCTTTACTGCATGATACAGCGCCTGATATGCAGCCGCATAGACTGCAATTTCAGAAATCTGAGCCTCCTCAGTTCCAGTCCGTTCAACTGCGTTGCTCACACGCCGTCCACTCCTCTGAGCATTTTGCAGTCGAGCAATCGACGCGGTGCAGTGTGCACTGAAATCTTTCTCCCAGCGATCATACGCGGAGCTAATCATCCTCTTCCACCCAGACCTGCCGCTCACACTACCACCAGCAATGACTCCGAGAGCCGTCTGATCTCTCCTTTCCATATCCCAGGCAATGGACATCAGGCCATGCAAAATGAGAACGCGAGCGAGAATGGTGAGATTGGAAGGACGTGGTACTGATGGTGAAAGGTAAGACTTGAGTGCAACAAGATACGGGGTGCCATGGTCTGCTGATGGTGTTGATCTCCACGCCGCTGCCCACAGAGCAGGGTCCCTCGCTTCCCAAATTCCTTGAGTGCAGGGCATGTTGACACGAAGCTCAAAGGCAGACATGCACAAGCTTTGGCAGAAGAGTACGGCGTGCTGAGTGTCCCACATGAAGCAAAGGAGTGCAAGCCTAATTTAGACAGTCTGTCAGTTCATTGTCACATTCAAGGATACTGAGATCCATACCTTTTCTTTTGCTCCGCTACGGTCCATTTAAGCCAAGCCTGTCTCAAGCTGCCCTCGTGGTTCTCATCTGATATAGTGGGCGGACCGACTGGCTGGACGCACTGGCAGTCTGATCGACGGATAAGATTGATGAGAAGGCCATGGAACAAGTGGCTCATCTCATGCTGCTTCTGTCCAGCTCTAGACTTGCCAAAGCACTCCACTAGTAGGATTGTCTGTAGAGCCCAAAGTTTGGGCTGGGGCGAGAACCCGGCGTGGGCAAATATTTGTGGTCGTATTGAATCGTGGATGCACACGGCTAACTGGTGAGAGTCTTTGCCTGAGTAAGTTGCACCTAGGAGTAGGATAGATAACAGTAGCAGAGGCTCTATCTCCGCTGGATTGAATGAAGCCAAGTGAATGAGAGGATATGCCGTATTAAATCGGGTAAAGAATAAGTCGAGATAGCTCTGAAGTGACGTGGTGGATAGCAGAGGATCTTGCCACATAGACTCGCGCTGCTCAGGAAAGCAGGGATTCGATGCTTCGATAACATTCAGAATGCTTTGACGAACATCATCGTCTATTTCGGGAACGTGGATACTTTGAATAGAAGAGAATGGCCTCTCGAGAGATGGGGGATGCTCTAATGTCACTGGGTTCCGCCGTTTTTGAGCGATTAGTTCGGCGGGCGATGAGGCTGCAGATACAACCCTTCGTTCTGTGCCCTGTCCAGAAATGGGTGATTCGGTTATGAATGACTGATGTGCTCTTTCAGAGAAATTCTCGTCCCGAGTCTGATTACTAGCGATGCTATTGTGTCGACGGGGATCCATATCCTGGACAGAATCTTGTTGAGGTTCTGACCAAAGCTGAGAGCTATTCATTGATACCGGGGAGGCAGCAAATGAGTTCTTCGAAGTAACGTAAGCGTCAATGTTGATGCTGTTGTTTGGCCCCAATGAACCTGTATCTTTTTCAAGGGGGAGAGAAAAGTCGCGAATATTGAACAACCAATTATAGTCAAGAGCGGTAGTATATGGCATGTTAAATGATGAGGCGGTGTCAGGCTGGAAGATTTGATCGTACTCCAACTCAGAGATATTCTGCTGGATCGCTAAGTCTGTCCAGGATGAATCATATGGGATAAAGGAGCTTTGATTTTGAGCTCCCGGATTGGAGTCAAAGCAGGCCTGGGAAATAGGACTATGAGGATTGAATACCTGCGGTGGCTGATGCTGCTGATGTTGGCGAGCCTCCTCGCCAAAGGGGAGGCAGTCGATGGGGGGATGCTGAACAGCTTCAGGCCCTGCGTTTGAAAAGAATAACGCGTCGCTGTTCACCAAAGACTCTGTCACATCACAAGGCTCAGGATCCGGGGATGGCTCCTGCTGAGCGACCTGCTCAGTAGGGCCCTTGTCAGTCTCACCGTTGAGACACGGGCGTTTCTGGACGACAGAGCCGTCAGGCGTAGCCCAGGCTCGTTTTCTAGTATCTAATGTGCCACAACCGGGGCCGCCTGCTTCTAAGTCTTTTTGACGATGTCTTTCCATATGCCTCTCTGTTGGAATACGTTAATATCGGCAGCGTCGAGGTTTCAGACCATACTGGCATTCTACATACTCAAGAGGTCCGGGCGCTTGAAATGAGCACGGCAGAGTTCGCAAGCTAAGCCTCCAGGAGCATGATTGAGTGCATGGCGTTGAAGATGCTCGGCTCTGGTGAAGCGTTTAGTACAGCCTGGATGAGAGCAAACGAAGGATTTTTCCTGGGTTGCTGGTTCATCGTGGGCCTGCTGGTCAGGCCTCGAGGGCATCACTGATCTGGCCATATCCGCCATTCCTTGAGCAATTCCATCCACTCCTGATGGATGATGGGAGGAATGGAGGTCGAAAGTAAGGGTATTAGGGGCCATGTCACCACCAGCGTTCTTGCTAGGTACCAGCAGGTTAATCAAAAGTGGAATTGACGACGATAATAGACGCCAGTAATGCGATGGGTCCGTCCCACAATAGATAAAGAACGAAAGGAAGACGGCTGTGATGCCCCTGGGAAGAGTGGGAGAAGAGGATGCCCTGATAAGCAGCTAGTCTAGGCGGATGCTGGGGCCCACGACTCATGACATGGAGAGGCCGAATCACGGAGGAAATGGAAGCTGCGTGATTGGGGGGTCGTTTAGTAGTGGGAGGGAGTTCAGGCTAATCTTATCCTCTCTTGCAACGATTCATAATCCAGCCATTCCAAACTATACCCCACATACCCCTCGCTTCTAGTCCGTTTTGCGCTCGGCTTCTAACAAAATTCACGCCATACGAACAGTTAATCCAACCGAAACCAGCAAGAGCTTCCCCTCCCAGAGACTTTGAGGACTGTCTCGGCAGAACTCACTTCAGCCTAGCCTATCTTGTGGGAATACTGCCCGACTGTACCTGCACCTCAAGATGATTGACACACACGAAAAACATGACCCAAACTCCAAACCACGCTGGCAAGATGTCGTGGCTCAAAAGAAGAAGTTGCAAGCTGAGGCTCTGGCCACTAAATTTGAGTCACTGTCGCCCAGTGTCACCAAGAGCATCACGACTCTGACCTCGCCCAATGAAATTACGTCAAAGATTCTTAGTGGACAACTGACTTCTCACGAGATCGTCAGGGCATTTATGCAGAGGTACTTTTCCATGCCAATAATATGGATCCCTTCTGTGCAATCGTCATGTTAACTTGATAGTCTCTAGGGCTCGTGAAGCGCATGAACAGGTACGTCCATCCCACATCTTAGAGCTATAGCTTTACAATTCTTACACGCGTCTCTCTTTTTCAAAATACAGACCAACTGGTATGTACAGTTCCATAAGATGCACTATTAGAGTAGCCCCGGGACTAACATCAGCATGTACTTTAAGCCTAACCGAAATCCTCTTTGCGGAGGCTCTGAATGAGGCGAAAAAGCTGGACAAATACTTTTTGGAACATGGCAAGCTCGTTGGTCCTTTTCATGGAGTTCCTATCACTCTTAAGGACCAGTTTAATGTCAAGGGTTATGATTCAACGATAGGCTATGTTGGCCGAAGCTTCAAACCGGCTGAGGAAGACGCAGTCGTGGTAAAGCTCTTGAGGTCGTTTGGTGCGATTGTCATCGCAAAGTCAAACCTTCCTCAGAGTATCATGGTAAGAATTCTTTCATATTGCAGTCTATCCTATCAAGCAGTATCTTACGTACACTCAGTGGTGCGAAACGGAAAATCCGCTCTGGGGGCTCACAACAAATCCTAGCGATAAAGACTATACACCAGGAGGTTCAACGGGTGGCGAAGGTGTTCTGCTGGCTTTGGGTGCCAGTATGCTAGGGTGGGGGACAGATATCGGAGGGAGTATCCGAATTCCTTCCCATATGATGGGACTCTATGGATTGAAACCCAGTGTAAGTTCTGTGGCTATCCTGATTATAGGCAATTCATCCTAACTAACGTCCACACCAGAGTGCTCGACTTCCCTACCGAGGTGTCCCAGTGTCCACCGATGGACAGGAACATGTGCCTTCATCTATTGGGCCTTTGGCTCGTAATTTGCGTATGATTCACGCCGTGACGGAAGCGCTCATTTCCGCCGAGCCATGGAAATTAGACGCTCGATGCGCGGCCCTTCCATGGAGAGAAGACGCATTTCAAGAAGTCCAATCTCGCCCATTAACTATCGGCGTTCTGTATGATGATGAAGTTGTGCGACCGCATCCACCCGTTGCTCGCGTTTTGCGCACAGTTGTTGAGGCTCTCAAAGCTGCTGGGCATGAAATATTGGTGTGGGATGCTAGGCTTCACTCTGAATGTGTGGCAGTCATGGTAACCGACTCTTCTTGAAGGTTTCTTTCTATTAGATCAGTGCTAACAAATTATCATCTTAGGATCAATATTATACCATAGATGGAGGGAAAGATATAAGAGACGCTGTATCGGAAGGAGGCGAGCCATTCATCCCTCATGTAGAGCGTCTTATTAACTCTGGGAGTCCAATTTCGGTACACGACTACTGGGCTCTTAACCGGAGTAAATGGGAACTTCAACAAAAATACATGGAAAAATGGGATAACCTCAGGTCCCCAAAGACTGGTAGGGTGGCTGATGTGGTAATATTGCCACCCATGCCGCACACGGCTGTACCCCATACAGCTTGCCGCTGGGTTGGTTATACCAAGGTGTGGAACTTTCTAGATTACCCAGCCTTGGTTCTTCCAGCTGCCACTGTAACTCAAGATGATATTGACGAACCTTGGGGATTTGACCCTAGGAATCCCAAGGATGAGTGGACTGGCAAACTTTGGCAAGATCAGAGGCAAAAAATGGCACACTTGAGATTGCCAGTTGGTGTCCAACTGGTTTGTAGAAAGCTTGAAGAGGAGAAGCTTCTTGGTGTCGGCAAGGTTGTCGATGAAGTAATTAGAGAAAGCAGAGCGGGCCCTAAATGATTTAGAAACCGATCAATACAATTCGCCGTTGCGCAATCGGCTTAACAACAAGTATGTTGATTGCCGATTTTCGTCTAAATCCATTCTCTTTGAAGTCATCAAGGCCACAAGGGTGTGGAATAGCGCGATAAAGCTATAAGAAGAATTACAAAAAGAGTTCACAAAAACCATGATAATCTTATCTACGCCACTCCTTTTCTACAACAGAAACGTTTGGCGGTTTGATACACAGCAACCATCATATCTATAGCTGACGACCAAGTACGTTTAAGATACTTTCACTATAGTTATTCACTTCTACATGTCCAATGTTACGCATCTATAGTTGAATAGTTGCTTTATTAGTTACGTATATGATGTGACGTTCACGCTTGAGACTTCTTCCATTCCTCGTACTTCTTCATGACTTCCTCCTTACTTGCTGGCATTAATGCTCCTTCAGGAGCCGGGTTCTTACTCTTAAAGTAATCGCACATCTATCGGAAAGGTAAGAAGGTAGCAAATGTCAGCCAGTGTCACAGAGAGGGTTTTCAGGCAGGTAAATTCTATGTGGATAATCCAAACAAAGGGGCTTACCTCTGCCATCGTAACCCACTCCACGCCTTCGTGCTTATTGATGTGTTCAATGAGTCTTTCATGCATCAATAACACATGTGGTCGTCCGGACACATCACTTGAGAATATTTATTAGCCTGGCTTTGGGGGATACGTGACCGTTTTGAATGCAACTAACGGGTGGATGGTCATCGGGAAAATGAACTCATCTATGATGGCTTGTTAATATGACTGCGTCAAAAATATATCAGGCGGAGGTTTACATACCATATTCTCGGTAAAAGTAGTCGAAATGATCTCTCCAAATGTCTTCAACATCCCTTGGATTCACCCATCCATGAGAGTTGGCAGAGTTCTTCATGAACATCATCGGGGGTAGATCATCGATATACCTGGACGAATCAGCTTCTGTTATCATTGATGTGCGGAGATCATAACTCTTACCAGGAGCCTGGAATCTCGACCAAGCCAGTCTCTTTCCCTTTAACAAGGGGTTTCATCCACTCCTCTGCCTTCTTTGAGTAATCAATCTTCGTCCAACTGTCCCCTGTACGTAGCCAATACGCCTGACAATCTTCGTGGGACATCGAATGGTCGTATCTGGGCACAGTTTTTAGAATTGAAACGTCTGGAATAGTTGGCCGTGCAAGGTTGTCTTACTCGATACCATAGCTAAGCATAAGTTCTGTGCCTTCCGCGCTGGTTTCCCACCAAGGGGCTACAGAACCACGGGGAGGCTTGCCGCAGAATTCTGTGAGCATCTTCCAAGTCTTGTCCAAAACATCTCTTTGTTGTTCCAAAGTCATGTCTACGGGATTTTCGTGACTGTAGCCGTGAAGGCCTTGAAGAATGTTAGTATGGCCTCGCTTAGCCCTTGATATGATTGCCTACCAATTTCATGGCCCGCATCCCGTACCATAGCACATTCTTCTGGGAAGGTTTCCAGGCTGTGACCAGGGATAAACCATGATGCTTTAATATTGTACTTCTCAAACAGAGTGAGTAGGCGGCGGGTGCCAATTGTTCCTGCCCAGAGACCTGCATGCAAAATTAGCATTATGCTTCAATTCAAGGTTACATCAGACAAACCTCTAGATATGTCACTCGTTGAATCTTCTCCGCCGTCTGGATGAAAGTTAGTTCTAGGTCCAGGTAAAAAGGGTCATCGATATGACACACAGGAGCCCAGCCATCCCGCAACAGCATCAATATCAACACCGTAGCTAAATTGATATTAGTAAGATATGAACATCATTTTGGTGTCGATGATGACCTACCAGACGAGAACCTTCTTCTTGCCCATGTTAGAGATTAGTCTTCCTTTCTATGTTTTCTAACTCGTTGATTCGTCAAAAAGGCAGGGTTCCAATAGTAAGTTACGTGGACTCAATCAACACGGCAACTTAGCTCCATTTGTCATTGCAGCCCAGGAGCAGTCTTATGCATGGATATTGACAGAGACCTATCATCCCAACATCTCAAGGGTGGAGACAGTTTACCTGTGGTAGTGCAAGATGTTGGCCTACATTGACATCAACCCCGCAATACTACCACAACTGTTGCATTATCTCGAGCAAGCGGAAACAACACTTGCATCGCCGGGGAGCAAGAGTGGGCAGTGTGTTTATCTGCGGGGGTGTTTAGCGTCGCGAATGGTCACGATGGCAGATCTCCGCGAATGGCGAGTAATGAGACATGTTCACGTCGTACTTTATTGGCACACCCACTCCCCCATTCTCGCCCACTCTTGCCTATCATGTCAAAAATGGGGGAATTGGCCCGTTCATGGAGTATCCATTCCGCGGCTGTGGCCCACAACATCAATGCCGTGGATCGTTTTGATGTTGGGTGCCAGGTGATAGGATAGGTGGAAAACGTAGTCCAGATATGCGGCCGACAAGAGGGTGTTTATGATTATCTACTGCCAATATATACAATGATTGTAAAACTTACAGCACGTTAAGTCTCCCAAAAAAGTAACCCATCCTCTCAAGGATATACAGCCCACCCTCAATCATGTCCAAGGTGAGTATAGCTTGATGGAAAAAAGCATCCCATTTATTGATTTGTCAATTAGTCTACTAATGGGATCGATTTCAGTTCAACCTTCAGGGCCGCGTTGCCATCGTGACCGGTGGTGCCAGAGGCTGTGGCTATGCCTTTGCCCAGGGCTTGGCTGAAGCAGGAGCTGATGTCGCGCTCTTCGATGTTATTGACCCAGCCCCTGCAGACTTTGAGAAGCTTTCGTCTGCTTATGGTATCAAAGCTCGGGCGTACAAGGTTGACGTTACGTCTCTTGCCAGTCTTGAAGCCGCATTCGCATCGGTGAAGACCGACTTTGATGGAAAACTAGATATTCTCGTGGCATGCGCAGGGGTAAATAAGAATGTTCACTTCCTAGAAACAGAAGAGTCTGATTTTGAAAAGTTATTTGGCGTGAACTGCAAGGGGGTGTACTTCTCAGCCAAACTTGCCGCCAAGGCGATGATTGCAAATGGTACCAAATGCGGTAGCATTATCTTGGTAGCCTCCATCGCCTCCCATATGGCCATCAGATCGCAGCGCTCTACTGCCTACTGTGGTACCAAAGGCGCCGTCAGGGCTATGGTGGCACCTATCGCTGCTGAGTTAGACGAGTATGGGATCCGCGTCAACTCAATAAGCCCGGGATATGTACGCACAGAGATGACGAATCCCTTCCCTCACCTTCTTGAGGGATGGAAAGATGAAATTATGAACCACCGCGTGGCCGAGCCCGACGACATTCAAGGGGCATGTGTGTTCTTGGCGAGCGATGCTAGCAGGTGAGTTGAGAATATCCAACTGATCTTAGGAGACTACGGATGCTAACAATTGTAAGGTATTGCACGGGAAGTGATATCTTGGTCGATGGAGGAGTGACTAAATGGTAGTTAGATTCGTAGAATATAATATCATCTTACTTCTATTTTAATTCTACTATGGAAGGCTATATGTGATGGACTTGTTAGCGAGCCCAAGCGTCATCGACAGTCGTTCATTAAGGGATTCCAAGACTAGTGCATTCATGAGGAGCCAATTTATTGACAGTTTCTTTTTGTTCACAAGGAATACCGTTCGCAAACACTACCGAATTAGAATAATATTCAATCACATGTCTATATTAGTCGACGGTTATTGAACACCTTGACATATATGCTGCACGATAGGTAAAGATGAGTAGTTCAAGATGACAACAGATGTAGTCAATTCTAGCTCTTCTTAAGTTATTAGACGGAACGTTCAAGCGTCCAATCTAAGGGTGATCTCATCGAGAGGATCTGGCTTCCACTGATTGAATAACAATCAAGCTTCTAGATAAAGTATCTGAAACGGATGTCATTCTCGCCCTCGGTAATCTCACTTGTATCAACGTCTTCTGCGCGTAGCTCAACGCCCTGTTCCCGGTTGCGTCGACGATTCTCCCGTCGCATCCATAGTCCCAGGCCCAGCGTGAAAAAGATGCAAGTGCCATTGCACGCAGCTGTAGCAATCAAGGTCGGCGCATATTGAGGAGCATATGTGGTTCGGAACGTTCCGGCCGACAAGATACCTCCGATATTTCCCAAGCCGACCAGCAATCCAGTGGTAGCTGCTCGAGAGTTTTCACTGGGATTATTGTTGTTGTGCCATGAGTGGACGAGGCAGCTAGGTATGTAGGCACCAGAAGCCAGCATGAAGCAAGCGAAGTAGGCAACGCCGACGTGCTTGACGGCGTCAACGAAGGCAAGAATCAAGAGGCCGATCAAGCTGAGAGTCAAACTTCCGATAATATGATATGTCCGCTCCCGGTTTCGATCCGAGCTGTAAGTAACAGCAAGCAACACCAAGAATCCAACCACATTCGGCGGAACGGTCAATAAATTTGTGACGACAACGCTGTAACCGAGACGTCGCAATACAAGAGGGAGGAAGTTCGCAGTTGTGGCAAAGGCGACGGGATAAGTCAAGCTGATTATGCACCATACTATGAATTTCAGGTTCCACCAGTTTTGGAAGCACTCTCGAAAGCTGAACTTCTCACCAACGGCTCTGGAACCGTCTCGGAGCGCTCGAAGCGTGGCCACTTCCCGCTGCTCCTTGTTCAAGAACCAGGCTGTCTGTGGAGTGGCTGGGAGCCACCAGTAGGCAACGATCCCAAAAACAACCGTCATGGCACCTGTACGTTGTCAATAAAATGGATAAAACATTACCACTGAGTATGCATGGTACCTTCAATAAGAAACAACCACATCCATCCCGTGACTTTGGGGTGGTGGATTTGAAATACTCCAAAGGATATGAGCCCGGAGAAGGCACTGGCCAGGAGAGCGCTGCCAAAGAAGATCGCAATCCGAAATCCCAGTTCGCCACGCGTATAGAACAGCGTCAGATAGAAGATAGCACCGGCAAAGAATCCCGCCTCGAATGCACTATGCGTATTGTTAGACATACCGCAACTCATCAAGACATGTATACGGCTTTACTTACCCCAAGAGGAGTCGAATGGCCAACATTCCACCGAAGTTCTTACATGCTGCTTGTATCAACGCCATTGCGCCCCAGCCCACCATAAGTGTTGGGAGCATGACTCGACCGGAGAAACGCTTCGTCAACAAATTCAAGGGCAGATCACAGAGACCATTCGGGACATAGAACAGGAGGATAAGCAGTGAGTACTGTTCACCAACGAACCCCAAATCTTTACTCATTCCATCGGTCTCTGCATTTCCGAGGTTACTCTGAAGTCGAGTTAATTCTCTGAAAAAAAAAACCCCAGAAGCTTGAAAGCAGATGCAATTTACGTACCCGATCAACAGCATTGAAGAAATACATTATGCTCATGAATGGGAGCAGCATCCTATCCATCTTACGAACTATGACATTGTCAGAAATACCGAACTCATCATTAGAACTCAGACTTACCGTAAGATCTTTCAACAGCCGTGTCGATTTCTAGCTGTGTGCCTCCAGACTGCTGATCAGCCGCGATCTGGAGGTTGTTTTCTTTATTCTCGCCCATGTTCGGAGACTTCATTCAAGATAACGAATTTAATATTAGATTAGATTATTGACTGTATGTAACTTGCTGGAACGTTGGTCTGAGTGACTTCAAGGCCTCGGTGTCAATATATAAGCACTCTTTCTGAGCGTAATTCCCCGTAATCAGCGGTATCACCGTGACAAGGGTGAGAAGAGATAGACTGGTTTCGTTCATCCCAAGATTCACCCACTCCCGACTAAGATTTGAGGATTAGTCAATAGTTGATAGCTATTGCTTGATACTAGCCTATTGTAGCTCAATCGGGGATGATAAGATTCATGTGATACCCCAGATAATGAATTTGGNGGGGGGGGCTAGGCCTACCAAGAGCGTGAATGGGGTACCAGGGTTGGTGCAAGCTTCAGAGTCTATTCAGATTCGGCCGTTTCCTCCACCTTTCGTTGGTACTGACTCGATCCTACTCCACCCTAGATGTCGCTTCCAATCTCCAATCACCACATCCTATTCCAGGATAGTGAGCTCTCAAGACTATGAGATCAAGAAGTCAGACTGGTTACCTATTGCATCTATGCCAAACTAGATTCTGAAGGCTAAAATCTATCATCTAGAAGCTGATTATTAATTCTAAAAGTGCAGTGAGATGAGAATTGACCGTGAGATATCGGAGATTATCACAAGTGGAATCATTGCTCAGCACCACACAAAGCATGATGCAGAGTTTGGGCTCGAGTGAAGAACGCAATATTGTCCTACAGTCTGATAGCCTCGGTCACTAGATAGGTAGATGGATGTCAAATGATAGAACTAGATATTTTTGGGCTATCAAACTAGCTATACATGGGGAACCTAAGCGACTGCGACTGGTGCTGGCTGCTGAGCCACTTGATTCTCGGCCATCTTCTTTGCCGCAAGTTGTTTGTACAGCTGAGCCCGTCCATAAGACTCAGCATACGCAGCTGAAACAATCTGTTCAACCGTAGCAGGTTCAAACTTTGCCTGCTCGTCTGCTTTCTTGCAGGTAGGAATGCAGTCAATCATGTAGTCAGGCTGCCCTGACACGAAGATTGGGATAGAGTACCTCTCCTTGCCGGATTTGTTGATAACTCTGTGAACGTTGCTCTTGTACTTCTCATTGGTCCAACGGCTCATAAGGTTTCCCAGATTGATCACCAGTGCGCCTTCAGTTGGGGCTACATCTATCCATGTCGAGCTTTTCTGGTCCCAAACTTGAAGTCCATCGACTGTGTCCTGCATCAGCATCGTGATGCCACCAAAATCGGTGTGCGCCCCAATTCCTCTGGTGAGCTTTTCATCCGCGTCTTTCGGTTGGCTAGGATAATGGAGAAGCCTCATTGTAGACACTGCTCCGGTCATGTATTCAGAAAAGTAAGTCTCTTCAAGATCCAGCGACAAGGCTAAAACTCGCATCAAGTCTGAAGCCAGCTGTAAGGCAGCATGATAGTATCCCATAGTTCCATCTTTGAAGCCTTCAAGGCCGTCTCCAAGGGCTTCTGGCCACTGGTTTGGTCCACTGTTGAGCTTCTTGTTGATGAAGTAGGGGTGTGATTTATCAATATCTTCCCCGATGTAGAATCCTTCCTTAAGTTCTGGCTGGGTCCCTTCCTCGAGCATTTGGGATCTCAGCATTTCATAGCCGCGGTTCCAGGTGTTGTTATCTTTAGAGACTTGTTGCTTTTCCTCCAGAGAGAGGTCAAAGAACTTCTTGGCACAGTCCATGACCTTCTTTTGCTTTGCGAGGGGAATGGAGTGGCCAGTGATTTGGAAGAAGCCATTGTAAAGGCAACTTTCGCGGACTTGATCAACAACTTTTTGCTTTAGAACGGGATCTTCGGAATAAAATCCTGTTGAGCACCGACTGTCAGCTTTACGTCCCTTAGACACACACATGATCTCGATGTGCTTTTAGGTTTCATGGTATGGAGTCGGCCCAATAGGGCTGGGGAGGAGGTTATGCTTACCAGAGAAATCGATAATGGGGATGCTGAGCTCAGGCATAGTGGCTGTGGGCGTTTGTATTCCAAACGATACTGGACGTGATCTTAGATACTATGTATTGAAGTGGTAGTGATGTGGAAATTGGGCGGCGTAAAATGGACTCTAAGAATTCTCGTATGAGGCAACAAAATATTATATCTCTTGGTTTCATTCACCATTCCCATCTGTATCCGGGGTATAGTCGCTGACGAAGTCACATCGAGCTCATTCCTGTAGTCTGAAGAGGAGGGGATTCTATCTCCCCACCCTTTCCAGGTGGACTGTGCCGTTGCCATCTCTTGTCTGCCACTCGGCTGTCCGGGTCCGAAGTACGCCTTGGAGTGAGATAGCGCGAGTCAAGGATGGGGGTTTTGTGGGGTGATGACTCCCAATAGGCTTGAACGGCCAATTCACATTGGCAGTAGATACGAGAGTGGGGGAAAGCTGTGTGATCCCCACTCCTCAACTCTAGCCCGAGGGCCCAGGCATGATTAGAGTTTGGACATGATTAGGAAGCAGGATTGAGCGGGTAATCTCGGACCTGAGATATCCTATCCTATTCCCACCCGTCAGACTCGGGCTTGTACGGTTGAGCTGCATAGAGTTCTCGTTACAGGCCCATCTTCCGTCACAGTGCTAGAGAGAGTACTATCTATCGGGTTTCTAGTTAACCCTTTGTAAACACGCAGTTACTCGCCTAGATTCTTAGCTGTTTTGGTCTCTAGGAGGTTTATTCTTGACAAGATTGTATATTTGACCCAGTCGAACTGTGTAGAAATCTTGCGTCCACGAGAAGAGTATTGGATTGGAATATTCATATGAAAACTGTTGTGTATTCCCAACTCAGCAGTCTATCCATCAGTCAAAGAACTTCTGATCAACCCCCGCGATAATTTCTCTCTCAGGCTGATTGACCAATCCAACACGAAACCTGTGATCCTTCGCGATTCGTGCCTCCGCCCACTCTGTTGTTTGTCAGTGAGCAACTCATTCCCAAACTCCGTTTGTTTAGACTGTGAAGTTGACTTACCCTGAGCTGTCACGGGGTGAGAGAACTGAGTCCCAGAGGCCTGCAGCCCCAGTCGTTGCAGCAATGGGCTTGATACAGGCGCCAGATTGATGTCGGCTTCAGGCCGAGCGAAATATATTAAGCTAAGTCGGGGCTTCTGTGCTTGTTCTTCCGGTGGTCGGATGACACGATGGATAGTACTCTTAAGATACCCACCGCTCATGAACTCCAGCGCATCAGCGATGTTCACAATGATGGCATCTCTAGGCGACTTGACGTATTGCCATTTGCCTTCAGGATTCTGCACCTGTAGGCCAGCAATAGGTTGGTGGAAAAGGAAGGTTAAAGTATTGTAGTCAGTATGCCCACGGGCCCAGATGTTGTTAACCTTTGCATCTTCTTCTTTAGTGCGGGGGTGATATTTCATATATCTCAAGTACTCGAGGCCTTTTTCCTCATATCGGTGTCGATTAACAAAGTACTCTTCGTCTTCCAACTCAAGGACATAGGCGAAAAGTCGAAGGAGTGGAAGAAGAACATTGTTGTGAACCCTCAGCGAGAAGTCGCGGATCTCGGCAAGATGTGTTTTGATCAATTGTGGGTGATCCCGCTCATGCTCCGGCGTAAACTTGGGTATGTTATATCTCTCATCATTGTCGCGGCCGGCTAGATCACCAGTCGACTGCTTCTTATAACCTCGGAAATCTCCTTTTGCGGTATTGCACTCGTATCGCAGCTTTTCGTCCAGCGGCAGGTCAAAGAAAGATTGGGCCAAGGCGTACTGTCGCCGCACCTCGGCATCAGAGAAACCATGCCCAGTTACATAGAAAAACCCTACAATATGTCAGAGACTAGGACGAGAGGCGAGCCAGAAGCGAGGTCAGCCCTTACCGTTCTTACTGATGAAGCCCAGAACTTGTTCAGCCAATTGTTGCTTTCCTCCGGGTTGGTCAAGCTTGCTCAAATCGAGAGCCTCAAGTTCGGCAAAACTGACTGATTAATGGTATTTTGTCAGAGTTCCATTGCAAAAGAGTAACGGGGCAGGCTTCTACGGACGCCTTTCGCTTGGGCCATCAGGATACTCATATTCCAAGTTTGTGACGGTGCTTGACTGAACTGCCATGATTGTAATCAACCAAAGAGATCGCGCTCTACTTGCTTGTGGCTGCAATCAGGTGCTGGAGGAAAGTTAGATGGGCGGTACCTTTCAACAGTTTATGCTGAGAGTGGCCTTGCTGTTAAAAATCGCCATGCAGATCGCCGTTTTAGGATCGCATGATGGCGCAATATGGTGGTAGAGTGTCGTCACAGCACCCCTCAGATATCACAAGACGTGCCACCGGTACCGGCTTCACCAAGGACTTCACGCAAAAAAAGTAATATATAATAATGTGCCCGACTCTCCAGTTACTCCGGTTGCGTAGAATACCGTTGTCCGTATGGAGACAAGTAGCCTATCCACGCAAATCCAAAGATACACATGCTAGACGGCCTGCAGACTTAGAGGCTAAACGCCAACAATTTGTGTGTAGGGTCGTTGACAAAGCATGGCGTTATCTGCAAGCTGAAATGCACCACCGATATGCCTCCGATGTGCGTGATGTTAAGAGGGGGAAATGTTTTCAGATGGGGAAGCGTTGCTGGGTATGTAACGGGAATAAACATGCTGACTTATTTCAGTTCCAGATATCAACCATCTAGAGGAGATGACGCGGTCCGCTTGAGATCATCAGAGTCCACTTAGAACAGATCTAATTAGGATTTCACCGAAGGCCATACTTCTCCGTTCCTTTGGTAGAAGTTCTTCTGAGTAAACCAGCGACCTTAATTAAGTAAATGTCGTTTTCTGGGTCACCTAACTACTCCTCGACCATGTACTTTATGCAGCCCTATCGAACACGAGATTAAGCGGTCATCAACGTGAATTGAAGATTACCACATTCTATGCTCCTTGATACCCCTGGCTTTGTTAATGCTTGCCCGCCTCAGAAGTCCAAAATGAGACGCAGGTTATGGACTCATAGAACTAGTTAGACTTCTTCAGTATTCCATCAAGTAGTCGTATTTCAGCGTCTAAGATAGCAGCTAAGCAGCGCATTGCGATGTTACCCTGTCGAAACCACTTACCCATTCTAGGGTCCCGGTGATTTGAGAGTGAGAGCGACCCTTGCCCGACTAACCATTCTTGGTCCCTGGCAGATGGCATCATCGCAACCCGGGCTTTGCAATGCTCACTCCTATCAGGAAGAATGGAGTTCTTAGGCTTAGGGCTTAGGGAACTATATAACAATATCAGAAAAGGTTCTGGATAAAATTCATGGGGACTTCCCTTCGTTATTCCAATACTTACTGTCCTAATTCATCACTCTTGCTCTAGCCACCATGGGGCCATTACAGAAAGTTACCGCGGAGGCAATCGCCAGGCCAGTCTCCACCTCTGACCATTCAGAGGAGGAGTATGACAAAAAGTCCCTGAAGAGGCGCATCCGCGAGATTGTGTGGGACAGTCTTGACAGAAAACCGGAGGAGCGTCGGATGATCGCTAAGCTTGACTTCTTCATTCTGACTTGGGCAAGCCTGGCGTATTTCAGCAAGAATTTGAACTCCAATAATCTTTGTGCGTTATTCACCACCTCATTTACCGTCCGGGCCTGTACTGATTTGATTTAGCCAATGCTTATGTCTCAGGCATGAAAGAAGAGCTACCTGTCATTGGAAACGAATATCAAACACTCACAACTATGTGGACAATGTAAGAATCTAGATGCACCCACCTTGACGGATGTTGAACTGTATGACTGATAAGCGGACCTAGTGGATATGTTGTCTCGCAAATTCCGTCTCAGCTTGTGTGCACTCGAGGTACTTGAAATGTTCTAATGCTCAAGAGACCTCCATGCTGATATCACTATTTACCACAGTGCGGCTCTCTATTTGGTGTCCAACTTGGGAACTAATTTGGGTTCTTGTTACATTCGCGACGGCTGCAGTCAAAACCTCGCATCAGCTTTATGCTTGCCGCTTTTTTGTAGGCATGCACCATCCACATAGTGTTGAGGGCTTCTGCTAATCTCCGGCTGTTTGAAGGTTGGATTAGCAGAAGGCACGTTCTATCCAGCGGTGCACACAGTCCTCGGAGCTTGGTATACAAAGCAAGGTGAGAGGCTCTACTGTCTCTCTTAAAACCAATAACAACTAACAAAAAGAAGAGCTCGCGAAACGGTCATGTATTTTCTTCGCAACGGCATTTATTGGGTCAATGTTCAGCGGTTATCTGGTTCGTTCAGGAATGAGTTTCGATTTTGAGGGCCGCTTGTCTGACACTTCACAGCAAGCAGCACTGCACACTGGCATGAACGGCGTTCACGGATTATCCGGGTGGCGCTGGCTGTTTATCTTTGATGGAGTCATTACCTTACCTATGGCACTTTGGGGTACGATTTCAAAACATAATTAAGTCTGAATGATAATCTTGTCTAACTCGGTCTGGTTTTAGCCTACTACGCATTGCCCGACCTACCTTCCACCACCAGGGTGAAGTGGCTGAAGCACGAAGAGAAGGAATTCTTCCTCCAGCGTATGAAAAAGGCAGGGCGGGATCTCGAAGAACCTGTTACGGTTGCTGGCCTGAAAAGGGTGGTGGGCAAATGGCACTTCTGGGTCTACACAACATACTACACGTGGGTTGCCTTGACTTTGTGCTGCATTTCAAACATTGGCTAAAACAATCGACAGATTCTTCATCTGCAGCGAAAACATTGGCAGCTTTATGAACCTGTGGCTTAAGAGCCTGAACAAGTAAGTGTTCGTCGACCAGGAAAAGCTCCGGTTTCGCTTACCATGAATTAGATACACCGTGCCGCAAATTAACACATATCCAACTGCAACAAATGCAGTAACCATCATCACAACACTTGCCTATGGTTGGACTAGCGATGCGTTACAGATCAGGGCACCTATCATCTACTTCTCTCTTGTCGTGTGCTTTTTCGCCGCGATGAACCTTGCGATTTGGGATGGCGTCCCGTTCGGCCTCAAATGGGCTTCTTTCTATCTCACAGGGTGTGTTCTCGCCTTTATATTTACCATTGGTGGCTTGTTGTTGACAGCTGTTCTAGATTTGCGCAGGGCTCCGGTCCTATATTCTTTGTATGAATCTTTCTCACAACAGCATACGGTTCATGACTGACACGGTCTCTTCAGACAATGGTGAACGAGCAATGCGCGGGCGACAGTCTAGAAAGAAAGTTCATTCTAGGAACGACGAATTCAATCGCGTGAGTGATTTCAACCTACAGCCTAGGCCAAAATATTGATAAAGAGTAATCTAGCTATGCATTCAATGCCTGGATCCCTCTTGTTACCTACAATACCAACTACGCACCGCGGTTTTTAGTCGGTAATGCGACCACTGTCGCTCTGATTGTTGGGGCGGCTATCACAATTACTGTTGCTGTTCGGCTGCAAAAGCGCGATGCCGGTAAGTTTCATTTCTTTACACAAACCTTAACACTGCTATACACATCGTGCTCACGATTATGAAGAAAGCAAGAGGAAGTCACCGTTGAATGTGGAACCTTGACCCAGCAACATATAAATCTTCGACAGGTCTAGTGTTCTACCTCTTCACAGGAGGTACCAGCTGGAGTGGGAAAATTCTTGAGAACCCAAAAGCCGGGATGATCAGCATAAAGCTGAATTGTGCGTCTTTCTTTGGGGTAAATACCTAAAGTTCAACGTTCGTGTACTTCTATCAAACCGGTACCTGCAATTTTCTCTTCCTCTCCGCCCCTCCACGCTGTGATCCACGACTTAGCTAGTTTGTGCTCCTCTGCCACGTGCGGTGAGGATTCTTGATGGTGGTGTAGTTGCTGGTGTTAGAGGAAACTCTATTTCGGCGAAAGGCTATTGTGTGACTCTGGGTTGCAGCCATCATGAATTCCCCTCCATCCTTCTCGCTAGTTAGCCCATACTCAGATGTACCAGTACGGTGGATTATAAGCCATATTTCACATCAAGTTATCTCTCCCAAGCGTAACTCTACTAGCTACACCAGAGACTAAGCCGCATTCTCCTTCGTCTGATGCGATGGCTTCCTAAGCCTTCCTATTCGATTTAACCCTCCTTTAATCGGGGGGTTATCATGAGCCCATTTATTATTATGCTGTTTTTGTCAAGTCCCCGCACCTGGACTCCCCAAAGCTTCCCTCCCAGCTAATACGGCCGAAGGCAGATCTCGAATGCGGCGCCTTGCGGCATCATGCAGATGCTGCTATCAAAAGATACGGCTTGCAAGAACGCCGCCCCAGCCCCCTCTCCCGCTCTTCTTCGAAATATGAGAGGCTGGTTTACTATGGCTGGACCCGTGGTGGATCTCTACGTCTCCATCGCCATTCCACTAACAGCCGCAACCTTTGCGCTCGTTTTCCAATTTGTGGCACGGCGGATCTCAAAGTGTCATCTGTGGTTCGATGACTACTTCGCGTTGCTTGCATATGTATGTCTTGTCTCTTGTCTCCATACCGCCGCAATCTGTGATCCCGATGTTTATGCTAACGCCCGTCTCTCAAGATCCTCGGCTGGGGATATCTCGAAACAGTCCTCATTCGTATGCGATGGTCCTTCCCTTCAGGTTCAAGATCGTGCAGATATATATGATGGCTAACAACTCCCTCCACAGTATTGACACATTTCGGGTTCGGTCAGGCTCCTAAGCCGATGGAGCCCGATCAAGCTGAGGAGGTACTCACGAAGGTATGAAAGCTGGTATGGGTAAATGAGCTCATGTACGCGTCCACCATCGCGTTTTCTAAGCTCTCCTTCCTCTCCCTGTACTGGCGCATCTTCAAGCTCACGGTGATTCGCATACCGATCCACCTCTTACTTGTCGCCTGTTCCACTTGGTTCATTATCAGAACCTTCGGTATCTTGTTTCAATGCTGACCAATGCCATACATCTGGGACAAGAATATCAAAGGCGGCACATTTACACTCAACGTAAGCCAGTTCCTTTTTGGGACAGTTCTCACTCATTGTCTCATGGACATCACCATCCTCATTCTACCGGTGTTCCCCGTGGTGAAGATGCATCTCTCATGGCAGCAAAAGGTGGCAATTATCGGACTATTCGCCTCTGGAATAATGTCAGCATAGCTTTCCCCATATCCGTCTCAAGGACCGATAACCCACTAAACACAGTACAAAGTTGTGTCCTGTTCTGTTCTTGTCTTGATACAGGTTATCATGTACAAGCCTGTTGACGCCAGTTACACCCTCAGCCTTGTAAAATTACTAATATGGGGCAATGCGGAGGTAAACTTGGCTATTTTCTGCTGTAAGTTACCCATTAAGTCCCTTTTCTATTCAGCAGGTAATACTCATCCTCGCCACAGGCTGCCTACCCATGCTACGACCAGTATTACGCAGAATTGTTCCCAGAAAGAGACTGAGTTCAGGCTCCGAACTGGAGCCACCTGAACATGGTGTTAGAGCTTCTCAAATGAGATTGCCTGTAGGCTTGAGAGTAGAGAGGCCAATTCCGGCTCGCATAAAAGAAAGCCTGGGCTGGGGGAGGAGCGCAAGCAGCTAATCCCTATTTCCGGTTGTTGTTGCTATTTTTATATATCAGCCTTGAACCTTCTTTTGCTAAGTATCAGCCTGATTCTAATATATCAGTTCAAAAAACTGCATGCCAAACTCTTCCATATCAAGATAGCTATTTAAGAGATGGTCTGAAAATATTTCCTGACAAATATTTGATTTGACTTATATTTTCTTTCTTTTTTTCACTTCTATATTCTTAAATCTAGTCCATGTCCTTAGCCAAGAGTCCGTTTAAATCACATCACCATGTTTCTATATCCATTCGCGCCCGTCTAATCTTCCAATCTTTGTTTTAAAATGCCCTTGAAACGCGTTTTTCGGTAAACTGTCGTTGTATATCATTTTGATTCATCTCGCCAGTGAACATGTGTTGTGAGTTCTTGTTGAGATGCAATCGACTCTGCATCAAGGGTCCTGTGCCGCTCCGATTTTGGCGCCCGGAAGCTAAGATGCTTCAGATAGTCTCCAGGGAACCAGATATTATATAGTACACAGACTATGAAAATTGGGAGAACATCAAATGTGTAGAGACTGACCAGTAAGCAATTAGCCTTTTGACAAGTCTTAGTAACAGAGAATAACATACTACCACTCTTTCTTTTCGATGATCTCTTGGGTGCCTGGAGCAAATTCAACCATCCGGAATACAGACCGGATCTAGTGTCGAGATGGTTAGTTCTGAGGCTGTGCAAGACAGATATTAGGCTATCTCACCAGAATGAGCGCACACGAGGCATTCACTACGTAGAGGAGGCTCTCGTAATGCTTGCTGATTTTCCACCGAGTCTGGTTCTGGCTCACATGGTGTCCATCAAACTGTCTCGAAGTAAAATGAAATCTGACAGCAGCCACTGTAAAGATTCCAAACCCGAAAAGCTGAACCCCTACTCCAGCAAGACCGAGATTTCTACCCATCTCAATTTTTCCCTGCGCATTTTCATCTGTGGCTTGAGTCGTAGAAAGCATCGTAGCAGCGCCCATCTGTAAAAGAAGAGACAGGACATCGAAACCGACAAATATAAGGGTGATAAATCGTGCTGCATCGGTGTTTAGTAGGTTAGTCAGTTTCCATCTTTGAGAACAAGCAAGAAGCGATCCGACTTACGGGGCACCCAAATAACGCTAAATGTCAAGTGTTCGGGGGGTGTTGCCCAAAAGACAATTCTGGAGAATACAACATAGACCACCGCCGCCATAAGAACCGGTGCCAAGATAATGAGAGCAAATTGAACGGAGTATGGCTGTAAGTCTCCGGGACTGCGGGCGGATACAATCCTTGCTGCAAAGCCAACGATTTCCACTGCCCTAGGGGTCAACACATTTTATAGTTCAAAAATTATGACTGTGTCTATACACTTACTTAGAATACTTAAGAGCATGACAAGCCATACCCACGCCCTTTTTCGAATGATTTGAAAGAGAGTCAATAAGAAACTGGCGGCAAAAAGGCCAGCAGTGACACCTGCGAGAGGCTGTGAAGGAACATATGGGAAACGTGAAACTGGGTCAGCCATGATGAGAACTAATCAATAACAACGAGTGACAAGAAACTAGAAAACACAACGATCTCTTAGGTTTAGACGTTAATACAGATAATTGAAAGCAAACGTTGACTTCTTTATAAAGTCCATCTCCGCCATGTTGATCTGTGCTTTCACAGAGACTGGCAGGGATCGCGACAATCTTCCTCGTCTGGGGCGCGGGCAAGAATTAGCGGCGGGAGACTCATGTTTCGGGCTGTTTGACAGGGCTGTGAGGCAATGAGCATTGAGCATTCAGTTTTGACTCTCCACTGTAATCTGGGCGAGTTGAACAGGGGTCGCGCCAATTTCCCCTTTCGTACCAAACGATGTCGTGTCCCTAGATAGAGTCATTTGGCAGAGGGACTCAAATGCCTTTTGCCAGGCAGACCGGGCAAATAAGCCACCCGGCGGACCGTTCCATCCCACTTTACCTATAAATAAAGACCAGATGAAGGGTTAGAACGAGACTCGTTCGGAGCCTCTGAATTGGGTTGCGGCCGCATGCCATTGAACTACGAGCCGATCCCCACCCGTCGATATTTGCTTGATGGCAGCTGACTCTAACCATCACTACATGCACCTACCCTATAGCCAGCTGTTCTCTCTAAATGTTTATCCAGAAACGGTGTTGATTGGTTTACTAGTTGAGTGCTTATAAATTATTCGTAAATAATTAATTCAGTTGTTTGAATGAGTGCCTCTTTAGAATGTGACTAAATGCTCTTTTCTTACCTACGTGGCCTATGATCGTTTTGATGGTCAAAATATAAGGCATTCAGAATAATGAGCCAGCCCTTTTCTAAAGCTGAGAAGACGCGTGCGACGCGTTAAAAAAGCGGACCCGCGTACCTTTCGCGTCCCGCGAGCTTTCCCACTACTGATCACGTGCTATAGAAGCTTCTGTTTCACGTGACCGCTCAACAGACTCAACACATTTGATGGTTGATATTCACGTCTCCAATTTCATATACCTAGCAAGACCATTTTAGGCCGCTCAATTTGACAGAAGATAGCCCAGGTGAATAGGTATCGCTTATCATTATACAAGATATCTAGTTAGGTCTACAGCCATCGTTTGTCTTAATAGGAGACGTTTAGGTTGCACTGGGTTCTACCCAATTCCTGTTGGCTGTATCGGGATGGATTGTCAGCACGGGGGTACTTCTATTGTCGTAGGCTCCTCCGCTAGATCTTATGTACTTGAAACACCGTAGCAACTAATTGGCTGAAAAGCCCTGCTGCCTCCACCAGGTAAGCGACAATGTCGTATTCCGCGTTCAAGCCATCGGATTCCGCCCTTGTAATTGAGCCTCGCACGAGAAGGAAGCAATGGTCGCTGCGACATTATCCGCGTGGTTCGCGCGGACGAAAAGCCTACCCACGGCTCGGCTACCCCTTTCAGTCTTGAGTGTCTTAGCTTCGCTGCGTGTCTCCTGCGGCTGAGATTATTCTACGTCATAAACCAATCCGCCATGTCAGCAAAAGGAATATGTTTACCTCGGATAGCCCAAGAGGCAGTCATTCGTACCCTCCAATACGAGCAATAGCGCATCCTCAGCTCTGAAGGCCTGCATCAATAGCCTCAAGAGCCTTGCAAAAGTCCCAAAGCCACGGCGCCAAAGCTATCTATCCATCACATTTGTGTGTGAATTGCTACCTGGCTAGTTGTGTATTGGGGTTTGGGTTGCAATTGTGATCTGCGCCGCCGATTACCAATATCTCGCTTAGAGCGTCTCACGGTCCGATGACCTGAAGCCGCGTCAAATCGCATAATCTTAAAAACGAGGCGAACTTTCCGCAAGTATTAGATTGATGCTATCAGTATTTATACCATCTCCAATGTCCTGTTCTGTTCTTTGAAAATACTCAACACGGACTACATTCACCAACTACCAAGTTCCAACGAAGCATCGCACCAAGACTTGCCAATGCTTTCATCATCTCAACTGCTATTCCCTTGTTGATCTCAAATCCTGTTCACTTCATGTCGAAAGGCTGGCTTCTATGGGTCCCTGATCCAATGTATATTATTTTTTACAATTTGTCTCTCTCAATGTTATCTTTTTTCTTCATCGATTACAAGCTGTTTATAAATTTTTGTGCACCACGAAAAGTATTGATTTCCAAACTCAGTGGAGGAGGGAAATCGCGGTAGTATGTGCCGAGTGATCTAGTTGAACATGGAACCCACTGCTGGCAGGGCCTCCTTTTGCTACAAAATAACGCGGATGGCCCATCCTTGGGGTTTCTAATACTAGACTACGGCTGTGGGATTTCACGATTGGAGAAGTCTGACTGAGAAGCGTACATTCAAGATCATTCACGCTATGTAAGAAAAGGCCCCTAGAACAGCAGCAACATATTTATGGACCACCATGAGAGCATTTAGGTATCGAACAGATCTAATCCTAGCCAAAACCGCTAGGAGATGTAAGGGCTCTCAGGTCGATCGACGCCCGGGAAGATGTTATCCCAGATAGCAAACCACATTTGGGTCGGAGTATGTCTCAACAAAACAATATCCCGACAGAGTGTGCGAAAATCGTCAGCGAAAACACGAGGAGGTGTCGCCCGTGGCTGGCAAATGGCGCTCCTGCAATGACTCGTCCAAATGGCCGGGTCTGGGAATTCTTCGTAGCAGATGGGGCAGTAATAATCTCTAAATGCGTGGCGGCGAATGATGTGTCCTTTTAACTGGGAGATTTTCTTGAATTTCCGGTTGCGGCATGAGCTGTGTTGCTCTCGGTCATGTTTGAAGAACGGGCAAGCGAGATATTGCTTCTTTGCACCCGAATGACGTCGTTTTCTCGCGCCCCCATCCTTATCCTCGTCCCTGTTCTGGTCGATTGCCAGTTTACGCTTTCCCAACCGATTTTGGCTCACATGTGCGTTTTCTGGGCGGGGGTTGTTGACGGTTACAGACTCTTTTATTAACGAGGAGTCGTCGATTTCCTGACCGTGGCCGGGATTCCATCCTGAACATTCCTTTCTATCTTGCTGCCCGAGATCATCTATCAGACCATCTACATCCGTTGTATATTCTGTGTCGATCGTGCGAATGGGATATGAGGCGTGGGACTTGTTGATAAAGGCAACGAGTTCGATCATGAGGTCGAGCCTGCTGGTACAGAGGGGACAAGGACTGGAGCGGTCTGTATACAATACATGGGATTTAGCGAAATTCTCCGCCTAGTCTTCTGCCAAAGGAGCGGTGGAAGTAAAACACCGTTGGGTATTTGGGATTACTCACCGTGAGGCTTGGATCGACACTCGACACAGCAAGAGTGTTCTTTGGCATCGAACAGGACGTATCCAGGCCATATATTTAGAAGGCGGATCCATGGTCCTTCGATTCCATATTGGGAGCAAAAGCTCATGGTACTGACTCCATGAGCGGTGGGATAGATGCAAAGAGAGCGCTGCTCGTAAAGTTGTTCTGGACCTGTGGCTTTCCCCAAAAGATGCATGCTGTCAATCGTCAAATTGCAGCTGTGGTTGTTGCCGGAAGGATTGAATATTTATCGTGAAGATGGGTGAATAAAGACGTTGATTAAAACAGCTAAATCCTAGACTTATTAACTAGAATACAACATTAGACTGACGAGTTTCATCATGTGAGGGGCGGAGTGATGAGGAAATTCGCATCTCTGTTCTACTGTTTTTTGCCTATCTACCAAGGCGCAGTCTGTTCTTGTAGGCTCAAAGCCACGCCGGGAAAATACACCCCCTTGCCCTGCGGACGACATTTGTGAGAGGCAAGGCGAGTGTTCTATCAGCCTTGGGCCGCTATTCGCCTGATTTCCTTATGTACAGACCCACTCGGAAGCCATATGACACCGTTGCCTTGGTCTAACTTGCACACCTCCTTTTCACGAGCCGGATTTTTTGCTGTTCTGGCATTGTGCGCCCTGAGAAAGAAAAATCTTTTGAGAAGTCTACACCAAGACGACTAGTGATGAAGTTGTAACAGCATAGCAAGCTACAAAGCCACATGTACAGAGAAGGAACTTGGGACGGCTGCCGATTGCCTTGAAGCTAGAAGGCCAGGGACACTACCTCGGGAATGCTCTCTTTTTGGTCTGGCTTCGGGCTACTACTCCCTTGGCACCAACACATGGCTGCTGGAGGTGTGAGTGGAGTGGTGCATATCGAAGCGTGTGCACGGTTTATTATTAAAAAGAGAGTGTGGCAAATCCTTTGCTCAGCTCAAGGTTCTCGAGGGTACACCTGATGGGCGACGTCAGTGTAGACAGGCATGAGTGGGGGTCTATCATTATCTTAAAATGCGCGAGAGTAGACACTGGATGATCATACTAACATTATTGCCTTGCATATCTGGAATCCTCTATATGTGACATGCATGTTCAACTCCACTGATGCAAGATAGACAAACGGGTATCTGCTTTGGATGCAATCAAGGGTGCCCAGGTTAATGACAGTGTGTTAAAGACCTTGGCAAGCTAATCACCCATATGGGTGGAAAATTCCTCCCACTTCGGAAAAAAAAAACGCTCTTGTCTGCAATGGGAGGGGCAATTCTGCACCAGCGTACATTGCAGGGGAGGGGTGTTTGGTAGATGAGTTGGCATTGGTTACTGAACTGCCATGACCTCAGTTGATTTTGCGGACACAGTGATGTAACTGAGCCTGCACCAGGGCTCCCATATCTCGCGGTCATGCAACCAGCGTCGACAAAATGCCAGCTTAGGTAGGCTTTCGGGCATAAAGGCTGTGCTAAGAGACCCATATGGTGAACCTGAGTGGTATAAGGCGTAATCAGGCTGCTCGCTTTGGCCATTGGTTTAGAAATGGCCACACTGTGAGGTGGCCTGCGATGGCAGTAGACAGCTGGCACTGGCTCCGGGTATGACCTGAAAAGGCAACCTTTTTCTCCGCCTTCCTTGACCGAGATGGGCCAATTGAGTTTTCTCTTGGAGACAAGAGGGCTTAGGGTTGTGCGATTCGCATATTCTAGATGTATTTATTCTTGGCCTCCTGGTAGACGGACCTGTTTTGAGAAACACCCCAACACGACTGCCAGTGCCTCTGCTCTTCTAATTCAGGGGACGAGGAACGAGATATCTACCAATTCTTGCCTAAGTTATTTCTCAATGTCAGTCTCTCATGCCGCAAATGCAGATATAAGGATAGTCTATGGTCTGGAGTGACATGTACGATTGTTTGTTTAATTAATGCAATTGCACGGATAAATTGTCATCTGGATCTGCTGGAACGGAAGAAAGCGAAAGAAGGCCCTCGCAGAAAATGTCACCCTGTCGGTGGCGCCGGATTTCAGCTGGCGACTGTGACGAGGCGCTCGCCACGTACGTTCCATCCAAGCCGATACCCAACCGGCTGTCCCTGAACGCACACACCTTCAAGCAGGGATATCGTAAACTAAGGCTATTGAGGCAGCCAGCCACTGATGCCCCAACTGTTTTGATACCGCTGACGGAATGGCATGGTACTACATGTGGCTGGGCTGGGGCCGTTGTGAGTGTGATCAGACTGCAAGCCCGATCGCCTGGAACAACAGCCAGTCATTGACGGCCCTTTCACCGAGTCCTCTCAGCGGACAATCCTAATGTACACTCCCGGGAGTGTGATGAGGATTTATCCCGCAGTAGTTGCAGTTGCCCCACCTCAATGTCCCCTCAACCCTTCCCTGATAACCGCCACTGATCTCAGCTGAGGCGGGGTAACAACTTCAATGGGCTCCCTGTTCGACTTGAGGTAATTATCAAAGCTAGCTTTCCCTTTCCGAGAAAGTATCTCTTAACAGGCACAGACCACACCCGTTGTCTTGCTTCGAAGGCAGGTGTTTGAGAACACACTCGTGCTGGCGAGCAGGGGACATCTCGGGCACGTTGGGCCGGCTTCCGCACACTCAGATCGCATTCCCTCTTCTCCAATCATCCGTGGTACAGCCCTGAGTATGAGTAAGAGCTGCTACCGGGCATAGACATCCGTCATCAGCCAAAGGGTGAGGAGGGGCGGTCAGTGCGGTATTCTTCCATGTACTGCGCCCAGCCTTATCCAAACAGCGTGCCGTCACAAGACACAGTGCCGCGCCCGACTGCCTACCTAGCAAGGCTTTGCCCCCACAGACTGGTTGGTTTTAGTCTATCTCACTCTATACCTTCTCCCCTGGATAGTAATATCTGAGTAATTCGTGGAGTTGGAAGCCATTTCCACCAACAAAGCCGTTATGTAGCAATCCCAGTACTACAGTGGACTACACGAGGCAAATGCATCTCTACTGGGGCTTAGGCCGTCCTAGGAGTGTTAATCCTACGACTGGGTGTGTGCACGCATGGCTAGCACTACGATTGCCTTGAGCTAGGGGCCTACGCAAGCCAGTTGTGCCATGCTGACCTTTGGCGCAAGATTTTCAAGGAGAATGTAGGACCATGTCTGACACGCATAGCAGTAAGCCCATTTCCGCCCAGACTTTCAAAAGAGCGGCATGCTCATCTTTGTTTCCCCTTTCACGAGAAATGAGCCTCCGGATGCGGCTGGGAGCTTGTTTGTCCTTATAGCTAGACGAAGACCTGCGAAGGAAGTCCTAGCTTTTCGAACTTCACCGTGCCGAAAGAACCGAAGTCCATGCCCAAGACGAGAATTCTCGAATATCGCGAACGCTTCTACGAGCTCCAAATCGCATTTTGAAGGCACTGCCAGAGAATTTTGATCCGAAAACGCTGGTGAAGGACCTGAGTGTCGTCTCCGCTGCTCCTGTGACACCTTTGAAGCCTTACATCACCACGGCCAATAAGAATAAACTCGGCCTGACGTGGCAAGTTTCTGTTGGCTCCTGGCCAGTCGGGCCAATAGACAAGCACTTGTGGAAATCTTTTGTCACAAACACTTGGCATGGGACTTATTCGAAAAGTATGTCAACTTTCGTCCCGTATCTCATGCCTTACGTCTCGACTTTTAGACTTCAAAGTGCTATACTGTCAAAATTTTCACACATCGATAGGCTCTGCCCGTGACCACCACAAATGCTTGGAGTATTACCGTGACCATATGAGTCTTTCACCTGCACGTCAGAACACCGAGATAAAATCTCCTTTATGAAGGAATCTGGGGGCCATCCTTCTCTAGCTTGCCCCGAGGATGAGGCTGGGTTGGACTCCACGCCAAATTAGTCAGGCGCTATTTTGCACCAACCGCAAGTTAACTGCCACGATCTGTCTCAAGCCGTCTTCCGATTCGTCTACTCGCCTGGTATGCCAACGGGTGGGGATCTGCCAATAGATATGGTCGTGATCCTATTGGTTGCAGGACGGATATATCATAGGTTGCTGTCCACCAGATCCATGCATGACTAGCACCAACGTCATGCGTAGACAGGGCACCTGTTCAAGGTGGCAACTGATGTTGGGTATTGAGTGCGGTTGCTTGGGATCTACACTCCTTGCGCTGCTCTCACCCCAAGTTAACACTTTATTTTAATGTCAGTCTTCCCACGCAGATATTTGGAGGAATCAGTTCTCTTCATGTCACCTTTTGGGCTAATGTAGAGCCTCTCTAGAAACTGAACTTGGGTTGAAGCGTCACTATACCCCTATACCAGCCAGTGGTCTAGCAAATAAAATTCTTTGAGTTGAAACATCTCGAGGTTTCTAAAGTCGGAGGCCCTGTAAGTGGAGCTCTACGGATAAGCTGCCTATGCAGACCAGCATACCTCGTACTACTCGTATGATCAGGGTGAGTTCATGAAGGCTCCGAACGGAACGGACCACCACACACTAAGGTCTCGGCAATGCCTGATCTCTGATGCAGCATGTAGAGGGTGGTGACTTGCATATAACCAGTTTTAGCTTATGTACGTCAAGGTTACCGCCCCAGACCATCGGTAATCCACAAGTTTCCCCTTGCCACGTGCGGCAGTACTTTCTTTGCTACTCCGTGTCCATGTGATGCCCTTTCGTGTTACGAGAAGGGCTGTTCCTAGTTTTCAAGCAGAAAAATAAAGACCTCTCCTTGTTGTTAGGGGCATGGATGGTTTTAAAACGCGCATTGCGCCTGTGGGTCACAGGAGTTTTGGAACTTCTGGTGGGATTCTAAGCGCTCATCGTATTCACCGCATCTGGATTGCTGAGGCTAACTCAACTATTTATAGTATTGAGTCAATGCCTTTCTAAAGTTTCTAAAGTGGAGATATTCAAAGTGTTTGATTCCTTCTTCAATCTCCTCTTGTTACCCTGCCCCATGCCCCCTTCTCAATCTTGTTCCTCAAGTACCCCCCCATGACTTCTCCCCTTAACTTCCCGGCTCCTCTTTGATTTCTGCTTCTGCATTTCTCACCCACTGCACTTTAACTCCATGCAAAGAACTCTTAGCCATCATCTACTCCTTGCTTGCATGGTACGCCCCCAAATACTTCTCATAAGCAGCCTCCAACTCATCCTGGGTAGTAGCAGTATCGGTGTCAGGTTCAGCATACAAAGGATCAGTCTGCAGCTCATCAGTAGAAATGTTGGGTGATATCTCAACAGTACTGTCCTCTCGGTCAAGAAGATCATGATCCAGGTCTCGCTTCTTGGAGCCTCCGTCTCCGTACGCACGGACGAAGCCGTAGTAGACCCATGCGAGGGCCTTGCACTTGAACTTTGACTTCTTATGCACATCGCACTGGTGCATGAGGCTGCCATTTTCCTGTTAGTGGCAATGAAACACTGGATATTATCAGCCGGTACTGCGGGCGGTGTACGTACTCTTTTCTGAAGTTGACATCAATCTTCTTCCTGTTACCGTTCTTCCTGAGACGGTTTTGCTTCCGATAGTTGTTGTATCCAAAATCATGGCGCTGGCACGCAACCTATGGAAGGCAAAACTAGTTAGTACACAGCACAGAATAACTAGGTAAGAGATGACAGCAAGGATGCATGGAGGAATACAGTACCGCGAAGGGAAACTTGAGAGGATTGTCTGGAGACTTGGTGCAGTTGTCGGACTCCCAGATGAGATTCTTCGGGTTCTTGTTCTTGCGGCGCTTAGCGAACGCTTCAAGGTTGATGTTGAACACAATGTTGGTTGTCATTTTTTCGTCCTCGGTTGCACGAGTGACAAGCCCACTGCCTGTCGTGGCTCCGTTGTTCCCATCAAGGGCGACCGGAGAGGCCACGGCAAGCTGCAGGAGCGAGACAAGGACGAGTGGAAACTTCATTTTTGCTGTAGTGGTTACTTGTTGCAATAGCTGGGTCTGATACTGGTTGAATGAATAGGATATTGTTGGCTGGTATTCTAAAAAACTGTGAACAGAGGACTGCGAGCGTTCGCTTTATAGTTCTAGGAGCCACCATAATCAGACTTTCATAATTTCGAACCGAGTTTTACGAGCTTGATTGTGGCAACTTGTGTCAGCTCACACGTCGAAACCGAGACTTTTGCCAAGTCTATGCATTATTCAGGATTTCATGTCCGTGAAGTCAAGGCAAATTGTTCAGCTGCCTGCATGCGGATGCCAGGTCTGTTCAGGCGACCTATAAAACCTGCCGTTCAAGTCCACATTGAGGCAGACTATGCCTTGCCATTCCTCAGTGAAATAGATGCAGAGGAAATTAGTTCCAGCAAAATTCCGCCTTGGAAGGATGCAAAGACTGCATACTTGCAGTTCAGTTCATTGATTAACACGATACTGGAAGGATTCGAAACTTCCCCATGCATGAAGCTCAGCTTATGGCCCCAGTACGCCTCGCCAAGACCTTGACAATCCACAAAGGCTAGTGACTGAATGCAGTCTATGTGAAAATATTCCAACCGCCGGCTACGAAGTCCAGGCTCTCGTATCGACTTCGTTTAGCGAGCGAAACAGATCATCACGTTATATTAGACGCCGTAAATCGTAAACCAGTTCGAGTGAGAGAAAAGGACATGATGTTCCTATCGCCCCATCATGTAACAGCTATTCATACAGTCATTCCATGAGAAACTATGAGTGTGATTACGTTGTTTTAAGAGCCAGAGATTTATCGCTTGTGTGAAATCGCTGCGTCTAAGGTTTAATAGGTTGTATATAGTATGTTAATAGCAAGCTTTGAGGACTATCTAAACTTCTAACATACTACATTATCGTCATTTTGAAGGGCTTAGAAAGTATACAAACTACCACAGTTGATGTGACCGAGTCCAAGGGGCAAGCCTGGATTAGGTGGGTGTGTATCGCCGCATAGTGCCTAGCTTTTATGTTCAATAACAATATAATATTAAGACACAGTATCCCCAGTTTCTTCAAGCCTCTCCGGCCTCTAGATTGGATGATTTCCATGATATTTGTTTTTATTAATGCCTTATGGTTCACACCTTGGTCCTTGGATGATAGAGCAAGAACGCCAAATTCTGTTTCAACCTACAGAGGTCAGTATTTATTGCATAAATCACCTCGATCGCCCAAGATGTTCGTCAAGATGCCATATGATACATTACGAGAACTTGATGAGTTAATCGGTACATGATCAAATTGATGGACCGAAAGAATGAGAGAACGGGCTTGTCTGAAGTGTTGCTACATTGCTAAGTCGGAACCTGCTACAATTGTCAAAAGCTCGTCAGCCACCTCGCAGAGAGAGCCCCTGACTAGATTCCGATTGGTCTGATTGTTGGACAGAATGGGTCTACTGCCTATTCACGGCCAGGCACGGACAAAGATCCATGTAGTGATTACGCCAAGACTTTTCATGCTGAGCTATATTAACGTCTGCGTGCGCACGCTACCAACAATCATTTTATCTTTTGTTAATATTGTGAACATCTTTGCCCTGTAATCCTGTTCTATACTATCATGTCACTTCCGATTCTTCCTATCGAGCTTGTGAGCCGTATCATCAGCTCTCTCCAACGACCCCACCAAGTACGTGCCGTGTGTCGGCAATGGAATTCACTGGCCATCAAGCACGCATTCCATACAGCTACCTTGGTCCCAACAGAAGCCGGCTGTCGGAAATGGAACGCTATAATGGATACTTCTCAGCTCAAAACAGCCATACGAACTGTCGTCATTTACAGTCATGACCCCGATACTGTTGAACACAATGGGTTTGATTGGTGTGAAGACGAAGAGGATGACAACTATACCCCGTTCAAGGAGGCTGTCTCGCGTATAAAGGAACTAGATCTCGTTTCAAAGGTCTCAATCAAGTTTTCTGAGGAAAGTTATGGGGCGCAGGATGGATATTGTGAAGTAGAGACAAAAGAGGCCAGAGAGAAGACATTAATTACTGTCTTCGAGGCCATCAAGACACGCGCGGAAGAGAAACCCGAAAAATCCACGATACACGCTCTCTCCTTGAAGAATCTACAAAACTTTCCGCTTCCGGAGTTTACAACCAGCGAACTCTTCAAGGCTGTCACTAAAGATATTGACGAGCTTCACCTTGATATCAAAGAAGAGCACAACAGCCATGGTCCCGACCACGATATCTACTTGCCTGAGCTTGTGGAATTCACGCCTTATCTCCAAGAGCACTGGCTCGCCCCCCTTTCCGGACAACTCACCACCTTGTCTCTGTACTTCACGGAATTTTGGGGCACCATGCCTGGAACTTTTCATGGTCACGGCTTGGACTTCCCACGCTTACAAACCCTCAATCTGGGCCAACTCGCTATCTCGCATCACGACCACCTGGACTGGGTCCTGCGGCAGAAGACTCTCAAGACTTTACGCTTCGAGAGATGCGTCATTTGTCCTTACATTCGCACAGAGTCGGACAAGATAGGTGAATGGGGAATCCCAACAGATGACTGGGAGGAGCTGCCTCGTGGTTCGTTCGGATTTGATATGGATGATGACGCCATTTACTACTTCCCAGGTACTTGGGAGTCCATGTTTGACAAGATCCGGACAAACCTCCCTCTGCTTGTGGATTTCCAGTTCAGCTGGGCGCGCTGGTCACCTGTTATGTTTGACGACCAGAGACACATGGGGACCGACCTATCCAGCTCTCGGTATCTTGTGTTTGATATCGGTCTTCTCCCCAGTCGCTGGATTGAAGCAGAGTACGAAGGCGTGTTAAGCTTCGGGGAGCCTGTGGACGACGACGATTCGGAGACTGGGGAGCCCAAGGAGCTAAATCGACATAAGGAAACACTGGCTGGTGATCAAAGGGCATTTGAGGAGCTTCTTAAAGCAACCTATCAAAGACAGTGATTTCGGCTTCATGTTGATGATTAGAACATGATATTGTCTCTTTCACTCATGCAGTGAAGATGATACAACTGCCCTCTATCTTGCTCTTCAATCATGTCCAAGCTATGGGTCGCCCCCCTTACATTGTAATTGATCACTCTTTATTTTGTAGAAGTGGACGGCTATGATTTTATTTCGAGTGTTTTTATTGTACCTATAGCGTATCCGCTTACAGTCAAGTCAATCACACAAGTGATACGTTGCGGATGCCACAACTTCAAACAGTGAATCTCCGAATATTTGATACTAGCCGACAGCTGTCTGGTGGGTGCGATAGCTAAAGTGTCATGGCTAAGATTGCAGGCCTATGATCCACACTCACAGCTCTGATTTTCCCCTGTCGTAGTCTAATCTCCCAAATAAGGAGTGACTGCTCCTTCCAAATCTATCGCTTCGCTGTAGTTATGTAGGGGTTCTAATGCCGCGTAGGTAGTTATTGTTCCAGGTGTAGGGTAGGCAATGTGCCAAGGCCGGCTCTTATCTTATCGCACTTATCTGGACCCGCGGCTTATCATCGTTTCTTCAGGGGGTTTAGGCCTGAACGACAGCGGCTTCGGCGGTTGAACCTGCCAAATACACCATCACCGAGGCTGCTTGCCGGAGTTGATTCTACACATCTCTCAACATGATCATCATCGCATACTCGTTAAACATCCCACACTGTACCAATTGCCAATTATATTTCCTATAGTGTCTGCTGGATGTAGCACAACTGTACGCTGATGTGCCATTCTATGGCCTTGACAATCGAGCTTCAAGCGGACACTTGCCGTAAGCATGCCTCTGCCCCGTGACCACCGCCGGTCGAATGTGCGCCGTGCCAACGTCACCGCATGCACCAGATGCAGATCCCGGAAGCAGAGGTGCGACCAGAAACTTCCGGCGTGCTCCAATTGCGAGAGAAGCGGGGTCGAATGTATGAGCACAGATATTGATGGCAGAGTCGCGCCGAGAAGGTCCTTCGCCATAACCTTTCCCGCCAACACTTGCCTTCAGCTAACTCATTTCCTTCAGCTACATCAAGAATCTCGAAGATCACGTTGCATATCTGGAGACTCAACTACTCTCCCATGGAATCCATGACTTTGAGGCCCCTTCCTCAGGCTTCACGCCCCTGACAAGTAATAGTCTTGATCTTTCGTTAGAACCAAACACCATCCATGAGTTGGGGAGACAACCCGATGATCTGGTCGGCCAGATTCCCCTTGAATGTGTACAGTCTGAAAGCTTCACTACATCGATAAACGGCTATAATGGACTTTCTCTACTGCGATCCTTGCTGGCTGACCCAATAGCCAAGGCGATGGCTGGCAGCAACCAATCCGACCACCACGCTCTGCTTCATGAACTTCCCTACGAAACACGCGCAAGCATGCCTCCCAAAGAGGCAACTATCCGCTTAGTTGACACTTATTTCGAACACTGCGACTTCTTCTCTCCTATCATTTCGTCCAAGGAAGACTTTCTGGTCATGGTTGAGCCCCTATACGGTTCGACCAATGTAGATCCAAAGCTGGCTTGCGCCAAATTTCGAGCCCTCGTTGTTTTCGGGACCGCGGTGCTACTTCTAAACAGGCGCGATTCTTCTGTACCGATATCAAGATCTGAGGGCTATTTTGCCGCTGCAATTCGAATCCTCTCCCAGCATCCCGACTCGATTTGCACGGGGGATCTCGAGCACCTTGCCAATCTGCTACTTCTCGTCCAGCATTTCTGCTTCTCTTCTAATCTGACCGCTGCGTGGCATTTTATTGGTCTAAGCACGCGTTTATCAATCGAATTGAATCTGCACAATGAAAGAGGAACAGGAGCACAACAGGACCAGACGGCCATGGACCATTGTAGATGGTTATTCTGGTCAACGTACGTGCTCGAGCGTAACCTTTGTACCATTGTCGGCCGTCCGTTCTCCATTCCAGACGAGTCGATCAGTACACCGCTTCCTGAAGTCCCCAAAGACAACCCACGTCGACAGCTAGCTTACCACCTGCTTAAATGCCGCCGGCTCGAATCAGAAGTACACGTGACTCTCAGCCAAAGTGCTCCGTTCAATGGTGCCGTCCTGGATGCGGAGACATGGAGGAGGAGCATGCGACAGCGACTAGATGAGTGGTTTACTTCTGCCCCCATGGTAGAGCACTCGACTCAACTCGCGCCGACCGACATCGTAACCGGATACTATCATAACAACATGGTGCTTCTCTACTATCCTTCGCATCTTTTGCCGACCACATCCGCCGAAGATCTGATGGAATTGGCGCAAAATGCAACCAAGAGCATTGAATGCTATCGGCAGGCATTTCGAGCAGGAAAATTGCGCTTCTACTGGCGAACCGTACACAACCTTTTCCGGAGCGGTGTAGCTCTGGCATATTGCACCTATGCGGCTACTATACCACATGATGGGCACATTGATTTGGGAGATGCAGACGCGTCGCTCAATTCATGTTCCTCGGTTCTCTGGGGTATGGTTGAGAGATATCCAAGGGGAAAACCCTACCGCGATATATTCGAATCTATTGTCAGTTCACTCTCTAAGCAGAGAGACAGCCAGAGAGAACAGGTACCATCGGGAGAATTTCCGACTTCAATATTTCATGACATTGTAGGCTTTGATCACACGGAGTTCCCACTTTCGGTAATGGATTCGATGTCTTGGGAATTTAACGACGATCCCGGGCAGGTGAGGTGAATCCCAAGAAGATGCTGCTCTATAAATACTGTATGGTTGCCATTCAATTTGTATAATTGTATTTTTCTTATGTACATATGTGGGCATTACGGGTTATTTACTTTATTTATTTCCTAAGCGACTTAGGCGGAGTCTATTTGATATAAATCAATTTGTACTTGATAATCTTTGATCTAGTTCTATTACAGTTCCTTCAACGGGTCAGGCGGCGCAGGGTCATATTTCAGACTTCTCAAAAACTCTGTCTTGAGCTTGGTCATTGGCTGCAGGACCCAAGTATTGAAGGCTAGAATGTCCGACTCCTCCTTTGGGTCTCTGACCGTGTTGAAGAGATATGGTGACTCGAGCTTCCCAGAAGATTGGTTGACCTTTGGCTCCCACACGTAGTGTAGCTTCCAGTCCTTCCACTTAATGGCGCGCAAGTCCTCCTTGAGGTAGAAGCAGAAACCGAGTCTCTGCGATTTCACCTCGGTCGGCTTCTGGAAGAACTCCGTCTGGTCGATCCCATCAATTGGGCGGTCTGATGGCAAGGGAGACCCAGTTATAGACAGGATTGTGGTGAAAAGATCCGTAACGTGGACGATTTCGTTTGATGTGACACCTTCAGGTACCTTGCCAGGCCACCTTACAATGCACGGCACGCGAAGACTTCCCTCCATTGCGGTATGGTACGTCCCTGACCAAGGCCCGGCGGTGCCCCGATATGGCTCTCTGAACTCGGGGCCATTGTCTGAGGCAAAGATGAACACGGTGTTTTCTCTGATCCCGAGAGAGTCGAGATGGTCAATGAGCTGGCCAACTCGGTAGTCCATCTCTGCCATCGAATCAGCAAAGTCACCCTGCTGAGTCTTCCCGGCAAAGTCTTTGTGCGGAAGCGTGGGGAAGTGAAGGTGGACAAGTGGATGGTAGAGGAAGAAGGGCTTCTTGGTCTCTACCTGTCGCGAGAGCCAGTCTTTGGATTGTTCGACCAACATGTGGTCAATCTCTCTCCTCTTCTCCAAGTCGTAGACACAGATGTTCTCAGAAGGCTTACCAGCCTTTCCTTTCATGATGTATGGCAGCTCGGCCACCTCGGGCGTGTATCCGATCGCAGATGTGAATTGGGTCTCGTCAGTCGTGCGCGGGATGCCGAACCACTCGTCAAACCCTCGGTCGGATGGGTATCGGCCGGGGATGTCACCAAGATGCCACTTTCCATGGTGCGCGGTCGCGTAGTCGTTGTCCTTGAGGCACTCGGCCAGTGTCTTCTCCCAAGGAGTCAACCCCTGAGGGAAGCCGGCTGGGACGGACTGGCGGCAGCCCGTACGGATGGGATGCCTGCCTGTCATGAGGGCTGACCGCGTAGGTACACAGTCGCTCTCGACATTGAAGTTGTGCAGTAAGAGGCCTTCGGTCGCGAGCTTGTCGATTCTAGGGGTGGCAGCTCCTCGCAAGATGCCTCCTCCATAGCAGCCCAGTTCGCCCCAGCCGAGATTGTCGGCGAGGGCAAGCACAACATTCGGTCTCTTCGGGTCCCGTGACATGGCTAATGAGGTGGCTGTAGACCAAGATCGAGGGATAGTGTCAGGGAATAAAGGCAAACACACGATCTCCTGCCCAGGCTTGATAAGTATCCATGAAATTGAACGCCATGGCGAGATCGGCTTCCATCATTCAAGTTCTTCGCTCACCCCCGACTTCTTACAGCTCTTTCGGAGCCCTGTTTGATCCACATGTAATCACTTTCCAATTATTTCGGCTCAACGTCCGTCGCTCACCTCCGAAGACTAGCAAGAAATGTCTCCACCCGGCAGTCATGAAAATTAAACCACTCGCTCACCTCCGACTTTTCGTCAGGAAAGGCCTCTTGATACACGCAACAAGCTACCGAGACCCATGCAATCAGGAGCTGACGCCATGTATTATCGAGATGACGAACAATCCGGGATAGAAGCAGATCCTGTGCATCCGTCCATAAAAGTCACATCCTGGCACGACTCGAGAAGACCAGTTGCAGGGCTTGTCCATCTTCAATATCAACGTTCATCACACCCTGGACTCTCATCTCAGGCAGAAATCTACCAAAATGGAAGAAAAACAAGCCCCTATCATGGGAATCGATAGGAAGGAATCCAACTCCAAGTCTGACGAGCCCGGGCTAGTGGAGCCCATCATGTCTCCAGAGGAGGAGCGTGCTACCTTGCGAAAGTGAGTCGCCATGCGGGCAGAATTGTCTTCCTGATTTGCATCAGACTTACAATAGAATCAGACTCGACTTTTTCCTGATGCCGCTGCTCGTTAGTGGCTTCTTCGTTCTTCAGCTCGATCGCAGCAATATTGGGAATGCCTTGACAGATACCCTTACGACTGATCTCGGCATTACCACAGACCACGTAAATCTAGGAAACCAACTTATGTTGATCGGGATAATAGTTGCAGAGATACCCTCCAACCTTATTCTCCAAAAGATCGGTCCACCTGTTTGGCTCACGCTCCAAATGTTCATCTGGCGCCTGATTGCCCTTACTCAGGCATGGTGCACCAATATCAACTCATTTTATGCTACCCGCTTCCTGCTTGGTGTTTTCGAAGGTGGATATATTCCCGGTGGCCAGTACATGCTGGCACTTTTCTATACTCGAAAGGAATTGGCATTGCGAACTGCCATCTTCTACTTCGGAAATTACTCTGCCACCGCAACCGGTAGTCTGATTGCCGCAGGCATTCTAAACATGGGCGGACTGCGAGGTCTTTCTGGTTGGCAATGGCTATTCATAAGTGAGTAACTACTTAACCAAACATTAATAGCGATATGACTAAGGAACCATTAGTTGAGGGTGCTCTCACACTACTCATCTTTCTCGGCTTTGTCGCCCTGCTCCCCCATAGCCCCGAACGAACTGCTCCAATCCACGGTCGTTGGGATTTCTTCTCCGAGAGGGAGCGACAATTCATGAGTATTCGAGTAGTTGCTGAAGACGATAGCAAGAGTGCCCACAAGGCGAAGGTCTCATTCGCCAGCCTTGGGGAGGCTCTGCTGGACTATCGACTGTGGCTCCATATGATCCTCAACGTTGCCAGTCTTGCTCCCAAAGGTGGTCTGCAGCTTTACGGACCGCTCGTCATCCGTAGCCTTGGATTCTCAAAGACGGACGCCAACCTCCTCAACGCAGTCAGCAGTGTCGTTGTCATCGTCCTGTCGTGGATCATCTCCATTGCTTCTGATCGAACTAAGCTGCGCGGTCCATGGTGTATTGTAGCCTTGATGTGGTCCGTCATTTTCGCCGGGGCCTTGTTCGCCAAGACGACCGATCCTGATAAATGGTTGCGATATGCTCTCTTCACTCTGCTGAGCGGCGGAAATGCTCTTACACAGGGTCTAAACGATGCTTGGCTCAGTATCAACGCCACGAGCGCGAGCAAGCGGAGCATTGGTCTGGCCATGGTCGTGATAGGGAGCAATTTGGGTGGACTTGCGGGTCAGCAGCTGTTTCGATCGTCTGATGCACCCAAGTATTCGCAGGCCTTCCTTGCCATTCTCTTGCTTTATGCCGCCTCTATTCCCATTACGTTGGTTATCATGTGGGTTTATTGGCGGGATAACAAGAAGGGGCGAGCCGCTCGGATGAATGAGACTGAGAATTCCAGCTCGGAGAGGAAATTCGATATCTAATTCATAAGCTATGGCGAGAAATAGCAGGAATTTTGTCTCTATGAAGTAGTGCAGCGTCTACAATTAACTTTCTGGTTTAGGTGTTTGATAATCCATATCCGTGGAAAGGGGAGAGAACATACGCCGCATTGCGCAAAAAGTAAAGATTTGTTCTGATATTAAAATCCATATCACGTCCTGAAACTCCTCTTCTGATGAAGTTTCGTGCCACTATGCTCTTCTTATTCTGGAACTGAGAAGGAATAGATCTGGGCTAGATAAGTATTATCTCAATGCGTATAATATTAATTTGATGAGATATCCTTCATTACACGTGGATCTTCGATATTCAGTTTCCCTGAGATATCTGGTACGCCTTCATCACGCGCAAATGTCAATGTAAATACCAACCGACCGAAACGTACAGAACTGTCATGTGTGCCTCCTGTCTTTTGAGAGCCCAGATATCGATTTCGGTCGGGTTGCGCTTGAAAGGAAAGATTGAAAGGCACCAGTCTACCACACGTCCCACATCCAAGGCAGCGTTGCCCCGTCTCATCTAAAAAAAGTAATGCTCGTCTTGCCGATTAACCCTCCTGGGAGGTTTGTTTCTTTGCGAGAATTAGCCAAAGGAGAGCCCTGGTTAGACGCCCGGGGCTTTGAGGCCCACTTGACTGCATATACTGAAGCTGAAATGTCGCTTGGCCTGTTGTTGTTGGTGCTAGAAACAGGGATATCATGCAGGAGGGCGCGCGGCAGCTGTCCACGTTGATTGGCAAGTTTCACTCAAGCAATGAAGCTAAATTGAAAGGGGCCTGGTGGCTTTCCCCTTATTCTCTGGATCTTTGGAGCCTTTGTCCATTTCACCTTCTCTACTAACAAGGCAGCCAGGCCTGATCATCAGTTAAGCCAACTCCCTTCCCAAGAGAATCCATACAGCTCGCAGAGGGTTAGTCCATCGTCACAATGCGCCTTGAAACCATCCCGGAGAAGAGCACAAAGGATAGCCATGTTGATGCTTGGAGCCCTCCCAATCCCATTTGGAAGAATGCAATGAAGAAATACTATGACGAACTTCGCAAAGGAGGGATCGAACCGTCAGTTATTGACAAATATTTGTGGAAGATTCAAAATCTTGAGGACCTTTTCAACCAGCCTGAATCGCTCTTCGAAGTACAAGACTCACAGCCCAGCTCCTTGGTCCAAGGTCTCACCCAATTGAGGCCTACACTTCTTGCCCTAAACCACTTTCTTGGGGCTACCTCATGGATCATGGGGACGAATGCCAAATTTGCCGCAGTGTTATGGGGATCTTTTCGATTGATTTTGAAGGTGCGTTGCTCTAGTATCAGTCAAGCATTCAAATATCCTCGAGGCTAACTTCTTGGGGCAATAGTATGCCGAGCCGGTCCTCCCTGATGTTATCGACATGATCAAGAGCCTAGAGCACGCCCTGCCCCGAACGCAACAGTACAACAATGAGCTTCCCATGACAAAGGATTTGGAAGAAGCACTGTCAAACATATATAGCGAGATCATCTTGTTCTGTGCATATGCCATACGTGTGCTTCGCAACTCCCCCGACATTGCGCACAACAAGCTGGTGCGGCCTAAATTCTCCAAAGATATATATCGGATCATCGAAAATATCCAGAAATTCTCTCGACAGGTGGAAAAAACCACAACAAAATCCTCCCGACAGGTGAATGAAACCGCAGCGATGACTAGACTCTCCAAAGCAACGAAGAACATAGAAACCATCGCTGCACTTCACGACTCACAAATAGTCAACAAGCCCGAGGATGCCAAACTACCTTGTTTCATGATACCTTATGGACTGAACTTGAGATTTTTTGGCCGGGAGAATGAGTTGACTGTTTTGAGAGAAGCTCTTGATCCGTCCGTCGGGACCACTCTACGTGCTATTGGTGTTTACGGCCTAGGAGGTGTTGGAAAAACACAGCTGGCTCTGCGTTATGCCAATACGTCTAGAGACAAATACAGAATAATTGCATGGATTCCTGCAGAGACAGAAGAAAGAATCATGCAAGCGTTTGCAAGTCTGGCCTCAAGCCTTGGGCTTGTCGAGGATCCCAACGAAGTCGATCATCGCTGCCTCCAAACAGTGCGCGAATGGCTCAACACGACAGAAGCCCCATTTCTCCTCATATTTGACAATTTGGAAAATTCCGAGCTGCTGACTCAAGTGTGGCCGACGAGTGACAAAGGGTCAGTTCTCATTACCACTCGCTCTCCTTCAGAAGCCTCGAACCGGAACCCGCTCACTTTTGAACTGAGCCCTTTCTCTATTGAAACAAGCACAGCCGCCTTTAAAACGCTATCGGGGTTAGTTCCGAAGGACCAAAAAGACGAGGCAGCCATGAGAGAATGCTGTTCCCTTCTAGGAGGGTTACCGCTGGCCATGGTCCAGGTTAGTGGTTTCATTCGCGATCTCGGCTGCTCATACGTAGAGTTTCTGCGAATCTACAAGAAATCGGCCGAGAAGATATTTGCAAAGTCTAAGATTCCCATCGAATACAATGCTACTGTGTTGACAGCATGGAACCTTCGTTGGAGAGGCTGTCCGAAGACGCAAAGAATCTACAAAACCTACTCATGTTTTTCGACCCAGACCTCATCCCTGATCGTCTTCTTACTGATACCAAGGCCAAGATTGAAGACCCAGGTTACGAATTTCTTACGGATGAGTTCAGGTAGGCTCCTTCCTGTAGTGATTTTGCTTGTGAGATTCGACAGAATTAGGCTTACGCATGGAACCCTTCAATAGCTTTGGGTCCGCCGTTGCTGAGCTAGGCAGGACTTCATTGGCTCGCCGTCTACCAAGCACCAAAGCGCTTTCAGTTCATCGCCTAGTCCAACTGGCCGTTTTCTCAAAAATTCCGAAAGACCGCAGGGTTTATCTATTCGACCTCACTGTTAAATTTCTCTCATTTGACTTTCCAAACTCTTGTAAGACCCAGGGCCCATACCAGGGCCATGGTTACGCTTCTTGGGAGACCTGCAACGCCGTACTGCCTCATATTACTTGGTTGAAAGGATTAAGCGACAAATACAACATCAAGCCGGAAAACTTGGAGCAATGGGCTGAGTTGATGTTCAGAGCCGGAAAGTGAGTTGATAATGCCAATCCGTTTTTGTTTGATTCTGAAGGGTTCGATTAGTTACTTTTGGGAACAGCAACAGCCTGCTCTCGCAAGAGAAGTCCTCCAGAATGGCCTTCACTTATGCTCCGAGATACCCAATCAAATATCTCCAGAGGCGGATAGAGTAATGGGGCATGTTTATCTTGACATGGCGCAGCCACACGCCGCCCTCGCGGCTTATAAAAAGGCCCTCGAATGGCGGGAGTTTTTCAATGGAGCTGAATCAACTGCTGTCGCCGATGCGTGCGACTCGGTTGCCTGCTCGTACACCGAGATTGGCGATACCGACAACGCGTTCACGAGTTATGGATATCTGTCGCTCGTTGCAGATACTTGAACGCGTTGTCGGTATCGCCAATCTCGGTGTGATCACAATGGGATGGCTCGTACTCTAGCTATTGAGGCGATGACATACCTACGTGCTGGGAAACCGGACGAATCACTTGCTGCCATCGTCAAATGCTGGCAACTTCAAGGCAAGACGCAACAAGAGATCGAGAATTCTCCCTACCCCAAGCATAGTGGCGATATTATGCTTTTGTCGCGAATTTATTGGCTGCAAGGAAAGAAGAAGCAGGCTCAAGAACTGACTTCTCATGCTCTTAAGATGCGCAGAGGCACTTTCGGAGAGAACGGGGGACCGCGTGTGGCAGACTCGCTCTTTGCGCTGGCCCGAATTCTGGAGGACTTTGAGGAATACGCACACGCCGCACAGCTATTGAGCCAAATTGTTGCCATAAGCGGCAATACCCCCGACATGAGGCCACATCTTGCAAGGGCTTACTGGTTTCTTGCTAACGTGGAAGCAAAGATTGATCAGGGGGACAATCATGCTGCGGAACTCAGAAATAAAGCCCGAGAATCTCGCAAGGCTATTGACTCTCGTGAGTGGCCGGACGATGATACTGACGAAGGGTTTATGAGATTAGTAGGATGGATGTTATGGTGATTGCAGCTAATCTGATTTCTTGCTGGAGACATAGAGAGCGAACACATTAAAGGCCATGACCAACATATTCTAAAACCAAAATGAAGTCATTAGAACTCGACACTCTCCATTCTATACGCCTTCAGGAGGCTGGCTTAGACCCTGAATGCATATGTCACAAGGATAAGATAACCTAGGCTCTTGGTGGGCGAGGCACAGCTAGTATAAATTACACCGCCTTGTCAATTGAGTCATATTCTACCCTTCATAGTTAAGTTGACAGTTGATTTACCGTAATATTGTGAGCGCAAGAGGATTCAAGATTGTCGTTGACAGAAATAGATGGATGACATCTAGAACGCATGGGGCTAGTCAGTTTGATCTGATCTTTTCAAATAAATGGGCACTACCGATGCGAGGACAAGTCCGACGCAAATACCGGCATTGCCTCAGAAGACAGACGCTGGCGGAAATGAAGGGTGAAGATCTATGTTCTCCACTCGGCGCGCGCGCGATGAGCCTCGAATTGCTAAAAATAGCCATCGCGAGATCAGGCTCCAAGTTGCCGCCAGAGTTTTCAACCAACATACAGAGGGCCCTAAACTTAAGATGTTAGTCTCAACGTTGATTAGTTTGTCACTACGAGATTAGAATACGCAATTTGCCAATATTGACGTTGTGCGAACCAGGCAGCAGAGCCATCCCAACCGCCATCGTGACCTTGAACTTGAAGCCCCAAAATATAAAAGTGGCCCCATGTCCTGAGACCAGAGTTGCTGTTTTTGGCTCAGCGTATTGCGGACCTGGGCCTGGCTCCGGCCTTGGCTCGGGTCAGCTTATGCTGGTCCGTGACTCTGTGGGCTGTGAACTGACCTCACCGGCAAGGATCACTGGTCTACGATCGGCGCATAGCATCGATCGCAAAGAGTATATTAACTTGCGGTTATCTCTTCTTTTTCATTCGTCTCATCTCACCTCCTCCATCAGCCCTATCGACGCAGAACAGAGCTAGACTACCACAGCAACCTTCCAACGTCCTCAGTCCCAAACTCGTCAAGATGGTGTTTCTATTCCAGTTGATTGCTCAGCTACTGCTGGCCTCTACGGTCCTTGCCGCAAGTATGTTTAACTCAATACTAAAACCTTCTCGTCCATCATTTACTAACCTCACTCTACTAGCAAATCTAGGAAAGGTCATGCCTCTGGGTGCATCCATTACCTGGGGCAAAGGCTCAACCTTGGGCAACGGCTACCGAAGATTCCTCCATGGCTCCCTGACCGATGCCGGATACACCTTCACCTACGTCGGCAGCCAGACCAGCGGCTCCATGACCAACAACCAGAACGAGGGTTTCCCAGGTCTTCGCATCGGCCAGGTCTACAACGAGCACGCCAAGGCTGATGTCCCCAAGTACAAGCCCGACCTCTACCTCATCAACCTCGGCACCAACGACGCAGTACAAAACTTCCAAGTCGATACGGCCGGACAGCGTATGGAGGAGCTTATCGACTTCCTCTGGAAAACGACTCCTAACGCCAAGGTTGTCCTGTCTACTCTGATCCGAAGCAACAACGCCGACTACGATGAGCGAATCGTCAAGATCAACGCTCAATACCGAGCCCTCGTCGCCAAGCGCGAGAGCAACGGCAAGATCTTCCTGGCCAAGATGCATGACCCCAACGGACCTGCAGTTGGCGATATCTCGGACGACAAGATCCACCCCAACGACGAAGGCTTCAGGAAGATGTCTGTCATCTTCTTTGATGCCATCAAGAGGGCATACCCTACCAAGAAGGCCCAGGGCTTTACTGCCTAAGCGCATCGGCGATGAATGCTACGAACTTAACGGCCGGGCTTTCTTTTTTTCTCTCTCTTCAAGTATCTATTTAGACTGGGACACGTTCTTGTTCCGATTTGTTCTTCTCTCGTTTCTTTTTAACATCTTCTATTTCGCCCTGTATATAGTTTTTACTTTCTTGATCATCTTGCAATTTGTTATCAGGCCTCCTCATAGACATAGACAACAATGTGCTCAATTCTACTGTTAAGCAAAGAGAGATGAAGATACAAGAGGTTCCATGTGTCTTGATACTATTTGTAACTGTCCTGATCTGGGGACTTTCTTGTCTGAGGCAACAAGAGAAATATAAAATGTAACTAACGAATCCTTCTACCTCGCTGCGCCGCCACTAAATCTCTGACGATAATTCACAATTTGCTTGGCCCTTGAGCTATGTCTCCCACTCTACCGGTCTCAGCACCGCTGTAGATGGAAGCATTTCCACTATGCACTTGCTCATGTTCAAATTCGCGACCAATCTTTCCGCTTGCACGCCCCTTCTTCTCAAGATAGGCTATCAACAAGATGAGTGGAATGACTGCCGCCCCAGTGGCCAAGCTCGCAATATAACCCTTCCTGTAATTCGGTGCGTCGGTGACGGGGTAGAAGATCAACGGCCACCAGGTCACAAAGGCAAAGTCAAAGGAATTCATCCAGCCGGTCGTGATAGCACGCAACTGAAGATCATGCGCCGTGACATCGGCCATCCAGGAGTACCAGATGGCTTGAGGCGCATAAGTTGTGCCTAGAAGATAAAACGCGAAGAACACGGCGCCATCGCTGCTGGGGTTGGATACGAGAATAGCGCTGCCCACGACAAAGGTCGCCCCGATAGCCAGAGAGGGCTGCCAACGAGACTGGATCGCATCGGACCATATTGCGTAAAGAATAGTGCCGACAATGGCCGTGGCAAATACGCCAGTCGGGTAGGTATTCTGCTGGATAACAGTGTAGCCGCGCGACTTCATCCATAGAGGCATGACGTTGTTTAACAACATCTGCACACACAAGGAGTACACTAGATTATTGTCAATAAGGTGAGTGATGACGATATAAAAAATGATCACAAGATTAGGGTGCTTACACATAAAGATAAATGGCAAGAGATAGAACTGCCAGCTCGTCAAGACTCTTCGCAGAACAGTTATATCCCAAGTGAATTCTTTGTGCTTTCCGAGTCTTTCTACCGCCCAATCCTTCTCCTCATCGGTGAGGAACCAAGCACTCTTATGGGTGGGCAGATTGGGAATCACGACCCATCCTGTTGTCCATGTTAGCAACAAGGCGTAAAATATCGCACAGGTAGAGCTCACCAAGAATGACGATTGGTATAGTAATGATAGAGACAATAATGAAGAGCCATCTCCAGGCAGCGAGGCCGGCGCGTCCATCAAGGGAGCTGAGGAGCCCTGCTTGAATCCAGCCTCCGGTCATACTCCCGAGGTGGCCAAAACAACAGAAGACGGCTGCGCGAGTGCCCAGCTCCGACTTTTTGTACCAGCTACCATAGATGAAGTGGCCACCGACACTGTAATTTAACGGTTAGAGAACAGTAACTACGCGAATATTAGGAAGATTCGGCGTTATAAACTTACTAACACACAGCCGCAAATGCACCCTCAAACCCATTGAGAATAAACAACTGGTAGACATGGTTCATCCTGAACGTCACCAATGTCAACACGCTCCACACCACATTGCAACCGACAAACACATATTTTGGCTTGAAGATTGTCAGGAGAGACGTTGAGGGAATTTGGGCGACGGCATAAAACACCGTGTATATCGTGTGCATGTAGTTGAAGTCCTTGCCCTTGAAGCCAACGTCCTTCTCCATGCCGCTAATGTAGGCGGTCGAGTAGCTCGAGCGATTAATGCCGAACAGGAACCACATGAGCGAGAAATAGGGGAGAAGGGTAAAGTCTAGCTTCACGAGCAGCGACCGGTCCCGAGAGGGGGGGCCCCATAGGAATTGCTTCACGCGCTCTAGAGTCGCCATGACTGAGGCCGAGTGGAAGCTGTCAAATATAGGAGACAAGTCGCAAAGTTTCCAAAGGTGATTTTAGCTGTTTCTTTTATTTCTCTCTTGGTGAGATGTTGGAAGGAGTTCGTCGAGGGCGGCGATAAAACCTGCGCAGATCATCCAAAGGCGGGGGTGAGGATGACAAAATGTCGGGTGTGACGCACGCAATCGGCTGTACCACCTGCCTAAGGTACTCACGGCAATGTGGATGCAATGTATCTAAGGCACTTGACAAAATATTGGTTAGAAATCCAACATCATGACTTGTAGTGTCTTAGAGCTCACGAGTGAAGAACGCAATGAACCTTGGAGACCATGGCGCGGAGTTTTGATCCATAAGAACCAAGACATTGTAGGGAAAGAATGTTCGAAAATTAACGACGCCTAGATCATCCCCAACCACCGACGGGCATTCTACCGAGAAGAGTGTGATGGTCCTGTCGGCGCAACCCGCGGATGAGAACTGCCATGAATCATCTATATGCAACGTTATTTCATTAACTAAAGAACCTGAGGTTGCTATTATGGATCCGAGCGTGACGGAGATGGTCTTTTTCAGTTGATGAATTCCAAGTATCGCCTTTAAACACGCTCATCAAACTTGGAAGTCTACCAAACCTACAGGAATTCTCGAGACAGTGTAATTAGTGTCATCTGGGAACTAATTCAAGTAGGTACAGAGGGAACATTTACTGGGCTTCTAGCGGTTAAAATTGCTCAAGCCAGATCTAGAGCTGCTGTATGAGGTCTCCAATTACTCGCACGCTTTCAATATCAAGGCCACGAAGCCATGCTTACCCCTCCCATTCTTAGCCTAGCTCTTATCTTATTTCCAATACTCGGATTAATAAGTATATTCACGAGGCACAAACTCAAACGCGCCCAGCCGCCCTTCAAACAAGCATCCCCGGCCATCCATATGTTTTTACACTGGTCTTTACAATCCTTACTATCAACGCCATCGAGATGCACAAGCTTGAGTATATATAAAAAGAGAAAACTTATCAACTTACGATTACCAGGAAGATTTCTTCTCTAGATGGACTGACGTGATGATCTTGGTGGCATCCGCGGCTCCAGCACCAACACCAAACACATGTTCTCCCGCCTGTAGCTCCCACTGACCTTTTCCTCAGCGAGCCATATCTCGCTTCTGGATAACCACACGGACGTACGTTGACTGGCCTGGCCCTATGAGCGCTGTCTTCCCGAAGCAGACTAACTGCCTTTCCACGAGCCGGTCCTTCTGGCAAGCGTAGACTTGCACAACCTCCTGACCGTCAAAACGACCAGTATTTTTCACCAACAGACTTAACACCCATCGACCCTCATCCTCAGCGACCGAGAAGCTTGATGTAGAGAAATGAGTGTAACTTTCACCCTGGCCGAACCACCACTGGGGCTCCTTGGTTGGGTTATGACAATAGTACCTGTACCCAACCTGCGACTCTTCTTTGTAGTCGACAGATCCATCCTTTCTGGGCCAGTCTCTGGTGCGAGGCTAAAAGGCAGATCGGAATAGAGACGCGGCCATGTGATGGGAAGCCGACCGGATGGGTTGACTAGGCCGAAGAGCACGTCGGCGAAGGCGTTGCCTGCTTCTTGGCCGCCATAAAACGCCTGCAAGAAGGTTGACACTCGGTCGATCCACGGAAGCTCGACGGGCGATCCAGACTGATTTACGAAGATCAGGCTTTCTGGCCTCTTGGCCCGGCGCACGAGTGCATCAACTAGGAGGTTTTGGTCTCCGGGCAACGCCATGTCTCGGCGGTCGTAGCCCTCACTCTCCCGTTCCTCGTCCAAGCCAACAATGACCACGGTATATTCGCTCTCGTCAGCCAAGTGAACGGCTTCTGTCAAGAGCTCCTCTGTGGTTGGCACCTCTTCCTGGTAACCGATTCGAATAGAAGGGTATGCGGCAAAGTGATAATTCGTATCAGGCGGGAGGGTCTCAAAATATTCCTTGTCTTGTCTCGTCCAGCACTCCAGGGTAACTTCGTAACTCTTCCCGGCAGTCAAGTGCTTTGATCCTCGTTTCTCAGCAATGCCAAACGCGTAAAAGGTCTCTGCCAGGCCGTACCAGATGCCATTGTCCACCACCGGCTCGCCGTCCACGTAGAGCTTCGAGCCACCTACACTGCTCAAGCTGAACGAGTGGTTTCTTGTGGAGAGGGGTGTAAGGGCTGATGTGATCCGGAATGGAAAGGGGGGGACGTGGTCCGTCTGAAAGTCTGCGGGGCAAGTATCTGTGAGATCCATGTAAGAGTTGGAGCGGTAGTGTGTCCCCTTCACGGGCCCTGAGAGGTCTGGTGAAGAGAAAAAGTCCATGCGTAAGATGGTTTGGTCGTCACCACCCTCTTTTGGCAACTGAGGTAGCCGCCAAGTCGCTTTGGCAGCCAACGGCAGCCACTTTCGCGCGTAGGCCCCGAGAGCGTGCTTGACAGATACGGTGACGCCCTGCGAGGCCGCTACAGTCTGGAATGATTCCATCATGTAGCTCTGGTATTGTGGGTTCAGACTGGCAGATCCGCCTCCTCCGGGGGTTCCTTGAAGCGCATTCGGGCCAATAAAGGCGACTTGTTTCCCAGCAAGAGGCTGCAGCGGTAACGGCAGCGTTTTCTGCGTGTTCTTGAGCAAAACAATCCCGTCCGCGGCCACCTTGCGTATGACTTTGATGTCCTCATCCAAAGTGTACGAGTGCTCCTCCTGGTTTCGAGACTCGTGAGCCTGTTCTGCACTCAAACCAAGCAGTTTGTACTTTTTCAGGAGATTGAGTACATTGGTTACGGCTGTATCAATGGCGGCGAGTAGCTCTGGAGTCAGAGCTTCTGTAGCGGCCTTCAGGAGCTTGCTCCCTCTTTGCTCAGGCGGTCCGGACATCTCGAGATCAAGACCGGTTATGAGGCTTTCGACAGTAGAGTTGGTGCCTCCCCAGTCGCTCACGACAAGGCCGCGAAACCCCCACTCGCTCCGTAGAATATCGTTCAGGATACGGCCGTTCATGTCGGCATGTAAACCATTAATCTTGTTATAGGAAGTCATGAAGCACTCTGGTGGCGAAGAAGACCTAACTACCATCTCAAAGGGTCGCAGGTAAATCTCCCGGATCGGCTTTTCCGAGATGCGCGCATTGATGGTATATCGGTTATGTTCTTGTTCATTGGCTACACTGAATTCGTGCTGGGTTATTTTGGCGTCTCGATAAAATGGGTAGAGATATGACTGCTGTCAAGGCCGAGCGGGACGAGCACTTACAAGTGTTTGGGAGTCGCCGTCACTTCCCCCGTTTCTTGCAATCCGCTAACAAACTCGACCGCGAGTGAGCCACTGAGGAACGAATCCTCTCCAAAGCATTCAAAGTTCCGGCCTCCCAGGGGGTTCCTTGCGCAACATATGGTGGGAGCTAGCAGAACCTGGCTGGCCTTAGACTTGGTCTCACGACACAGCACGCGGCCTAGATTTCGCAAGTCTCTTTTCGACCAAGTGGCTGCCTGGCAGATAGAACTCGGTACGAAAGCCGCTGGCAGTCCATCTACGAGCAAGCGGCCGCGAGCGCCGGACGGGCCGTCGGTTGTCTGTTGCTAGAGGTCAGCAGGGGCCTCTCAATTCTCTAGACGGGTCGCCCAGATCCACGCTTTCAGAGGTGGCAGACAAACCTTGATAGAGCCAATGCCTAAGCGTGCAATCTCTTGAGTTTGCCAAATACCCGCTCCCGTCAGGAGGGAGGCTTTCTCCTCCAACGAGAGCTGGAGGAGTAAATTAGGAATATCGCTGGACGCCATAATTATGCTGAGAGGATACTCAGGGGATCAAGTGCGGTTAGAGGCATGGACCAACGAGATATAATTTTCCAATTAATTGGAGTGGATAGCGTGTTACTATCTTCATTAATCACGTAGTAGAAAATCTCTAGACTCGTATTAGCGAAAAAGTCAGAAGAGCATTGTAGCAATTGGCACTGGCTATGCTGTGATGTAGTCAGTGGCATCAGGTTCAGCCAAAAGCTCTCAATTTCCCTAACAGGCAAACAAACGCAGTACTCCACACATGGAAAATGATACCATGAGCGGCCTAGCGTGATCAATGACAGTCTAGAAAGATATAATCCGAAGATACTGCGTTATTTACCAGATACGGAACCGAGAGACGGGGATAACGAAGGAAGCCAATGAGATTGAATACTTTTATCTCATTTATGTCTCCAAGACTTATCAGCGCGTTGGAAGTAACCCAACACTAGGCTCGAGAAGCGAAGCGATCTGTTAGTTATCGAACTGGCTAGAAGGCCGTCTTGTCCAGAGTCACTGGTCGACTGGCTGCAGGGGAATATCCGTCACTACTCTCAGCGAAGTCGTCCGTAGCAAATTACTTGTTTCACGCGAATCCTCGCTATGCGAGCCAAGCTAAAGATATGCCTGGGCGAGAAACTATGCAGTAAATAAGGAGTAGTCATATGGTTTGGGGTAACTCCAAGCCCCCGCACACCCCAGTGTGTTAGCCCCCATGGATTTGTTCAGATCTGAGATATCACTAGTGACTAGTTCGCATGGATGGCGCATTACCTTGGAAGAGCTAGATCACAAACGTACATTGCAGGATGTATATAATAGCTCGAATCTAGCCCTCGTGAGGTGGAGGCTCGATTGCAAGAACTAGAAGGGACTGTAGAGAGAGAATCTCAAAGGAAGATATCTTTCTAATATAAGGACCTCTTCCCCCACCCTTGCTCTCTACCTCCTTGTTCAGTTCTGCTCCTTCCCATTTCTCTCCTCCCTAAATGCCATCAGACTTTGAGACTTGTTGCCATCAACATGGAGGTTCTACAGCAACCCGACAATGCCGCCGTTGGTAATGAACAACGCAAAGGCAAAGGCAACATCTACTTGATCTACATGGCCTCTTTCATTCTCACGGTTAACTCTGCAACTCAGGGCTATGATTCGTCCATGATGGTAAGTCTATCTGCAACTCCCCCAGACACCAGAATTGGTTTCAACGCAATCTCTCTTACTGTATCCAGAACGGTCTCCAAATCTTGCCTTCGTATGTCGATTATTTTCAGTTGACCACATCAACCTCCGCGCTCAATGTGGCTATTGTATTTGTGGGATCTATCGTTGCGATGCCCTTTGCTGGACCTCTTTCCGATAAATGGGGTCGAAAATGGGGAATCGCCATCGCTTCCATCATCGCCATTGTTGGTGCCGTCATTCAGAGTGCAGCAGTCCACGTCGCCATGTTTTGCATTGGGAGAATGATCATTGGCTTTTTCTCTCACCGTTGGCTCTGTTGCTGCCCCGACGTGAGTCCTTCGTCCACTTCGAAAACATCAGAAACCTAACGTATGCGCGCTCCCAGTTACATTTCCGAGGTCGCGCCCCCCCAGCACCGTGTTACGATGACTGGGCTTTTGGCACCTCTTGGTACGTGGGAAGCCTTGTTGCCGCCGGTGTTACGTACGGCAGCCAATATATCGAGAGCACATGGTCCTGGCGTCTTCCCTCTCTTGTAGGTTTCGAAATCCGTTGTCGTCTGGTCTTGCTCAACTCTGACCCGATATGCAATAGCTGCAACTCTTACATTCGGTTCTATGCTTAGCTCCTCTACCTTTTATCCCAGAGAGTCCTCGATGGCTCATCTACAAGAACCGACAAAGTGAAGCACGAGCCATCTTGGCCTAATACCACGGCGATGGTGATGCAGACTCGCCACTAGTTGCTATAGAATACCAAGAGATCTGTCAGACTCTGGAGCATGAGAAGTCTGTGCAGAAGACTAGCTTCAAAACATTGTTCTCCACTCGACCTAATCGTTGGTGGATTGGGGTGGTTTGCGCTGTTGCTGGTTGATTTTTTCTCCTAACAATGTCCGTCATACTCACGATTGCTGACGAGTTTGTACAGTCTTTAGCCAGGTCAGCGGTAACAACATCACCACTTATTACTTGGGCGATGTCCTTACATCGGCGGGCATTACAGAAGTTCAGACACAGCTGGGCATCAATCTTGGGTTGAGTGGCTTCAATCTCGTTTGCGCAACAGCGGGTTCCTGGTTGACGGAAAGGATTGGCCGGAGACCTGGATTTCGTAAGTGCCCTCTCTCCCACGGCCCCATCTTCTCCAGTCATGAAAATTAGCAAGTCACTTACAAGTTCGATTTCAACTCTAGTATGCTCTACGGGCATTATGTCGGTGGTACTCATCATCGTCAGCGTCCTGACAAAATTATACGGTGACAGCCCAGACACAGCCGTTTCCGCAGCCCAGGTCACCCTCATCTTTATCTTCTACGGATCCTACTCGTTTGTGTGGACGCCTCTGACAATCATCTACACGGCCGAGGTCCTCTCGTACTCCATGCGCGCCAACGGTTTGGCATTCTACAATGGGCTTTGCTATGGCACCGGGGCGTTCAACACGTACACCATTCCGTACGCTATGCAGTGGTCTAGTTGGGGTTTCTATATGATTACCGCGCTATGGTGCTTCTTTGTAGAGCTGCCCATCATACATACCTACTTCCCAGCAACAGAAAGGAAGAGTCTCGAGGAGATCGACGTAGTTTAGGGCACCAGGCACGGCGACTTGGATATCACCCTTAATAACATCCTCCAAGGTACACCTGTTCATGAAGAGAAAGGGACTAAAGTTGACCAAGTAGAAAACACTGGTTGATCTCCCTATGGCGCCAAACATGTCTCTTGATATACATCCGCCTTGGCTCATGTTATGTTACGCAAACCTGAAAGAAAAATATCCAGATACATTTTGAATTAGAATTAAATATGATTAAGAGCCAATAGCTACATTAAATGAATTCCAAAAGCGAATACAAGCAAAATATATTAAACCGCTGCCAGCTGATTTGAGGATAAAGCCGGTCACCACTTGCCACTGTTAGGTGAATGGCTTCAATGCTTAAGCCGCTGTGAGGCTATTTTCAGCGGGCAGTGCTCACGACACCGTGCAGGTATCGTTAACTACATAGGTAAGTTATATATTATATACTCCCCTGGCAACTACCCTGCTAGCGCTGCCATGATACCTACTTTGGTTATATACAACGGTGACAACAGAGTCAAGCGGGTGACATTGGAATTGAGACACTCAAACCTCAAGCTGCTTATTGTCGAGTCTGTAACCGGTATTATCAAATTATTGAGTGTCAATAATACATGCTTGAGAGATAGTGCGCAAATATTATTACTTCCTTTCGTTTTATTCTATTGAATCTCTTAATTTATCTTCGAAAGTAGAACCACTCTTCCATTGGGTGTCTCATTTCTCCTGTCACCCACTTGATTCCCTCAGCGCAGCTGCGTAGGATTGTGGAGATTGGGATGACGTGTTCCATCCCAGGATGAGTGACTTTGGAAGGTTGCCTGGAACCAACAGCTTAGTAGCCATAAGCTGAGTACTATGAGAAATTATTTACCGCACCTTTGCTCTCAATAAATTCACTAGCTTCTTAACTCGCCTGTTCTTTGAAAAGGGTAAGAAGAGTAGCAAGATAAAGACCCTAAAAGAGCCCCGAAGTGTCCTTTGCAGGCCGACAACCTTGGCATCATTCAAAGACCCCAGCGAGGGATATGTGTGAGATGGAACAAGTAGCAGGGTCACCCCGCCCAAATTTCCTTCAACGGCTACCTCAAGAACTCCAAGCACAGATCCTGTCATGTCTCGCCTCACCATCGGATCAGCCATCAGTTTATGCTCTGCTTCGCACCTGCAAACAGCTCTATGGTGTAGCCCTGCCCTTCCTGCTACGCACCTTTCGAAATATACCTCCGCAAAGCACCGGCTTCTGCTCTGAGCGCCGCAATGCACAGTTTCTACGTTGTGTTCTGGCTATGAAGCCTGAACTAGCAAGGCTTGTTCATGTTCTGATCCTTGGCTCGTTCTCCACAGATCCCAACATGGGCTACGATGCCCCAGCTATGGATGAGGATATGGATGGGAGAGAAAGACAAGAAAGCCCAATATTCGATGAGTACAGCCCGGAAGAGCTTGTGCTCTACAGGCAGCACATCATGAGTATTTTCAAGCCCATGATGATAATGACGACAATGAGAAGGACACTGCCGATGAATGGATTAGGGACTTGGAAATGGGTTGCAGCGATGCTCAGCTTGCGCTCATTCTTACTTCTTGTCCAAATATCCACAGCCTCTACTTTGAGACCTCCCACGACCAGCGTCACTTTATTCGTGTTATACAACTTGCAAAGAAGCCGATTACCGCCCTCGGGGCTAGCCTACAGCCTCCCCTGTCTCGACTTCGTCACATCTACTTTGAGGCCCACGAGTCTTTAGATGGTTACCATGAGGAAACCAACACCGACCATAGCCCTGACACCTTCCTCAAGCTGCCTGGGCTCCTGTCCTTTGAGGGCGTCAATATCAGGGGGGGCAACGACGTAGGATGGTGGTTTCAACAACTCCCGGCCAGGTCCTTACCTCTGCAAGACATTGCTCTTCGCCGATCCTACATCTCTCCACCCATGCTCCAAAGCATGCTAGGCGCCTGCAAGGCGGTCAAGCGACTTGAAATCACACGCGGGTTCTATGATGGAAGCCCGGTGGAGGAGCTGCTGCCGCAGCATATACTCAGGGCTATCCTACCACATGCAGATTCCCTCGAGATCCTTCACCTCAACATGGCGGAGGAATGGCCCTGGCTAGGTCTTCCCAGTGAACATGAGTTGTTCTACATGGGTACTCAGCTTCATCAAATGATAGCTCTCAAGAGACTCATAACGGGGATGCGTTCTCTTACTGGTTTATTCAATGGATATACTCCCGATAATAACGACGATGACAGTGACGCCGCATCACTGCAACTGGATGGAGCTCCAAGGCTAATAGACTGCCTCCCAGATAATCTGGAGTATCTCGAGATCCATCGATCTAACGAGTTAATTCTAGATCAGATCCAGCAACTCATCCTAGCCATTCAGGAAGGGAATCGCTTTAAAAAGCTAAAGCATGTTAAGCTGCTTTTTAGCGATAGAGATCCCGACAAGATGCAGCTCAATTACGACCCTTCGATTGTGCATATCGAACTTATATCCCAGTCCCTTGAAAATCGCATTTACGATCTCATTCCAGCATTCAAAAAAGGCAATCACCGAGTAGAAGCCATCTGCTCCCCAATACACAGCCCAGATCTTCGGACACAGTGGCTTGACATCCGGGGCAGCAATACGGGGTTTGCATCGACCGACTTTGAGCTTTACGAAGCACCGGGAATCAGGCTATCTCAGGAGAAGCCACATCGGCCAAGGCCAGCCGACTATCTGCCAAGTATCTTGGCGACGCAAACCGACGAGTACTGGCGTGAGGTGGATCCCGAGGTCGCCGTTCTGAGAGAGGCATATGCAGCCTTTGTGAACAACCAAAACCAGCCATAGCAGACTCTCGGAAACCAATGCCTTTTGAGGAACGAAAAGGTTCTTCCTTCCGCGCCTCGTTGTTCGTACGCACGGGCTACTAAACGATCTGTGCCCAACAGCTTTTCCACAAACTCCCGCGCCTCTGAACTTCGCCAATCGAGCATGCCAAACCCCTACAGACACTGCGCCACCGCTCCCATCGAACGCTACTTTTCTTACTATTCATTGACATTGCCCTAGGAATATACCTCAACTCTTAACCGGGCATATTTTATTTTCCTAGATATCATCAATAAACACAAATGCATCCGCCCCAACGCACAACCTGGCTACTGCCATGTGTCTGCGGCTTTCCTACTTCTACCTATACCAACCTCCTTTTCACCCGTGTCAAGTAGAAATGGCGCCTCGATCAGTTGGGCTCGTTCACTGTACCAAGGCTTTGGGGGCTCCGTGAGCAGTTGCTATCATAGATCTATTCTCGTATTACTCAATTTCAACGCCATACACTCTCACACCCATGCGTTGAGTGTTTATTTGCTACAAAAACTACTCCTGTTTGATAGCCAGTTATAAAACCTACAGATTTAGTCACTCATCTCAGTTGCGCCGGAAGCTCACCATTGCCTTATAAGCATATCACATGCATTGCGTCGAGAAGAGCCGCCGATCCGCACCATTCTTTGGTCACCCAACAACACTTCGTGATCAGGGCACTGGGGTGGTTAGCTAGAGTCACGATGGTGATAAATGATGTTCTTCTTGTTTGTCTCGACCGTTCCAGGTCTTCTCTGATCGCTACAGCGTTTAAGAAGCCGCGTGACCTTGGAGCGAGCGCCACGATGTCATGGCACGTATCAGTTCTAGCCCATATTGCTTTTGATCCTACGCGTGGCAAGCCTACCTACGTCAGCTGGACACCTCTTTACTACTCACGAGATGTGATTCACGGCGAACGCCGCGCCTTGGTATGTTATTCCAGGCCGCCTAGCATTGTGGGATGGCAATAGCGGCATCGTCGAGCCAAACCGATCATGGGAGATTGTTGACTTTGAAGTAGGTTTCGTATTGGCGATGTCAATCTACCGATGCGCTGTGCTCTTTGGCGAAGATGCATTTTGGGAATGAAGCGACGGGAGGTGGTGGCTGGGGAGTATGTGTGTTGTGAGACCGAGGATGAGACAGACGATGAGTGAAGGGACACGACTTGGCGGGTATAGCGAGAGTTACCAGCTGAAGATGGCAGTGGCGGGATGCATGCGAAAGAAGTCCCGGGCACATGGCGACGAGGTGCTGAGGCCGACGTGAAGGGGGAGGACAGAGGATGGGCGTCGGTTCGTGACGAGAAAGGGAGGCGAGGGTGGTGGATGTGCTGATTGAGAGAAAGGGGCGGAGTTGCGGGCGCAAGAATCGAGAGAGAGTTGAAAGGAGGTGCCGTTGTGCCGTTGTGTTAGCTAATGATTGCGTTGGTGAATTTCCTGGAACAACCTTGAGTTTAACCTTGATGCGGATCGAGGGAACACGCGATTTCTCCTGGAAAGGATAAACATAATTTTAACGTTACATTAGTGGCGTGAACAATTGCCGTTTATCCAGGGCCAAGAGTTAAGCGAGGTTGACCGCAAGGATATATCCCCGGTCATTCCGCAAATAGCCTCCAGCAACGAAGAAATGTCCCGCAAGATGTTTCGGTGAGAATTGGGTGACCATCCGTCAGGCCAGAAAGACGGTGAGTCTCCTCACGAACCAGTAATGTTCCACAGAGGCCTTGATCAACCACTCACTCTATTTATGGGAACTCCTATGACCGCCAAGTGGCATCTTGCAGGAGATATTTATCGCGCGGGGTGGGTTTATCAAGTGGCGTGGTGTGAAGACTACCTCTCCAGTCACCAAAGTCGAGCCTTTTACGACAAAAGGGGAGACCATATTTTCTCAGCAAATTCGGATCTGACGGCGTAGTCGCCAAGGCACGATTGTACACGCCTCATCTAGGAAGCACATGCTTTTGCCAGGGTTTCTAACGAGTCATGCCGGCCTGAAGGCATAACCGCCACAAAGGCCAAATAATAAGGCATCAAACCCGATGCCAGATAAATAAACACCCATCTGACCCCTGCTTGCCGCATCGTGGCCCGTCTCCCGATCGTGCAGCCAAGAATCTCCCCACAAACGCCCTGCACACCAAGAGTTTTGAAGGACGGGAGGCCTCACAGATATGCCAAGAGAGTCTCGAATAGTCTTGGGTAGCATGTCATTGACGCCAAAGCTTGCAACAAGCTTAGAATAAGCTTGTTCCGTGACGCTCTCTCGGAACCGCCCTTTAGTTGCCGCGGGCCGTCTCTTTCCAGGATACCTTCGGGGGAATTCATTCTTCGATGACGAAGAAGCACAGGCCATGCGTGAATTGTTTCCCATCGCCGTTTCATGGAATCATCCATGTCTCTGCGATGCGAGCCCTGTAAATGCGTATCACCGTATGGACGACTTCCCGAAGTGGACTACGTATCAAAAATCCTCGCGTCGGCCATCCGAAGGTGTCAACGATCCAGGGTCAGCTAATTCCCGCAGACCTTATCCAAGGGTCTCTATCGGTCACAAAGTCTCTCTCGCGGATGGTCTGGGTTGAGTTCGCAAGCGATCGAGACCCTTTTCCTGCCCAATGTCTCATGATTAACCGCCGGAATATTCACGATGGCCGGTATCAGGCATTCCATTTTCCGCATTCGTAAAGGGACGCGCTGGCCTTTTGTTGGTCTAGTCACCCGGGAAGATTCGGAGGTTATTCCTTTGGAGCGTTTCGAGCCCTATGATATCACCGTGGAGAGATTTTGAAATTCGCGTCAGCAGAGAATGTCCTGGAACTCGAACATGACTCTCAATATTGAATTGGCCTTCATCGCCCTACATCTCTTGAACTATATATTACCTCAAGTCTCGCTGGTTTACTTTTTTTATGCTTATCCTCTTACTCCTCTCCGCTCTCAGATGCGCCAGTGAAACAACTCTCGAACATTTATCGTTGAATAAAATTTCACCATCAACACCTTTACACCTCGGTCCAGGAGACCGGTAAAGGCTCTCACCACACCAAAAACCAACAGAAGATCACAGCTCAGATCAAACACTTTGATCCCTTCCCGAACACACAACACCACCAAAGACATGATGTTGCAGAAGAATGAGATGGCAGAACACAGCAAAGAAGATCACAGCGACACTACCGACCATGAAGCTTTAGACCACAAGCCCGCCTGCCCCGATGAAGAAGTCGACGTCTTTGGTGGTGAGGGTGGAGCGAACTTTCGTACCATGGGCCGCTTCGATACCGTCTTTGCCCTCCTCACCAACCAGTTTGGCCTCGGAGCACTTGCTCTCCCTTATGTTTTCAAGACACTTGGTCTTATTCCCGGCCTCATCACTCTCATCGGCGGAGCCGCCATCACTTACTTCAGTGGTGTTGAGATCTTCTGGTACTACTTGGCTCATCCCAAAGTCACCAATATCGCTGAAATGATGAAGATCATCGGAGGTCGTCCAGCAGAAATCTTTACTGGCATTGGCCTACTACTGCAGCTCATCATGACTGCCAGCTCTGCGGTTGTTACTATCTCTATTGCTTTTAACGCTATTACCGAGAACGCTGTTTGTACTGTCGGCTTCATCGCTATTGCTTGTATTCTCTGCTTTCTGCTCTGCATTCCCCGGACTGCTAAATTCCTAGCCCAGTCTGGTCTCCCTTGCATCCTCAGTATCCTTGCCGCGGCTCTTGCTACCATGATCGGCCTCGGTATAAACAGCCCTCCTGGAGCCATGGAAGGCTGGAAACCTGAGATTGAGCTCTTTGGGACTCCCACCCTCCGCGAAGTCTTCAACAGCGTTCTAAAGATTCTCTTTGCCTTGGCTGGTAACTACGCCTTTGTTACTTATATGGCTGAGATGAAGAACCCAGAGAAGGACTTTATTTACTCCCTTAGATGGTTGATGGGTGCATCTGTTGTTTTCTATGGATTCATCGCCATCACTGTCTACTGCCTCGCTGCCGAGTTTACCGCCTCGCCTTGTCTCAGCTCCGCCCCTCTTCTTGCTGCCAAGGTAGCTTACGGGCTCGTCCTCCCGGCTATCTTGACTGACGGTCTCGCTTGTGGTCATATCGGCACCAAGTATGTCTTTGTTACTATCATGCGTCAGATCAATGCTGTCAAGGAAGTGACATCAAACACTCCCAAGTCATGGGGTGTCTGGATAGGTAGCAATACTGCCTTCTGGATTATCGTCTTTATTCTCTCCAACGCTATTCCTGTCTTCGACTCTATCCTCGCCGTCAGTTCGGCTACCACTTATGCCTGGTTTACATATGGTATCAGCGCGTTCCTCTGGCTGCACCTCTACAAGGGACGCTACTTTGAGGACTGGAGGAGTATTATGCTGTTCACTGCCAATATTGCCTTTCTTGTTTTCTCGTTGTTTTTAAATGGTGGAGGGCTTTGGTCTTCCATCACTGAACTTTTAGATATTTTTGCTACTTCCTCCAATATTCGGGGATGTTTTAGCTGCGGCGACAATTCTTTTATATAGGTAAGATAACAATAGAGATATATGATTTAGAATTCAAAATAAATTAGATTAAAACTTAACGCTCAAGACTAGAAAAATAAGAAGACCAACAATGATCATGGTGATTATTCAACCGAAAAGATGAAACAAGAAGAGAAAAAATCAAGATCAGGTCTTCCTCCCATAAAGGATTAAACCAATAGAGGGAAGTCGTCATCGATGGATCCGCTCTCGAAATGGTGATCCAAGGCAGATCATTGTCTGGTGTTTTTTTTTTCCGTTCTGATGTACACATCAGCAGCCGTCCAGAATGTGAAATATAATTGGTGAAATTGGTTGATGGCAAAAGCGGCGCTACGCCTAAATAGGCTGCCGGAAGTTAATTGGCCATTCGCTGTGAAATTAATGGAGACTCTTCCAATTCACTAGGCTCTATTAGGCTACCGAAAGTTGATTGGCTGGAGTCAGATCCGGATGTGTAGCTTTGCATTAGAAGTGTCATTCCATCTCCAGATTCACAGCTCTGATCTCCGACGATTATGGAAATAACTCGTAAATTCCGAATCCCGTCTTTAGAAATTATGGCCTATCGATGTATAAAAGGCCTTGGTATCCCAAGCCTGATGCAAGCAGAACAACAAACTCCAAAACGCTGACTACAACTCGACCTAACACACCAAGAACCTCGCTTCTCCACTCTACACACCTCATAACACACCATACATCATACACCATGGCTGATTTCTGGACCGAAGAAGTCATCGCAGACCAGAAGCGAGATCTTCCCATCCTCGCTACAAAAGAGAACACCGCTGGCCGAACCTACATCGTGACAGGTGCCAACTCCGGACTTGGCCTCGAAGCTGCAAAGCATTATGTCGCTCTAGGTGCTGCCAAGGTCATCCTGGCCGTCAGAAATCTGGCTTCCGGCGACAAAGCCAAGGCCGAAATCGAGGCTGCTACCTCAACCTCTGGGATTGCCGAGGTCTGGCATCTGGATCTGGCCAGCTACGACTCTGTCAAGGCCTTTGCATCCAAGGCTACCGAAGAACTCGAGAGGATCGATGCCGTCATTGAGAATGCGGGAGTTGCTCTCGATAAATTCGTCCTGGCGGAGGGACACGAGAGCAGCGTGACAATCAATGTCTACAGCACCTTTTTGCTAGGAATTCTGCTTCTCCCCAAGCTAAGAGAGAGCGCTGCCAAGTTTGGAACTCTCCCCCATCTGGTCATTGTGAGCAGTGGCGGAGCTGTGCGGTCCCACCCGGTTTTCATGAGTCTCAAGGATGACCTGTTTACAAAGATGGACGACGAGAAGAACGGGATGATGGGCAGGTAAGTTGCTGACCCCGAAATCTAATAGACTTTAAACTACGAAACATTACCTAACTTTATTTGAACCCTAGATACCCCCTCACCAAGTTGATCGAGATCTATGCTGGGCGCTACCTCGCTAGTCTGGCTCCCGTGGAGCGTACCGGCGTCGTCATCAACTATCTCGATCCCGGCTTGTGCTTCACCAATCTAACCTCCAACGTAGACCGAAAGCTAGCCGACGTGATTGAGAATGAACGCAACAACTATTTTGGAAGAACTCCTGAGATGGGAAGCCGCACCCTTATTGCGGCAGCGGTCCAAGGAAAAGAGAGTCACGGTCGCCTATCTGGATCTTGCGTCATCCAAGAGTAAGCCATCCACCCTACCACTAAACCAAGAATTTGCTGCTAATGGCTTTCTTAACCAGTGATCGTCTCCCCGAGTATATCAAAGATAGCGAGGGTCAAGCTGACCAGAAGAAGATCTGGGAGGGCATTGCTGCGGAACTAAACCGAGTCGTCCCTGGATGCGTTGACAAGGCGCTAGCATAGATTATGAAATCACTAGCGCAAATATTCGTACACCAGCCTTTTATTGCAATTTAGCTTTGAATTATTTTTAAATTATTCCCATGGGATTATTTCCACTGCTCTTTCACGCTCAAAACAGCCCTCTTGGGAGATATTCCATAATCGCTTAGCCGTCGTGTTATGAATTGATGGAATCCAGGGAAAGTCCATTAGAACTTCTTCAACACCACCCCATCCGTTAAGATTCAAGGCGTAACTAACTTCGGCAAGCCGCGGTACAAGCCAGTACTCATCATCATCGTTGAAAAGCACATGCCTTCCGACCAGAGCAGACCAGAGAACGAGCTTTTGGAAATGAGATCTTTCAATAGGTGCTTCCAGGATGGCCTTCCGGAGTGAGCTCGTAGCAGCCTTGAAATTGGATGCTCTACCTGCAAGCCCTCGTAGAAACGTCGTCAAAAAGCCTATCAAGGCCAAATGCATTAAGCTTTCGTATGTTGTAGCCAGTTCAGCTTGGTCTAACGGGCGGGTTTCAAGCAGACGAAACCCCAAGAATATTATCATGTCGTGGAACGGGTAGATTTGAAGCTTCGTCGGACATGGCGTGCGCCCACTCACAAATGCTGCCAAGCTCATGATGTCTAAGAAACTTGCCTGAAGGGGGCCGTCCAATCCCAGAGCCGTCTTTTGGCTCTTATAGTAGCTCTGTCTATCTTTCTTGTATAGATTCCGTAGCCATAGGGTCACGTTCTGGCTGGGTAAGTCTTCTGCGCGGAAGGTGGTCGCGGTTCCGAAGTAAAGAGCAATTTCAAGGTCCGCTCTATCCTTTGTATTAGATAATTTTTAGATAGACTAGTATTTGAGGGGACTTGCCTGAAAAGTTTCTGCATGAGGGCTGGATGATCTCGAAATCCAGCAATTCCACCCCGAAGAAGAGCCAGACGGTTCAGCCCCTGGACATGCACTAGAGCTTCCTCGTAGTTATCCTGAACACGTTCAAACTGAGATAATGCGATGATAGCTATCAGAGTCGAATTCTCTAAAGCATGTTGTCCTGATAGTCGCTCATTGACGAGATGCAGCGATCGAGAGAAATGGCGCAGGATTTCTGGATCTGTACCACTTCTCGCGGCTTCAGGCTCGAATATCGCAATGGAGACTGCCACATTGGAATGAAAATCTATCTTGTCTCAGTCAACTGTTCGCAATTCATGCCTTCGAGATCCAATACTCACAGGCTTCATTTGTAAATGTATTTTGAACCCACATTGATCGGACCGGGATGCGAGTATCGAGTCTCCCACCCAGGTCCTCCGACATTATGCTGTGGGTGATCTGACACAAGACTACTTCACATTAGGACGCTGAACACAAGACCTCGTGATTGTTTGTTGATTCATACAATTTCTCACGTGGCACCTGGATCTTGCTGATAGCTCTCCAGGAAATGTCATGAAATCTCCAACTGGTAGTCTAAGGGGGGGCATAGAATCATGAATCGGGCTGGAAGAGTCGGACTCATTAAGTCTTAGTTCGCAATCAAAGTCCGTGAGTAGAGGCTTGGCCAAGGCTGTTTTCGTAGGCCTACGTCGTAATTGTGCCAAATGAGACGATCGCTTCTTACCGACTTTGTGGCCCTTGGAGGCATGGCTACGGATCAGCTTCCTTGCGCCTCGGTCTATGCCGGTATTATTGTCAATGAACTGGAAATTCATGGCTGTAGAGGTCCGAGACACGGTGGTTCCCTTGCCGTCCGCAGAAAACATACAGTGGATGAGCTCATGATGTTGGCGACCAACCGTGCCGCAAACGAGATAATTCCAACACATGTGACCGGGATTAGCGGACTTAGTGAGATGGCATTCAGTTTACCTAAGCCTTTTTGTAAGCTTCACAGTGGAGCTTGTACCAGCCAACCAGCCTCAATCAACGTATTAAAGCACAACTCTATCAGAAACCATTGTGTTTTTCTAACATATACACAGATCAAAGTTTTCAAAACTTCTTCGTTGGCCTTCAAATCCAAATTTGACCATATTTCCGACAAATTGGCTTCGCTTTAAAGATCATTCCCACCACTGGGAATTCTTATAGCTAAACGACCTGAGGATTGTGCTAAGTCTAGAATTGTCTTCCTCCTCCGCCTTGACAAGTCTATTCTGACTCTGAACGCCATCTCCCTTCCCTTTCATCCAATCATGCTCATTCGTCTTTTCCATTGATGTATCAGGAGGAGATGTATTGAGCTGAGCAACTCGTATCCGAGCCACGGCCAGCATTGAATTCTCTGCTACTTGAACACATGTACTAAGATGGACTGAGGCCACGAGATTAAACCTCTGTATTCTCATCCAGTCCGACATGGGATCTCGGTCTGGTGGAAACTGAAATTTCCAAGTTTTCTCGTCATAGATGGTTCTCTTCGGATTGCCAGACTTACGGCCGCTGCTACTTGAATCATGGGCAACCTTTGCTCCAACGATTTTCGTGCACCAGTCCGTGCTCCCGTCTCGGACTCGCACACCGAAAAAGATCTTACAAGCCATTCTATCCCCAGTATGATCTTTCCTATTAAGCCCCTCAGACGTTTCAATTGTCAAAAAGCGTCCATAATACCCAACCTCTCCAGACAGGCCAAGACTCAGAATACCAGACTCGAGTTTGGGCGAAGAAACGATGAAAGACTGAGGCAAAGTCTCACAGCAGTCCATTGTCAGAAGAACCCCATATTCCGGGTATTTGTGCACAATATGCTTTAGCGGCCAACGGTCTCTGCTCCCGGCGATGTACATGCTTCTCTTCAAGAGACCAGGATTCCAAAATATCGGCACCGGTCCTGGAATGATACGGCTTCTTCTGAAGCGATCACTTCCGGACGTCTTGTGGAAGAGCAACGCCACTTGGTGACTGGGTGAGTTGGACCTGACATCTAAAACAGCCAGGAGATTTTCAAACCCTTCAATAGGCCCAACTCTCTCCTTGATCAGATTAAGAACTGGCAGACTGATCGATAGGCCGGCGTTTGTCATGATGTAGGGGGCAGATTCATTTCTCCATGAGTTGTGTGAATAATCACCAGCATTTTTGAATGTCCTGGGCGATGGAGAGAGGATACTAGCCCAGTCCGAAGGAACATGTTGATCATCCCAGGTCCAGCAGAAGATGGTTTGGTCGTTGGAGACCCGTATGATTTCTTCCTGCAGCCGAATAAAGGCCTTTTCACCCTCGCCGTACAGAAGAGGCATGTTGATGTCGAATATTCCAAACACACAGTACGCCAGATCCTCAACTCTCGTAGTCTGTCGATTGGACAGCCATGACATCCGCTTTCCAATGCTGGCATTGGATAGATCGCTGCCCAGATAGATCTCCTCGATCCCAGTCACAACGGAAATCTCGCTAGCGAGCTCATCTCGCGACCCAATGTTTGACCAGTCATGGGCGAAAAAGCACAGGGCTGTAGGTGCAAGGAGCTCCTGCAAGGTCCAACCTCTAGTGAACCATCGAGATGAGCGAAAATTGCACAGTGGATCGCGCTCGTTTGAATCAATGGGCGGTACATCCGCAAGGTAGGCGTAACAAATAGACGAGTTCTTGTACCAGGAGAACATTGAATTGATCGCTTCCGCCAGCTCCGTGGAGCTTGTCTTGTCGATGCAATTTGTGTCACACCAGAGGTACCCGAAACCATCTACCTGGGCTTGTTTACATGCCCGTATGATTTTGTCGTATCGTTCCGTGTTCTCCATCTCCTCGGCCTTCAATTGCCAATCTTGGAACGTCACCTCGCGACCACCCCATGTGTGAGACAGAATGGCATATCTGGGAGGGACGTTGTAGTACTCTTCAAGTTGGTAAGTTTTGACATTGATAAGCCTCATCGTTCCGAGTTTCAAGTGAGGTTGACGAGTTTGAACCGGCCAAGGGAGCCTACACCTATAATAGCAAACCGGTCAAAAGGCAGGCTTCATTGGAATGTGGCCAATTGGTGTCCATGAAAGCGATTCATCAATTGTAAATCCATGATTGTCGACAGCTACGGGACCAATCATCGAGCACAAAGACTTGTAGAGCCTGATTTAAGAGAGATGCCTGAACAGGGGTATAGCGCCATTGAGGCTGAGCAATCTACGCCTCAAGTGATGTGACCCTGCGATGCAGGAGAACGTCATCAAGTTCCCAAATTCGGCTGTAAAGCGTGAAAGTACTTTTGATGGATGCTATTTGGTGTTCATCCCAGAATCAAGTGGAGAAATAAACTCGATGGTCCCAGAAGAAAGCGCCCAGTGTTGCAATGACTTGCTCTACCCAATTCCAGCAGAACAAGCATCATCTGGCAGCTTTGGCGTGTCAAAACACCATACGAACTTCCTCTAGACGCAGGTGCATACCCCGGATATCAATATGAAATGTATTTACTGCTAAAATGGAGAGACAGGTCATCCAGAGCTTTCATAGTGACACCATCTACCGCAAAAACCGCTGCTCAGAAAAGCTCAGCCGGTCCTCAAGTGCTTCAATGCGCCAACTCTTCTTCACATACTCTACCCATTCAGATTCAAGAGTTATTCTCTTCACCACCCCACAAAGCACCCCATCACGTCCTGCTAGGACCGCCTCCTGCAGCGTATATTTCATTTGTACTCTGTTGTTCTTCCTCATTCTCTCATGCAAGAGAAACATCGACAGCATCTCCGCACTTCCGGAACGAGCAACCACACGCAAGGCTTGTTGAAATACATGGAGCGAAAGATCTCTGCGATCAAGGAGCAGCCTAGCCATCTCCACATAGTTCCTAGTTACTAGCTTCTTGAGAACAGCAGATCCGTATCCCTCAAGATTGAGATTCAGATCCTTGCGCTCAAGAAGCAGCTTCGCAGTTTCGACCTGGTTGGAAATTGCAGCCCAGACAATCGGCGGTGAATGAAGTGTACCGTGGGAGTAGTTTATATCCACGTCCTCGCGGTCTAAAAGCATTCGAACCAAGGACGTGTGGCCCAGTTCTGCGGCGCGCGCAAGAGCAGGCTTGTTATGAATAACCAGCCTGTTCGGGTCGATTCCGTAGCGGTCCAAAAGGAGCGCGGTGATGGTGGCCGAGCCCCCATCGATCGCGTAATACGCGAGTGATTGCTTGCCATCGCCAAATTCAGGTTCAATATCTTTGCGGTCAACAAATAGGCGGACTACTTCCTCATGGCCCCCTCTGGCGGCCGCCTTGAGTGGCGTTTCCTTCCAGTCGGTTTTGGGATCCGGATCGACATCTTCTCTTCGGAGAAGATCTCTCACAATGTTGGTCCATCCTCTACGAGCAGCCCACAGCAATATTGTCACTCCACTCTTCCCTTTGAAGTCCACTGGGGCATTTGGCAACCCCAAGAGAAACTCGACTATTTGAGGGCGATCTGCTTGGCCTGCGAAGAGCAAAGGAGGCGTTGCCTCACCATCAATGATGGGAACTGTATCAATATTGTTCTTCACCAGGACCCTCACTGAATTTACCTTCTTGCATAAAATCGCACAACGAATGGCAGTGCCAAATACGCGGTGTCTGTAGTCCAAACTAACTCCACTCCTCATAAGTGATTCTATAGCGCAAGCGCTTCCCACTGCGGAAGCGAGTTGCAACGCCCCATAGAAAAGCTCAGGTCTTTCTTGCCTTGCCCAGGCCTGACCATGTTGTCGTCGACGGTAAAACCAAAGGTTATAGAAAGAGGGATCTGGAGTGGAATGGAGGATGAGTTTGGTGAAAACGGTCCTCGGATCGTTTGAATAAACAATGGCATTGCAAACGGCCTCAAGGCTATCATCCTCGCAAATGCTAGGATCATACTGACTCTCCGTGAAAAAAGAGGAGGCATCAAGTATGAAAGCAAAAGCACCAGGTGACTTGTCCCGTCTTAGAGATCTAGCCTTCTCTAATAACAACCATTTAACAATGGGACGTGTCATCAGTCTATGGTTTCGACGTATAACCGTTAGATCTACCATTGGGAATGCGGCACGGGAGATGACCGCGTCAAATTGACCTGAAGACGCATTAGCGGTATCGCATCTATCGTCTACCAAGAGGACATACGGGAAATGAATCTCATTCTGACAAGTTCCTTCCTGCCACACAGAGAACGATCTGGGCCACAAATTTCATCGACAATTTGTGTCGTGATCTCGACCGGGAGCGTTTTCAGTGACATCTTGGGTATGCGAGCTGTGATTTGGTCCGTCGGAGTAGGTCAGGTAGTTTCAACACGCATTCGACGTCTTTAAGCCGCGAAACTGTCTCTGTCGCCTCCAGATCCTACAGCTGTAGAGTTTATGATTCTGTGTGAGTCAGAGATAAGATTGACTCATTGTAACCTCGGCTGAGTTTGTTGGTGATTGGCCAATGTGGCACAACATCTACCTACCCTGTACCTCTTGTAGTTGTTGTATCTTCACAGTAGTTTCTTGGCCTTCAACTATGATTATTTAAGCAACTTAAATGGAAAGAACTTGGAGTTACTAAACTAAACAGGAGACGCATACTATTCTAATGATTTGCTAAAAAGAGAAAAGTAATAATCTTGACATAGGTTGTTAACCTGTGCACGTACTTTCTGGTCGCAAACTTCTATCTAAGCTAACACCATGATATTCAAACATCCCCAAATAAGTACCCAAAGCGAAAATCCTCGCTTATGATCTCAGACCAATCAGATGGGCTGTGATCCTCCATAGAAGAAGGCTGTTGTCGAAAGCACTAATTTACCAACAACGCCTGTTGGAGTGGAAATGAACTCAATTTGTGTGGGTTTAATTACGAGTCAGGGATGAGATCCGCATCGTCCCTCAGATTGGTCAACAGTAGGGGAAGGGGCCAGCAAAAACCTGCTAGGGCTTTACTGTGGGCCGCAAAACATCCACCAACACAGCCAAGTGTCCAAGCCAGCAAAAAGCCAACCATCTGAAGTCTTCAGATGGTTTCTTGGACGAACAGGGAATCGAACCCTGGACCACTCCCAAATGTTCAGAGACTGAAATATGCTAAGGGAGTATTATACCACTAAACCATTCGCCCTGGATGAGTTGATAACGGTCGACCGAGTTCAGGTTCATGGAGCTGTCACAGAAGGGGACGACAAAAGGAAACACTGGTCAGGCTTGGCTTCAGGCGGAGGGCCTCCCTCTCTCGCCTACATGTACTAAGAGCGGCAAATATCGATGAGAATAATGCTTGGCTGTATTCAGTTACTTAGCTGTTGGAATTCGTCGAGGATAGTAGAGGCGTTGTCCTTGGACACAGGGCATTGAATCGCAGCCTTATGCAGACTTCATCAGGAGACATGATGTCATGAAACTTTGATGGCCCAAAGGCCCTTCGCCATTTAAAGATGGAAATTGAAACATCCGCATTCCACGAACAGTTCCAGAGTGGTTTTGAACAAGATCATAGCTAAGGGAGGTGGATGTCTCAGAATTCAAGACAGTTCACTACCACATGGCATACTAGAATGTGATATGATAAAGACACTTTCAGCCTTTGTTTTTTCTTTTCAAGAATGATCTTCTTTTAGAAAGATCATTGAAGGAGTTTTTACCAAAGCCCTGCCTCGTTGATTAATTTATCTCTTCAAATACTCAAGCTCAAATAGAAGAGGTGAAGAAAATCCAGGAAAGTATCGCATAAGTGCAAAATGGCATGGAATGGATTTTCGTGCTGATACAACTTTCATTCCTTCTGCCCCAGACATGCATTTCTACCCCCCAAAGCTTTGCGTGGGTCCCACCCTCATACTACGATAAACGTGTCATCCATTGCTCTGATCTTCCCTAAAGAAGGTTACTTCTGCGTTGGAAGACGAATGCTTGGGTAACGGGCAGGCAACAGGAGATCTCCTCCAATATGTGTGCCTTTTATTGTTTCACAAGCACCTACGAAATGCTCGGGGAAAAGTTGAGGTGGTATGCAACGAGGAAGGGATTGTCAGGAGAGACCATGGGTATTATTTATCAAGGCAAATGAGGACCAGCGGTGATTTGAACTATACATACGCTTTTGGAGGCGTGTAGTCGCTCCTACTCATCCTCAGTTTTTGCAGCTTCGTTAGATCCCCGTGATTTAGGAACATCACGTTTCTCCTTCCAGTTTCAATCCCACCCTCTCCCCGTGCCTCAGGGATTTGACATTTGCCATCTCTAACATGTTTTCCTACAAAAGTTTTGTGGTAACTTTGCTTGGCAGCCTGATAGTTGCAGCTCCTTTCGAAGCATGGGACGAGCCTTTCTTTTCACCATCTCAAGTGTGGCTGTACGGTGCATCCAGCGGCCGAACTGCACCTACCTCCATCGGTATGGTATCCAAGGCCTCTACTTCTGGAGGCAGAGCCACCGTCACCACTCTCCTCACATTCACATACCCGCCAGAGACCGATGGATCGAAGTGTCAATTCGACTTTTATCTGGATCTGAACTCCACCATTAAAGGTAGCGCCAAGCTTGATCTTTTCTCAAGCATCAGGCCGCTGACATCGAATGACACTGTCTATTGGAGCCGCGGTAACCAGCGGGGCGTCCAACTCGGCCGTCTCTCTGTTTCTCCTGGCGCTTCTGCGACCTGGGATGCTACTTATGACGAGTACCTGACGGAGAAGACCGACTGCAAAACCCCTGGGACCGTCGAGGGCTTTGAGCTAGTTGGTGTTTATGATAATGATTATGTTTCGTGGAATCCTTCCACATCCGGCCTAAGTATTATTTATACGTCTTGAGTGTTACGTGCTCGTGGTGGGTTGTAACGAGACGGGCGATTATCTTGGCTAGTCACAGGATAAGTGATCATCTCATTAAATTGTAGCACGGACTCAAAGACTTAATGATGAAGAATGAATACTATCTAGTTGAGCATTATTACTCAATTGACTTTCTGATCATCTTAGTGTTGCTTAAGCATTAGTTGGAGGAGGAAGAGTCCAAAATCTAGACGTCTATATTGACTAGACGATACAATCAACATTCTTGAATCATCACAGAGTCCTGTGGCTCGTCCATAATAATTTCAATATTAAGGAGCTCAATGATACAGAAAAATAGCTCACGTCCTTTCAGGTGATCTCCTTCCTTATTGTCACTAGAGGGTGCTTGCATAAGCTACGCTGACATACAACCGATTTGCCGTGGGTAAATAACTCATCACTCGCTTTGCGAAAAGAGTTGGGCAAACATAATTGGGCATCCACGCCAAGTGTCTCCGAGAAGCATCCTACTATGATGCACATGCCAAGTCGATTCCTGCCATGGCTCTCGGTTCCGGCACCTCGTCATGGCTATTTCATTATACCGAGAAGGGGGGTTCTTCTTTGTTAGATTCGGGTGCAAATGTAACCTCCTCCACCTTGCCGTTGCAAGAAGGTGGCACTATGACCATTGCAAATCCCCATGGGGAATCTCGGCCCAATTATGATTGGCACATCCCCTGTGGTCATTTGATGATGTTATGGAGCAACTCATAGCCTATACCATAACCACACCCGGGATACATCAAAACACGCTGATCGTCGCTCTCCATTCTGCCGATTACTCTAGTATCGGGGGAGAAACGACCGAGCGTGGCTTCTTTATGCCATATGCCCGAGTTGCATCGAGGCATTAAAAGGGTGCTTTGGCCACATGGGATGCGAATCCAGCAAAGACATGATCATCCCGGACCTCGGGAAAGTCTAAACCAGATTGACAAACCCCTCATCATTCAAAATGGCGGTTTCAATATCTCGAGTCTTATTTGAACATCATTATCCAACGGCGCAAGGCATCGGTGAAAGCGAGCCCCGAGTTTCGTGGAGGTTTGCCGGCAACTCCCCTTCCTGGGAGCAGAAGGCATACGATCTTGAGATTACTCGGGATTCAGATGGAGTTCCCCGACTGTACAATGTCAATTCGTCGGACTCGGTATACGTGCCATGGCCAGATGAGCCTCTTGGCACCGCCGAGCTTGCATCAGTTCGGGTTCGTGCCTATGGCGGGAGTGATGATTCTTCCTCTCCCACCGAATGGTCAGAAGTGGTAACGGTAGAAACTGGTCTCCTCGATGGGGACTGGGGAGGAGCCGTTTCTATCGCAGCAGAGTACACTCAACCAAGCGATGCACCTTTGAGGCCCCTTTACTTCAGGAAATCCTTCCAACTTGAGTCAGAGGTTAAGTCTGCACGACTTTACATCACTGCGCATGGCTTGTACAAAGCCGAGATCAACGGTGCGGCCGTTGGTGACATAGTTCTTGCCCCTGGCATACAGTCATATTGGAATCGACTTGTCTATGACACTTACGATGTGACGGATAAGCTCAAGTCGGGGGAAAATGTCATCGGTGCCCTCGTTGGGGAAGGGTGGTACAGTGGCCGGTATGGGTTCTCAGCAACTCGACACCATTGGGGTGACCAGCAGGGCTTGCTATCTCTCTTGGTTATTCAACTCAAAGATGGCAGCGAGGTCAAGATACCCAGTGACACTAGCTGGGAAGCAATAGAGGGCCCAGTCATCACTTCGGAAATTTATGATGGAGAAGTTTATGATGCACGATTGGAAAAGGGCATTGCCGGCTGGTCATCTCCAGGGTTCGAAACGAATCAGACATTCCCTACTTACAAATTCGAACCAAGGCATGGGAAGCTTACCCCTCTAGACAGTTCCCCCCTACATCGCATCCAGGAGGTGAAGCCTGTCAGTGTTTTCAAGTCTCCAGCAGGAAAGACTCTGGTTGACTTTGGCCAAAATCTAGTCGGTTGGCTAAGACTCAAGGTCCAGGGCCCGGCTGGCTCTTTGATCACCATAAGACATGCTGAGGTCTTGGATGAAGGGGAGATTGGTATCCGACCACTTCGAACCGCTTTGGCGCGACTCAACATCACCCTGGGTGAGGATGAGCTGGATTTCGAGCCTTCATTCACCTACTTTGGCTTCCGGTATATCCAGGTCGAGGGCTGGCCCGAGGGCTACCCGCTCGACGAAACAAGTGTCAAAGCCATAGTGATCCATAGTGACATGGAAAGAACCGGGTGGCTGGAAACATCCCACGAGATGCTCAATCAATTCCACCAGAACACAGTCTGGTCGATGAAGGGAAATTTCTTCTCCATTCCTACTGATTGCCCCCAGCGCGATGAACGACTTGGCTGGACGGGAGACGCAACTGTATTTGCGCCCGCTGCCAATTTCCTTCATGACACTGCGGGTTTTTGGAGGGGTTGGCACCGAGATGTATGGTCTGAGATGCAAAATCTAGGACCTGAAGACCGCGATATAGCTGCATTCTTCATCCCTTACCTCCCGCCAACCGAGGCACCCACGGCGGCTGCCGTATGGGGTGACGTCGCTGTGTCGGGCCCCTTTGAGTTGTGGCAAACTACAGGAGATCCCGTCATCCTGGAAGAGCAGTTTGCTCAGTCCCAGGCTTGGCTAAGCACTGGCATTCCCCGAAATGACCGTGGCTTGTGGGCTCTTGATTCATTTGGATTCGGGGACTGGCTTGACCCAACGGCACCGCCGGAGAGCCCAGGGCAAGCGCTAACTCATAATATTCTCGTGGCTGATTCTTATCTCATAAGAATGACTGAAATGGTAGCCAATATGAGTCAAGCCCTTGGGAAAGATGATCTGGCCCAGCAATACCGCGAAGAGAGACAGAAGTTGATCGAGGAGTATCAGAAGTTCTGGATGAATGACGCTGGTGAGCTAGCCAACAGAAGCCAGACTGCATATTCCTTGGCTCTCAACTTCGAAATATACACGGACGAGGAGAAGAAATCGGCTGCCAGTCAAACTCTACGAGATATTATCGAGGAGAACAACTACCTTGTTGGAACCGGATTTGCGGGAACTCCTGCTCTCGGGTTTGCGCTACGCAAGATTGGGGCTGTAGAAGACATGTACGCCATGCTTCTGCAAACTGAAGTTCCGTCGTGGCTCTACCAGGTCAAGATGGGCGCCACTACCACTTGGGAGCGATGGGACAGCATGCTTGCAGATGGGACAATCAACCCAGGCGAGATGACGAGTTTCAATCACTACGCATTCGGCGGCGTTGCAAACTGGATGCACCAGGTCATTGGCGGTCTTGCCCCTCAAGAACCTGGGTGGAAAAAGATATTAGTCGCCCCAGTCCCCGGAGGAGGACTTACCAAAGCCAACTGTACTTATCTGAGTCCTTATGGGCTGATCAACAGCCAGTGGCGGATTGAAGATGGCTTCCATTTGAACGTTGAAGTCCCCCCTAATTCAAAGGCACACGTTGTCCTCCCGAATGGGGACGAATTCGACGTGCTCTCTGGATCTCATGAGTTTCATGATCCTGATTATAAAACAACATGAAAATATAACCAGAGTGGTGGTAGGTATACATAGGGAGATTGTTTACACTAAATTGATTATGAGACTTGTTGGCTGGCAGAGATTCAATTTCCTTCATTGACGTTTACTTACTTCGTGAAAACCCAGTTCCCAGGCTTTCTTATAACCCTCTAATGTAAAGGGTCTTCATAGCTAATAGCATTTGTAGGAAATACTTACCCAAGCACTCCGGATCTGAATTGATACTAGCTTGCTGACTGGAGGACAAGCATGGCATGCCGTGAACTTGAGTGTGCCCCTGGTAGCAGGTATTCCCTGTAACCAACTAAGAAAGCACTCCCTGAACATCACATGTAGCGTGAATAGAAGATTTGCATTTTCTCACTGCCGTTGACATGATCAGCTCATAACATCCCCGCTGCTGCCTAATTGAACTATTATAACAAATCTCCCCATTCACGCAACCTCTAGTTATTTTCTTCCTTCATCTATTCAACGTATTTCTCACAATGGCGTGGACTGCATCTGCGATTCCCGAGCAGGAATTCTGTGAGCCGTTGCATGATCTCGATTCGAAGGCAGAAAAACTGGCGGAAAAGATTCGCCAAAGCAAACACTTCATTGCCTTTACCGGGGCAGGCATCTCGACATCAGCTGGTGCGTGAATTGTGAATCGTCTAAAACCAACTATTCATCAACCTAGTATTTATCAAATTTCTGATTTCTGTCGCCAGGAATTCCTGATTTTCGCGGACCTGATGGCAACTGGACTCTCAGAGCACAGGGAAAGACAAGAACCGGCCCGACGACCAATACCCTCCAAGCGATCCCAACTTTGACGCATATGGCCCTCGTCGAGCTACAGAATCGAGGATTTCTGAAATATTTGATCAGCCAGAACTGTGATGGCTTGCACCGCAGAAGTGGCATCTTGCCGGTTTGTTGGCCCATTGAATCTTTTAAGGCTGTGCAGAGGCTCACATAAACAGGAGCATTTATCGGAGCTCCATGGCAACAGTAACCGTGAATACTGCAAAAGCTGCGGAAAGGACTATATCCGAGGTACGAAGGGAATATCCTGTGTCTGCACGGTCCCTCACTCCAAAATACTCACGTAATACTGATAAACGATACGATAGATTTCCGTGCAGTGGCGACCTACGAAAAATCAGACTGGGATCACCGCACCGGACGCAAGTGTGCGTGCGGTGATGATCTCCACGATAGCATCATAAATTTCGGCGAATCTCTGCCAGAGGTCCCGCTGGACTTGGCACACCGCCATGCCAACTCAACTGATCTTTGCCTGGTCCTCGGCTCCTCGCTCACCGTGACGCCTGCTAATGAGATTCCCGAATCTGTCGCTCTTCGTCGGTCCAAGCGAGCTTTAGAGCCGTCTCTAGTCATCTGTAACCTGCAGAAGACGCCGCAGGACAAACTATCACAGATACGAGTGTTTTCGAGAACGGACGACTTGATGGCCAGAGTAATGGATAAACTAGGAATCGCCGTCCCGCCGTTTATTCTCCGAAGACGAATCACCATCGCAGTCGAGCAAAACGAGCGAGGAAAATGCCAAGTCAATGTTCTGGGGGTCGATACTGACGGCACGCCAGTGTCGTTTCTTCGAAGCGTTAGACTCCTCACTCACCGCCGCCTTTCGACGAAAGAACCATTCTCTTTCACGCCGCATGGGGGAATCGAAACGGGGACCAAGCTGGACTTTGAGTTTGAGTTTATGGGTCATTACTGCGAACCCAAGTTGATGCTCACGCACGAGTACAGCGACGATATTAGCAAAGTTTTGTACCTGCTCGAATACGATCCGAGCACTGGGCGATGGATCGTTGCAAAGGATGGAGGGGAGTTGCAACATGAATGATCATTCAACGGAGAAATACAAATCTCGTGCGTAGATTTCAACGGCAAGCCAAGCTCACATTGCGACATAAATAACTCAATTGTATCATTAACGCTTGTCATTTAAACCATGCTTCTATAATTGGTATCATATCATACATCATCCGTCTACTCAATCGTGACGCCCTTCTTTATTCTTATTTTTTAGCCGATCCTTCACCATCCCACTTAAGGCACCGAGGTGTGCCTCCGCGTTCCCCCACCTCACCTTCTTGGGAGGAGGGCCTGAAGGCGCTGGGTACTTGTTGGGCTGACCGCTGGCAGAGGCGTGAGAGTTGAGTTTGTTGGTGAGCTTGTCGAGCATGTTCCCACCAGACTGCGGGCGAGCTGGAAGCTCGGGGCGAATTTCATCGTCTGGGCCGTAATAACCGTGATACTCTTGTCGTGACTCGCGTCCGCCATGATGACCGGGTGGTCTTGAGCTGTTCCGTGCGTCCTCCTCTGCTTGCAATCTAGCCGCCATAGCAGCATCGCTGTCTATCGTCCCGCCTTGCAGCCTTGCAGCCAGATCAGCGTCGCTCTCCATCGTCCCATTCTGAAGCCTGGCCGCAAGGGCCGCGTCGCTTTCATAGGTCCCGTTTTGCAGGCTGGCCGCCAGAGCTGCGTCGTTCTCTAGTGATTGATTCTGGAGTCGGGCTGCTAGAGCAGCATCGTTGTTTTCTGATTCATTTTGGAGTCTCAAGGCCAGGGCCGCGTCGCTTTCTAGCGAGTGGTTTTGGCTGTGATTGCCACTCGGTGTGTGAGAGTTTTCCTCAGCCTGTAACCTCGCGGCAAGCTCGGCATCCTGGTCATATTGCGACAGGTTTGGCGACTCATGAGGGGATAAAACAGGGGTTGTCTAGCGTCAGAATTAGCATCGATCAGCGTCTGGGTGAGGGCTTTAGGGAGGGTAACTCATACCCCAGGGAACTGCCATTGTGAAGCTCCTGTTTCGATATTTGCAAAATACCTGAGGCCGGTCAGCGGGAGCCAGTACAAGACAGACAGAATAGAAGACTGGAGCGTACCATGCGTTGTAGTTGGCGTCCCATTCTGCAATCCAGCCGGCTGGCAGCGGCGGCATTCCAGGGGGCGGAGCCCAGTTCACATTAGTAGGGGGCAGGTTCTGCATTTTGATGTATTTAGATGAGACGAAGAAGAAATATGCAATAAAAGTACGAGAATATTTGCCAGCGTGGTAGCAACAGAGAGTATCGTATATAAGTATTGCCGGTGTGGCTTAATCAACGCCGCGTCTAGACCGACACATCATCAGTGCCGTCGTCGTCATCGCTCATGCAGCGCTTCACAGTCCAGCGAGGCGGAGTCTTTCTAACGCCCCATCGAGTCTCTGTATTGCCACATTGCAGACCAGGATGACGCTGATGCTGCGGGGGCTGTGCTCGGCCACTCCACAGACGCATGTCAAGCCAGCCCTGCTGAGAGTTAAATCGACGACCAGAGGATCGATCTTTGCGATGTCTCTTGTCTAGAGCATGATATTTTCATCTCTTGGCCTTAATGGAGTCCGTGTGACGCCCTCTCACGCGTCTTGAAGCATTAGCAATTGCTTGCGCGTCGCAGCACCAGCACATCACGAAGCCTCTTCATGCTAAATTTAATTAACTCTGACGCCAGTCGTCGCTATGTCCCTTCATTTAGTATTTTCCTCAAATATACAAGATCGTGAGGAAATATTCTACCCCTCACTCCTCACGTTAATCCCGTATATTTGAATATAGATATGCAGCCACCTTTTGATAGCTTTTCAATCTAATGAATCAGCATAAACCCCAACGTTGTAAAAGCTCTAGTCTAAAACGTTTCTTCATTTTCTCTCATGCTCGGTTGTTATTCCCATCCGTTTCGTCCACCGCCTTTGCATTCCTCCAGGTCTGTCCTCTAGCAAGCACCAACCACAGAAGCAGTGTCCCGGTCGCCCAAACACCCGAGACAAACACTGAAGTCCATCCAATACTCAAACGCTCAATCATTGGCGTCCCAATCGCAGCGGCTCCTGCACCCGTGAGGCAACGCGCAAGGTTGTTCGCCGCGACTGCGGTTGCAGGCGACTCAGCGTGCAAATCCACAATCAGAGTGTTCAAATTGTTCAGTGCCCCGGAGAAAGATATAGCCAGAAAGAATAGTGAGACTTCGATGCCTGCTAGAGACAGCTGCTTATCCATAACCCATCCGTATACTATCAGCATTGCGCAAGCGACGTATGTCAAGGGCAAGGTGACCTCCAGGCGAATCCTTTCAATGGGGAGGGACTTCAGATCTTGCTGATGCTTTTTATCCCATTCCAACCCTGCCTTTTTCATATGGCGCCGGAAGTTCCAGTCCACCAAATAACCCCCCGTGTACCGGTAGCAGATGGTACCGAGGCCCAGAGGTAGAAAACACAAGCCGACAACGACCGACGAGTAGCCAAAGCGGGCTGAAAGCTCAGTTGAAAGAGTCGTGAGCACAATATAGAAACCCCCGTACATAATTGCGCCAAATCCAAGCAGTGTCCCAGTTGTCTTATCGCCGAACATTTTCAGAGAGGCAAAGGGATTGGGTCGCTTTCGTTTTGGCTTTTCTGTCGCAGAAGTCGGCATTGTGCCATCTTGACCTTGGCTCTGGCGTTTTTTCAGAAACCCAACCAAAGACATATTCCACCACGGCGGAGGAACACTCCCATTTCCGACGACACTTCTGCAGGTCTCGGCAAGATGGCAAATACCAACAGGAACAATACCCCGGAAAGAATCGTGAGGAACCAAAAGATTGAGCGCCAGCCGAGATAGTGGTCAAGTAGCCCGCCAATAACGGGCCCCAGAGTAGGTCCAAGGGTGACGCCCATGGCAGCGTACCCAAGATATTTTCCTCTTTCCGCCCGCGTCACCATGTCGGCGGCAGTAGCACTGCCCAGGGCGATCGTGGCGCTACTACCGCAGCTTTGGACGCATCGAAGGACGAGTAGTGCTGCGTAACTATTCTGCAACGCTAGGCCGATGTTGGCGGCGAGGTAGATGGCACAGCATATTACATATGCTGGCCGGCGGCCATAGGAATCGGATAAATTACCAATTAAGGACGGCGCAATGCCCTGGAAGACCTAGCGGAGTGTGAGAACATGGTCTGGCGGTCGTATGTCGATGCTTCACACACACCAGATAAGTTGTTACTGTCAGATTGACAAGTGGAATAGACACTTGCAGGGAACCCGCAATCGAGGTGAGAGCCGGTAGATAAACCGCACCTGATAGGGGAGATATAATGGCCAGGAACGAGACGAGAACAATGATCGAGGCTTTTTCACGGGCAGAGAAAATGGTGTATGGTGCCTCGGAAGCCTCTTCTGAAATATGAGCTCCCTCTTCTTCTATATTTCGAGTGGGGGATAGATCTGCAGCACCACTTGGCTTCCCGGGATGCTGTGTCGTTTTCTCATCAGTCGGATCGCTACTCGGCACTCCGCCTGCAGACATAATGGCGTATTGTTCTGTATGGTTCTCACTTTAGGTAGAAAGATAAATGTGAGAATTAACATTGCTTCTTCTCCTTTCTTCCTCTTGTAAAATCAAATAGTTCAACGAAAGTATGTAAAAGGCAGACCGACGATCTGTTTGGGATATATCTCCAAGTTTGCCGATTCGGTGCCGAGGGTACGTGTTGCTCGGACTAAACGTGCTAGAGGTACAACAGAATGATGAAAGATAAGGATCTTTTGAATAGTTTATTCTTTATTTAATTCTAAAGTAATTAGTTTGATTAATATAGTGTATCGGGCCTAATAAAGGTAGGTAATATCATCTTCCGCACCAGGCTCAGAACAAAATACCCAAGACACCTGATGAAAAGAAAAGCCAAAACCGAAGCACCATCTATGCTTTATGCCAAACAATGCCGCATCAAAATAATGGCAAATCACGGACCACCCTCCCAGTATCTATGATTTATTGCTGGATTGGAGGAGCCACTCGGTCATTTTGGCGACGGCCACCTTGGCTTCTGGGATGGGCATGACGGGCCAGATGTGCATCATCCCCTTTGCGAAGAAGAACTCAACATCCACACCCTTCTCCCTCGCCTTATCGGCGAAGATCCTCGTGTCCGGGGTGAGCAGGTCAGCCCCTCCCGCGAGAATCAGCATGGGAGGCAGACCGCCCAGCTCGCCGTAGATGGGGCTGAGTCGCGGATCGTCGGTGGCCAGGTCCGGGCAGACCAGGTTCGCCATTTCCTTGACGGCCGGCACGTCGAGCCACGGGTCGGACTTGGCGGCGGCGTGCAGATCCGGGTTGGCCAGACTGTAGTCCAGGGCCGGCGAGATGAGCAACAGCTTCGATGCGGTGGGCTGGTCGGTGTCGAGTCCCTGGCGAGTCAAGACTACAGTCATTGAGCCTCCGGCAGAGTCCCCGCCGCACCAGAAGGGTTTGGTTGGGGTCGCAGCCGCGGCGAGCTCGCTGTATATGGGCCCGACCGCTTCGTAGATAGCCAAGAGCTTGGTTTCGGGAGCCAGGGGATAGATTGGCACCACGACTGTGGCATTGAGGCTCTCTGTGAGGGCGGCAACCAGGCCCCAATGCTCGGGAGTCATGTCGAAGATGAACCCGCCGCCATGAAGGTAGAGTAGGGTGGCCTTGGTGGGCGAGTCTGACTTGGGGGACAGAGTGTAGACGGCTTGGCCAGACTGCTGCTTCTCCTCGATGTTTAGCTTGCTCTGGAGCTTTTTGGGAGGCGCAGGGTCCCGTGTCCGGCGGTCATTGTCTACGGCCTTGCGCAGGTTCTCGGCGGAGGAGCATATTCTCTTGCCCGTAAACCAGAGGACCCAGCTCATGAGATGGCTTTGAATGCTGGGCATTATGACGGGTGCCGTTTGAGCAGCTGGTCTTGAGTTTGTCCAGCTTGAGAATGCATAGCAGCTGATTTAGACCGGCTGTCCTAAGCCTTAATACTAGCGAGCCATCTACTATGTACCGATATATGACACAAGCTGGCGCACAAGTTACCTTTTTAGGTAATGTCTAGTCTCGGCGCTTTCAGAATACGGTTTGGCTTCGTTCGAGCCCGTTCTCCAGTTCAAATACCCCTTCACCCAATGGCCCTGCTATAAGTGGCTTGAGATATGGTAATTTCCTTGCCGGCAGTAACTAAATCAAGCACGTTATTACTGTTCACCCCTTCTAATGCGGTGCATGAGTGGCATGAATCGTTGAAGCTAATACTTAATTGATAACTGGGAACTGACTCGTCTTCGCTCAGTCGACTTCTGTGACTACCTCAACGCCCTTCGGCCGCTGCCTTGTTGGGAACTATGCCATTCTAATCGCCTTTAGTCCCCTGTTGGCGCCCGACCCCATGTTTCTCTTCTCGCGGTCCTGCTTCCGCGGGGTCTAGGCTACCCCTAGGGATGTCATTCAAGTCTCCTGGACTATTTTGGTTGTTATGTGCATGGCTTTTAAGCGAGATAGGAGAGTGATATAAGACATCTTGCTGCCCTGTGGCCCTCTCCCCGATGGGACCTCTGGCCGTTGAGATTCTATCAGTCATAAAGCCCACCTGATGGGGTCGAAAGCGCGGGCTAAAGTAATTTTTATTTCTCCTATTACCCATCTACAGATGTCCCATATCAAAATCCGACTACCACTATGGAAATCGATAATCGTGGGCCACCGCTCCAAGTAGTCTGCTACGTCTTTGGCGTTCTGGCCTTGGTGGCTACCCTGCTTCGGTGCTATGTTCGAGTTTTCCTGGTTAAATCGTTTGGAGTAGACGACTATTTCATGGTTCTCGCATTGGTGAGACCCCAGAGAAGAAGACGCCTCATATCGTGTGGATCTGATCGCTGACTGTATCATCGGCCTGTAGGTTCTCTTTATCGCGTTTGTAGCCAGCGCTCTGGTAGGAGTACACTTTGGCGCTGGACGCCATCTCACAGACATCTTACCCCAGGTAAATACAAAACATGCGATTCAAGTATGCGTTAAACCCCTAAACATTCTACCATTCTCTTTCACGCTGATATGAGTGCCTAGTGCTGGTGGTTCTGTTATCTCTGGTATTGTCTTTCCATCACGGCAGTCAAGATATCTATTTGCTGGTTTCTCCTGCGAGTCATTGTGAAGAGAATACACCTCTGGATCATCTACTTCGTGCTGGGCCTCAACATTGTATCCGGAGTCGCCTTCTTCTTTATTACACTGCTGCAGTGCAAGCCTGTCTACGCCTTTTGGGATAGGGAAGTGCCCGGAGACTGTCTCGGCATGGATGCGGTCATTGCCGTGACATATGTCTACGGCGCCTGTGGCATCATCTGCGACTTTACCTGCACAATACTACCCATGGTCATCATCTGGGGCTTGAACATGAATAAACGGTCGAAATGGGTGCTCATGCCCATCATGACACTGGCATGCGTGTAGGTTTTCCTCGAAATGCTGAACATTACTGGCTCATCCAGAGATCTAACAGTAGAGATAGGGCAAGCGCCGCCACGGTTGTGCGATTCGTTTACTGCAAAGATGCCAAGGACCCGGATTTTCTCTGTATGTGCTCACCTCCGTTTATCTTCTTCTTAGGGCTTATGAGCCAATGTACTCGATAATCTTTTTTTTCTAATGTTTTTTATAGACGCAACGATCAATATCGTGATTTGGTCAACCATCGAACAAGGCGTTGCCATCATGGCGGGCAGCCTTGCAACCCTCCGCCCTCTGCTACGACAAGTTGCCCAGAATCTAGGCTTTTCCTCGACCGGCCCTTCTGAGCTCAAAGACACGAGAGAAAACAATTCACGATTTAAAGACGGGACTGGGTCAAGGAACAAGCTTGCCTCGCGAAATAACGACCAGTTCGCTTTGGGAGTAATGGAAGGTCAGGGGAACGGCCGCTTGCCGAACGGTCATCCTCACGGGGAAAGACGGGAGCCCTGGGATAACGAGAGTGAGGAGGAATTGACTCAGGATCTTGGGAAAGGCCAAGATCACAAAGTCCTGTCGACTGCTCATGTTTAAAATATAAGTACCTGGAGTGGGAAGAAGATAGTTTCGGATCGTGATTTATTATGCAGGGAATGAACATTTGAACTCGTGTCTATACTAGCTTATTGACGCGCTATAGCTAAGACAAGTGTCTCATAACCTCTTACACAACTTCCTGAGCCGCGCGCTCGCCTCTATAAATAGTACCTTCTACATAGCCCTTCTATTGTCCTACTATAGCTAAATAGCTAGATTATATAATACATCATGGTCGCTGTGATCGGGCTCATCCTCCTGTGTCAATACACTCTTACGATCAATTGATTGCATCTCACCCAGTTCGGTTGTCACGACTCACACAAGGCGTCCATACACCAACATCCTGCTAGGTTCCACTGTCTAATGCCGTGAGCCAAGAGAAAAGGCCAGATGATGACGTGTTCTTTATCTAATGCACCCCTGCGCAATTGGCTAATATGCAGCCCTGAGACAAGTACGAAACTTCAGGTTGGCTTCGCAATCCACCAACTAATTCAACTCTCGATACATCATCTTTGAATCACAAGATAAGCAGGCTGCCATGCCTAGGTTACCACCGCCTCGGAGCACCAGCACGGTATTTTACGTGTATGGCCCATCTACTAAACATCCAACCCCTCGCGCGACCTCAGAAAGATGTAGCATCTGCCTGGTCTTTGAGCAAGATTTTGTACGGCGGGATATCTTTGATCCCCCTGGAACAGAAAGTGACAGTTATACATACTACATCCACCATAGGAACTGGGAGTTACTTAAGCAGTCCGTTGACAATGGATGCCAATTATGCAAGCTATTGTATAATGGTTATCTCCATACACGCCACGAACGGCGATCAGCTAAGCAAGAAAGCGATTCAGTGCAGGATACCGAGTCCAAACTATCGAAATCACTATGCATCGAGACACCAGGAACTTTCGTCTTCTATGTCCCCTACGACCATTATGAACTCTCTGGGCCTCTTCGGATGTTCTTCTGTCACACGGACATGTTCGAGGAATCGACGCTTGAGGCAGTTGCACGGCATGATAGCTGCTCTATGGCAGAATTCGCCATTGCTGTAAATCCTAGTAAGTTTTGGTAAAACAGAAGTTGCCTAACACTTTCTGACACTTTCTCTGCGCAGATGACACCTTTTTCTCGTATGGGGAAAGATCGTTTTCTTTGGGGAGATTATGCGCCCCTGAAGCCGATTTCTCTCTAGCAGCAAGTTGGCTCCTCGACTGCCAGAAAAATCACCAATGCCAGGCCACTCATCACACCCCCATCGGCATCAATCAGCAGAATCCGACACGATTGCTTCGCCTGCAGCCAAAAATGGGCATGATTAGTCTGATTGACACCATCAAAACCCAGAAGTACGACTATATCGCACTCTCACATCGCTGGGGTCAATCCAAACCGGCTGTGACCTTGACCAGCAACTTGCACGCCCGGATGGCGGGCATCTCAATCAACATCTTGCCACAAACATTTCAAGACGCAGTGATGGCGACGCATAAGCTCGGCTACGAATTTATCTGGATTGACTCACTTTGCATCATTCAAGATGATAAAGCAGACTGGGAGAGGGAGTGCCCCAGGATGTCGGATGTGTATCGAGGAGCGGTCTTGACTATTGCTGGACCGGCGGCCACAGACTCCAGTGCCGGATTCCTACATAAGAGAGAGTTCGTCACCAACCAAAAATATACTCCTTGTAAGCTACAATGCATTGATGGAAAAGAAAATGGCAATGGGGTGCTTACTATATGGTACCCCGGTTGTCACCGAGAACCAACAGCAGAGACTGATGTGAGGATACGCCGCCTCAGTGCTCTGGACAGTCAGCCAGACAGCGTCTTGCAAAACCGAGGATGGATTATGCAGGAGTATCTGCTTTCGAGTCGAATTCTATATTTCGGATCTTTTCAAATGTATTTCGAATGTGGTCGCGCATCGTGGTTTGAGTCGACATTCCAGTCAAGGAACCCATCCAGATATTCCAACCAAGACATGTCGGTCAAAAAATCGCTCATTGATCACATCGGGGAGTTCGACATCTTGCTGGAAGTCTGGCATGAGTTCGCAACGCGCTACTCTCTGTGTGCTCTCACGAACCCGACGGATAAGTTGCCCGCCATCTCCAGCATCGCGCAATCGATGGACCCTCTAGGCCAGCAAAGCTACTATGCCGGTATATGGGGGTCACATCTTCCGGAGTCTCTTCTTTGGTTTGTTTCCGATGACACTGCGGATCAAGCACAACAGCCAGATAACAAGCCGGCCAAGACAACAGCCTACATGGCGCCCAGCTGGTCCTGGGCTTCGACAAAGGCTCATGTTCGGTTCATTGCCTTGCAAAGAAGACAGACCTGCCCCATTAGTGTTGTTTCATGCTCTACCAAGTTAAGCGGAGTGGCGCCTAATCCTGATCGCTTCGGTTGCGTCAGTGCTGGGAGACTCAACATCAAGGGGAGGCTCAGCCGCGTGCTGATAACCGGAGATGAAAAAGGAGGTAAATTCCTGGCTTGGAAATGGCCAACAACTTCTCAGTCTCAACACACCCAATCCTCGATCAAAGGCATCTATCGAACATCAAGGAGCCAGGAAGGCGACGCCTCTACTGGCTTGACATTGTCGGGATGCGGAGAATTCTCTCCTGATGATGCATCAGCATACAAAGCCCACATTTCCAGTGGTGAATGTTCATTTGGGAAATTCAACTCCTCTATCCAAATAAGCAAGGCGGGCAAGGGGAAGATGAGTATGCTGCCACTGCAGGAAACATTTGCTCTGCAGGCAGTGATAGGATCCGGATATACATATAATGCTCTTGCTCTGGAGCGAATACCCAACATGGCAAATACTTTCCGTCGAATAGGATGTATTTCCTTTGGTATATGGGCATTAGAGCAAATCACCTGGTTTGAAGATCAAGTTCCACAAACAATTGAGATTGTATAAAAGGCTCGACGTAAAATACAAGTTTTTTTTGTTCGGTTTGCCATAAAGACCCCATGTAATGATATCCGACTGGAAGATCTCTTACATATAAAATCCAACGTACACTCAGACCAAAGACTAATTATCGAATAATTACAGTGGTAAATTGCACAGGCCCTGCGCACAATCCTTCTGAGCCTGCAGGCTCCATGTAACAACCTCAGATAGCACCTGGTGATCCTCATCCTTCAACAAGTTCTTGTACTCGGCCTGGTTCTCCTCGGAGCTTTGGTCCCAAGGGGGGTACCACACGGCTCCGTAGATCTCAAGACCCGATGTGCGGCCAGACTCCTCGGCAGTAATGTCGCGAACACCAATATGCAAAACACCCCAAGTGGTGCCGGAGAGGAGGGTCTTGGGGCCCGCGCGCTGGAAAGCTCCAAAGGCCGGGTCAATAACCCACTCAGTGGGATAGTCGTCCGTACCGAAGGTCCGAGGCTGGAAGTCGGGTATCGTAAAGTTGACTAGCTTAGAGCCAAATGATGAGAGAACACCGCCCCAGCCTTCGAATAGATGCGATCTTTGCTGTACCATTGAAAGGTTTTCAGTAAACTTATAATAGTGCTCCGGGTTGCCGCGAAGGTAGGCATTATCAGCCGCCTCAGTTGTCATCCAGGTAGCAAACTGGGTTGCTGTGAGACTGCCGTTGAAATAGGCTCGAACCCAGCCGCGAGCAGAAATCCACTGGTCTCGGGAGGCGGTAGATTCAGCAACAACCTTCTCCCAGAAGGCCTCGCCTTCTTTAATATCCTCGGACAGGAGAGTGAAAAATACATCCTTATTCTCAGCTACTAGGCACTCCTTGAGAGTGTACAGCGACTCAGCATCTGTCTGGTCGGTAACCTCGCAGCCGGTTTGGTAGTTCTTCTCTGCGATTCGCTGATGTAAACGGGTGGCGGCCTGCTCAGCGGCAACGTTGACATAATGGTCCTTGATAGCTGTAGGCTCTGGTTCACCATCGGCCTCCCAGCGGATCTCAAAGTCAACACCTCCGTGCGTCTCGATGGCCACAGCCGCAGAGAGAATGGAGGCAACAGCAAGAGTCTTGAAAAGCATGACGAGATGGGTTGATGAACGAGATTTGTAGATCAGGCTGCGGGACTCTCTTGGTCCAAGTAGCGAGCGGCCTCAGTCTATATAGAAATTTTGTTGTTCCACTATTAATGATATTAGTGAAATAATCCGGGAAATCTCTTCGACGGTTGGCCTTCCTTGGATTTTAAACCCTGTCTGAAACTGTGTTCCCGGGTTTATACTTTATAGTGCTTACGGTACACACCGCTTATTTTGATATTCACAGGATGTCATCACAACAGGTGTGAGATAGGGAAATTTACATTCAGCCAAAAGGCTGCGGATTGCCAATCGGTGTTCACGGTGCTATTGAGGCGAATCTCGAACCCTGTATTCTTGTTCAATTACCTACCCAGACATATCTCAACGAGGTTCTCTTGACCGCTAGATATCACTCGATTCCACAGAAGTTATTTTCAGTGCAGGGGTTTTAAGCTTACAAGAAGTTGCCTCGTATATGTGGCGAATCCGGAGCCGACATAAAGGCTACTACCCCGACAGCATGGTCCGGGATAAATGGCAGAGAGCCCCTCTACTAGTGTTCTTCGCTTGGCCTGTAAGCTTTCTATTGCCACTCGGTCATTCAACTTCCTATATTGGCTGAATAGTCCGCCTCGAACTCCGGATATAGAAGGAGCTCACCGAACGAAACTTGGCAAAACGTAAGTCACACTGGCCACCCTAGACGCCTCCCTTCCTATGTTTTCCTCCAAGAGCACTATTAGTGTGCGATTTAGAAGCGTCAATAAAAGTATTACATCCATCAACACTATCCACAAGCTACTCAGAGTCTATATGCAGGTTACGAAAGCCAAAACCTTGATTCTCGCTCACGTAAATTAGCTCAGGGTGTTGCTGATTGTTCCTATGGAGGAAAACCGCAGCACAGGATATTGAGGGTTAATGCTCTTGTAGTACTTCCGTATTAAATGACTACAGAAGATAGAGCTACCATCGCCTAAGTAGGATAATATCATTAAATCATGGAAAGTGAGAGATTAGTAGGTGATAGAAAATATTGGCATCGATTTCATAGAACTTCTAGTGAGGAAGAGCATGCTAACGTGATTACGAAGTCGGGCCTTCTACCATCTTGTTGCTCCAAGTAATCTTTAGCAAGGCACGGCTCTTAGTCATAAAGGGGAGGGAATTTCGAGTGAATTATGGACTTTTGCCTATCAACTTGCCGGTCGGCCAGCTTCTGTCTTACCAACTCCCAATCCAACAACCCAACCACGCCAGGTGGCTCCGACGAGTTAATAATTATGCCTCCAGCGGGGCACTCTTACCATTTCCTCTTTGTCTTTATCGCTTTTTTAGGTTGCTATCTGTTTTCCTAGTGAGTATTTGTTTTTGTGAGAACTTCAAACGCTGGGAGTGACCTGGAGAATGCCACTCCCGGAGGAGGGGCTCCAGGAAACGACCTAAACCATCAATGAGTCAAGGCGACGCTCCGAGCATTTCTGGACACTAGACTACATTTTGTTTATGGGAGAGCATTGTCCTAACATTTGATATTGCATTTAATGAACCATGTGGGCTCAAGACAACGTGATTTTAGTGATCGATACCAAGGGATGCAAGCAGAACTATTCTCGGTCCTATTTCCTATCTACAAATTACTACACAATTACCTCTAAACAGCCTTGCCATCAACTCGACCTAGTTCGTGTCATGCTCGACGACTTCAGTAGCCTCTGGGAGGTGTGAAGCATAATGATAGATCCCACAGTCGTAGAATTGTCCCTTCCTCAGTCAAGGAAGGACCTCCATCTCAGATTAGTTGAACCCCAAACACCGGACGGAAGAGAGAACCGATCAGTACCAAAAGCCATAAACATTGTAGCCGGGTCTCTATCGGTCGCTTCGACCTCCCCTCATTTGTATACATTGGTAGTTGCTATGTTTACAACTTTACGAGTGACTGGCGGAACGGCGTCAATAGTCAATCCAAGTAAATTACCCCTGTGTGTGCGTTTGTATGATATACTTGTCCATGTATTGTTCAAAGCTGGGAGATCCCTTGAAAGACAAAGGGCCTTATCCTACAAATTACGAAATGAATCAGTTTGGGAAGGGATAAGCACATAGATGCAACATAATTGAGAATTCAATTCACTGAGCATGGATTATAGATTTTATTAATATCTCATTAGGAGCCAAAGCTTTTGTGAAGAAGAGAGGAACACATCCACCCCTCTGAACTAATTACTCTCTTCATGTTCCATACGTGACTGGAAGTGAGCATCGCCAAAACTATCGCCAGGTTGGTATCGAAACGCCAGGTATCTTTTTCCCAAATACAAACACAAAATGTTCACATATTAATCAGCTCATCATTTAACTAGGCCACCCGGGCAGGTGCTGGAGGTGGAGGAGCGCCGCCCACCGATGGAGGAGATGGGCTGTGGTCCTCGGCCTTGTACGCTTCGTAGGCCTGGTGCTGTGGCTGTCCCGCGTGTCCGTAGGAGTTGGGAGCGGACAACTCAGGGGGCACCACATACATGCCTTGGTTGGGGGGAGGCTGTTGGTATGTCTGCGGAGGGTACGGCTGCTGATACTGCTCGGGGGCAGCTCCCTGGGGGTTGTAGGCTTGTTGAGGAGGATGCTGAGGCGGCATGTAGGCCTGCTGCATCACGGGAGGCTGGACGGCGTAGGTGACCCCATTGACGGTGTAAAAGGCTGGCTGGGCGCCGGCCGGCGCGGGCATGAAGGCTGCTGACTGCTGCTGTGCGCCGTTAGAATACAGCGGGCTTGTCCTCCGGGACCCCAGGACGAAAATGAGGACGAGGATGATGAACATGGGCCAGAGCGAGAAGACGACTTCGGTGATGGGCAGGTAATAGCCCTCAATGGTGAGTGTGGTAACAATGATCAACTCATACAGTTGGTGCATGAAGTACAGAATGGCGCAAACGAGGGAATATATCGAGGCCTATTTGGAGGATTAGCCTTTTTCAGAATGGAATAGAACGAAAAGGAAACGTACCTCAGCAACATGGGATTCGCTGCGAGCAACAACGAACACATAGATGGTTTGTGCCAGGACGAACACGCTGCTGACAAACATGAGGGCATAGAAGGCCGTCCCAAGACGGTACAAATTGATGCTATATCCATATACGTATGTAAACCTGAGAGCTATCGACGTTGCGAACAAGGCGATTGCGAGGGCGAGGAGGATGCCGAATGCGCCCCAGGAGACGTTCTTCAGGATCTTCGGTAGTGAGGTCGGCTGCTTAGCTCCCACGATCGAGATTCCGTTATTGAGGCGCACGAGGGCCATGAGGATCAGGATGTCGGCGATATTGTACCAGAGTGAGCCAAGGGGACCGAGGGTCGTGCTGATGGTATTGGTCGACCCATAGCCGTAGTTTCTGTAGAATGGGATCCAGAGGTAGTAGGCAGCATCGAAGATACAGAATCTACAATCTGGTGTTAGTCGCATTTGGCTACGAGAGCAGAGAAGGGAACAGGCGGGACAGGAGAGGTGGAGCGACATACAGAGTGAAGAAGCCAAAGGATATCCTCTGCCACAAGAATGCTGTTCGGGCAGGGTCCTTGTTGGTCCGGAGCTTGACGAGAGACATGATCCACATGACGAACGAGGCGATGAGGTTGATTGACGACAGGGCGCCGCGCGCAAAGTAGAACGAGGCGTATGACGGGAAGGAGGCCATGATGACTTTGGTTCGCGATGGATCGTCTGTGTATAATTGGCGCAATGTGTCTGTTACGACAGTGACAGAGAGGCAGCAGCAACGGAGAAGAGAGCAGTGCTGTACGATCAAGGACGGGCAAGGCCCTCTTAATACTCGGGGCCCATCATCTTAATTACAACATCACACTTGCATTGACGGTTCATTAAGCTCCAGGGATTGATTGGGCATCCTTGAAACAGGCCACATGCGCCCCTAGCACACTTCAAGGCGTAGCCTGCAGCCTTTGCCGGGGTCGTTTTTCAGCTGAGGCAGCTAAATTACATCTAGCGCAGACCAACGCTTGACTGCCGTGGAGGCTTTTTTTTGGTTTTATTTAGAAATTGGAAGGGAACCTTGGAAAGCAATGCTGGTAAAGACGGTCTCCTCTCGACGACAGGCAGAGTTTACCACGCGGTCTGGCTGTGCTGCTGCTTCGTCCAACAGAAGACTCTTGAGCAGGACGCAACCATCACCAGATTCAAGCAAGCAGAGCGGTGCCAAGGGTCAAACTGTCCTGCTGACTCGGCCTTTAGCTCCAGTCTTGGCACTGCAGGATCGGGGCATAGCCACTCACAAGTACAACCTTAAGCAACCTTGGGCTTAAAATTTCATGTTCCTTTCCTCGTGTGTGGATAGAAGCTCGCTCCTGTTTCGCCCCGGTCCCTCACTGCATTGACTTGAAGACACTGCTAACTGCACGGATCGTTGCTAGAACCAAACGGCTTCAACCGACTGATGGCGGCGCGAGCCAGCAAGAATGGGGCTGGGCTTAGGGATTTCACCCACAGTGGGTAAATTTCCTTCGCATCTGCTGCCTTACCAGACCCCAGTAAGACCGGCAGGGCTAAAGAGGGGACTGAGATGAGTCAGTAGCAATGTAACTCTGGGGAGGTGACACACCATTGCCAGAGCGAATTACAGATGGTCGCGTATATCGTATTCAGCACACAGCCTACACCGATTCGTTTCTGATGAGAGTTATAATTATCCTACTCGCGAGGGTAGTATGGAGGCATTGTCTCCGGATAAAATCCAAGGCCATGCGGCTCCGCCACTTCCCATGGCTTGAAAGATGAAATGCAGAATCATCACTTTTTGGTAGCACATTTTCCGCCTATATCAATTCCTTTCTCGTCTAGAAGATTCCACATGCCTTCATTGGATAGTACTGTAATTGCAAGACCGTTGAATCATACCGATTTTCTTTCCTCGTCGATGATGCCCTCACTCAACAGAAAAGTCAATTTGAAGTTGCTGAAATGAGGCATCATAGATATGCTACCATTGGCAAGCATGCTGCTATTATCTTCGAATAAGAAAGCCACAATAGCTACCTTCTTTTACCCCCAAGCCCTGCTGTATCCGTCGTGAAGATCCTAAAAAATAGAATCGTCAATAGCTCTCTTTACACCAGAAGTTGGTCCTTACTCCAAGGTTCTTTTTTCCCTCAGATGAGGACGCATCACTCAACATTCCATCCTTGACAAGGCTTGATAGACGTCCCTCAGAAATATCAACACTGTTATCAGCCATAAAACAAAAAAAATGAGTTGGGCCCAATTTAAGCACAATAAGCTGGGGGGAAGACGCCGGTTTCCTTCGACCCGGCGTGCCTAAGAGTTCTTGGGTAGAAACATCTCCTCAGTATTGCTCTATCCAAAGTATCTAAATATAATAGACTTCTTAGAGAAACTGCTACATAGGTGCTTAGAGAGGGACCCAATCCAGATTTATGTAAGCTAGTTGACTCTGCTTAGTTCACTGCTATTCAAATGGAAACTATCGCTTGAATTAGGGATGTTCCGTCTATCGAAGATGCGCTCTAATGTGAGCCCTTAGCCGCCGACGCGGTGTAACAACCTCCCAAGCAAAATGCCTCTGACGGCAGCAAGAACCAAAACACTGCAACTTGTACACCGAGTTATTAAAGCGTGGAGATCACCATCCCTTATCAGAGTCTGACCAGAGACCCATTTCTGCACCACCTGCAAAGCATGACATTCGAGACTCTTCTCCCCCACTAGCCCTAAAAATAGAACCACAATGAGCACAAATATGGCAGTTATCTCATTCCTATTGGTTAGATGGGAGAAGTAACTTTCTATTGCCATGATCCCCTCGAACCGCTCACGTAACATACAATCGAAAAGCTAATGCCAACTCCAGTCAACACCATAGTCAACACCAGCACGAATTAAGAATCATTGAACTCAGACCAATCCCAAGTACTCTCCAAAGCAGTGTTTAAAATGGCCTGACACATAAGATGAACTGTTTTTTTATTTTATAAGAACAATATCGCTCTATGTAATCAAACCACCAGGCGCATGACGTATTGTTTATAGGCACACGCCGTTTAATATTTCAAGCGCTCATATCTCAAGGCTCACGTTTTAGTCAAAAAAAAAACATTTTCAGGTCTGGAAGACTGTAGATTATAGGCCAGGTATATAACGATTTGAGCAAGTTACTCTAAAACCCAAGTAGGCAGATAATAAGGTCGAGCTATCCGGATATATCAACATCCTCAATCACAAATAGAAGTATATAAACTCTATTTAACCCCCAGCAAAAGTTATCTCGAAAGAAAATTAAAAGATAGTAAGATATGCGCGGAAGCTCATTACACCCCAGCTACACAACCCCCTAGCGTTTAGTAGTAGATGGGGTGGTTGGGGTCCGACAGATCGAAGATGACGGCACTGTGTGGGCGCTGTTTGAATCGTTAGTACATATTTCTATGCTTGAGTACACGTTAGGTTGTCACTTACAGCACCGCCGCGGGTCTTGGTGAAGATGTTCTCGAAGTCGAGGGTGCGGTTGAAGCTGAGGGAGCCGTTCTCGTTGACGTCGAGCCAGTGGACCTTGTAGTCACCGGGGGTGTTCAGGACGGAAATCTATGATTCGATTAGTAAAGGTGACTTTTCTCTCCGTGATTAGGTCTCAACATACATCACCAGCCTGGACGAAGTATCCAAGAACGAGGAGGTTCTTCTTATCAGGAGAGAGCTTGACGTAGTGGGGTCCGATGATGGGCTGAGTCTCGTTGGGGTCGTCGAGGCGCTTGGGGTTGCTGAGGTCGGAGATGTCGAGGGCAGCGACGTGGTTTCCAAGGGTGATGGTGAAGTAGGCGAACTTTCCGTCGTCGGAGATCTCAGAGTAGATGGCGGTGGAGGCCTTAGCCTTGGGGCCGAGGTCGTAGAGAAGCTCGGCGACACCCTGCTTGCCGTTGGCGTCCTTGCGGAAGGGGTAGATGACCCAGACTTGACCGGGGCCAACAGCGCTATGATATTGTTAGTTAGAGTGAATTGTTGGGAATGGGAGATACGTACGTGGCAATAGCAGCAGTTTCGGGGTGGCCAGGGATGAACTTGACATCTTGGATACCAGCACCCTGATTATTTTGTCAGCTTTGATCGGAGTGGCCTATTATACCGTCGGTAACTTACATCGGGGATGGTAATGGTGGAGATGATGGTACGGGTATCGAGCTTCCACAGACGAAGTGTGTTGGCCCTCTGGATGCCAAGGGTGGGCTTCAGGATACTGAGAGGCACGACATAGTCGGAGGTGAGGGCAACGTTCTTGTCGAAGTCGACGGAGAGACCGTGAGGAGAGAACTGCTCTCCCAAGATGTTGAGCTATTCCTTAGTTAGAAAGGATCGAGCGAGAGGATCGAGCGAGTGTGGAGAGTTTAAACTTACAGTGCCCTCAACATCCTCGGGCCACTGGTGGATGATGTTGCCACCGGCATCGGTCTCAATCAGGCGTCCAGGGGAGGTACCGAGAGCACTTCCCATGTAGGTGATGAGGAATCCACCCTCGGGCTTGGCTCGGATCTCATCAGCGATGGATGCAAGAAGAGCACGGTTGCTGTGCGAGAACTTGGGGTGGTAAGGATCGGTAGTGTCGAAGTAGAACGCGGTATCCTGGGTCTTCAGGAGAGACAGGAGACCACCACCGACGAGCAGCTTGCCGTCGAGGGATGTTCCCAAGTGGTGAGGGGAGTTGCCACTGCTGGGCACATCCGTAATGGAGATGAAGCTACCAAAGGTATCCTTGAATACGGTTAGCTGCAAACCAGGTCTAAGGAAAGGGTCTGTGGAGACTTACATCATCGAGGGAGACAGTGGCAAGGAAATCCTTGTGCTTGTTGTCACCGGCACCAGTCCAGATGTAACCAATCTTCTTGGGCTTGATGTTGACAACCTCAAAGGGCTCGCTGGGCAGAGGAGGTGTAGGAACCTGGAGGACAGGCAGAGGAGGAGCCAAGTCGGTCAGAGGCTCAGTGACACCAGGGATGGCTGGGATCAGAGGAGGAAGGCTGAGCTGTCTCTTCTCAAGAGAGCTGGCAGGGCTGCCGGCGACACCGGCAACCAAGGCGCTCAAGAGAGCGGCTCCGAGGGTGAGGGAATGCATTATACTTGATGTTTTGTATTAAGGTATTAGAGTGTAAGAGTATAGAGAGTGATGATCTGAGATGGATTGAGAAGAATTGAGCACATTTTCATCTCTATATATACTTGGGGATGCTTCACTCTGGCCCTCATCATCGATCTTCCCAAGGTTGGGATGAAGATCTTCACATTGCACGAACTCCAACAACAATGGCATCATGAAGCTCTAAAATGGCAAAAGTACGGCTCTCAATTTCATTCATGCAAGTGAGTGAAGCTAGTCTGTCGCCTCACGAGTGTGAGTAAGCTCTCAGGCAAGACAAGACATCAGATGATGGTTGAGCAAGCCACAACTGTCACCCCTGATGCCCAAATCGTGGGTGATCTACATTGGCATCTCGAATCTGGATGGCTCTCATTGCGTGACGGGAGACAAGTCACTTGGAATTACTTGCGAATTTGGGGGTTATGTGAGAGTTGCCAAATCCTCATCGTCGGTTCTCGGTGAGCTGGGGCAGATTGATAGTGCGGTTCAGGGAGCCTTTCCTAATTCGAAACCAGGGCTACCGTTTTGGTCCAGCTCATGATCGAAATCTCAATCTCGAGGAGAGATCATCTCCTATCCGGGCCTCACACTCTTGGCGTTCCTGCCTTAGTGGCACGCTGGGAACTGTGAGGGCTGTGTGGGTTAGATTCGGTAATTGGTTGGAGTGACAGCTCTTGGCCGGGCTATGTGCCGTAGGGCCGAGGCGCTGGGCTTATTAGTTCAGGTTTGAACAAGTGCTCTTGGTGCTTAGTGCCCTTGGGGAACAATCGGTCCAAACAAGCGTGATCCTCCAGTCACGCAATGTGATGGGCAAGGAGGTCTCATTAAACAATGACGATCATCGCTGGACAGAGATAAGCTTGAATATGGAAAGATGAGGGGAAGAGGAAAGGAGTCTTTTAACAAGAACTCGACTATGAGAAAAGGAGTAACAAAGCGTCACGATATCAGATATCCGATGGCAGCTTGGGTACAGAGGTTGGCGGGCGTCAATCTAGGATGCCATGGCAAGGCCTTTCCCAGAACCGAGATCTCTTGGCCAGTATTGATATGTCGTTCGCCAAGAACACATGGTAGAATCCTCCGATCGCCAATGCTGACGGCAAGTCCACCCCCACGGGTAATGGGCGATCAGGAGGCAGCCTGATGGACACAATGCGTTGTAGTCCCACAAGGCACTTATTTCATCCTCAGTAAGCTCATCTACAAGGTTAAAAGTTTGCTAGGGAGTGGGCCAGGTCCCATTGTTGCCGCCAATGGCTCGAGTGGTAAATGAGGCTGTCATCGTGACCGCGTCGATGATACCCGGGCTATATCACCATCTTACCCACAATGGCGTGATGGCACCACCGTAGCATCCCAAATTTACCCAGCGGTGGCTTAAATAACCAAGATGGCAGATCGGCAGAGCCCACTCGGCCTTTAAGGGTAGCCTAACCCCCATCTCCTTCTCAGATGCCGATCTCATACGTTTCTGGTATCACCCCAATGGCGTAGCCATGCATGGCGCCCTCACTTCTCATTGACTGGAGATGTCGCCATTGAGGTTCAGATGTACGAAGGTGTCCAATATTGAGACGGCGGCAGGCCAAGAAATGGGTTGAGGAAGATCGAAATCAAGTTGCTGATGTGTGATGTAATTCCGCGATAATGCTACGTGGTGATATCATGCCGACAGAGACGCTGCACAGCTCCCGCAAGCCACAACAAGTGTGACTCTCCGAAAGGCTTCTCGGGCGTATAAAGAAGCTGCGATCTGCAACTGTTTTCCACCTGGTACGGCACACCAGTCTCTGGCACCTCGTCTCTCTCTAAGTAGGCTTATACTGTCGGTCACCTGCCATCACGGAGCCAATTGCAATTTTGTTACTCCTCGCCATGAAGGCCTCACTCCTTTCCGCACTGGCGCTGTCCTTTGCGACTCAGGTGCTCGGAGCGCCCAACGTCGTCGCCAGGGACAATTCCGGGTTTGACAAAGGACAGCCCATCAGCAGCGATGGCAAGGGTGGACCTATCCTGGGTATGTCGATACATCATATGCACGAGCTTTCTGACCGCTGACCGATGCCTGCTTGATCCCAGGTGGAACCAACCCAGCTCGAGACCTGGAGAACCCTGACAACTTGGGTCGCCAGTCTACCGACTCGGGTATTGTTCCCAATCTGAAGTGGAGCTTCTCCGACTCCAAGACTCGCCTGTTGAACGGCGGTTGGGTCAGAGAGCAGGTCATCCAGGATCTGCCGCAGAGCCACGACATTGCTGCCGCTCAGCAGCATCTCAAGAAGGGCGCGACCCGAGAGCTCCACTGGCACCGTGTCGTAAGTTTCACGCATGTATTATCTAAATGGTAATTTAGGATACTAATTCCACCCAGGCCGAATGGGGCTTCGTCTACGCTGGCCGCGTTCTGATAAATGCTGTTGATGAGAACGGCGTCTATCAGAACGTCGAGCTGGGTCTTGGTGATATCTGGTACTTCCCCAAGGGAGTTGCACATGCTGTGCATGGACTCGACGAGGACAATGAGTTCCTTCTTGTCTTCGATGACGGTGACTTCGACAAGGCCGGGTAAGTAGGATGGTCCGTTTACTTGTATCATCTGTTCTAACATACCCTCCACTAGAACCACCTTCAACATCGATGACTGGCTATCACACACACCCAAGGATGTTCTAGCCAAGAACTTTGGTGTTGACCAGAAGGTCTTTGAGAAGCTTCGCCAGGGCAGCCCGTACATTGTCAATGGCACCGTCTCCAACGGCGACGTTACGAATGCTCCCGACTCCAATGCCTCCGGAGACGCCTCTTTTGTCTACCGCACCCTCCAACACGATGCCGAGAAGATCGGCGGAAGCGGAGGTGAATTCCGCAAGATTGACTCGACCAACTTCCCCATCAGCAAGACCATTGCCGCGACCTACGTGACCCTCAAGCCCGGTGGCCTGCGAGAGCTCCACTGGCACCCCAATGTATGTAGCAGCACGCCAACTTGGTGATGCAGGATCTCTGAGCTGACCGTGAACCCCTAAAAAGGCCGAGGAGTGGCTGTACTTCCACAAGGGCAAGGCTCAGGCCACAGCCTTCACTGGTAATGGAAATGCCCGAACCTTCGACTTCTCCGCTGGAGACACTGCCGTGTTCCCGGACAACTCTGGGTAAGCAATTGTGTTCACATTACCTTCCGGTGGCGCTGACTGACTCAATTCCCAGCCACTATATTGAGAACGTCGGCACAGAGGACCTGATTTGGATCGAAATTTACAAGGCCGAGAAGGTGGCCGACATCTCGCTCACACAATGGCTCGCTCTGACTCCTTCCGACATCGTGGCCAACGTGCTCAACGTGCCACTTGAGTTCGCCAAGGACCTGAAGAAGGAGAAGCAGGTGCTGCTCAGCAGCGAGGAGCAGAAGCCGCACAGCAAGTAAAGACGGAAAAGGGATTATGGATCCATTCTGCAAGTCTCAACCAGACTTTGCTCATGTTAATTAGCCTTCTGTAGTCGTAGCTCAGACCTACACTTCTCCCTCACCTAAGCGGTGGGAATAATAATTAATCGGTAGTTTATTGGATGAACTTTGTTTCGGCATATGCAGGTGCGTGACTCACACGAGAGCAGTCATCCGAACGTCTTGGAAACTTCCAGGCACGAAATCAGCTCTGTCTCAGCTTGGCGCCACGTCACTTTGGGGTGGATCTTGGGCGTGATATCACCCGAGAGAGAAGACCGTGGCAAGTGAGTAGGAATCGACAAAGCCGTAATGGGACATAGCGTCGAGATGCGATATGCAGGCAAGGGAGATCATCTTGCCGCTCGCGAATGGGAGGAGAGAGAGTATCGTCAAACTGGGGACCTGGTTGGGAGAGAACGGGATCAACAGGGAGGGTGATCAGAGCGGTGAAGGCTGGGCTACCCTGCATCAGGCACCACCAAAGTACCTTACCTGCCACAGTTCGTCTCCAGCGGTCGTCAGGTACCGACGGACCCTAAATACAGGTACCTTACCGGAGTCTAGTGGACAGCTAGCCCGCTATTGGGTGCGAGTCAGGGGCCGTTCGTTCCCTTGCTCAAGCCACCCGGAGCTGACAGCGAGCGCGTGCAAGTCATCGCTCCGATCTGTCTGTGCGCGACGATGCAGAATGCAAAACACCCGCTGCTAGCGAGGTATACGAGAGCAGGCCACGGTCATGCAGGCGATTTGTTTGTTTTTCTCGGAAAGCTAATCGGGAGGGTGATGCGAGAGCAATTTCCAGGGCTACCGTGACAAACGGCATGGAGCAGGGGCCCTAGGAGGTACTAGCGGGTAGGGGCCTGTTACTGAGAGATACGTGAGCTGTACAGTGCGGCATTGACAGCGAAGATGGTGGGGAGATTGCAGCAGAACTCTCCATTGTAAAAAGTTTTTGCATCCATCACATAGAACCGTTTGGAAACAGCACACCGTCCACGCGTACCGTTGGGTTGGGTGTCGAATAATCGGTGAGCTTGTTCACACATATGCAGCTGCAGATTTGTAAATTCCCAGCCACGATTCGGAGATAATGAAGGGGATACTGGTATATCTGGCGACGGGGAAAGTGAATACAGGGTAGCTCCATCACCAGCCTGTGATGCCGCGGTTTGATAGACAATGGCGTGTCTTGGCCGTGGGATGAGCATGAACCGAAATGACGTACCGGGCCCTATCGATAAGCCGCTCGGGCCGCTGGGGTGGCGGTTAGTGGTCTGAGCGCCCGAACCTCCAGGTCGTTGCACTGCGCTAGCGGGCTGGCCAGGGCCTAAGCCGGCTGGGGTCCAGCGAGGAGGGCGCCTGGAGAGGTCGGGAATTACCAACGCCCACTGGCCCCAGCGCCTAAGAGGCTGTAGGAAAGGCTGGGCAGGAGCCGTTCAACCTCTTTTCCTGCCTCCGCCCCCACTTGGAGCAGGAGAAGCGATTCCTTCAGTTTGTGCATCTCCCTCCAGCCGGCTACAGACGAGACGAGACGACCGCACAAAGGGCTCACGGTGCGCAAACAGCCACGTTTTCACTCGCTGGTGGTGCATGTGTGTGCCGGAGGGGCCGTGCGGGTGGTTGACAGCGGTGCATTGTTCAACCACCACCTCCTCGCCTGTGTCGCGCTGTGCTGGCTGTCTTTATTAGGCGCATGAGTAGCGCCGCTTTTCCCACCGCAACTTACCCACATTTCGTCCACCACCTCATTTTCCATCACTCAGGTAACAGCAAACACGCCGCCGAGCCCAGCCCAGCCCAGCCCAGGCAGGAAGAAAAAAACCAGGCCAGGGTCCGAAAACATTTCCCTGCCAGCCTGTTAAAGCGTCCAGCGGTACCGCCATTGACCTCCTCGGCTGCTGGCTCGATTTTTCTCCTCCCCCTCCAAAGCTCCCACCACCACCATATCTGCTCCTCCTACCTCCCTGCCCTCCCCTCACGTCGTCTCTGTCTTTCATTCTCTTCTCCCAGGAGGATCTGACAATCGAAAGTGCTTCTATTTGTCCTTCTTCCTCTCTTCCTCCCCCGCCCGTACCTCCCAGACACGCATCTGCCCCACCACATCTGCAGTTGATTTTTTTCTGCTAGTTCGACATGGGCAATACCTTATCCATCTTTTCGTCTAGCGGTGAGGCCCTCACGAAAGCCGAGAGACTAGAGCTCGAGCAGGAGCTTGCCGACAAGAAGGACACCATCAACGTCCTCGAAAGCGACATCTCCAAGAAGGAGAAGGAGCACACCCTGCTCTCCGCCGAAGCCGACGAGCTCCGAAAGAAGATCAAAGACCTCGAAGGCCAGCTTCACTCCTCCGGCGATGAGACCAAGTCGCTGCTTGCCGAGCTCCAGACCGAGCTGAAGACCAAGGAGGAGCTCACTCGCGAGGAGCACGAGGCTTTCAAGCAGGAGCTCGAGGATACAAAGAAGCAGCTGATTCTCGTCGAGGAGAATGTCCAGGCCGTCGATGCCGAGCGTCAGACCCTGAAGGCCGAGATCACCAAGCTCACCCAGGAGGTGACCGACGCCAAGGAGGCCCTCGATGCGTCCGAGAAGGCCCTCAAGGCCGAGATTGAGGCCCTCATTGCCCGCGCCACCACCGCCGAGAAGGAGCAGGGCTCCCTGAAGGAGACCTCTGCCAAGCTCGAGACCGACCTCACCGCTGCCAACAAGGCCCTCGAGGAGCACAAGCAGGCTGCCGCCGACTCCCAGGCCAAGCTCCAGGCACTGTCCGAGACGCACGAGAAGCTCAAGGCCGACTCCGAGGCGGAGCTTGCTGCTTCCAAGACCAGCCTGGGCGAGCTCGAGAGCAAGCACGCCACCCTGCAGCAGACCCACGACAAGCTGTCCACTGAATCCAATGCCGAGATTGCCTCGAAGCAGAGCGCCCTGGAGGAGCTCGAGGCCAAGTACGCTGAGCTGGAGAAGGCCAACGAGGGCCTGAAGACCGGATCTGCCGCTGACCTGGCCGCTGCCCAGAAGGAAGCTGCCGATGCCAAGAAGGCCCTCGCCGAGGCCGAGGAACAGAGCGACGCTGCTCTGTCCAAGGTCGAGGCCGAGCTGGAGCAATCCCGTGCTGAGGTCGCCAAGGCCCAGAAGGACGTTGCCGATAAGGAGGAGGCCCAGAAGAAGCTCACCGAAGAGAATAAGGTGGCCCTCGAGAAGGCTCAGGCCAGCATCGCCGAGGCCGAGGCCAAGGCCAAGGCCCTGGCCGAGGAGAAGGAAGCTCTCACCAAGGAGGTTGCTGAGCAGGCTACCAAGATCCAGGCCCTCCAAAAGGAACAGGAGGACAGCGCCGCCAAGGCCAAGGCCCTTGGTGACGACCTCGCTGCCGCCAAGAAGGCTAGCGACGAGCTCTCAACCAAGGTTGGCGAGCTCACCAAGAAGTTGGAGGCGGCTGAGGCCAAGGCAACCAAGGCAGAGACTGATGCCAAGGCCCTGGAAGCTGTAAGTGTCCCACTCATCACCGTGGCGTCAATTGAACTGCGTACTGACATTTGCTGCTTATAGGAGAAGAAGGAGCTCGAGACCAAGGTCCAAGGTACCGCGTCTGAGCTCAATGCCAAGCTCGAGGCCGCCCAGGCCAGCCTGAAGACTGCCGAGGGCGACGCCAAGACGGCCAAGGAGGCTGAGGCTGCCCTCCAGACCAAGCTCGATGCTGCTGAGGCCAGTGCCACCGCCGCCCAGACCGAGGCCAAGACCGCTAAGGATGCTGAGGCCGACCTAAAGACGAAGCTCACTGCCGCCGAGGCTGAAAAGAAGACCGCCGAGGACAGTGCTGCTGAGCTGAAGACGAAGGTTGAGTCTGCTGAGGGTGAGAAGAAGACCGCTGAGGACGCCGCCGCCGAGCTTAAGAAGAAGATCGAAGCTGCTGAAGCCGAGAAGAAGACGGTTGAGGCGAGCGCTGCTGAGCTCAAGAAGAAGATCGAGGCCGCCGAGGCCGAGAAGAAGACTGTCGAAGACAGTGCTGCTGAGTTGAAGAAGAAGATTGAGGCTGCTGAGGCCGAGAAGAAGGCGGTCGAGGATAGCGCCGCCGAGCTCAAGAAGAAGCTCGAGGCCGCTGAGGGTGATGCCAAGACCGCCAAAGAAGGCGAGGCTGCCCTGAAGACCAAGCTGGAAGCTGCCGAGGCCGCCAAGAAGACGGCTGAGGATGGTGCTGCCGACCTGAAGACCAAGATCGAAGCTGCCGAGGCCGAAGCTAAGAAGGCCAAGGACAGCGAGGCCGAGCTCAAGACCAAGCTCGAGACCAGCGAATCCGAGAAGAAGGTGGCTGTCGAGAAGACCGAGGCCCTTGAGAAGAAGGTCAAGGAGCTCGAGGCTGCTGAGGCCGACAAGAAGGCCGCCCTGGAGAAGAACACAGCCCTTGAGAAGAAGATCAAGGAGCTTGAGGAGGCCGCCGCCAAAACGGAGAAGAAGGAGAACGGTGCTCCCCAAGAGGCCGCTGCTGCTTCATAAAAGGTGGGGTTGCCCTTCCCACGTCCACCTGAGGTAGCGGCTTCCATGCGATAATCTGTGTTTTACCTCTCTGCTTTTTTTTATTCCCCCCCCATTCACGTCTGTCTTTATGATGATGATTTGGTTTTCCCATGGGACATGACTAAATGATCTACACTTAACGCCGGAGGATCTTGCCAGTCGAACGCATTTGTTTATGTACATGACAGGGGACGATGGGAGTAGGTGGTTCATGTCTGATGATAATCGATACCCATTCATATAATGATTCAATCTAGCTTAGAAATGATGTTTTTTTTTTCCCACCACCACTACTGATGTTGCACCACAAGTTGACCTCTACCATTGTCCAACTGAGGAACTCGAAGTTTGATTCATACTGGTCGTGATGTTTTTCATGCATGCTGTAGCCCATTCATCAGATCTGACACATGGAGGTTGGATCATAAAAATACGACATGTCTCTGCAGATCTGTTCAGGCATATCCTTTAAATGTGATATATGATGAGAGGCTTTTAGGTTTTTCTTTCATATTCGTGCTTGGAGCCCCCTCAATTTGTCTGTGCTGTAGGCGAAGTGTGAAAGTATTACATGAAGCCGTAACCGATGTCGCAATGTGGCCCTCGCGGTCCATCCCTAAAATTTCCCTTCCGCCACCTGATATCGACTTTCAACAAGAAATTTTGCAAACATGGAAGAATTCGTGTCACTTGCTAGGCAAGAATTCAATGTTGTTGAATGAATAATGCAATTATCCTCGGATATTTTGGCCAATAGCGTAGCGTGAAGGTGATGTTTAGGCACTCCTAGGCTCCTGCGTAAACTCGCACAGGTCTACAAGGAAACATAGGAGCCCTTACACTGCGAGTGATTCATTTTGATTCATCCTAGATGCCCTCAGAATACTAGACTGCGGTCCTTACTTTGGTGATCCGTTATCCGGCTTCAGCGCATGATGGGAGCCCCCGTGGTTCGTATGGATATATCTATGGGAATAGAGTCATTTAACATAGAATTTGAAATTATATGCTAATAAGTATGGTGAGTTGAATTCGGCACTGGGATCTCTTAAATGACAGTGGGCTCCGCCTCTTTGCACGTCAAGGACCGGAGTTGAACTTTGGCACATTCTTCCAAGACCGCGTATATGTTGGGAGATGGCGGTCGAAATGTGTCATGGTGGCATCAACCTGGACGCTATATCAGGTCTATGGCACTTTTAAAACAGAGCAGGAGGAAGTAGAATGTACTCGGTGCTTCGTGAGGTAGATGCTTTGTTACCGGAGGTTTCTGGCTGAGATGGGAGACTCCCGGTTGACATGATGCCTTTTTCGATACATGCTGCTTTTAGAAGGGCTGTAGATCTATAGGAGTAGCAATATACTTGCTGTGATTAGAGAGATACTGCTGTAAGCAGATGACCAAGGTATCGTGTGCTATCGTGTAAGGCCTTCGACGCATATCTGTTTACAATCGGTCTGCGTGCTATAGTTGGGATAAACCAAGGCCCTGCTAAAAAGAAGCTCTATCCTGAAATAGAAAACGCACACCAACCGGGGATAATTCGAATGTGGCGACCTGGTATCGCTGACATTGCTGTTGGTTCTCCGAAACAATAATCTTCTTGGCAGCTCGGGATTGGGGGTTCGCATCCTTGAACGAACGCCGGTGTTTGTGCGGTTGACTCACAGTCGATGGACCCCTGCGCCAGGACCTCTACAGATTTCAGAGGAGCATTTTTCCCTTGGTGCTTTTGGCGAGGTAGGTGTCTGACTGTATTTGGTTGATGAAAATTGATCTCTACTGGTACCAAAGATTGGCTCTAACCTCCTGATGAGTCTAAAGATGAACATGTGCGATCCAATCCACCTATGAGATCATGAAGTGAAAGATGTAGGGGAGGTAGCGTTGACCAATGACGGCTGGGTCAATGTGATATACGAGTTGGTGCCCAGGTTGATGCCCGGACGAGACCTCATTGAAGCCGCCACCTTCGGCTGGCGTTCGGTCCCACGCGTTCCCCTCGCTATAGCATCGGTTGGCGGGTCCATCCGAAGTGGGAGGAGGCAAACTACTGGTTTTAACCGGCGGGTGGCCAACCCGTCATGCGCCGCTATGGAAGCAGCCTCTGGCTTTTAGGGCCAGTACATATATGTATTAATAGGGCTGAGGAGGATTCATATATTCTCCTCGCGAGGAATGGAATGCAATATTAATCGCACAGCCAGCGCGGTTGAGCCTATTCCTAACCGAACATGTAGGGGTCCTGGCTCCTCATCTGTGTCGAGACAGGGCTCAACCAGGATGAAACGTCACCCTTCGAGACCGCCTCTTGCTTCGCTGGCTGAGATTGACCCTGTACACACCCGAATCAGTTTCCAATACGGGCGTTGAAGTGATCACACGCGCAGGTCAGACCCAGGACACGAGACACACTCACACAGAGGCCCAGATTAAACTGCGACACCACAAACTCCTGGCAGGCAATTTTGCACACGCGGCGGGATTACGTTCGCCACAGGGAACAGGAGCTTAAATTGAACCTGGGGACAGCGAACTAAACCCCCCGCAAGGCGGTGTGCCGAAATGGAAAAGGCATATGGCCCCCCCCCCCTCCAGTCCCCTGGTTTGATACCAGCGCAATCTAAAGAGGCGCCAAATGAAGCCTTTGATTGCCCGCCCGCCGCCAAGTCGCGAGCAGCAGCAGTGATTGGCCCCTGAGCGCTGGCCCATGGCGTGGGAAAGTTTGGATCAGCTCTGTAACGGGGGCCGTCCAGCCAATCTGCAGGCCGCTCGAGTGCGATCAGACACGGAGAACTGGGCGAGTGTTGCGGAGATCAGTGGAGCTGCGTCAAATCCTTCCAGGATGATGCGACAGGAAGAAATATCATCTGCTTCTACCTGTTGGGGGTTGATCTTCCCTTCTCTTTCTCTCTCCTCGCCGTGTCCGTACACCAAACATCCTATGTCCGCGCTCTATGTGCGAGAATGACTCGATGGACGGCGTCAAACAGCTGCCGTCTAGCATGAGCGCCTGGGTCATCGCGAAGACGGGCGGCGACCCAGACTCGCCGTCCCTGGAGCTGCGCGAGTCGTGCCCGACGCCCTCCAAGGCCACCGAGGCCAACGTCATCATCAAGATCGAGTTCGCGGCGCTGAACCAGGTCGACTTCCACTTCATGCGCAGCCACAAGAACAACCCCTTCCGGCGGACGTCGGTGCCGGGCTTCGACTTCTCCGGCCGCATCGTCGCCAAGGGGCCCTTCGCCCCGCTGGACCTGGACCTGGGCGACGAGGTCTGCGGCGTCATCAGCAACGGGCTGGCTCTGATGGGCAAGGGGACGCTGGCCGAGTACATCGAGGTGCCCGCGTCGCTCGTCGTGCCCCGGCCGCTGACGCTCAACATGGCCGCGACGGCGGGATTGGGACTTGCGACGCAGGCGGCGCTGACGATGCTACAGAGCAGGCCGGTCAAGGCCGGCCACAAGGTTGTCATTAATGGCGCGGGGGGCGGCGTGGGTTCTGCGCTGACGCAGATCGTTAAGAGTGAGAAGGGCGCGTATGTGATTGGGATTTGCTCTGCGAATAACATGGACCGGCTGGGCGAGCTGGGGGCTGATCATGTGCGTGTGCACTCTTTGAGACATCTATCTTCATTAATTCTCCTGAGGCTTACATATTTCTCGACAGGTTCTGGACTTTGAGAGCACAGAGTCAATACCTGACTTGCTCAGTTCCACTTACGGAGAAGACATTGATACCGTCTTCGACTGTGTAGGAGACTCGTCGCTGTACAAGAGTTCGGCTAGATTTCTTAAGCGCTCTGGTGTTTATGTTGGAATACCTGGAGACGGCAGTAAATTGTTCTACGGCCCCTCGCTGAAGCGTAATGCTCTGCCCGAGTTCCTCGGCGGTGGGCCTCGACACTACAAGGCAGTGCACCTGTCGCCATCTGGAGATCTCCAGAGAGAAGCTGTGAGATTGGCGGACCAGGGCATCATCACTGAAGTCCCGATCGACTCAATGTTTTGTATGGACCAAGCCGTTGAGGTATGCATCTCCCCCTTCCATTCTCTCTACGAAGAACCATGCCTAACCGTATCCGCTAGGCTTACGAACGTGTCATGTCGTCTAAGACATGTGGAAAAGTTATTATTAGGGTATAACGGCAGCTTGATTTCACGCATCGGTTCAAGTTGTAACTTCTGAGATATTGACCCAGACTGGCAGCGAGCATGAAGCGGACATGATTGAACTTATACTCCGATAATGGTATTGCATGGGTGGCGAGGCTGCATAAAGACATGAATGGCTCACGACTGTTCCTTCGATAATGTAATTTCTCTATGTATGTTGAGTGTTTATAGTTCTTGGGCGGATTTTTGAGGAGAACATGGATAGTATGAATATTGGCCGGTGCTCGACTTAATGAGGACGTTTTTTTTGTTTATTTTGAATCCATTGTGAGAAGTGTAATGACCTGGATAAGCATGGGGACTCATGATACGTATGTAGTACTGGTTTAGGTTTTAATAACTAGTAGACGAGTCTTGCTTGCTCTTGAAGGGGTTTACTATTATCTTTCATTCAGTGGATCTTAGTTAGAGGATTGTTGCTGCTGTTCTGTGAGGCTCTGATTGAAATGAACGTGGGAACGGGCTATACTTGGAGAGAAAGCTGGACAATGGTTTTACATATCGAGTTATCAGGAGCAACTTGGGTTGGTGAGGAGATGTCTCCGATGGTGTTGAAAATCTGCATTGAATTAATTACTATGGATAACGCTATGGTAGGTAGTTTCATGTCGTCATATGTCTAAGTCTGATATTACTCCTCACATGATATGCCCAGAACAAAAAGAACAACGCTAAAAAATCATGGGGTATAAGATGGAAGAGCCTCAAGAGGTATTACGTCTTCTAGGTCGATGTGCGCCTATGATTGACATATTAGTTAATGTTTTAACATCGGATAGTAGATTGATCTGAACTCACATAATCAGGGAGACTGTTAGGGGCCGAATCTCCAGACGCTTCGACGACAACCTCAAGGGGGACATTGAGAATGATGGTTGATGCCAGGGAGCCAGCGCCCAAGACAAGACGAAGGTTGTACGTTCGAGATATTATGCATGAATAAAATGAAGGAAGGAAGAGTTTTTTGTTGCTGACTGGGAGAGAGATTGGGACTTGGAGGGTTGCCGTGTACTTCTGGTGGTCTGATTCACCACTAGTCGTACTCGCTTGCTCCTCGTCACTAAAGTCGTCGATTTCTGCACCTGAGTCCCTCCTGGAGAACTTCGAAGGCTTGTAAGAATCAGACTGCGTCTCCCACACCAATTTGTCCGATGGCTGGACGGTCATTTTGTTCGATGTGTAAAAAGGGACAATCATGGGGAGACTCCCGAGAACATCTTCCCTGTCGGGGAGGAGGTTCACATGTGCAAAAGAATAGTGCGTATGGGCTTCGACTTGCATTGACTTTGCGTGAATGTCAGGGAGTGCTGCCTCGCCCTTTTGAGGGGCGAACTCCACGTTGACTGTGAGCATGCTGTCTGACACCTGCGACCCCTCGACAGATAGAACGACGGGTTCCGGGATAGAAGTGGAAACTTTGATATCCCCTGTTTTTTGGGACAGTAGATCTTGGTGAAACGACCTGTCTTTTGTAAGAGGATGTTTCGTATGGGCTGAGACAGGGGACGCAGCCTCTGCGAACTGTGTGGGAAGGACCTTGACAGAACGCTGTGTGGTTGTCGGCTTTCCCTGCTTCCCATTCTTTCCAGGCCGAGGTGTCAGCATTACTCTGACATTATAGTCGATTCTGGCTGCGTTGGGTGACTGATCTTTGCCCTCCCAGTAGCCCATTGAGGGTGGGAGACAGAGATGACGCTCATGAAGATCCTCGCTTTCGGTGTGCTTGCATGCCTTGCTGGGCAAATGATACGGCACGGTAAACGTGAATGGAATGCTGTATGTTTGATATGCCTGAAAAACCTTTGATTCCGGAAGCACGCTTCTCGATAAAGGCATGGAGAGCTTGAGGAAAATGTGTCGCGTGTGGCGAGGATCCCCGAATGACGTCTGGATGTTTGTGGTTGTCTCCCCCACGAAATCGATGTTGAAAGTATCAAAAGCGAAGTCTTTGTCCGTGGTGACATCTACGCGGCCTGAAATAATCGACCCTGGGGTGTAAATCTTGGTCTCGACATGGTCATCGAGATGGAGAGCGACAGATACTGGATCAAGTGCTTTCAAGTGATGAGCGAGCTTGGTCCACGTCTTGTTAGAGGACAGTGGTGCCATGATAGTCTTGGACGACAAGGAGCAAGAGGGACTTGTCTTGTCTTGTCTTGTCTTGCCTGTGTAACTCGGATCTGAAGAGAAGATCGATATTGATGCAGCAAACCTTAAGATCTGCCAATGTTTCCCCTTATCTACCCAAATTCCTCATATGAGACCGGGGCCATGGTGCAAAGGCCCCATGACAGAAAATCGAGACGGATGCCACCCAAGCTGGCATCAACTGAGCGCCGTCATTGGCTCCTCTCGCCGAGAGCATTCTGGAATCCAACTCTGGAGAAAAGTCGGCTGACTGGCCGATTGGACACCGACTTTCCGCCGTCTTACGATTGGTCATAACTCCCGATGGATTACTGATGGTCGCATTCCCGAGCAGCTTCCGCCGGCGAGCCCTTCTTTTGACACCGTTCTGCGCCCGAACCCGCTGAAAAATCTGGCAATTATGACTAAAGGGTGGAAATCACGAGAATAATGGAATTCGCTTCGTCCAACAATGTCTCGTGATTATGCCCTATAGAGAGGCTGGCAGTGGATGCAATGCGATGGGAGCAGCCGACATCGCTTAGCCGGCAATTAATTGTCTGATCTTTTGATATTGGAAATAATTATCTGAGGTTTCTGTAGATATATTATCCCGACTTATCAACTTATCAATAAGTTAATAAGTCAGTTATCTACTAAGATAAACCTTTTATTAGACTATATAAGAGATAGCTTTTTCCCTCCTTTATCTATAATATAATTTTACTTTAAATAATTATTTACTTTTTACTATAATAGCTATTACCCTAGTTAATCTATACTAATTAGTCTATAAAAAGATTATAATAGATTAGATTAACTATCTAATATCTTTCTATAGATTAGATACTTTTTTCTAACTGGAAAATTAATATACTATATTTTATAAAGGGATTTATATAACTATAGAAAGATAAAGAATTATTAAAATTATCTATTTATTTATTTCTATATATTATAAATAGTATTATTTTTATTAATCTAAGAATTAATAATCTCTTTATCTATTTTAATAATATCTTTAATATTATAATAATTATTTATATTTTATTTAGTTATTTATTTATATAATTACTTATTTAATCTAATTATTTAATATTTATTTATTCTTTATTTATTTATTTATTACTCTTCTTATTCTTTCTATTATTAGAAAATAATAATATATATAATTATATAAACTTTCTAATAAACTATTATTAGTTTCTTTTTTAACTTATTATTCTAATAAGTTATTAATATTATTATTTTATTTATTATTAATAATTTCTTACTAATTAATTACTATCTATTATTAACTTATTCTATTTAATTACTTTCTTATTAAACTAATATATTAATCTATCTATTAATAGATTTCTATAATATAACTATCTAAATAAATAGTAAAACTATTATTTAGATTATTACTAAATAAATCTATATCTAAGAGCTAGATCTAATAGAAAATAATAAGTTAGATAATAGCTTTATTATTATTTATATTTAGTTTATTATTAAATAATATACTAATTCTAATATATCTATAGATATATATTAACTAATTAATATAGAGAAATCTAAATAGCTTTAATTTAATAATAGCTACTTATTAATAACTAGCTATTTATTTAATATATATAATTCTTTTTTAGAAATAAATAAAATATTATAAATAATTACTTTATAATATTATTTCTAATATATTTAAAAAGTAGATTAAATAATATTTTATTAATTATTAAAAACTACTAATTAATAAATTCTATAAGATATTATTAATAAATAGAGTATATATTAGTTAAAGTAGTAAATAAGTTAGTTATAATATTAAATAAATACTTAATAATTTATTCTATCTATAGTTAAATATAGAGATTATAGAGAATTATAATAAATATAATTTTTTTTAAGGTTTTTACTATATATAAGAAATATTCTAAGATCAGATTATATATAACTAGATCTATATAATTTATTTTTAACTAAGTTTTAATCTATATCTAATCTTTAATTCTATTTTTTATTTATTTTTTTATTTATATAAGCTAAGATAAGATAATAACTTCTTTAAAAACTCTAAAAAGAGCTTATTAAGTATATAATTTAGTTATAGGCTCTAAGAGGAAATACTTATTATCTATAATTAACTATAATATTACTTTAAGCTTATTATTACTAATTACTAACTATCTCTTTTTATAACTATAATAATAGATATCTTTAATATTATAATTCTCTATAGCTAGAGCTTGATTATTATAAATAATTAGATTCTTATATATATAATAATTATTATTAATAATAATTATTAGAATCTCTTTTTAGATATTAATTATTTAAGTTTATAATCTATTATAGATTTCCTTATAATAATAAAACTACTCTCTCTTATATAGATCTAATAGTTATATCTACTAGAGCTATTACTATATCTAGTAATTAGCTAATAAGAAAATATATAGATTCTAACTTTCTATATATTTATAGAGAATTATATAAATATTTCTTTAGTACTTAATAATTATTATAATCTAATATACTATATATAGTACTAATAAGTAATATACTAGCTTAAGTTAATCTAGACTAAAGTAGCTCTTTAAATTAAATAAAAAGTCTATTTTAATTAGTAGTATTAGATAAATAGAAGAGAATAGAATTAAATTAAATTATTAAAAAGTTTATTAAATAGAAAAGTTAAATTAAATAAGATTAATAAGATAGTATTTAGAATATAGTAGATTAATTAATCTAATACTACTATAGATTATTTAAAGAAAATTATAATAGCTAATTATAAAGTTACTATATACTAATAAAAACTAAATATAGTTTATATAGTACTAAATATAGTTTATATAGTACTAAATATAGTTTATATAGTACTAAATATAGTTTATATAGTACTAAATATAGTTTATATAGTAACTATAATTATATAAAAGATTATAGCTAGAATAAGTTTAGTAAGCTGTTTATAATTAAATATATTCTTAGGTTAAAAACTTAAAATACCTATTTAGTTATAGTTTATCTCTATCTTTATTTATAAGCTCTTAAGATTAGATTTAGCAGCTATATTAGCTATAGCTCTTATCTCTTTTATTTATAATTAAGACCTACTAATCTATAAAGACTAATTAAACCTTAGATATATCTCTAAGAAATATACTATAAGTAGGAAAAATATTATTTAGTTTATCTCAGATATAATACTATAAGTAGTACTTGAGTAGTTAATATTATAAATTAATTATCTTATAGATTAGAAGTAGTATAAACTTATAGCCTGCTGTTATTATTCCTACTAATAATTAATTAATTAAAAACTTAAAGCTCCTTTACTATCTAGTAAGCTGATTTACTATTTATATTCTAGAGGGATAATATAAGATATAAATATTATCTAGAACCTTATTAAGCTATATATATTAATTTATTCTACTCAGATTATTAACCTTTTCTACTACTATATATAAAGCTTGAAAATTTAATCTTAAGAGATAGAAGTTAAATATAATAAATTAATTATATTCTCCACTATCTAAAAGGTTTAATACTCTATATCTTACTATTAATATTAGATATTAATAAGTTCTTTATTATATCTTTAAAAAACTTTTAAAAGTTATTTAAATTCAGTAATTATATTATTTCCTATAGGATATAAACTTTTAATATTTATAAGTATATTATATATATATAATCTCCGGTTATAGAGATAGCTTTCTTTAGTAACTTTAAGATAGAATTTTCTTTCTAGAGATATAGTAGTTCTTAAGAAAGACTTTACTAATATAGAAATAAAGAAAGCTATATATATATACCTTTATATAGATAAGTATAAGTCTATAGTAATTAAAACTATATTAGAATATCTCTATACTAATATCTATATCTATTTAGACTCTACTACTAGCTAGACTATTCTCTATATTAATATTAATATAGCTACTAATTACTATTAAATTAAGAGTTTTTTAAAGCTATTTAAAAATAATCTTAATAACTATTTAAGTAGATTAATATAGGTAGAATAGCTTTCTACTCTTATTAAAACTATTATAAAAAAGTAAATTAATTAAAAGTTATAGTTATTAGTTATATTAGCTTTAGTAAGATTTATAAAAATACTTATTAAAAATCTAGATTTTATATTACTAGATCTTTCTAAAAACTTTAGAAATCTTATTTTTTAAATATATATATCCTGGATTATATATATAATATTAGTAATAATTAAAAGTAGAACTAAGCTTAATATAAGTTTTAAGCTTTATAATTAGATATTTAAAAAAACTAATCTAAGGAGAGTAAGAGATAGTAGATTAAGTATAATTCTAAAATATATAAGCTCTATATAGAATCTACTAGATTAATAAAGTAATAGATATATATTAAATATTTCTATTTATTATTATTATATAAGCTGATTTCTAATATTATTTCTCTATAAATATATTCTAAGTTATTAGCTCTTATAGTATAATAATTAAGTAATTAAATTATAGAGCTTATTATACTATCTACTATAATATAAATATTATTAAAGAATAATAGCTAGCTTATTATTAGTCTAGCTAATATTAATAAAAGGAAAACTTTACTTAAACTATAGAATTAAAATTATATAATAGAATAAAACTATATTAAATATAGTAACTCTATCTAATAAATACTAAGATAATATAGAGGAGAAAGAAAAGTTAATAATATATTATTATTCTTACTAGAGTAACTATTATTTTATAGAGAGAAAGTTATATAAGATATTCTCTAGTAATAAGTAGTAGATATATTTTATCTATTTAGAAGTAACTATTAAGAGTTATAAATATACTATATTAGAGAAATAAATATAATAGAAGTTAATTTAATATATACTAGCTTCCTAATAGTTAAATTAGTTAAAATAAAGATACTATATCTTATATAGCTAGTTATAGAGTCTTTTTATAGAGTTCTTATTATTATTACTTATTTTTCTTTATCTATAACTC